TCTTATAGAGGAGGTGGCTATAGGGTTAGTTCGACTCTTCCTCCTATGCTGTTAGCTACTATTGCCGGTCTCGTGATCTCTTCGTAGAATTCGGGGTCTTTTATCAGAGCCTTCAGGTTGCGATATCTCTTAACGCCTTGTTCGAGTTCTTAAGGTGACTAGTAGTAGAATTCTTCCTTTTTAAAGGCTAATGCCACGTTTTTCGAGATTTTCTTACTATCTATTTCGACGTAGACGCCGTTACCGATTAAATAGTCTCTAAAGAATCGTAGGATTAGGGGAGGTACGTTCTAGAAGTCTTCTTCTAACTAGTCGGCGAAATCGGGAGAAACTTCGTTCTATAGCTCGAGGCCTGTAAGATTCCTCTTCTCATAGGTCTCAAGTAGGAAACCCATATAGGAACCTAGTTGCTATAGGCTAGCGTTTGTAAGGTCGATTGCCCAGTTGCCCTATACTGCTGGATCGATTATACTTTCGATTCTCTATAGGATAGGGACTGTTGATTAGCTTTTGGTAGTAACGCCGCTCGCGGGCGATCCTTCTCGTAAATTTCGCTCTATTCTAACAGTATAAAAGGACGTAGATTCTCTCGTGAATCTCTCTTTCCCGCTTCAGGCTTCGCTCCTTACTATTAGGAAGTTTAGAATCTAGCAGACAGTTGGCCTTATGACGCCTACAACCACGTGCGTTTCTCCTAAGCCGCAGCCTCGGAGGCGTATACGTATAGCTATATAGGCGGATTACCGCCGGTAGTCTCCGCTTGCCTTTCGGCGTATTCTTCTTCTAGTAGGGAGGTCTCTTATAGCAGGCGCCTCGCGGTTGGCACCTCGTCTGGGGATTTATTAAGAAACTAGCGGGCGCCTCGTGATTAGCACCGCGCGTGGGGGATAGTTATAGTTAGGGAAGTTGTTGTCCCTTGTGGGATTCGTGAATCTTCGCCCTTATAGCGTGAAGAGGTTGGAAGACCGTCGATTCGGTAGGTCTCTTCTTCTAGTGATTGAAAACGCGTGATGGAACGCTCTTGCTAGCGATAATTGGCTACGATTAACCTTATCCCGCCTAGGGTAAGCGTAGCAGTCCCTAGGTTACTCGAATAATCGGATTGCTAGTAGATTCGAGGAAAAGAAGCTTTCTTCTGCTAGTTTCCGTAGATCCTAGTTACTCTCGCTTCTTCTCTCGTTAGCACGAAATCCCTACTTTTACCTGGGCTTAGGTATCCAGTTCAAGAAGTCGTCTCTTCTGGTGTTGACCTTGCTGATCTGCGGTTTGTCCGTAGCAGAGTGGTAATTGTGAAGTTAACCAAATTAATGGCAACTGTAAGGTTTACCACTGATCAGTGTAGGTTTCACAGGGGGTGAAACGGAATTCCGTTCGTCAATAACAAATAATAGTAAATTGGTTCTAATCGATGGTTCATGATAGTTGAAAGTGGTGTTGTTGACTAGAAGGTGGGGATATTCCCCCTTGGCCTGTCACGTGGGTCTGGGAGGCTTGGGCCTCTCAGCCTGGCGGGCGTGTGGCTGGAAGTGCCACACGACTCCGTATTCCAACTATCGCAACATAAGCCATATTTCTAAGATTATGCTATATGGATTGAAGATAGGTCTACAGCCAGGTAGGACAGGCTGGAATGACGGGCAATAGGTACTGTTCAGATTATGTCACTTAGATGAGAAGCTATCGCTAATAACGCCAAATCTGACCAGACTACGCGTTCTACCAGTTTGAGCCCCGAAAGGTCAAAACATTGTATTTGGCGACACAGTTAATTAGGCTGAAATTCATGTGTTATAATCTGAGAAAGCACTACCTCTTGAGACATCGAAAGCAAGGTCTTTACTTTTTCAAATTGGGAAAGTGGCAAGCTCACTGCTGGCGGTTGTAGTTAACTGTTCCGCAACCTTTATGAAGCTTTTGATACTGATAGCTACGTATTGGGGATTATAATGATGGCTCGCGGATCTTCGAAGGTTGTAGTTTTGCATTAAAGGAGCTTGATCTGCGCCTGAGGGCCCATCTCATCTCATACACCATGGTGACAAAAATTAGGACTGACAAAAAGCGAATTGTGCACGCAAGTCGAACCAAGATTACCTAGCACACTTTTAGTATTGATGTAGGTGGCCTGGTCGAGATAAGAGCCACATAAAGAAATCAGTTGAGTTGAACATACAGCCTGGTCTCGTGTGCAACAGGTTTCATTTCAGGAACTCGTGCTGGGATTTAAATGATGGAACGACTGACTGAGGCTCTAAGGTTGTATAAAGTGGCGTTCTTCAATAATCGTGACTTTTGGGATACATGAACAGATTTGTGCAAGTCAAAACAAGTTACTGAAACTCTGATAGGAGTAATGTGACGTCGGCAGAATCAATGTTCATTTGCAGAAGAACCTCCCATTGTTTACCTGAGATTGTGAACTTTCGGTTTGACACTTGAACCTAAGTTTTATAAGAATACAAGCTATGTGTCTCCGTGTTCAAAAAACGTACTGAGATCAATCTGGCATAAAGAAATATCAGACGTTGAGATGCCAACAATCAAAATGATAACCAAATGCTTTTCTCATCAACTCAGGCTTTGGTCTCCCTGGCCTTGTCCTCCACGACAATAGTGCCGGTTGGGCAGGGTTTCGCTGTCAACCAGGCCAGGGGTGTTCCATAGTACTGGATCAAGCCTACGTCATGGCATGCAGCAACGAATCTTCAGCGGACATAGCCACTAGCCCATAGTGGCGAGGATGATACATATCGCTTGTAGAGTTAGCACTGAGTTTATGTGTTCTACTATGGGTGCATGATGCCTCTCTATTCTTAGAGAACACGAAGGATGCTATGTGACGTTTCAGAGATTACAGCACTGCTCCGCCACTCTCTAACTGAAGTTTTGCACGTGACGAGAACCACTCGAACTTGCTGTTTTCTTGTCGTTATCATTCGAAGTGGACTTTTAAATCTGTGAAACCAATAACCTGAAGGGCAAACAGCTTTGATGGCCTCTTAATGGCCGGTGACAGCTCAGATACTGAACTTATTGCAAGGCAGTTCAAGTATTGGGTTGAAAGCACCTTTTAACCTTGCGGAAAAGCTTTCGGCGAGGCGATACGAAAGGAGAAAGGAAAAGCTCAGCCCTCAATTTATTCTTCATCGTGCAAAACAAAAAACGACATCGAACACTTCCCTTACCTGTTGTTATTGCGATGTTTTCAATAGCTAGTGTCTGAAATTCATTGAAGGCACCTCAGCTTTTTAGTTCCGACTTCTCCGAGGAGGTTTTATGGAAAGATTATAACTGAGTGAATTCCTTGTAGAGCCGTCTACTCAGGTGTTGGTAGACCTGAGTTTGTAGATGCCCCCACATCATGTTACAACTCATCGTTAGCGTTTAAATTAGACGGGCACTTAGTTCCTATCTTGCAGCCTTCCGTTTAGCGATTTCACGTTGCAACCAGTTGAAATCTCATTGATCGGTCACTAGACTGCCTTATTCGAAGGTATACTAACTAACCTATGAGGCAACTATTCATATACAATCATAGTAGATCACTCAGCAAAGATGGTGTTTCTCAGGAGTTAAAGTTTGAAAAATTCTAAAATTAGACTAATAATTCGTGACTCATGTACAGACTGTAAAGCGTAGATCTCTACTATAAGCCATGAATTAAATTGCGATCAGCAACACAGAGCTGCCTTAAAGGGTCTCATTAGGTCGTTCAGAGACAGCGGACGGAAAAAAGGAGGCCTCTTTGGGCTTCGAATCCCTGCGGCAGTCTGCGCATAATAGGATATTAACGACCCTAGGCCAGACAGATACCTATTTAAGTCAAGTTTCCTGAGACTCACCAACCTCTGAGAGGGGCTTCTTCTTCATCAAGCCACTTATTGACCGCAGAAACAATAATGCAGATTCAAATCATCGCTCTTTTCGTTTTCTTCGCCGCTGGCTTTCATGCAGTAGAAGCTCAGAGAAAATGCCTTTATAACAAACCCCGCAAATGCTCCGAGTGTTGCCCTAAAGGAGGCTGTGTTGTTCCAGGCAATGCCGACAGTGTATGCTGGTACAGCTGTTAACCACGACCTTGAACACGTGAGACCGGAAACACCTAAACATCGACAACTGTCTATATTTGAAAGTCGCAAAGTCCAAAGACTTGCGGACATTTTGATCTTCACCGCTTTTCGCCGGTCAATTTTGCGACCATTGAAGCAGTCACACAGCCAGCAAACTCAAGACTTATGTTCTCTATCTTGTGGTTGTCACTATATTTCTTCATCATAACCTGGTCAACTTTGGCAAGAGATACAGGGCATATCTATACTCATTGCGAATCGAGATACCCACACAAATTTTATTGCCCTTCAACTACGTTGGGTCACATACTTCGCATTTGCTTGGGCGGGTCTCACAAGTTGACAAAGGCATGGGCATGGATTTTATGCAACCCATGAAGGCGCCGGCCTTCTCAGGTGATGGGCATGAGGTTGGGGGCCAACGACTAGAAAGAATTCTATGGAAGCAAACCATAATTTTTGTTTCAATTTAGACTTATTACTACTACTTTTCTTGAATATCTCTCGCAAGTCCTGCTTTTGTGCTGATGACATTCCAATCTCTTCCCTGTACGGACAGGTAGCTACTGGATACTTTAGTAGTAAGCGCAGTGCTGCCCCTCTGCTTAGTGTGTAGGTGTAGGGTAGGTGTAGGTACCCCCAGGTCACGAATCAGATGGCGTTACTATTAAGCCAGGCTCCACACCCACCAGCAGAAACCCCCAGATTCATGTCAGTTGCCCGTAAAGATGCCTGGCCCACCCTACTTACCCTGTGCGTCCAGGCTTGTCGCACAACCTTAGGGCGGCGCCGGGTGACATTTGAAAAGCGCCGTTATGGTGGGCTCCAACTCCCGCCACTTTAGGAGTTTAACCTGGCCAAAAACATCACCAGCTTACTTTCGACGCGTTCGCGATCTCCACGAATCTCACGAACGATGATCGCGTCCGCATGTCTCTCCACGCGCCCGACACTTCGACGGCCCAGGCTGAGGTAGTCTTCGCCGATGATGCCGACCCTTTCACCCCGAAACCCTTAATTAGCGACCTCTTACGAACGCGCTACTGCATCCCCGACTCGGTATTCCTCGTCGAGAGTATTGAAACGCTTCCCGTGGCCCAATCGAAACGATGGAAGGCAGTGAGACTGTTACTGGGTGACGGACAGCTTTGCATACAGGCGCTGTTGCGTAGGGAAATGCATCGCTTTCTCGATATTGGGGCTGTGAGAGTCGGATGCTACGTCCGCTTGGGGGAGTGTTCTGTTCACTTCCAGAATGTTGTCGCCGAGGACAACGGAGTTGCGCGAACGCGGCAGATGATTTATCTTATCGTTGGTGATATGGTCACCGTTGGGTGGCATCGCGCACTCACAGAGCCCGACTCAATTCCACAACGGCGTCAGGCACATGTGCAAGAGGATGAATTCATCTCCGACAGCGATTTAGACATTGACGACCTGAAACGATTGGAGCTCCCTACCAAGACGCCAGAGCCCGTCAAGCATCTGGATTTGAAGCCACCATCAACACCCGGGCTGAGAACAGCTCGAGGGGCTGGTCTTGAAGAGACCAATCATTTGGACAAACAGGAACAGGAGCGCGACTACGAGGACGACGAGGATGCCGAGGAGGAGTTTGAAGTTATGCAGGTGTCAGAAACAAAAGCTACACAGCTAAGAGCCCAGGCGAATGACCTCGGCCCACCCGTTGCCCTTCCACGCGACTGGACAGACCCTACCATCCCGCTCAAGTTAACAGCCTTGAAGTCCATACCGAACTTACCCTATAAGCAGAACTGGTCTGTCAACGTCCTTGCCGTCGTCATCTCGCTATCGGACGTCGAGCCTTCCCACATGCCTCCACATACACAGAGAACCGCTCGGCTCGTCGACCCAAGTACCAGCAAGCAAGTTATCTTGACAGTCTTCCTCGACGCAGAAGAGTTCTGCCCCAAGATTGGCAGCGTAGTTTTGCTCGTGGGTGTAAAGAACCACCGCTTCGATGGTGGTTGTCTCAAGAAATATGTTAGCGACCGCCCTAAGTCCGGCAACAGGTGGTGGTTCGAAGAGCCTCGGCAGTTTGAGTGGTGCGACGTGGACGGCTTAAAGGCCTGGTGGGAACAGAAGCAAATGCAGGGTCTAGGCCTCGAAAACACATGACTCGAGATGGGATCAGATTTCTTGCAAAGATGTGACCGAATGGCAGATGACAACAGCGCCAAGGATGTCAAAAGCCTAGCCATCGGTTTCAGACAGTACCACTGAGACTATACTACTTCGATCGGACTTGCGAGTCCGATGCAGGCCCTGACAGCTGAGGCTATGCTATCGTGATGCAAGCAAGCATGATCACACTTGGCTTAAGAGTCATTCGCATCAGCGAAACATCTTCATCTAGCTGACTCCCCAACTGCCGAGAACATTCCGTCTGCCTTCGGCCGTACCTTTCCCGCCATGCAACTCCAGCCTTTTGACACGATTTACCAAGAGGCCCACGGAAATCGGCCCAACGATGGTGCAGAGGGAAATGGCCCATGTGACAATAAGAAACAGCTCTGAAGGCTCCGCGGGGCTCCCCGAACCCCCACTAAAGATGCCAGTGCTTTCGGCGACGGCAGAGATGAGGAAGCCGATCTCGCCGCGGGCGACCATGGCGAAACCGAGAATACAGGCCGGGTACACAGAAACCGGCATCTCCGGCTGGGGAGAGGCATTTTTCGGCATTGCTTCGGGTCGACGGGTCCCTACAGGCTGCAGAGGGATATCTTCAGTCTGATTTCCCTGCCCAGTTTGCTGCTGCTGCTGCTGCTGCTGTTGCTGGCCCTTGTTGTTATCTGCATGGGATTCGGATGTGCTGCTGTTACACTGCGCTCCGGGGCTAAGCTTTTTGGGCTGTTTCTTTCCCGTTCCAGAGATCCTCTTTGTGATACGTTGTATGGTAAGCAGTGGGCTAGCGTATGACAGAAGCCAAAAGCCGCATAGAATTTTACCAATCATCATTAGTATGGTATAAACGACACCACGCCAGACGATGGGACCAGAGAACAATCTCGTAATGGGGACCGAGAAGCCGATAGAAGCCTAGACTGATTAGCTACCCGCAAATTATCAGCATAAGTTGTTCACTTACGAAAAAGAACGGTTTCAGGACACGCTCCACGGCTTGTTGGTAGTAGTTCTCGTATATTTCCACGCCAGAGTTGCCGATTACTGGTTCAGCTTCTGCCACTGTGGCTGTAGAATCCTCAACTTCCGCGCTGCTGTCGTTGCTTCGCGTCGCAACATGCGGTACTTCCGAATCCCACCAACTTACTGTAGCCCCGGCAACATACGCGGCCAGCAGACTTGATGTGCCGGCAAACGTTCCGCCAACAACAAGACCAAATAGCCAGCTAGTATGAATGACAAATGCAGTCTGCCGTAGCTGTAACAGGCGATTGATCTTAGAGCCGGGGTTGTTCTCTCTGACTGCATTTAGACGGAGTGTGACTGGCTGAATGATGAGTTTACACACCGCTGGGACCACGATTGAGAATCCCAGTGACACGAAGACAGGGCGGATGACGGTTACGGCATTGAAACCACCACCGCCGCCCCCGCCGAGGTTTGATACGACCTGCACCATTATGAGGCCTACTACATCGTCCATCATGGCGGCACTAGTCAACACGACGCCCAGACGTGTCGTGGAGAGCCCACTGGTCCCGAGAACCGTGAAAGTAGTGCCTAGGCTGGTAGAGCAGAGCGCGGCGCCGGCAGCAAAGGCCTGCAAGGGCGAGGCACCGACGAGAGATTGGAGGGTGAAAGAAAGACCGATAGGTACGGCGATGCCGGTGATTGCGACTCCGATCGAGAGGAGCAGGTTTGCCTTGAGAGATTTGAAAGATGTGGAAAGACCACCTTCATACACGATCAGGATCAACCCAAGGTATCCTAATTGCATTATCGAGTTCTCCATCTCTTCCGACAGCCATTTCGCGCCGGGCGTACCCCATGCGATGCCTAGGAAGACCTGGCCAATGAGACCGCAGTATACGAGCTTATCAAGGCCATAGTTGACGGTGTTCAGCAGCAGAAGAAAGCCGGAGAGTATGATGATTGTGGTGATTGATGGCTCATGGTAGGCCAGCGAGAATTCATTGGCTGCCATTGGAGGCCATAGAGACTGAGTGTACTGGACGTACACTCACAAAAAAGTTTTGAAATAAGTCCCCCCCTGTCGAGGAATAGAATGAAAAAGGGAAAGCCCCAAATACTTGATCTTTATCTTCAAATACTTGTGTTTATGATGGAGGCTCTAGGTGTTTGCTTTCCCCTTTGAAATGGGACCAAGCGGGCTTCGCAAAATTAACGCGTCTGCTCGGCGGAACTTCGCTATCAACAGGCTTGGCACGATCGCGGGCGGCGTACGTAAGCCGCAGTAGTCGCTATGACGTCATATACAACGGACCTAGTGAATGAAACTTTACGGGTAGTAGGTGATGCTATCTAACAGGATAGAGAGCAAAATAATGGTGCCATCGTGTTAAATAAGAAACCAAGTCTACTTCGCCTACTAACAATAGTTCATAAGAGAAATTTCAACGCATTGCACTTACGTGACATGCAGTTGCAGTCTTAATTCATCCTCTATCCATTAACCGTACGTACAGATTGAAAAGATTCCTTTGGTGCTGATCAAGTTTCGCATTTGGCTCATCAAACCCTCATGTGAACTGAATTGGCAGCTCACAAACTTGAACGTAAAGACTATAATTGTCACCGAGTCTTTTAAATTTGCGCCTTTTTCTTTTGTTTTGGCCGCACTCGAAGGACGTGGGCCTTTTACGGGGACTGGTTTCGCTGGGAGAGGCATCCCCAGGAAGTATTATCAAGTCATGAAAACACAAGCGAACGAGGGACGCATGTTTACGAGATAAATTTTGTAATTCAAGACTGTTCCAGCCAGGTATATGTGTAGCAAAACGCAGCGCCAATCCATAACAAAACAAATCAATATGCCAATGCGAAGCCGAACGGCCAGGTCCGCTGCTTAGTCTCGTGTCATCCACCACAGCCATATTGCTAGATCACCTCTGCACGCAAGCTACCCAAACGTAATCATCAAGTATTGAACTTCCAAGTCCCAAGCCGAGAAATTTTATTCAATGATAATAACTTTGCCTCAAACTGCGTGAGCGCGGTGGACATGCGGCGATGAAAAGTTGATGCTCCTCTTCCTCTTCTTGTTCTTTTTTCCACCCGGCGGGGCAGCGCCAGGAGCAGGAGGAGCAGGAGGAGTCCCGTTCGCCGGGGGGATACCACCACCACGGTTGAGGCACGAGTCGTTGTCCGGGTTCGCAACGTTGATGGGAACCTGCAGGACCTGGCCGACCTCAATGAAGTCAGGGTTGGCGATGTTGTTGAGCTTAGCGATGTTGCAAATGCCTGAGTTCAGAAGCCGGGCAATTTGGCCAAGCGTGTCGCCTTGAATTACCGTCAAAGTGACTGTTCGGTTGGCGTTGTTCACAGGGCCGCCGCCGCCGCCGGGAGCGCTTGAGAGAGGGGGAGGAGGAGTTGTTGCTTGCCTCCTAGTTGGAGGAGGCTCGGAGGCCGTGGGAACCTGGCGGGGGAAGAACATATGGGTGAGACCGCGTGTGATTAAACCCCTGGTCTCTGCACGAACTTCATTCTGAGTATCGTGGTTGATAACGGGTGTGGCCTGCGCGATGGTGCTAAGGCCAGCCAAGGCCAAACAGAGGATTGAGGATCGCATGTTTGTTGCAAATCGCTGCAAAAGGCAAGATGAGATTTGTCCGTGTAATGAACGAGTAACAGAACAAGAACTCAGAGGGCAGTCTTAAACCACGAGGAGTGAGATGCCGGGGAGTTGTGTAACTTAAAAGAGTGTCCAATACTAGGGAGGCTGTGGTCTGAATGAAAGGCGTGGTCCTGGGAAAGCTGAGACGCTCTCCTTGTCTATCAAGACAATCTTATATCATTTATATCACTCTCTTCCTCACTTAGAAAGTATCCGGCCTCTGCCCAGGGCAGTCCCCTCCAATTGCTGACGTGGATGCGATTGGATGGTTCCCATGGTTCGAGGTTGACGTGCCCACCTTGGGCCGGTAACGCCTAGCAAGATCCACCTCAGTGTAACCTGCTTAACGGACACTAAGCCTTGTATGAACCTCCGCGGTGGTAAAAACGTGGACAACGAGATAGTGTGCGGCACAGGCAAGAGTAAATTGGTATGCCGCCAGGCCACACGCGAACGCCGGAAATCCGCACAAAAGGTAAAATTATGGGTCGACATGTCCTGAAACGGAGTTGAGCGCGGGGTTGGTTGGTTGGTTGCCTGTTGAGTCAGGTATGTTCTTGGTTTCTGCTTCAGAGTTGACAGGGAAAAGGTGCTGAAGATGGGACAAAGGGCCCAGCAACTTGAGACGGCGTCCACCTGTTCCCAGACATTTGCTCGCCTGCTTTTGGAAGCCTATTTTCGAAGATCACCACAGAAAAGAACATTCTGTCCTCCATCACGAGTCATTCTGTCCCAAAATCTCTACCAGCAGTTCAACGTTTAGCCCAATCCGGCGCGAGCAGCGGCTTCTCCGCCAACTCACAGACTTTTTTGCTATTCTGGAGTCAGGAAACAGTTTGCGGATCCTCCTGTCTGTCAAGGCTTTCTCATGATGAAGCTAGTTTTCATTCGCTGTGCGATTCCATTCGACGCAAAGCACTGCCACCCAATGTTCCGGAATGATTTGCAAATGAACGGACGAACCTCAGTGTTTTGGTGGTCACACCAGAACCGAGTTTGATCTGCCCATGGAAGGCTTCTAACAAACCTAAAGCACGAAGCCACACTGCCATGGAGCTGAGATTCTTATCAGCAGTTGGGTCTCGGGAATCAGGCTAAGATTTTTATCTCTTAAGTATCCATTTTAACGAAACTGCGAGCAGATAGCATGTTGTCTCAAACTCTCAGCTCGATACGGCATTTGCGTCTGCCGGCAGCTCGACTGCAGGTTTCTTTGCCCCCATTGTGAAGAGATGATACGGAATCATAATTGAAGCCGAAAGAACGTACTCCATTAGTTACTTGGCGTTAGTGATTACAATCAAGGTCTGGATAAATTCAACCACTGACTGTCTAGAACGAATATTACGCCATTAGAACTACAAATCATGTATTCCTTGGCACACAGAAAGCGTGGAGTTGCAAAATGCATTTAAAGACTTGCGCGTGTTGTAGAGAATGCTAAGCTGTTGTTTCGGAACTCACGTTGGCCCCATGCCCGATGACATGGGTGAAAGAGCATCATCCCATGGAATTCCCCCGGGCTACAGGTACATTTCGAGCCACAAATCGGCCTTGATTTCTTCGAAATCCGTGAAAAATAAGTAGAGAAATGGAACGAAGCTCCCCATGCTCTTGATTGGTCATACCCCAGATGTCATGTACCTGTGGCCCAATGGCATTCAAGAGTACAGCGAGGCAGAAAGATTTTCAAACTTTCAAACAAAAGAATGGATAGCAGTTCTCCTTACTGCAAACAGGCGCGAGGCAAGCTGAAGACAGTCATGGCCACTAACTACGCATACCGTAGTCGCAGTTCGATACACTACCTAAAACATGAGTCCGCAGTAAGCGGGCAAGGAGGTAGGCAAAAGACTCGATATTGGCATTCAGTGAACATCGAGAATTCTGAATAGCCCCAGTGCTACTTAAAATCTTGTTGCTTTCATAGTTCATAATGAGTACAATTCCAATGCCATTGAAGACTACCAGATGCAAAACGACTTAGTCATGTCAGACTGCCGAACCATTTCGAGCCAGCTCCGTAACCAAAGCGGCTCGGCCCGCGGCCCCACCCATGTGCTCCTGCAATAAAGCCCTGGTCGTGTCTTTACGGACACAACAACTAAAGATCTTTCATGACTACGGCCTGAGCAGTCTGGTATTGTCGTTCTTCATTCATGAAGGTTTCATCTCCAAGCCGTGGCAGCCATCAGTCATTTATCACCCGAACCTTCATCCGAAAGTTAAGCAGTCATTGTTAAGGCAATGGCAACGCACCACATTCTCAGGCTTTCACGTGTCGTATGATGACACTCAGAGGTTGTTGTACCAGACACGATTTCATGAATCTATCTTAGGATGATAACATTTTGTCCTCTGGCTCCTTAGTCCGAATCCTCGCCGAGCTGCTCATCCTCACCACCTGTAGCGCCAGCAAAGGTGGAGACAGCCTTGCTAAAGGCAGCGGCGCGTCTCTTTTCCAGGGCCTCAGCATCCGCCTTGATGCTGGCAGGAGCCTTTGCAACCATGGTATCGGACAGCTCTTTGCTGGCAACCTCCGTCTTCTCGACGTTCTTCTTTACCAATCCACCGACCTTGAGCTTGTCGAATTGGGCCTTGTTCGCAACCATGGAGTTAAGCTGAGTCTCGGTCAAATCGATGACGGTGGTCATTTGGGTCAGGAGCTTCTTAGCCTCATCCTCGGAGGGGTTGAAATTCTTCAACAGTTTGTCAGTTGCTTCTCCTCAACTGGCGAATAAGAACCTAGGCCGAGCGGTACTTACTCCATAATCCTTGATACCCTTCCTGATCGTGCTGCAGATGGACTGGGACTTTGTACCCAGCTTGATGGCGTCCTTGTAGTTAATGTCATTGCCCTTAGCAATGATCTTGTTGGACTTTGTGACCTTGCGCTCGATGTCGCTCAAGCTCTTGGAAATATCGGAGAAAGACATGGTGAGTGATGATGATGTAAGGCTGTTGATGTTGCTGGAAGTTGGTTGATTTGTAGGATTAATGACTAGTCTGTGATTAAAGTGTTCTGTGAGATTTTGATGGTTCGAAAAGACGAATATCTCCTTGGAGTTGAAGCCCTTTTTATGAGCCTCGCGATCGAATCATCATGGTTCACATGCTAGCTGCTGCCTCGGGTCAACTCATTTGTTTGGGTGGCCAAACACGCAGCTGTCCCTTTGAGCATAAACAATCGACGTCTGGGAGAGCCCTGAGCTATGACGTCTTTGTAGAACTGGTTCAGGCAACCACCAAATTGATGAGCTGAGGCCAGGTTCTGGCCTCGAAACATGAAACAATGCGGAGGCCGCCGAGCGATCTTCCACAGCATATCGTCCCTTGGATGCTCGAATGCCCTTGAGAAGAACTCAATGGATCGAACCTCGGCTCAAAAGAAACCTAATGCCAATTTTCAAATACCACTTAAAGATCTATAGCAAGTTCGAGAATAGGAATAACCTTCTTGGACAAGATTATGCACGACAACGGTGATGTGCAGGTTGACAGGGAAGGGCTCGAGCCACAGGGTCCCTATTACTTCAGCCGATGACCACTTTGGATCGAAGCCAAGGTGTACGATCGCATTGATTATCTATTAAGGTAATTCTTGGTTGTCAATACACCAATGATACCGCAGTGATGCTAGAAAAGCTGAGAACAACACCCTGGCTGCATCGTTGGCAATGCTGAGTAAAACGAGTAGTTCCTTGGTTGGGCGGGGCGGGGGTGTTTCTCTCTGTAACCACATTGTCACTGCCTCGGTTTCTCGGTCGAGTTCACGTGGGGGTGCTGAAAAATCCCTACGATTCGCATTCGTACACACACATATCTACAAATGTTGAGTTGCCCATGTGTTTTAAAGATCTCAAATGGAAGATAGTACTGCAGCGCCACAAATGGTTATCATGACATACCACTTGCTAAGCCCCTACCGCAACCCATATGCACCACTCAAGACCCCAGAATATGTCTTCTTATCCAAAACAGGAAGCTCACATTGATGGTTTGAAACTGAAGCTGTGGAGATAGAAACTGCGACAAGTAGTCCAAATATCTAGATGACTGCAATTATCCTGCGATGGGGTTTGATCTTGCCCTTGGGCCACAATGCCACTTCTTTTGCCCATGACCTTATTTTGGTTTAGACACATATCACGCCATAGGAAGTCTGGTCATAGTTGCTTTTCGCAACGCCAGTGCAGGCAGGCTTTGGTTGTTGTGTGGATAGTGCCTTTGAAGTTGCCTATACCTTTCAGAGGCCAGACTCAAAGAAAGTGGATTTTAATACCCCTAAAATAATTGTAAGGCACAATAGTTGTACTGGCACAGCTGTTTCTACCTACAACTAATTCTTGCGAGCCATTATGCACCATGGATTGCCTCCGTTAATCTCCGATGCTTTAGGGAATCTCTGGAGGTAAATATGTCCTATACTGCTTTCATAGTTTGCGATTTGGAGAGCGAATCCATCTTCAACAATGGAAAGTCGTTCAACAGGAGATATGCCATGGTCAAAATAGCCAATCAATCAACTATCTGATTATCTGACGCAGTTCTGGGTAAAACCATGTTTCTTATTCGAGCTACAAAAAGGTAGATGGGAAGGTAGTTTGTTATTATATTTTGACACAGCTAACATGTAGAACTGTGCCGTTTAGCTATTAAGCAGAGGTCAACATATCCTGTATTACAGTTAATCCCACCTCTCTTTCCAAGGTTATACAACTTCTGCCACATGAACATACGAAATACAGGATTAAACCTTCCCATTAAGCCAAGTCTACTAATACCCCTTCTTTTTCTTTGATCAGATATAACCGTAGTTATGTTCGGTTCACTGTGCCAACCATTTGCGACGGTCCCAATTGATGTCTATTGTTCTTATCAACAATTTAAACCAGCGGCCGAGAATTCATATCGCTTGTCTTTTCCTCCGCATTTTCGGGGGTATGTTGGTCATTCCTTGGGCCATTAGTCGTGATTTGGGACATGAAAAGACTGAACGCTCGAGGAAGAGATCTGCCTGTGCGAGGTTGATTTCTATTTTGCTCAGGAGAGGGCTTTCGGCGCCAGAGAGATGGTAATAGTCGGCGGAAAAATGATCTCATCCCTGGTAAACACGCACAGATGACGCTTAGATGAAGTTCCAACAAGGACCATGTCGATAACCCTTGAAGGTCATCTGTAAGACGGGCAACGATTTAGTATTCTATTCCGCTTTCTCGAGGTATCTGAATTTGAGGAGATAACCTACAGGTTGGGTTCCTCGTGTCGCCGAATTCCCTAAGCGTCTCCAGTCGAATGCAGCTAGCAACAGTGACACTAGTACTGTTAATTTTCTGACCTTATTCCTGCTGTCTTATTTGTTTTGATGTTAAAATAGACTTACATTAATCCTGTGAGAAAAATCAAACTTGTGCCAATTTTGGTCCTTAACGTCCAAGACATGTGAATGCTTGGAAAACTTCATGAGCGATTGTCTCATCTTTTGACATACTAGCGGGGAAACTTACAACTGAGTGACCGGAAGAACAAAGAGACATAAATCTAATGTGATGTTGATACCGCTATTAACAAAAGACAACATTTGTACCTTTCCGCGCTATAAGCCAAAGTATTGTTAAAGATCCTATATGTTTAACATTAACTTTATGTTATTGACATGTACTTACCTGTCCTATATGCTCACCGTCCCAGAACGTCCAGCTATAACTAATTGGCGACGAAACAAAGATTATTTGCATAATATGCCAGATACCGAAGCAAGTTGTAGCGGCGAAAAGTATATAACACACTGTTCGGAACCATGGTTCTCGGAAAATACGTAGGTAGAAAAGAATGATTGATATCTTTGTTGTAGATACCATGAAGGCGTATAAAAGTTCTTCCACGAAGAAAATCTTGGCAATGCTTAGCTAAACGATCGACTGTAGTTAAAAAGCTTCGATTTCAAGACCAACTAACCATAAGAATTTTGGTTATGTTCTCTGGAGGCAGCATCCATATGTCTTGGCCGAAGCCTGAGTTATATGCTGGCATCGATTAACTAAAATTTCACAAATTGTACCACTGACAACACTCACATATCTGCGAGAACACATCTACAGCTATTAGAGCCAACTTGAGCACAGGTACATTAGCGACGAATGCCACAAGGTCTCCATCGGTAATGAGTACCAGAGATGCGAAAATACACCAATCATCCCAGGAAATATTGAAAACCGGATTCAAAGCAAACAGCTTTGCTGCGAACCTGGCGACTACAGCCATGAGAGTGGCTGTAAAAAGCGACCAGAGAATGGGGGCCTGGGTATGATTACGTCTCGCTGGTTCACCGCATGTCAGGCTGTGATATTTCCGAGCTTCTGTTTCCGATGATGTCAGTCGGAAAAAGTTGGCCGAGTAGCAGCGACTAACACATACTTAGAGACTCGATCACGGTGCAGTTGCTTGATACACAAAGCTCAATGGCCGCATTGAGCTTCTGGTTCGTGCAGATGCAACTTGGTTCGGCTGGCTGACACGTATAATTCGGCAGCTCGTTCGTGAGACAACGTGTCTGCGCAGCCCAAAAGGCCTGTTAGTAAATTCCAACGCTTTGCGACTAATCTGGCCATACTGCACATCCTGGCAATTCGGCGGTCATCTCCTGGACCATTCCAGTAGGTAAACCATTGTCACCCGATGCTACGGTCGGCGACATTGATATCGAAAACCGACTTGTTGCAACAGAAATGACGCCAGCCAGAAGTAATCACCTGGCAAACCTAGGTTTTCTTGTGTCATTTAAACGAGGTTCGGGAGAGCTTGGGTTTGGGAGGCGTCCCAAACGATGGAAAAATGATCCGGGATATGGAGAATTTATTAACCATAGAGACAGAGTTTCGCTAGCGCATACCAACTGCAGAGGTAAATCCCTCCACGAAACCAAACTCTACTTACTTTTTAGAGTAAGCTTCAATCAGACGAGAATAATTGGGGCACACTGAATAAGAAAGTAAACGCAAAACCGGGATGCCACGTTCTACGACATTATCTACATGGCAAACATGACTCTTGCGACAATACCGACGCCTTAAAGGGCAAATTAACGTTTCTGTACCGGATACGCTCAGTAGTATGATGGACGATCCTACCAACGGGACGATTGCCGTAAACCTTCATCGCCGATCGGACAAATAGCTCTTCAAGGACCACGGCAGCGCCACCTACCAGCCTGAAGGTTCTCCATGGTTTTGCGCACATCCAAAGCATCTGCCATCTCTCTGTAGCCAATAACAGAAGGTGTAAAACACCAAGATTCAAGATGAAAAACTTGAAATCATCCGGAGAATTTTAAAGCCAGAACCCGAACGATAAGAAGGAGAAAATCTTACCAGGCGGAATGGAATGTTCAAGGCGCCTCATCGAGGGGTCTGTCTATGTGGGCAAACGAGCCCTGTCAAAAATATGTCTCACTTTGTTGTTCGCACCCTCAAGAGCAAGACAGTTTTGCCTAGAAATTTTCCAAAATTTAACATGGATCTTCAGTTCCGTTCCCCCCAGAGAACCTTCAACCGAAAAGAGCTTGTCTGGCGCTATCTCCTCGCTTTCCGCGGCCCCGCTGCAGCATGTCACAGCTGCATACGAGCGTTTATATATCCGATGCGGTTCCACTAATGTACGATACGTAGGTAGCGTCGGGTACCCTTCTTCTCCGCGTTCTTGCTCTGACCCTTGGTCGGGCTGCTTTTTGGCTAACTAGTCTTCGACTCGGGTACTAGGGTGGCGGGCAATGATAGAGCTCAGCACATTGTCTTCATCCCATGAATACTAGAGTTAATGCATCACTGTTCATTGAAGGCAGTGATCGAGACTTGGTAGTTGTACGGCCGCGTCTGCTAGGACACAGTGGTCTTGTTTCTTCCTCAGCGCCACAGACAAATCTCTGCGGCCAAAGCACGGCAATAGTTCTGGTAGAGGAGGGGCAAGTTGCGTGAAGTATTCTGATTACGATGAGGTGCCAAAAGTAGATCAAACTGTCTTACAAACAACCCATCGCTAAGCGCTCATTCATAACAGCTGCCTTTGGCCTTTCATCACATCCCATCCCTGTCTCCTCCATTATCCGCGTCCTATTCAGGCTATAGTTACCACCCATAAGACAGCAGAACATGAAACAAACTGGAAATGATGGTTAATAAGTCGTCTCTGACTAGTAAACAGTGCTCATACGTCATATGACGTCTCATATGCACTACGCTCACCACCAACAACCATCTTCAAGTCATGGTATTTTGAGAACATATTAGGCTGGAATCTGTCAACTTTTAGAACTTTTAATGTTACTGAATACTACCTTGTCATATAAGAGAACTAAATGGTGTTAGCTTTTTATATGATATTCTAAGATATACGCTATTCGGACCTTTAGAAATATGTCAATGAGAGTCGCTAAAACGCCGATCCGGGTCGTTATTGTTAGGGTCATAGGGGTACCTGTAAAGTAGAATAATCTCTTAAAGAGAAAACTGATGTCTAATATTGTGTCTGATGTCTAAGAAGAAGTTCCAGCAAAAGTGCTGGAGGGAGTGATCGCGGAACTTGTGCCGCCTGTCGGCCTGCCGGCGACGGAGCCACCTCAACCTGGAGCTCCGGCTATTGCAACAGTTATTGACAGTGTGGCGCAAATGGCTCTACATAAATAGTACAAGCTGAAGAGCAAATATTCAGTTTATGCTTCATTCGCCAATCACTTCCATATTAGAATAGCGGAACTTCAACAATCGTCGTCATAGCTGAAGCCGGCTGGCAATATGACTCAAGGAACCGAAAGCGAGGGTGATTGCAGGTAAGCTGGGACCAACAGCTCCCACATGAATAAATGTGCCGTTACATGATTAACACCATTACTTAGGTCAATTTTGAACGATGAGCAGAGTCTTGGGTGCAAGAAAGGACTTGGAAGAGTTCACATGGCAGGGTACGGTGATTTGGGGCCAGAGGAATGATGGTAGAGCAGCAATGAGAGCCAGTGAATGGTGTGGAAGTGCCTGTAGATTCAATCTGAGTTGACAATTGAGTAGAAAGCGTTATGCAAAGTATATTCTGATGCATTCATCATATAGGTTTAGTCTTCTATTTGTGTTTTTGCTTTCTTTTGGTCCAGGTTTTGGCTGTTCAACAAGATACCTTTGTTTTCAAACCTCGATTGCCCCATTTTTCCGATAAAGTGCCTCATAGAATTATCCACGAGGAAGACTTACATTTTGGTCTTTTGCAATGGATGCTTTAAATGCCTCACGCCATGATCGGTGGCCTATTCCTCATTATTACCAGCTTGAACAGCCTGTAACCCTCGACATGAGAGTTTCTTTCGGTGACCACCCACGGAACGAAGAAAAACCAAGGTTGTACCAACAAGATCTCTGATTAAATATCATGTTGAGTCCTCTTTCAAGAATCGAATAGTGCAAGATGGCTTCGCTGGCAGCAGAAGAGTCACATCACAGATGTCACTAGTTTGCGCAGAATTCCCCACTTCTATCTCAAGTTGGCAATGCAACGCCTACATCTTTTAACATGCCAAAGAGGCTGTATCTGTTCTAGCACTGCCATGCACGGTAATCGTTGAGGCGTTTCCTCAAAGCGGCAGTGGTGCAAAAGTTTTTGATGACTTAGTTTTGAAGCTAGTTAGAATGAACTGCATGTTGGTCTAAATCTCGTAGCGTGTCAACTCTAATCCATCTTACCTTTACCTTTTGCCGGTAGTTGTTCAAATGCTTTCTCGTATGAACGATTTTAACTGGCTAGTTCCTGCGTTATGGCAGGCCTCAAAGCCCCTTCACTTAGGATTATGCTATTGTGTGCTTCGGCTCATATCTAAAATGAGCCTACAACAAAGAATGAGACTAGAAGTCTGGTATTTGTGAGCTGATTTGCGTTATCCTAGCCACCCTAGACCTAATTGTGGTATGGGATTCCAATTCTGGACAGTTCTGTGATCTCCTGAGGTTGATGTACGGATACCTTTGAGGCAAGCAGATAGTGAGTAGGAAAAGGAAGGAAGCCAACTTCTCGGAAGGCATCTAATGAAAACTAAAATGGCATTGATTCATAAGGAGGCTTCCTTCAACGGGGCAATAGATTCATGAATAAAAGCATGTGTATGGCTTAAAGTATACATAACAAATTGCCAGCATGATGTACGAAATATAACAAGAGTTTGACAGCAACTGTGAGGTATCTCGCACTGCCCGTCTTTAAACAAGCGACAACTATCAAAAGTGGTTACACCAGGTAGCTGCAGTCTCGAGTAATTATGATTCCCGCAGGATTCATTGGTTTTGCCCGACAAAAATGAGTGACAATCCTGAAGGATCAGAATATGGTGCGTGGACCAAGACACCCAACATAATGGGCAGATAGGACTCGCAAAGATGGTTACACAATATTGCATGATTAAGTCCATTTAGGCAAGTGAATATCTCTCGGGATTAAACCGGACTAAAACATCCTGCATCTCAAATCCAGGTGAGCGACGGTGAGCGGCTGTGGCCGCCCTAGTCGTGTGGCAAGCCAGGACACCTGGATACATAATTAGTATGTCATCGACCGATCCAATTACCATCAACACAGGATCCGCTCATTCGTCCGAACGCTTTCCAATTCCAATATCCAAAGCCACTAATACCTCTAAACAAGCTCCAATCTCTCCACAGATTACTGTTGGACGGTTCAGTTCCCCCCCCCATCGGTTCGATTCCCAGCCGAGACAAGGTCCCGCCTGCATCGTGCATTGACTCCCCAGATACCCAATATTACGAAGGCAATAAAGGGTCTGGTCCTTATAATCGGGATTCCCACGGTCCAGAGCCAGGTATACCATGGGCCTCCGTCACTGAACCAATGAGGAACGTTCTGTATATCGAGAGGCGAATAGATTTTTCAAGATATTCATGATCCTGCAAATTGGTCCACAGGGCTAGCCCGCCTAGGCGGGAGCAATGTCACTCTCCGCGCGATGCGCTGCACGAAGCTGGATCAAAACGAGCACATCGCCCCCCCTGCGAACGATGTTCTCACAGGAACAAGCTTTCGGCGGACGGATATGATGGATGGGGCGTCGCGAGGTGTTCCCCATTACACTTTCTTGTTCCTCTATGGCCATTGGAGGGCTTGACATTTCGCTTCATAGCGGCCCCATTTATGGAGATTCTGCAATGTAACTTGCTCCTTAAAATTCGCAAAGTTGAAGTGAGCTTCTCCTACGCGATATCGTCAAACATGTACCCAAGGTAAACACCACCTATATTCATCTAGCAAACTCAACTGGTCCAATTTTAGTCACTTATTGGGGTAACAGTGCTGTGTAGACACGCCACCGTGCCGAGCTCCGCCCTCTCCTATCGCGGGCGGCGGGGATTTGGGGGAGATGGGGTGTTGTTACGTACAAAATCCGGTTTTTCCTATTAGTGTCGATAACCTTAAATCCCAACAACAAAACAAAACCGGGCCAAGGAAAACATAATCATTGGCAAGGCCGCTCTGCTCACTTCCTTCTGCTTGTCTTTACACTACACGACGAAATCCGCCGTCGGGTTTGCCGTTGGGTTGCTTTGTGATCAACAGAGATGCCGAGGTTGCGGCCGGTTGCCGAGTCAGTGGCAACTTGATTCGTTGGACTGTCCGGATTTGCTCAATGAATTACAATTCCTAGTGTCACCAGTAGCCTATTAAGTCTCAATTCCTGACCGTTGTCGCATCACCGCGAGGTCCTTTTGATTGCATGGGAATCCGGCGTGGTGCACCCATCAGGAAGCTCGAAATGAAAAGAGACCGAGCCGAGCCATCCATTTCCAGCAGCTCAAACGTAGCCCCAAAGCCCAAAGTATCTCCCGTATAATCCAGTCAAGGAGAGCGCGCCTATCAACACCACGGTGTTTGTTGCATCCACAAAGGGGGGGTCCCCCCCCGGAGGAGGCCCATCCTGTGGAGGAGTCGAAGGAACTTTTTAAATCGGTTGGTCGCTCTTTGTGTCATAAACCTGACAACCTCGATGACATTTCACCATCATGATTGGCCCAACCTTCGTCGGACATGATCCGGGGTGGCATCGTTCGCAGCTATTCCCGACTTCCTTCCCAAACAGTCGGCATATCCCCCTTGTCTTGTGGTTCATGAATGGCTGTCAAGTCGCGTGCGATACATGGGTTTGGTTCGGATGATTTACTGCGAAAGTCTTGGCCCCATGGAGACAACCAAGCTAGACAGGGAACACCCCATGGTTCCCAAGGTCCCTTTGCAAGGCGCTGACCCACTATAGCGGCCCTTTGCATGACTTTTTGTTAGACAAGTGGCGACGGGCTCCCAGAGTCGCCGTCCAATTGCGGTATTCCACCCCCCTCCCCCAAGACCGTTGACCGTTCTGGAGGCCTTTCCATTCATACCCCGACCTTTTGGTATGCTTGGCCACCCGTCTTGGACGTTGCTTAACTGCTTCATTGATGTAATCTTGGCTGCCATCCCGAGCCGATTTCCCTCCGGTGTTCCGCTGGTTCTCCTTGGCGCCCAGCCCCCTTGGCGATCGATCTAGTAAGCCGCTCCTTAGCTGACCTACTGCTTGCTTGGCAATATCACTTGTTTTTTTCATTTTGCTGACCACTGCTTATTTTACAAATGGGGCATTCATACCATGTAACGCCTTTGAAGGAGCGACAACGGAGGAGCGGATGGCGGCTGTGGCAGCGGAATGGATGCAGCTACCCGCATCCCTCCCGGCCGACCGCTTCTTCGAAGGATGTTCTACTCGTTACTAGTAAGGGCGGGCGCTGTTATGGAGCCAAGGAGCCTCTCATAACGGCGACACCCTCGTATCATTTCCCTTCTTCCACTCTGCCTGAGTCGCTCCGCGACCGCACGTTTGCTCAATTCCTCCAGTCAGCGCCTTATGACTCCTATCAGTTGGTGGAGATGGACGGACATTTACTCCACCCCCAGGAGTGCCACTCTCTCCCACTTCATCCCCCCCCCCCTGTCGTTTAACTCCAAAGGGTCGGGCGTTCCATGTGGCTCGAACGCTGACTGTGACCATAGTAGTACCTAGTTGGTTGGGGCGGTGGTGCCGGTGTATCCTATCAGCTGTCATGTTTCCCCGTCTTTCGGCATCTTATATGCAAGACTGTGGCGAGGAAGATGCTGGTTGTGTTTTCTACAACGACCGATTGGTACAAGCCCAAAGGCGATTTCGTTAATCGGTCACGTCAGTGCGTTCTGTCGAACCAACCGAACACCCGGTCGCGCGCCAGTTGATTCAAGCTTCGAAGCGAATTTGGCAACAATTATCTACATAGTGTCCGTATCGTATCACTCGGTGCTCCGCCAGGGATAGGCCCGCTTTGGATATGACTCTATTAGGCAGGTCACTTATCTCGGTCCACCACCCGCCGATATGGGAGGTGAGCATCGGATGTGGGAGCACATCCGCGGGATGCTTGTCTTCATCTAAATACTGCTTGACACGCCGTTCCTCGACGAGAGTTTCTGTTCACCCAGCTCTCCAGTTGTCAAGGCCAACAACCTCTCCCCTTTGAGTTTCTGTTCTCCAAAGAACTCAGGGTGAAAAGCTTCCCCCCAAAAAATAACACCCAACTCCCAACAAACCCACCACACAGATACGACAATGGGTTTCAGCAAGTGGCGAGGCAAGGTGTCGGAGCAACCCATCGTGGTTGATGCCGTTACTACCGGCTCCGACATGGAGGTCAACCCTGAAGCGGAGTTGAAGAAGTTCAAGAAGATTCACAAGTGGGATCCCTTTTTGGATATCGACAAGCTTGACGCCGCCGAGGGTGCCCTTGCGACCGGTGACTATGAGAAGGAGAAGGCCGTTGAGGCCGCTCTCCATGAGGACTCGCCTTACGCCGAGGTCCGGGCCTCTGTGAGTATCCCAGCTGCAAAAAAAAAAAAAAAAAAAAAAAAAAACGTCTCGAGATTTCATTCTAACGTTCATCAAAAGGTCCAACCCTTCGATGACCCTGATCTGCCCATCAACACAATCAGAGCGTGGAGCATTGGTGCTTTCATGTGCACCATCATCGCCGCCTGCAACATCCTTCTCGGTCTCCGTCGTTCCCCCATCATCATTACCTCGACCGTTGTCCAGTTGATTTCCTACCCGATTGGTGTCTACTGGGGCAAGATCATGCCCCATGCCTCTTTTAATGTCTTTGGCCATGAGCTCCAGCTCAACCCCGGTCCCTTCAACGTCAAGGAGCACACCGTCATCACCATGATGACAGCAGCTGGTGCCACTGCCAGTTACGCCATTGACATTCTCCTCGCCCAGGAGCTGTTCTACAAGCAGTACTTTGGTTGGGGTTTCCAGATCCTGCTTACCATCTCGACCCAGGCCATGGGTCTTGGTATTGCCGGTATCCTTCGTCGCTACCTCGTCTGGCCCGCTGCCATGATCTGGCCCGCGACTCTGATCACGACTACTGTCATGCACTCTCTTCACGACCATTCCTCGTCAGATCCAGCCCTTACCAACGGCTGGAGGATTGGCCGCTACAAGTTTTTCCTTCTTGTGGCTGCCTGTACCTTCTGCTACGAGTGGATTCCTGAAGTCATTGCTCAGTTCCTCCAGATCTTCACCTTTGCCTGCTGGATCGCCCCCAACAACGTCCTTGTCAACCAGGTCCTTGGTGGCCAGACCGGTCTCGGCCTCCTCCCCATCTCCTTTGACTGGAGTGTCATTTCCGGTTACTTGCTCTCCCCTCTGCAGACCCCGGCATTCGCCATCGCCAACGTCGGCGTCGGCATCATCATCATGGTCATTGGTTGCGCCGGTCTCGCCTGGGCGGGCCCCGAATTCTACCGCTACCTCCCCATCAGTGCCAACTCCAACTTTGACCACTTTGCTAAGCCCTACAACACCAGCCGCATCCTCACCCCCGACTTCACCTTCAACGAGACCGCCTACAAGGAGTACTCTCCTCTCATTCTGGGCCCGGCTTTCTCTCTGAGTTACGGCATGGGCTTCGCCGGCCTCGTCGCCACCCTCACCCACGTCGCCCTGTTCTACGGCAGCGACATCATCGCCCGCACCCGCTCTGCCAAGAACGAGGAGGCCGATATCCACCTGAAGCTTATGCGCAAGTACAAGGAGGCTCCCGAGTGGTGGTTCCTGATCATGTTCGTCATCAGCTTCGCTTTCGGCATGATTGCTTGCCAGGTCTGGGAAACCCACCTGACCTGGTGGGCGTACATCATCTGCATCCTCATCGGCGCCTTCTTCATCCTGCCTGTCGGCATCATCCAGGCCGTCACCAACCAGCAGACTGGTCTGAACGTCATCACCGAGATGATTGTCGGTTACATGACCCCCGGCCGCCCCGTTGCCATGATGCTGTTCAAGTCTTGGGGTTACATGCTCTGCTACAACGGGCTGCAGTACGTTTCCGACATGAAGGTCGGCCACTACATGAAGGTCCCTCCCCGTACCATGTTCGCCGCCCAGACCTTTGCCGTCGTCTGGCTGTCCCTCGTCCAGATTGCCTCCTACAACTTCCTCCGTGGCAACATCGACGGCATCTGCACCCCCACCCAGGCCCAGGGTCTTACGTGCCCCCAGGCTCGTACTTTCTACAACGCCAGTGTCATTTGGGGTGTCATCGGCCCCCTTCGCATGTTCGGTTCTGGTCAGCTCTACTCTTGGGTCAACTATTTCTGGCTTATTGGAGCCGCCTGCCCTATCATCCAGTTCTTCTTGGCTCGCCGTTACCCCCGTAGCTTCCTCCGCTACGTCTTTTTCCCCGCCATTTTCGGTGCCGCTGGTATGATCCCTCCCGCCACCACCTGGTGGTTGGGCCAGTGGGTTATTGTCGGTCTCATCTTCAACTGGTGGATCCGTGGACGCTTCTTCGGATGGTGGAGTAAGTTATTACCTGATCTTCAAAAGGCTTTTACGCACAGTAACACTAACCCTTTTATGCAGCTCGCTACAACTACGTCCTCTCCGGTGCTCTCGATATCGGTACTGCTCTCTGCATCGTCGTTTCCGGCCTTGCTCTGGGACTGTCCAACACCGAGTTCCCTGAGTGGTGGGGTAACACCGTGCCCTTCAACAACCTCGACTACGAAGGTGCTGTTACAAAGGTTCTGCCTGACGACGGATCTTTCATCGGGCCCTCCACATGGTAAAGCGCATAAGCGCCGCCATGGCCGGTGCCTGTGGAGTTAATGTATAACGTACATAATGTGTGGTGGTAATAGGCTAGACTGTCATTTCAGTCAATGTTTTCGCGATACTATAGCGTAGTTCTATCTTTCAAAGCTCAAGATATCCCTCTTTTATGAAACCATGTCGTTCAAAGGAATGTGAGATTTGTGATCATCCCAAAATATTTTTTACGGCGTGACTTCATTTGAATTCTCCATCAGATCTCATGTGTCTGATGTATGAACAGGCATTGCAATCTACGCATGAATTGGGGTCTAAAGATGAACTGATCGGGCAGTTGAAACGAAACAGTCAGTTCACACCCGGTGCACAGAACATTGTAGCTGATATTCAGAACAACAGACTTCGTCCCAACGTACTCATCGCCCTGCATCCTGCACCAAAGCCACCCGCCCCCGAAATCATCAGCGTTGGTTCTTTACGTTAAGACAGCAAAGGATGAGATGACGGAACCCCGGCCATGAGGCTTTTCGTGCGCCCCCCACAATCGCGGGGCCCGATCTTTGGCCCCCCCCTCCCCCTGTCCGCCAACTTACAGTTGGAGGTGACAGCGCCAAAGCAACATCTTGGCGATGCAGGGGCCGCAGTAAGCGCAGCCAGCTCGACCAACGAGAGCGCCTACACCAATAATCACGAGCGTGCTTTGAAGTAAAGGATAGATGCGGGCCAAGAATCTCAGTAACTGCTATTCGACTGTGACAGCTTAAATCCTGGACTGTATAGGCGCCCGAAGCGCGCTGGCATGCTCTCTGCAGCCCACCCCCAATGGCTGAAACCAAAGGGCCAACGGATTTCGTGTCTGTGTTGGTTCGCAAACCCCCAATACACACATCAGGCGTTCTGTAAGCTTGGAACATGGGGCCCAAAGCCCCCCTCCCCCAAGATAGTTTGAGGAAGGATAAAAGCGACGACATATCCTCTGTATAATGACTTTGGAAATCAATCAGCAAGCTCCGGATACATTTTTAACTCATTCTCACATTGTCTATATTTTTATATATTTTCCCCTTATTTATCCACAAATATGAAGTTCCTCTCTGGTCTCAGTGCTCTCATTGCCGGCGCCAATGCGCACGCCATCTTCCAAAAGCTAGCCGTCAATGGCGTCGACAAGGGCCAGCTAACGGGAATCCGCGCACCAGATATCACAGACCCAATCACCGACATCAACGACCAAGATTTTGCCTGCAACAAGAACCTCAACTACCTCGACAAGACCGTTGTCAAGGTTCCTGCCGGCGCCAGCGTCGGCGCCTGGTGGGGACATGTCATCGGCGGTGCGATGGGCCCGAACGACCAGGATAACCCGATTGCAGAAAGCCACAAAGGTAAAAAAAAAAAAAAAAATTCTTTGATCTACCTCGTGTGTAACGCGAAACTGACAGCCCGCCCCCCCCCTGCGGGGATGTAAAGGACCGATCACCGTGTACCTTGCCAAGGTCGATGACGCCGCCAACGCTTCCCCGTATGGCCTCGACTGGTTCAAGATTGCGGAAGAAGGACTTGAGAATGGCGTCTGGGCTGTTGACAACCTGATTGGAAATGACGGTTGGTATAACTTCACCATGCCTTCCTGTGTTGCGTCCGGCGAGTACCTCATGCGAGTCGAGATTCTCGCGCTGCATGAGGGTTTGTTCGAGGGCGGAGCACAGTTTTACATGGAGTGTGCGCAGTAAGTCTGACTTGTGGCTCTGGTCACTGCTGTAGTTTGCTAACGGTCTCACAGAATCCGCGTGGAAGGCTCGGGGTATAGCACCGGCACGGACTTCGCTCGGTTCCCGGGGACATACAAGTCTACCGACCCGGGCGTCTTAATTGACATCTACAATGATCAGGGTGCCATGGACAACAATGGTAACAAGTACGTGATTCCTGGTGTGAAAGCTCTGACTTGTTAGAGAGAATGATAAGCGTGTGGAATTCTGGATCGAAGTGGCAGGTGACACAGCATTGTAATGATAGAGGGTGGCTGCAGCTTTTGGTGGAAGGGCATTCATGTACTAAATCACTTGTATATATTACCAAGATGTTTCTATCTGATATCTCCTAGTCATTTCAACATTCAATCTTATCCTTTTGTTCTAAAATAACGGGAATTATAAAGACCAAAAAAACCGACTCTCTAAGTACAAAGGCAAGCGCTCCTCCATTTTATGCTACACGAGGCGAGAATACGAAGACAGGGCAGAAGGCAAACTTTTGGCCACTTGTGTCTGGGGATGGCTAAACCATAAAAATGAGTGCGTCCTAGGGGTTTTGATCTAATATTTGCCCCATTTTGGATCGCATGCAGTTCACTAGGGCTGATGGCTGTCGTGGCTTTCAAAGGGCCCCGCGTGACTCATGTGGCGATGTCCACGAACCAGAGACAGCGGTTTTGAACCCAGCAGGCTAGCATCGACACGGCCGTACCTTCATGAGAGATTACGAGCCGCTTCTAAGAGCACCGCGCCGAAGGGCGTTACAAGAACGGCCCAGGCATTGTGTTCCAGAAGACTATTGAGCAAGGTCTTATGCCAGTGTCATGAGACATACAGTTCAAATAAAATCGACAATCCTTAGCAAAGCATGGGACATATCGACGCACTTGAAGTCCGGCAATTTAGGGAATGAAATATTTGGGTTTGTGTGGGTAGCTGTAGGTTGCCGAGGGAGTATTGACGACGCCGCATCCGGTCTAATCCATCGAGGCGTTGAAGCTTGGAATGTGGCTGTGAGATCAACTTCTGAACCCGGCCAGGTCGATGAACCCAGTCCATTGGCCACTGAAATCTACCTTGACACCTTACTTGTTACCTCCTCTCTTCTTTTCCAATCCCGCATCATTCTACATTCTTCTCCTGTGACGCACTCTCTCGGGTTGTTATGACGCCAGAATCAATCGTCGACATGCTTTGACAACCTGGTAGGAATCATCGATCTCCTCCTCGATACGTTCCTAGAATAGGCGAGCAAATTCCCAGTCAACCTCTCAAGCCCAATCCTCAGTTTTGCATTGACGGCTTCATCGGCATCTATGCCGGCCTTACCTTAGCCGTAACCTCTAGCCATGGCTTCGAACAATTCAACCACTTTGCCTCATTCAGGCCCGAACGGATCAGACGGTCTTCCGCATGATAGCAGACGTCCACTTTTGGGTGGTTTTATGATAGCCTTCACTGTGATAATCATTATATTCATGTGCATTCGGGTGTACCTCAGAGTGTACATCTTGAAAGCATGGAAACTCGACGACTCGATGTTTACATTAAGTGCGGTAAGTCATACGTGCCGACTGGATATTTTATCTGCTAATCGATAGCAGTGCATCACAATCGCACATATGGTGCCTGTTGTGTTCGGTGAGTATGACGAGCAAACCTGGCAAATGTTGATGGCCCTGGGCTAACGGTTCTTTTTTTTTTTTTCGCTTTCGCTAGGCATGACACAGGGCTCCCTTGGTATACATATCTGGGACGCCAAACCAGAAGAGTTGAAAAGAAACATTAATGTAAGTCATTCTTCTTACATTCCTTCAGTAACGCGTACATGGCTGATTTAAGGGACTATGAAGTTTATTATGCCGTCAATGCTTCTTCACATATTTGCTTTTAACACGGCCAAAGCAGTTTTCCTGCTGCAATATCGCCGGGCCTTCGCTATACGCTCTGTCCAGTTATTTTGTGACGTCTTTCTGGCTGTGATTTTCACCATCATGGCCGCGATGTCGATGTCCGGAGGTATACTCATGAGTGAGTTTACAAAGCCAAATTACGTCTATGGCCAAAATCATCAACAGTTCATGACATGGAGTTACGTTAACGCCTGTCTCAATCTTACTACGGACATTGTGATTTTCATCTTGCCTCTGCCTCTCGTTGGGCGCCTGCGTGTCGCCATGATGCAAAAGATTGGCCTGATTGCCAGTTTCGCTGTAGGCATTTTGTAAGTAAAGTTGTTGTCGCCCAGCTTGATGCTGCAACTAGGAAACTATCCTACTAACTTATTTCAGCACGGGAGCAATTTCAGTGTTAAGGCTCGTCGAACTCCCCTCGGGCATAATCCATTCTGATGTGTACTATGAGGCGGTTCCTGTTGTCATACTCACTCTCGCCGAACCGTTGTCGGCGATTGTGTGTGCTTGTATACCGATGATGAGGCCGCTACTGTGCTGCACAGATCGCTCTCGAGGCTCTACTCGAGACTCTCAAAGCCACCAGGCCAAACCCTCAGACAAATTCGCTGCGAACGGAAACACGACGACGAGCAGGCCTCTGCGGTCTTCCCGGAGCCCAACAATGCCGAATTCGGTCTATGTGACGAATATTGAAGGACAGGATCAAGAAGACCTCGACGAGTCTCTTTCTACGGGAAAATCCAAGGAGATTAGCAATACAGGTTCTGAGGCATCAATTTCTGATGTTGCGGCAGCGACAGAACCGCGGGCGTAAAAGAAACCATTGCCTTTTGATTTTGCTTCTGAATAAGTTCTCCACCTTTTACTCAAGATTGTTCAGTATCTACTAGTTATTAATATACTAAGTGACACTCACTCTTGTATTCTGATCTAATTCCTTGTTTTCGTGTCGTGCAATTCCAACACAGGTCTCAAAATGAGACCATGCCATTTCTTCCCACTCAAACTACACAATGTCATCCGGCCACAAATCCCATACCAAACTACAACAACCAAAACCGCATGACTTTACCGTACAAGACCCCGTAGGAGTAGAATAACCAGTTGATCATGTGTTGCCGATGGGCTGTTAGTAATCGTAGGAAGGTAAATCGCCGACTGACTTAGCCACCAACTGTAATCCACCCAGGGACGTCGTTCAATCAGCTCAATCCATGCCTTCCAATAGGTCAGGGCTGTCTCTAGCACCGATTAAAGTGTGGTAGCTGCGCAGGGGTAAAATTCCCTAGATCGGACTGCCGATTTCTTCCGGAAAACAGGCTGCGGTCAACGAAGCTGGAGCTGAAGAAACTGCAGCCCTACTCCTCTGATTGATGCACTCTCAATTACGTACAAACATTTCGAATGAGTGGCAGTCTTGAAATGACCCAAATGGAGTCTATTGAAATGGGAATAACCGCAGCAATTGTGTGTCTTTGGCACAACGCAGGAAGAGTTTTTCATGTAGACGATGAATCCCATCGGCCGATAACTGCATATGAAGACTCGTAACAGAGCCCACATAAGTGGGTAAAGATGCCAGGGCCCCAGTTGTTTGTCGTCGGCCCATAGACCCGTCTGCTTATTCCCCACGATCATTGCTTTTTCTTAATGCTAGCAGTCGGTGCTCTGATTCGGTTGTTCGTAGGATTGTGGGCAATCAACCAGGGGTAAAAGCTCGTTCGTTGGTCTATAAGACGAACGAGATACCCACAGACATTTGCTGCGGGCTTTGAGAGGCCAAGCGATCCGGAATGCCAGCTGATGGCGGAGGCACCACTTTAAATACATGTTACTCTTTTCTTTTCTACGCCAACACATCATGGCCTTGCTTACTTTTTTGAGTTTTTGGGTCCTCCAGGTCCTGTTCCTGGAGCGTCGATGCAGGAAACAGCCCACTCGTATCTGTCAACTGTCATTTGTCATTTCAAAAGCCCCATCCGGGGTTGGCTGATACTTTGTAATTGCAACCAACAGTTTTCTTCTTTGCACCCGATTCATTACCTTCTCGCCCCCAAGCGGCTACTCCGTAGCGAAATCCAAGAAAGAAAGAAAAAAAAGGACCCTGAGATACCTAATTTTACGCTTGCATTGGATGGCCAGAACGAGTTATTTGCCTTTCAATCTCTTGTCAGCCTGGGTACCCCTTACCCCCAGAGCTGCCTTGCTCGTGGGTACTCTAAGTGAAATGACCCATCTAAAAAGGATTTTGTGGGAGTTCTTAATCCTGTTGCTCCGTTCGTAAATAAATCATCTCTGTTTCCTACGTGAGTAGTGTTTTCCGACCTGGTTCACCTTGATGTATGTTGTTCACAACATCGTCGGGGCCATTTCTTGCGAGTCCCTTTGCTACCCGGCCTTAGAGGCTTAGCTCGCTGTCGACGACGAGAAAATGGCTTCCTCCGTGTCCGAGTACATGGCCGACCCACCGGTTAGCCAAGAGCGATTCGATGCCGGTACTAATACGACCGGTGCGTTGGTCTTGGGCGGCATTCTGGCATCCCTTTCCATCACTTTCGTTGGCCTTCGCATTTACACACGGCTGTCACTTGTCAAAAGGTCTCTCGGCCCTGATGACTGTAAGTTTCATGGCGGCCCGGTCACAATTCTTGATGCCAACTAACGACGTCTACTATAGATTTCATTGCCCTGTCGCTTGCGTTGGCCGCAACATTCTATGCAGTGACCATTAAAAGTGAGCACACTGGAACCCGGGCCAGCAGCAGGACTCTCTTCTGACCATCTCAGTATGCCAACTTGGCGTTGGCGTTCACATCTGGCAAGTCAAACGCACAGACTACTCGCCTTCGTTCCTAGTTGTTCGTCATGCCATCTCCCGACAGCGCGCGTGCCTTGGTTAACATGTCGATCAGTATAGCCTAGCACTGATCGTGATCTACTCTCTCAGCGTCACAACAGCCAAGATGTCTCTTCTCGTCCTCTACTTACGTCTATCTCCCGATCGTATGTTCAGAGTGGTGGTGATAAGCCTCATCACAATCGCCACAGCTTACGCCCTTACCTATCTGTTTTTGATCATATTCAGCTGCAGGCCAATCCAAGCCTCTTGGGACCTCTCCGCTAGACCTGGCGCAGTATGTATCAACAAGAACATTGTGTACTTGGTGCTCAGCGCGACCAACATCGTCATGGATATCGTCTGTCTGATTCTTCCGCTCAAAATCATCGTTCCTCTGCAGATGGCCAAGCGGCAAAAGTGGTCTCTCATTGCCCTTTTCGCGACGGGTGGCTTGTAAGACAATAGTCCGCGTCCAGTGTTCCGCCTGAGATAATGCTAACAACATCGCAGCGTGTGTCTCTGTGCCATTAGACGCACAGTTCTCCTCCCGCCCTTGTTTCGAAGTAAAGACTACACATTCGACGTAGAGAAGCAGCTCAACTGGGCCTGCGCCGAGGTGCACGCTGGAATCATCTGTGCATCCATCCCGGCGTTGAAACCGTTATTCGTGCGCTACCTACCAATGTTTTTCCACTCCAACTCTACCGGCTCCGCTAGAAGGTCAAATCATATTTACCGGAACTACCAGACTTCGTTGCCTTATTCGACGACGGTCGAGAACAACAAGAAGCGCCGCAACGTTCAATCAGAAGCATATGAACTGCGCTCGCATGACGACCTTTCCCTTTCTTCTAACGAGATAACAAAAAACACTTCTAATGAGGATGTCGCAAAGCTTTGGTCCGGCAACACTTTCCGACAAGACCAGACGGGTCATCGCATGACTGTCATCGAATCGAAATCAAAAGGCGCTAGCAGCTACAATTTTGAAAGTTTTGTAGAAGCACAGCCGGCGACTGAAAGCGGTATGTCGTCTCGCTTGAAGCTCCCTGAGAGGGTAGCAAGCATCCGTGGATCTGGAGGCATCACCGTTACAACGGAAACCAAGGTTGTGTATGAGCGGTCATGATATTACACTTGTTATACTCTCCGTTTATGATAGAACTCTGGGCGGTTAAAGTGTTTCTCTCTAGACTCAAGTCGGTCATTCGCAATTGTACCAGTCCATAGATTATCTTGTATGATGCTCCACGATACCCCAATTTCTACTCATCCTTCAAATCCAGAACATCTCTCAGATCCTTGATTTCAGCGTCTGGTCGGGTTGCAACAGGCTTCGATTTTCTGTTGCCGTATTTCCATTCACTCCTCAAGCCCCTGGACTTCCCTTCCAGAGCGTCGGAAATATAGTCACCGATGATTGGAAACATTTTGAAGGCGTGGCCCGAGTCGCCGGTGCCGAGAAGTAAAGTGGGATGCTTTGGGTGATTGTCAATCAGCCAGTGAGCGTCTGGCGAATCGGCGCACCAGCAAACTCTGGCGCTAAGAAGCGGTCGGCCTGAGAACTGCGGCATAACAACATCGATGAAATTGTTAATTGCTTTCGCTGCTTCTTCCGGGATTCCATCGTTGGGGTGCGTGCTTGCGTAGCGGGGGATGGAGTAGTGTTCGACTTTGCCCGTAGTATCTGTGTAAGTGCCAAGTCGGTATTGGTAGCCCGGGTTGTTGTCGCAGATCTTCATCCACTCTAAGGCAGTGTCAGTTCCTGAGTCAGCCATTTGCATCTTGTAGAAACTCACTAGTCTCAGGGTCTGGCTCAAAGGTAAAGCCCAACTCAAAGTTGTCGACAACAGGAATGCCCTTCCACAGAGCAACCTCCTCGTCAGTGAGTTCAACATGGCCCAGGGTCCAGCACTTCGTCCACAGCTCACGAGAAAGCTCAGGGAGCACTTCGGGCGATGCAGCACCCGTACAAAGAATGTATCTATCCGCTCGAAGCACGTCGCCAGTCATTACCTTGATTCCGTCAAGCTTGCCAGATCCATCTATGTGCAGACCAGTCATCGTTCCCTCAGGTCCTGAGATAAAGCTGACGCCGAGGTCTCGGGCTTCCTTACCCCATTTCTCGAGGGCCTTTCTCGAGTGTGCCCATCCACCCTGTCGGTTCCATAGCCCCTTCCACTTTTCGATTCCGTTGGCATTGGCGAGCTGGGGGACAAGCTCGACGATCTGCTCTTTACTCTCGACCAGTTTTACGCTGCCTGCCTGACCTGCCTTTTTCAGATTTTCGTAAGACTCTCTGATATGCTTCTCAGCTTGAGGGTTCCCAGTTGTTGTAGTAAGTCGGCCCTATCACATTGGTGAGAAAAGAGCAATTTGGAGGTTGGGTCCTTCAGGTGTCTATCCATACCGTTTCGTGAAAGATTCCATCCCATTCCGGCTGCCTCCAAGCATTGAGTGCCTCTATAGCCAACTTAGTGTAAAGCGGCTCATCATATTCCGTTCTAATGATCTTGTTCAGATCGTAGGCTGCTGAGTCAAGACTGGGTATTGGGTGACGGTCGATGCAGGTAATGTTACTGTAACCACGCTTGACAAGGTGATAAGCTGTGCTGATTCCAAAAGTTCCACTGGTGTTTTCAGTGTCTGCAACTCCCGACATGAACATGACTTGGTCAGACTTACGCGCCGATGATGACAATGCTCGAGGCTTTGGTTAGAGGTGGGTTGCCGTTCTCCATGGTGCGCGAGTAATTACAATTATTGCTCAGTTAAAACAGATGCATAAATGCAAATAATTTTTTGACCGTGATCTTCTGCCAGGCCCTTGTCTGTTGAGAGAAGTACAACTCTTAAGTCGTACTAAGTTGCTGATGGGATTAGCAAGCATGGTTGGTAATCAACCAAGTCAAGATATCACTGGCTGATTGGCTCAGCCCATTTCCCCTCCTGCACAGTCACTCGAGGTTTTTGATTGGAGGGTCTGATCGCCAGCACGCGTCTAAACACATGATCTTTGATGCACATAGCGGCTTGGACCTTCCCCTTGGTTCCTCACTTCTCTTCTCTTGGCCGGCCTCGGAGATGAGACATGGGAACCCTGGTTTGAGGACAACCTTAAAGGAATATGTAAAGAACCCGAATTACTCGCGCTTCCTCTGCCATTGGACCCGAAAAGCGCTGCTAGATCCACAGCAGCACACGGTCCAGATAGCTTGGACCTTCCCCGGTATCCTCATACAGGTGGCTCCAGCATGTGTATCATTGGGAAACAATCGCAGAAAGCCTATCTCGACTGCGGGGTTTGGGGTGGTATTGGCTAGTTTAACGCGGTAACAAACAGACTGACATGCAGATCTGGCATCTGGGGAAGGTCGTTCACGGCAGATATGACTATCTTGATACGTCCCCATCTCCGTTTGTGGTAGATAAAACGCTACATGCCGTAGCTATAACATGAAGTCTAGTCTCACCACCTCATCAAGAATAGTTTAATCAGTTTCCAACCGCAACTCGAACGGGTACGGCGGTTCAGCCCCCCCTAGTCGCTCATTTCAACATGTCCGCCGCGTCGCCAGACAAAAATGGTGAGAAGCTGGCCGTGGCACGGCCGGTGCTGTCGCTTCAACAGGCGCAGTCGCCACAGGATATCGATATGCGCGATGTTGAAGACCCAGACAAGTCCTTGAGTTACGCCATTGGCGATATCGAGGAGAACTTTGACATCGATTCGGACAACTCGCCGTTTCCAGAGGTCCGGGCTAATGTGCCCAACACGGATGACATCTCGATGCCAGTCAATACGCTCCGCATGTGGGTTCTCGGTGTGGTCTTTACCATGGTCGGTTCCGGCATCAACCAATTCTTCTCCATGCGCTACCCTGGCGTCACCATTTCGTCGCTCGTTGCCCAGCTCATCGCATACCCTGTCGGCTGTGCTATAGCTCGCGTCCTGCCTGTAAAGAAAGTGCGCATCTTAGGCCGGGAGCTCGTCATCAACCCGGATCACCACTTCAACATCAAAGAGCATGCTGTCGTTACCATCATGTCGAACTTGTCGTTTGGTCCATCGTGGGCTACCGACATCATACAGGCACAGAAGGCCTCGGCTTTTTATGGGCTTGATACGCCAGTCCCTTACCAATTTCTGCTCGGTCTATCAATGCAACTCTTTGGTCTCGGCATGGCAGGCCTGGCGTACCGATTCATTGTAGAACCTCCACACATGATTTGGCCATCAACTCTTGCCAACGCGGCGTTGTTCCAGACTTTGCACGGACGAGCCAACCCCATCGCTGATGGCTGGAAGATATCGAGGTATCGGTTCTTCCTGTACGTCCTTGTTGGAGGCTTCTTCTGGTATTGGCTCCCCGGCTACCTTTTCACCGGTCTAAGCACGTTTGCTTTCATCTGCTGGGCTGCACCAAGTGAGTATTTGGCAAACGAAGTCGATGGGAATCTGTTACTAACTGAACCGTAGATAACGTCGTGGTCAATAACCTGTTCGGCATGTCCACGGGACTTGCTTACCTGCCGACCACCTTTGACTGGTCTCAGATTGCTTACAACGGCTCACCTTTGGTTGTTCCGTTCTGGGCCCAGGCCAACGTGTTTGCTGGCTGGGTGATTCTCTTCGCGCTCGTCACGCCCATTCTCTACTACACCAACACATGGTACACGGCATATCTGCCGTTCTCTGGTGCCGATACATACGACAACACAGGCAAGATCTACAACGCGACTCGAGTCGTTAGCAAGGACGGCAATTTCATCGCGGAAGAGTACGAAAAGTATAGCCCCCTCTTCATGCCCGTCACATTCGCCCTCAGCTACGGCATATCTTTTGCGGTGATGAGCTGTGTTCCAACTTACATATTTATCAATCACTACAAAGAGATTATCGGAGCATTCAATCCGAGCCGAAAGAAGGATATTCATGCTCGCCAGATTGAAAAGTATCCCGACACACCATGGTGGTGGTACGCCATTCTGACCATCATCGTTCTGGTGCTCTCGATTGTCGTCCAAGTGGTATACAAGACGCAGATGCCCGTCTGGGGCATATTCGTTGCTTTTGGTCTGGCAATGATCTACCTAATACCAACTGGCAGCGTCTACGCGGTTGCCAACCTCAACAGCAATGTCCTGACGGTCCTCGGAGAGATCATCTCTGGATACCTTATCCCCGGGAAGCCTATAGTCATGCTGATATTCAAGTTCTATGCGTACACGGGGCTGAGCCAGGCCATGATTTTCTCTTCCGACATGAAGCTCGGGCTGTACATGAAGATTCCCCGCCGGACCCTGTTTATGGCCCAGTTGACGGCATGTATCGCTGGTTCTCTCACGCAAAACGCAGTCCTGCTGTGGATGCTTAACCATGTCAACGGAATCTGCTCGGATAAGCAACCCAACGGATATACCTGCCCCCAAGGGCGAGTCAACTTCTCATCGAGTGTCGTCTGGGGTGCTATTGGTCCAGCTCGGCTCTACAGCATCGGCAAGATTTACTCGGGTCTTTTGCATCTGTTCTGGATCGGCGCACTCTTGCCCGTCGTAACATTTTTCCTGAAGAAAAGGTTCCCATCCAACAAGTTCCTCCAATACCTTCACTGGCCCCTGTTCTTTGCTGGCACCGGAAACGTACCGCCAGCGACGGGCATCAACTACACATCGGCCTTTGCAGTTTCGTTCATATTCAACAAGTGGCTCAAGGGCAAATATCCACATTGGTGGGCAAAGGTAAAGCCGGACCATAAGCAGTTCTTCACACATCCTCAAAAAAGCATTGATAAAACACAGACTGACTTGGTAACGACAGTACAATTACGTCCTATCTGCAGCGCTTGATTCTGGTCTAGCCATCTCTGCTATTGTTATTTTCTTTACCCTCGTCTTCCCAGGCGTCAACCTCAGTTGGTGGGGTAACAACATCCAAAAGACGACCGTTGACGGGCAGGGCATTCCTTGGAAAGCCATTCCCGCCGGCGGCACTTTCGGCCCTGCCACCTGGTCGTGACGAGATCTGTGGTTAATTTCTGAATCTTTAATCAGAAGCTTTACTGTACTTTTTTTTTGCCGAGAGGAGTAACGATGAAAGGTCCCTTAAGGTCGAACACACCCAATTCCCAGATACATAACTTCCCGCCTAATTGATAAAATTGCACCAAAACCCCCCCTTCGCTTCCATTTAACAAAGACCAAGTTGGAGATGACGCACGATTGCTGTTGACTCGTTTCATACAAGGCATCACAAGAACCATAAAACAGCAGACTTTTTTTTTCTTTTTTTCTTAGTTGTTGTTGCTCTTAGGTAACCCTCGGACTGGACATTTAGGCAAGACTGATGTTGTGACAGAGCGGCGCTACAAAACGAGCCCAGTCGTTGAATGCCTTGGGACTAGGCGAAAGCTGGCGATCCGAGGACAAAAACGACGCGGCCTCTCGCTGTTTCCAGACCTTCTCAATGACGGACCTTGTCCTTGTAACGTTTGAGAGCGAATCAGATAGCTTGTCCAGGGCGTACAAGACGAACGGCCGCGCGTGACGAGGGGCTTCCTTGTCATCCAGGTCGTCGTCGTCGTCGTTGTCGTCGTCCGTGGCCCACTCCAGCTCCTCGATGGGATCCAGCTGACAAGCCGCCATGAAAATTGGCCAGGTAAGTCCGGCCTTGACGTCCGCTTTCAAGAGCATGGCGACCAGGCGGAGGATCTTCTTCACGTTCTGCCTGATGACAGGCGTGGAGGGGTTCGTGTCGTTGAGGGCCGAATGCAGGTACAACTCCACGGTCAAACGCTTCATCTCCACCGACGTCCGGATAATCTCATCCTGACTATCGGATTTGAGGTTCGGCTGTTGGAGTCTCGTAATCAGCCTCATCCGCTGTCTTTCCAGATCCTGCCAGCAGTCCTCGGCAGTCGAAGACGACAGGCGGTGGTATTTCCAGCTGAGTTCAGTGATCTCGCCAATTATGCTGACGAGGTGCGGCGAACAGCCCATCCAGAGGTCGAGCTGGTCTTCTTGGGTGGTCCAGAAGTCGTTCCCGAAGATGGGCTCCTCGCCGCAGGCCGTCCGGCCCATGACGTCGTAGAAAGCAAAGTAGCGCTCGGTGAACCGTATGATTTGCTCCCACGGGTTCTGCTGTCGAGCCGCCATCTTGGCCGTGTCGGACGACATGCCCTGGCGCCTGAACCGTATGAGGTCGCGGGCGCCGCGCAAGTGCGTGACCCAGCGCTTGTCGCACTCTGCAATGATTTCCAGTTGGCAGAGCAGCATCATCAGGACGAGGATCTCCGAGTTTGCCGCAATGTCAACGGGCGACTTGGTATCCAGTGTCAGGCGGAGCGAGCGGATGACTTTGGCCGAGTAGCTCAAGGCCACTGGCTGATAAGCTTCGTCTGACCTTGCTCTGTGAGAAGCCGCGAGACCGAGTAATGCGTGCATGAGAGCCGGGGAGGCCGACGAGACGGCAAAGGGGAAAATAAGCGCAGAGAAGGGCGACTCATTTTTGGCGCATGGCACCGTCATGGGGCAGATCCGGTCAAGATAGTAAGACAGCAAGTATGATTCTGCCCTCGTATCGAGTTTGACATAAGTCACTGGGCGGCTGAGGTTGTTGATATTGCGCTTCAACGTGAGAGCCGTGGTCTTACGGTCATCGTTGGAGCTATCTTCGCTAGACGACGAGGAGGTTTCCTGTGGGTGGCAGGCCTCGCCGGCCCGTCACGTGGGCTGACGGCCGCCACCACTGGTCTTAGCCAGCCTCCACAGCCCTCTAGCCAGTTAGTTAGTTCTTCCAACCAACAACACCACTTTTCCCATTCTGAGCGTTCTATGCCGGTTCTCGCCTATAGGTTATGAGCCTAGCGTTATTCTTTCGGAATAACGTCGTTTTACCTATTTATTTTACTCGTTTGTTAATTTTCTATTGATTTACGAATTTTTACGATTTTATTCGCTTTATTTACTTTTTTATGCGATTTTCTTGCTTTCTTTCCTTTTCGCTGACGAATTTTACTTTCTAACGCGATATTAGCTGCCTGGCGCGTACGAATATCACGTAGCACGCGACCGACTACTATAACCTACTGGTTTTTACGAATACTACGGAATTCTACTATAACAATAGACCTTTTAGTTATAACTATACTTTTACTTCGATTTCCTCGTTCTTACGAGAATTTAACTATTTCAGCTTCGGTTTTTCGAACCAGCCTATTAGTTTCTTATATCTTCTACGAGTATTTATTCTTCCTTTCGATTTACTATATTTCTACGGTCGGATCTTATAATTCTACCTATTTCTCGTGTTCTTACGCAAGATTCTCCCTCCTATATAATCTAACAGCACGCGTAGGTAGCAGCGAAAGTAAGCTATCTAACGTATAGACACGCCTCTAAAGCTGCAGCCTCGGAGAAACGCCTATGATCGAGGTGCGACTATAAGTCTGTCCCGCACTGTTATAATACCCTTACTTTTAAGATGTCTTAAAACGACTTCAAGACCGTCTTTACGCTTCTTCCTCGCCTGAAAGGTGAATCTAACTAGAATACCTAGCGTATGCTTGTTATAGCAACCCTGCGAGGATACGACTTCGAGATATTCCTCGAGACTGACATCCCTCGCCTTGCTAACCTTATCGCTATAGAGGAATAGAGAAAGAAACCGTAACGTTACGTATAGTCTCCTTATAAACGCTAGCAAATCGGTTCTTAATAGACTCTATATAGCAGGTTAGGTTAACGATAGAAACCCTTACGAATTATAGCAGGCGCTCGAGAAGTATATTCCGAGAATCTTATAAGACGCTATAGCTACCCTTGTTAACAAGTTTGCTAAGACTACTACTAACGATTATAAGACTCTTTACGATGCCCTTAATCGCTATTACTACCTTAGAAAGCGTATTAAGACTATTTACGGTCGTCTACTAGACTCCTTCCTTACTATTTTCCTCCTTAACTTCTTTAAGGACCGACTTCCCGATACGTATAAGTATTTTATATCGAAAGGCGCTACCTATCCTACGTAGAATAAGGTAGCTAATACGATTTATATACTTGCTTAAGACGAGGATCAAAAGCGTAGTTATGCTACTATTCGCAATATACCTAGAGGCAAGTCTGCTAGCAGTAGGGGTCCTGCCTCTCTAGCCGTTACTACTACCGTTACCTCTACTATTACTACCTCTAAGGAAAAGAAGAAGTACGACTATTATAACTATAATTACAAGACTACGAAGTACTATATCGCCTACCTTAATCTTATCCCTCTATACTATATTAACTAGGATAAGTTAATTAAAAAAGCGAGAAAGTATATATATAGCGATCGCTACCGCTAGGATTAGCCTACTTCTATTAATAGTACCTGCTAGACTATTATTAAAGCGTTACCTACTATCTTAGGTTAGTCTACCCTTGCTTCTATCGCTAGCCTAGCAGTTTTTACTATTGCTTGCGATAACCTTATTACCCGAGACGATATCGTTCTCGATTCTAGTTATACTACTTTAACTTTTAATAACTTACGATATTTCGTTAAGTATGCTAAAAAAAGCGATTTAATACCTTCTACTTCTGCTTCCGGCGCCTTAGTCTAGTTACTTAGCATAGGTACCGTCTTCTTCTAGACCCTAGACCTTACTAACCTTAACGTTATTTACGATTAGATACTTTATAACGTTAAGTATAACCTTTCTAGCCTAGCTAACTTACTAAGCCTTAGAAAACTTCGTCGTAATTACGTAGAATATGATTAGCAGACCTTAAGCCTTATATATATAATATATGTTAGAAGTATAAGTATATTATACTTCTATTTTACTTATTTATCCTATTTAGTCTTATCTAAGACTTAGTAGGACTTACAAAAGTAACTAGCTAAGAATGGCTGCTTGCTAGTTTAAACATATGATATTCAGATCCCTATGGAATACTCTCTTTAACCTTATCTAAAAGTCTATTTAGTTAAAGAAGATTCTAGTCTGATTTATAAGCTGCTTTATAAGCTAGCTGACGTATATACTTACGTATACTAAACCTAGCTTATAGCTTCCTATATTAGCTATTATAGGCGACGTTATACTACTATATAACTAGCCTAATTCTCTCCCTTAGCTAGCTATTAGTTCCTCAACCAACTCAGCTTCAATATAAGCCTATACATTCTTTACTATTAAAGCCCTACTTCATAAGTACAAGTTCCCTTACTCTAATACCCTGTTATAAGGATATCGTACTATCTACGAGATTCCTACCTACCGTTCCAACAGTAATTATTATAAGCGAATTTAAAGCTTTCTAAGGCTTATCTTTATACTATTAAGTATTTATTTTAATATTTTAAAAGTATCGTTTATCTTAGTATTATACTTAGAAGCATCTTTACGATTAACGAGTTAAGGCTTTATACTATTATAAATACTTTTTTATTAATAATAAGCTATTACGAGTCTTAATAAATAGTTATATCGTCTTCCTTGCTAGTATGCCGATTGCTTAGAAGTTAAAGAAATAGACTTTCGTAACTTTAAGCATTACGGAGGCTAAATTTATTAATCTTATACTTATAGTAATTATTATAAAGTAGATTAGACGTTGCCTCTCCTAACTGCTTAGCAAACCTATTATTATGCCTATTATTATGTTTACTAATAATACTAACGGCTATAATAATGTTATAAACCTACTTAACAAGGTACGAACCTACTATATCGACGTCTAATATAAATAGATTATATAAGAGGTTTATACTGCGAAAAGCATCGAACTCCGACTTATTAAGGGCGCTGATATAGCCGCCGATAGACTTACGAAGCCACTGGTTGCGGTTAAACACAAGGAATTCGTTCGTTTGTTGGGCATGGCGGAGGGATTGGATTAAGAGGGGGATTTTGAGACTGTAGGACTATTGATATTGAGACTTCGAGATTCGGAGGATTTCACGGCCTCCTATTGGCTAGGTTTAACCGGTAATTGACCGAGTTTTCTAATAGTTAAGAACTCCTCGGATTTGGAGGAATTAGGACTTTTCCTATATTTTCCTATTATTCTTTTTCGCTGAGGAGTCTGAGAGGGGGTGTGGGTGGCAGGCCTCGCCGGCCCGTCACGTGGGCTGACGGCCGCCACCACTGGTCTTAGCCAGCCTCCACAGCCCTCTAGCCAGTTAGTTAGTTCTTCCAACCAACAACACCACTTTTCCCATTCTGAGCGTTCTGTGCCGGTTCTCGCCCACATTTCCTCTCCCTCAAAGTCGGCCGCGTACGTGTTCAAAAACCCGAAAGAGTGAACACGAGTGGGTATACTCCAGTAAGAAGGATCCGGTACGGACGGCGGCGTCAAGGATTTGTTCTTACTACCCTTGGTGCCGGATTTCGACCACACGCCTGCTCTCCCAAAGGCGCGGCCGACATAGTCAGTCTCCCATTTGAGTACCTGCGCGTAGACGCAGTCAGGATAACCACGGGAGGTACAAGGCCCACAATGAGGCTTAGTCTCGTCGCAGCGGATCTTGTGCAGACGGCAGCGGTGGCAGCCGCGATGACTCCGTCGAGATACCTGTTTGGATGGGTCTCTTCTGCGCGGCATTTCGGCACGGGGAGACTGGAGATCAACTGGGAAGATGACGAACCAACAAACACGCGGGGACAAGTGGGCAAGTAAAGGCCGACGGGCCTTGTCTGGATACTACGAGGGTTGAATAGTGGACTGTGAGAACGGGGCAATGACATGGACTCGCGAGGGAAATCCGGGTAGATAGCCGGGGAGGTGAGGGGCTAGAGTCTGGAACGACACGATAGCTGACTAAACTGGAGCCTGACTCTGACTCCAGGTCTATCGCCAACACTTGGGCCTCTAGGAATAGAGTTCACCAGGATGTGGTATCTAATAGTGAAAGTTGGATGGGGAAGACAACCAGTGGAGCGCTTATTTGTTTGGGTGCTAGTCGTCGTCGATACTTGTTTGACCATTTCCTCAAACAAAGGTTAATGGCGAAGTTAACCATTTCTCTTGGTAATCGAGAAAACAATTATAGTACCTGCAATAGACGGTTCTGGGCGTTTGGTAACGAACCTGATACTTCCACGGCTTGATAGTAGTAGTCTTGTACTAGGTATGTGTGTGTGTGGGAGAGCAAGTTTCGTCAGGGTCTGGATAGATGAAGATGACAGCAAATAGCGACAAAGTTTCATTAGAAAGTTGACTTTGCACATGCCAAAACCACGTTTCTCTCATTGTTTTTCACCTGAGAAACATCTCCGACGTCATCTGATATCAGCGTGGTGTTTGAAGGGGTTATGCCAGCCCTGCGAGGATAACGAGGACACAATGTTTCACAAATAACGACATGTACCAAACGCGGAATAGAGATCGCCTTGTGGAGTAAAGCTCAAGACTACCACGCCCATCAAAGGTATTCGTCGTGGTCAAAAATGACTGAGGGAGGGGTCTCGGAGAGTTACTGCACAGGTCCGACTCGGGTCCAACCCTGACTCACAACTCCACCGCCCCATATTGCGGCATTTTGACACGAAGTTTTCAACAACCAGCAGGTCGGTTAGCTCAGTTGGTTAGAGCGTGGTACTAATATGTCATCTGATATATCAAGTAATGCCAAGGTCGGGAGTTCAAGCCTCCCACTGATCAACTCCTTTTGCTGCAGCATGGTGGTTGCAGAATTTTGTTTTTGAGTTGGCGTTGGCTGCTGGTAAGCGCAGTCGTTTGTGTTTGGTCAGTCGAGCTTTGTATGCGGGATCCACCAGGGTGGTTATGGTTAAGGGAAGTTCCGCTTGAGGTTTCTTGTGCAGATATCTGTGCTAGTGAAGTTGATGATGGTTGGGAACTGGTGAGAGGACTTTCTCGTATGCGTAGAAACCGCCTTGAGAGACGAGCCCCAAGGGGTTTAACAGATCACGGCAGTAGAGTCAGGGTCTCGCAGTGGCCTTTCCATTGAAAACTCTTCCATCATTCTATCTTCTGGAACACGAAGTCAATAATACCTTCTCATATTTGGCATGCCCGTCTCAACCATGGAGCTAAGAGGCACTCTCAAAGCACCGGCGAAAGTCTTGCACCGCTGTCTCTTTCTATCAGATCTCAGTCCATTCCATTGTCCCGAGTCACAACTTGGTCACACCAGTCACTAAAGCACAAGCAAACCCCCACACCGAGGAACCGGAATCTAATCATCATGATATACCTCAAAACCTCCCCCACTAACATCCAGAGAACCCCTCAATACCGCCTAATAAACGCCAGGGATAATAGTCCACTTCCTCCGAATCTTCTCCTCCCCAAACCTCTCCGCGTACCACGCCCTGCCGCTCTTGGCCCTGGGGAACATGGTCGTCACCTCGTTGACGAAAAAGGCGCGCCCAGGCATGCTCCAGCCGCTCGCCATCCACCACCCAAACCACTCCACCCACTCGAGAAAGTAATGCGGGAAAAGCATGTACCGGAAGAGCATGGTGTCGGGCAGGCGGTAGTGCTTGTCGACGCGCACCTCGCCCTGCGCGCCAACCTTGGCCCGCTGCTCCCTCGCGACCTTCTCCTGCCGCCGCTGCTCCGCGCGCCGGATCTCCCGGAGCTCCTCGTCGTGGAAGTAGTTACCCGTCAGGCCGACGTAGAACAGCGCTATCCCCGCGACGAACTGCGCTAGGCCGCCGTACCCCAGCTGCTTTTCCCACGCCGACGCCGTGGTCGGCCCGTACGCGGCGAGCCAGCCGCCTAGGCATATCGCGTTGCAAAGCTGGAAGCCGATGGCGCTGAGGGCGACGAGCGGGTGGATTGGCGACATGGATGGTTGTATGAAGGGGTATAACACGGCGCGGTAGCAGTAGTGAATTACCTGAGGAACCGGCAATCGATACCGTCAGTGAATTATAACAAAAGGAATGGGAAAACGCCATGCTGTTGCGCTTCGGGAAGAGGGAGAAAACATACAAATAGCCCCGCGAGAACCTGGTTCTGCCACGGCAGATCATGAACCCCGACCTGGGCGGGTAACGTCTTCATGATGTACAACAGGGTCGTGAACCCGGGGACCTCCATCAGGAACCACGCGACGCGACCCGGCATGTTGAAGCGGCTCGTGACGGAGGTCTTCCCCATGCCGTACCATGAAATGAAGTACTGAGCCGACCCGATCTGTCCAATTGAGTATGTCCGTTAGCTCATGGACCTCCCCCCTTTATGCGCAGCCAGACAATGAACGCACAATGGGATATGAAATCTGCCAGATGGTCGAGAGGAGCTGCCAATTCTGCCGCGTAGGCGGGAGCCATCCTTCGATGAGGGCCATTGTAACAGGGGCAAACTGGGAGCAATTGGAAGTGAATGTCTTTGCGAGAATGTTTAAAAAATAGAGAAGAGAAAGAATCAAAACATGTGTCGAAAGCCAAGCGCAGTTGTGCTTTACTCCGGCGTTGCAATTTCCCCCCGCCGCCGGCAAGAGAGTCAATGACATCAAATAAACGATGGAACCAAAAAACCCCCCCAAGCTCACAGTAAAACATAAGAAGATGCTCATATACCCATAGATCCCTGTCGCATATATACACACCAAACACCTTGACCGCCTGCCCAATGAGAACACCACTACGTTCCTGCGGAGTACACTACCAGAAAAAAGGCTTGGGGGGTTCCGCAAATCGGCATCTCCCCAGGTGCGCCCCAACCGGAGCTCCCCCTGCAGCAAATCCCATCAAGGTCACTAGCACTACGTAGTAAGTCGGGCGTCACCAAACAGGGGGGGGGGGTAACTAAGTAGTTCTACTCATAAGATTCTTCATTCATGACTGTAAAATCCCAACTCATGTTCCAAACGCCGTCCGCTGAGATAGTTCTGTTTGTACAAAAAGTGAATTCGCGACTCCGAATCGCAAAGGATGATCGCAAGTTATCCATGCCCTCCCACGCACATACCAATAACTCAATAACGCCCATATTCCTCCAAGGACACGCGGTGTCCACCTCACATGACGATGCAATCCCTTTCTCTGCCTCCTGATGAGCTTCCAACCACACCTCCTGGGCCCATAACCCGACCCCGACCGCTGCCCATCATCGGCCGCGATGGAGAAAGCGGGTATGACGGCCCAGCACCACCGTTTCGTTGCCGTCCGGAGACTGGGGTGCTCGCGTGATGGTGCGGGTGTCCGGGAGGCGGTTCATACTTGGCGGCGGCCTGAGCCTGCTCATACGTCGGGGGCGCGTCGTCCATACCTTCGTCAGCGGGGCGGTTTACTCCTTGTCTGCGCGCGGGAACTATGGGCGGCACAAGCGGCCGCACCATCTGTGGCGGCTGGCCTGGCTGACGGCCCGATGTTGGTGGTACCGAAACATTGCTGTTCGAGTTCCGCCGGGTTTCTTGCGGTGACGGCGTGGCGTTGCTCGAGCTTCGGGTCACATTGGTCGTGCTGTTTCTCGCCGCCGCCCTAGTAGCGGCCCGCCTCGTCGTGGGCCCTTGTTGGACGCGGGCCTGTTGCTCAATAAACTGCTCGCTAAGCATGCTCTCTCGCCTGCGGGCCGCTTGCTCTGCCCGATGCCGTTGCTCTTCTTCCTCTTGTAGCTGGAGCGCCAGTGCAAGATCCCTATCTTCTTGCTCGTGATACGGCGATAGTGGGGTTTCATCGGTGTGCGAGGCTTCGGTGTTATTGCGCCGCCCTCGGCTCTGCACAGTTGTCCAATCGCCTCCGCTGCTGTTGTTGGTGTTGACCGTAGGTCTTCTCTGGTTGTGCTGTCCTCCGCTTTGCTGTCCGCGAGAGTTGCCTTGCGCCTGTTGGCCGCCGACGATACGGTAGTCGCCTGAGTAATATTCAGTGCGCTCACCGTTTACGTCGGCAAGTGATTCCCACACAATTTCATCATGCGTCGCATAGCCTGCGTCGGTTACAAGCACGAGCAATTCCTGGGTCGACGGGTGCCGATACAGAGTGGAAAAGTGATCATTGCGGAAGAGAATAGCGACCGAGCCGGGCTTCATGGCTTTAGTAATGACCTCCAATCCACACGGCGTCAATTGGGTTGCGGATGAGTCTAGGAATGCCTTGATGTGCTGGATGTCCGAGTATATCTGCTCCTCCTCCTCAGTCAAGGAACCAAGCTTCTCCTGGAGCTCCTCGTCGCGGAACAAAAGCCCCTGCACATCCTCGAAAGAAGCCGCCTGGCGTTCGAACGCCCCGTACGCGGGGTCGGACTTGGGTGGCAGCCACCCGTGGATAAGCGGAATAGCAAAAGCAGCATAAAGTGACATTTCGGTAGTGTCCTCGAAAGTGCCCGGAATCAGATCGTCGCGCTCGGTAGGGTGCAAATGAGTGAGAGACGTGCGCTTGAAAGCCTTGACGATTTCAGGCGTGGGAATGAAGCGGGGGTTCACATTCATTCCCGTGTGGAGGCCTTTGAGGAAGTCATAAAGTTGCGAGACATCGGGCAGAGAAGTGTCCTCGTGGGTGCGTCTCGGCGACATCAGCTCGTCAAAGACGGCATCCAGCAGGTAGCCCAGGCTGATCTGTTCCCGCGAGCGAAGTACCTGCACAAGGGCGGTGTCAGGTATTGACGCCGGAGTCGTGAGGGTCAGGGCATTAACTAAAGCTACGAGCGGGCAAGGCCCGTTGGCGTTCTGTACGAGGATGGGTGACGTTCGGGGGTTCTTCTCGGCGTTGTGATCGTACCATCTAATATTCTTTATCTGGTACGTTTCGGTTTTCCCGTCGACAGGGCGAGGGGGCTGGCGGGGCGGCTGTTCTTCGTCGGTTCTGGGAGGAAGCGCTGGGGGTTCCTTTTCCTCAGGAGATGGTTCATCCGTATCAATCAGTCGCTCGTTCGCTTTTGACCCGGTCTCTGTCGGTTTACTGGAAGCAGGAGCAGCCGCTGGCGCCTCGTGGTCAATCAGGTTCCAATCATCAATGGGTCCGTCGTCTAGGGTTGCTGGGGTGGCAACGGGTGCGGGAGCCTTTCCTTTGCCCTTGTTCTGTGAGCCAAGGTCATCCCAAGCGTTCTGTTGTTCCGTAATTTCATCAGGTACTAATTTCGGTGGTAGTGCTGGTTGCGTTGTTGGTTGCTTGGTTTGGTTCTCCGGTAGGTCGTCCCATGCCGGCGACGCGGGCTCGGAGGGCAGGGACACAAGTGCTGGAGATGTTGAAATTGGCGGCAGTCTCGAGTCTTGAGATACCGACCACGCATCTTGCTCGGCGTCGGAGCTAGGTTGGGCACGGAGCGGCTGCTGTGGGCTGGAGGTGACAGCATCATGGTCGAGCTGCAGGGCATGTTGATCCAGCGCCGGCTGCCATGGATTATTGCTGATCTCACCAGTGCTCATTTGCGAGAGAGGCTGTGCGGGGACCATCGTCGAGGGACTCTTCACTGGTGGTGATGTCGGGCCAGAGCCCGGCCGCACTTCTTTTCTCTTGAAGGGATTCGTGTCGGATCTCGATGGTGGAGGTCCTTGCGGAGGACCAGGTCGAAGCGCCAACGGGACATTGGAAGCATCATTCGTCGGGTCGGGGGTGATCTGGGATCGGTCGCCGTTCACGTCGTTCCAAATGTCACTGCTTGCCTCTTGGCCGTTGGACACGGTGCGGCCGCCGCCAGGCGTCAGCGATCTTGGGATGTCCTGGTGTGGGGGCTGTTGATTCAGCGCAGCGGCGCCTTTCTGCTGTGCAGCATCATCCCATACGCTGTCGGTGTCCGAGGGAGAATCGCCAGCACCCCAAAGCTCCTTTCGCATATCTTGCACCCGCGCAACGGCGTTCGTGTCTACAGAGGCATCGTCGGGGACCGGTTTGCGGGTAACCATGTCGACGAGGCACCGGGGTATCGGATTGGGGCGGGGCAACGGAATGTATGGTTGAGAAGTAAGCAGCCTAGAGCAACTCGCCGGAAGCAGAAGAGTAGAATCAGGTAATCGGTAACGGTCGAGCTGCTGTAGCAGCTATTATGGAAGCTGCAGCAAGCGGCAGGTAATGCGTTGGACAAGCAGCTGGGCGAAAGTGAGAATGGAGGAGGTGAAGGTGAAGCGAAGCTCCAGAAGGTGTCGTCATTCGGTGGGCTACTGTTAATAGAACCTTGTGATTATTGCATGCAGGCCTCCCCCCAAAAAAGAAGGTTACCAGCAAACGGGTTCGCAAACGGGAGTTCCGGGGCCGTTACGACAAGGAAACTTCAGGCGGAGTTTTGCCGGTCGTCGCCGGATGCTGTAAAAAAGAAATGACAGGCTTGGAGAAGGGGTGGGAGGAAAAGATGAAGCAAAAATGTTGGAAAAGAGGTTGCAAGAAGATTGGCACAGTTTTGGAAAGGAAAGAGACACCACCAGAGTCTGAGGTGAGGAGCCAAAGCAAGCCAAGACCAGCTTGTGCTGCAGCGCTGCAGCAGCAGCTACGATGTACTTACTTGCTGGTGCTAGGTACTACCTAGGTAAGGCAAGGTAGTTTACGTAGTGGCACTAGTAGTGCCACTTTCGTGTAGTAGTGCACTGCTGTTGCCGCCCAAGTAACGCTGGACATGCCGGAACCCAGACAGTGGCGGTGCGCCTCCCCCACTACAAACCGGGGGGGAGCTGCGACAGTACGTACTGCCCAGGTACTGCTCTTCACGTCTTAGGGCTATTAATGTACTATGTATACGGCGTATTAGACTGGCAATCTGGCACACCTTACGCACTTCAGCAGCAGCCCAGTGGCTCAGTGCGGGTGCGGGCCACACTAATGAACCACATTCTGCCTTTCATTGCTGCTATGTATACTTTTGGCCTCCCCGTCAGAGGTTGCTTGCCGCAGAGATGAGAGCCAGTGAGTGGACCTCAAATACTACTACTACACTATGTAAGGCGGCACAAGCACCCGCAAGTTACGCGGACAGGGAACCGCAGCAGCGCAACAGCGGCTACTTGTTCTTCTTTCTTTTCTTCTCTTTTCTAATTCCATCTCATTTGTGAAGCTCAGTCCCGTTGCGGCTACTAACCTCTGTGTAGATTGACTGGTTGGATGCGCCTTTGGGAAGATCCCTGACACCCCTGGGTCAGGTTCCAGCAACGCCAGGCAACAGGATACGGGCCACCCAACGTTGCAGGAATCATATGAGACCTGCTTGCGAGTTTTCAAAAAAGGGAAAGACGTTGCACAGTCACAGTGGATTGGCCATGCCATGGTTGTATTCCTTTCGTCCCCATACTGCTACTGTTGATGACGCTGGCTCAAGTCGTAAGGCAAGATTTGTTTGCGGACAAAGCTTCGTAATGCCTTGGACAGTAAGAAGCACGCACCTCACATTTTATTCCATTTTGCAGGGTGACGACAGCTCAACACCCAATTAAGTTACTTTCAACTGGCTTCCCAACTTGCCGCTCGAGGGACGACACGGATGAGGTGGGAAGGGGAAAGATTCCAGCGTCAGAAAGCTTGCGCGTCCACCCGTCAGATTCGTGTATCCACTGAGCCATGCGTCCAGATCCGGATCCTCAATGGTCCATCTTGACATTTGAGAAGAACCCAAGCTGCTGACTTGACGGTTGTAAGCACGGCATCGGAAGTGAGATAAAAAATGCTTGAATCACCCAGTAAGGCTGTAGGGAATGTAGACATGCACTACGAACACACAAACATGTGGAAAAGGAAGACAAACAGGGGAATGACAGGAACCTACAACAGAAGTACACCCTCCACCGTTGCGTTGACCTGGGATGTGTGGCTGAAGCATAACGGCGCCGACTCCAAGCCACAGTATACGTATCCCAAGTCTCCACCCAGATTTATCCCGGTTGGCCACTCACCGTCCAGGCATGTCCCCCCGCGCAATGACGCAGTACCCCGTCGGCGCCCCGTGCCCGTGACGCCCTTAACAAGGACGCTCCCCGCGCCGCCCACCGTCTCCAGCACTAATACGCCCATACGAGGCTCAATGTACATACGTAGTACGCCCAAGCACTCCTCAACCACACACACACACACACATCACACTCTCAGCCCTTCTCTCACATCTGTCTGTCGCCTTTTTATCCTGCGGTAATGAGGCTCGAGCCTCCGTTTCATGACGGGGACCACGTTGGCTTGTGCCACGAGGCCCAGCCCCGTCTGGAACCCACCTTGCGAGAGCCTCCTCTCCCATTCAGTGCAAATATCCGGGCCCAGCATGAATCTGGGTGGGTTGGGCTTTAGTAAGGAGAAAAAGGAAATTTTGCATCTTGTCAACACCACCTCTGATTGTCCCCCAAACCTTTTCCCCCGATCGATGTCACTGCCTTTCCCTCGATTCGGGTTCCTCGAACACGCCCCATATCGCCTGTTCGCAGCCCGCATGGGACGGTTTGACGCTAGAAATGCATCTGCTCTTTTATGCCCCCCCTCCTCTTTCCTTGAACGCAAACCCCGTGGTTTGTCGCAACGTTTTTTTGTGCTTCCAGTTTCTTTTCTTTTCCTTTTTTTTTTCGATCGAATCTTCTACAAGCCATAGTTCCTTGGCGTGACACCCCAAAAGTCAGCCATAATTCAGAGACGTGGCTTCGGCCCAACGTCTCGTCTAAACTAAATGCTTATGAGTAATGTATGAGCATGAGACCGCAAGGAGCAGGTGGCCAATTGAGGCCTCCGTCGACGTAGTATTTAACAGCATCCCAAGTTGTTTCCACGGGTTTTCCGGCATATCCTTGGGGGTCGACAGTATGAAAAAAGTATGAAAGGTAAAGCAACATGGCGCAGCTGTCATGCCAATGGGCGCTGGAAAGCTTCAGGAGCTTTTCCTCCAATGTTCAATCTGGGGTTCAAACTTTATATACAAGAACTCTTCTCGGCGGCGTTGCCCTCCGTGTCCGGTACACAGTTACGGGGCTCGTCGAAGGGGCATTGGTAGATGGGCACACCACAAAAGACATCATTGGCTTCGCTGCATGAGTGAAATGTCAGCAATAGAGTCAGAGTTTGGCGTTGTCTTTTAAGATGATATCTTGCATTTAAAGCAGTTTCCACTAGTTCAGGCGTATCTTTTGAGTATCTAAAATGAATGCCCACATCCGTCTTCTTTCGATGAACCAATCAACCTTGTCAAGACAGACTGCTCATCCTGGTCAGTTACCCGCGTACTAATGTCAGCGGCAGCGCCGTCGCGGCTCGGCGTCTAGTCTGGAGACAGCGGATGAGCAAGGAGCCGGCGTTCCACAGATCCTATGCCGGGACAGTGACGTAGCAGGCGGCATTGGTTAGAGGCAGCTGTCTGATCACGTTGTGGTCCCCGTTGCCAGGGACCACAGCACTTAGTCTTGGTCTATCTCTAGGTGGTGACATGATGAGGACAGCGTATCGGTTCTCCTACACGTATCTTGTCCGCAACCTGTAATGTACATATTTGGTGAAGATGATGAATATCAAATCAAACCGCTTGATCCGAATCTACCTTTAAACTGACTTAATGACAGACCATTTGACATGAAAATGATCAATCTAACTCATATGGAGTCCCGAATTCACATGTCATTCAAGACTCTTGCTGTTGTAAAGAAGTGAAAAAGTCCATTTCATTTGAAGTAAAGCAAAGCTTGCCACGGTATTCTTCAAAAACGATCTCCAACACCTCACAAGAAACAAGAGCAGGAGTATTCCATAATATCACAATACCCAAAATGTACACAAATGCCTCTACTTCACAAGGTGGCAGTCATCAACACACTAACCGTACAGCAAAACATCAACAGCTCCTCAGTTCAGCATTAATCTCATCATCTCACATCAACATCCAAGCATCCTCAATTCACAAGACAACTAAAGACCAGAACACACTGATCATCCTTATGGCATATTCCCAGCCGATTAACCGAGCAGAACAGACTACGACTCTATCATGACAGCAGTGGAGGCGCCACTAAACACGGGGGAGTGGAAAAGGTGTATAGAACAGGAAGTACTGTTTCGTTAGCTTTAAAAGAAAAAGAAAAAAAAAAAGTAATGCCCGTCGCGAATCCAACAATGCTATGAATCTTTCTCCCTCCCTCCCCGCCACCTGTAAACGCCAGAAACAGACATTATCCCTTCGAGGTCCCCGGCAGCCCCCGCTCGCCGTTTAATTCCTCCCGACGTTGTACTTGTCGAGTCTCTTACACGCGGGCATCTCATACTCGTCCGCCTTGCGCATCTTGTCGGGGTCCTGGAAGAACCACCCGCTGGCCGCATCGTACATCCTCCGCTTCGCCATCATTTCGTTTTCACACTCGTATCGCAGCGTGCGCACAAGACTGATCTCCGCCGAGCGGTCCAGCTTCTCCAGCTTGCCCTTGGAGAATGACTCCACGTCCGACGGGACGACAAAGTACTTCGCGCCGAGGTTCGGCGTCGTGCGCTGCAAGGTGTGCGGGCCCTTGGGGTTGTCAAACACGAAGCTGGGCGTCGACGGCGTCGAGCTGCCGCCGCTGAATAGGCTCGAGATGAGCGGGAAGACAAACAACAACAGAATTGGCAGCAGGCCCAGCAGTGTAGACATGCCACCGGCCTCTTGCTCCGTCGCCTCACGCGGCCTCCTTCGCGGCCGTTGCCCGCCGAACTGGTGCACCCTGAAACCCGGTCCGCCGCCAAAGTTGAAGACGAACTGCGGCCCCGTATCGAAACCTGTTATAAGTCGAGATCGTCAGCCTCAACTCACAAATTGCTGCAACCCATTCTGCGTCGAGAATAAAGCTGCATAGTAGGGAGTAAAGGAGCTCTTACCTCCGCCAAATGGTCCTCCGCCAAACCCACCCCCGAAGAACCGTTGGAACATTTCCTCGGGCGTCATCTCCTCCATACCACCTCCGAACCCACCGCCACCACCTCCGCCTCCTCCACCGCCGCCTTGCCTCCTGTTGAATCCGCTAAACGGGTTTTGCGCCTGCGCCTGACCGAACCGCGAGTCGGGGTCCGTTCCGAAGCGGTCAAACTTTTCCCTCTTCTCCTTGTCGCCCAGCACGCCGAACGCGCGGCTAACCATCTTGAATGCCTCGTCGGCGTGCTCATGACCGTTCTTGTCCGGGTGCGTCAGCAGCGATTGCTTGCGGTATGCCTTCTTAATCTCGCCGTCGGTACACGTCGTCTTGACATCTTCGAGGCCGAGGATATCGTAAAAGGCTGTCGGCGAGCACTTGCGGATCCGCAGGACCGCGGCCTTCTGCTCCACAGTGTAGCTGCGGCCCTGGTTTCCTTGGTTATGGTCGCGGTTACGTGCTCCGCCGCCCGTGTCGGCCCCTGAGGCTGTTGCGCTCGGCATCGTGACCGTGGGTTTGAATGTATGTAGGGTTGTATGGGATTTCTTTTCGCCTTGTCAAGGGTCGTGGACTGTTTGGTAAGTTGCCGGGTATGATCAACGTCAAGTCGCGGGTTTCACGGATTACGTTCGACCTCCTGATCGAATTCGAAACAGCAGCGCCAAAAAAGTGATTCGTAGTATCACAACAATCGCGGATGACGTCGTCGAGCGATTTCTGGTGATGCGCAGTGGTCGATCGAAGCGATGTTGATTGGCGGTTTTCCTGCCTATCTGTCAAGAGAGGTGGATGTGAACAAGGCTGGGACTTTCGGAACAAATCCCCGCACCAGCAGCAGCGGCCTTGTCAGAGTAAGCTGAGCTGAACAGTAAAGCCAACCCAGTGATGAAATATCCCTCTATAGGAGAGAGGGGGGAAAAGACTCGTCCGTTGGTGCCGGGAGTCGAGGAATTGCGTCCGTTGTCTCGCAAAAAAACGAAAAAGGCAAAGGTCACAATTTCCTACCAGAAAGGGAAACAAGACAGTCTGCAACTCTGCAGCAACCGACCCGGGCCAGCCCACACTAGAGGTCGAAATTGAGAGACCACCTCAGAAGAAACGCATCACCTGATTGGACGCATTCTAGCTGACTCAGCAGAGGCCATGACCACCTCTTATCGATAAGTCACGTCACTTTTTGGGGGAGGGAGGTGAGCTCTTTGGGGGGAACGACTAGGCTCGGAAAATCATTGACGATATTCATTCTTTGCAGTTTCTTGCGCCGACGGGTTAGCAACACCGCAAGAGTACATTGCAATGGCGTCCAACAACAACACACCAGAAGGCCAGGAGGTCCAGAAGTCATTGATGTCAAATCTTCATGAATATGGCAGTGCGTAACCCCGTCGATCTCCTCTGTATTCTGCCCGCATGGCTTCAACACGGCTCGTCCACTAACACCAGCATCGTACCACAGCAAACCCCCTCCCGCCTGCAATCCACGCAATCCTGATTGCCGCATTGCACGGCCGGCCCATGAAGATTCTGCCCTTCTCGTTCGCCCCGGCCCTTCTCTTCAGCAGCTACGTCAACCTCGCCGGCTTCCCCACCGACAGCGCGGGCTTCACTTGCGCCGTCTCAGGCCTCTACGCCCTCCTCGCTCTGCGCCGCCGTCAACCGCTACGGAACAAGTTCACGGCCCGCGGCGCCGTGCGGGGTCTCGCCATTGGTATGGGCTTCGCCAACTCGGCCGCCGGCGCGTGGGTCTACGCGAACGGCGACAGGAAGAAGGACGAGGAGGAGAGAAAGGCGCGGAATCGCTGGGGAGGGGAGTCATGAGGTTACTCTCTAATGGAAGAACATGATCAGATGGACAAAGGGGGTAACGGTGCAGACGGAGCCCAATTCCTGTTTGACAGCCGTCTCCCTTCAATTCAGTCTGATCTTGACCCGGGTCGGGTTGGCTAGCGCTCAAATGCCATGCCCTGGCTACATAGGGCTGGGCGGCATAGGCCGGGGAGGGGAAGCGACTATTGTAAGAATATAGAAGAGAGCTGTCAGATATTGAACGGCGTCGAGTCATGAGACGGGACGTCGATATGCGAAACGGCGCATAAGAGGGGGACCGATGCACATGGCATTGCGTCGACAGGCTTACAGCAAGGGTTTGAAGCCGAAAATAGCACACAATAAGGCGGCTCATTTATAGGAGCGTTTGTATAACCAGTAATCCTGTAGAACAAAATCAAACACACCAATCACGTCAATCGCACGCGGTAGCCAAATGTCAGTTTGTTTCGCTGATAAGAGTCTTTTGCTCTTGATGATATTCAGCTTCCTATCCCCTTAATTGTTGCTGTTGTACAATGCAGCAGAATGAATCTGTACATGACTGAATGCCGGTTCTAGCGAACCTCTCCCAAAGTCTCATACGCAACGCCGAATGGAGACATCTCAGCTCTTGATGAGTCCCCGTATTCTGTCTATCCATACAAAGGAAATAAATAATGTGCAGTGGCCGTCCCCCCAGCCTATGCTGCGAAGGCTGAGGCTCAAGCCTGATAAAAGGTACCAAACTTCTTTTTGTGTTTCCTTGGTGATTTTGCTGTTCCATTTTCCCATATACCGCAGTAAAGCTTCTTTTTCAGTCGGACATCTTGTCGCTATCGCCCAGCAGTGCTGCAGCTTAGACCCCCTTTTGTCCGCTCGCTTGCTTAATCTTTCTGTCGAATCTCTTTGTCATGCAGCTTAATTTTGGAAAGGAGTTGTTGCCAGACAACTGGCCCCGATTTTCCCCCGGAGATGCTGGCTGCGCTCCACCAAATTCAGACTTCGGCAAACATCCGTCCAACGCCAAGAGTTATGCGAGGTTCTGAAAGCTGTCACAGCATGTCGTCACCTCACGTCCTTGACACGTCTAGCGGTGTTGGACATCCTGTGTCCAGACAGCAACCAGACAAAGACGACAAAGACGCTGAAAAGAGTGACTCTGATGAAGTGACGAATGCGAAACCGCATATTGGCTTCGTGTACGAACAAATTCGAGAGATCTGAGAGGTCAAAGTCGGTGAGATACTTAATATCGCAGTCCCTAATTTTGGGCTCAGCGTATGCTCGGTACTCATCAACAATGTTGTCGAGTTCCCAACCCGTCACCTTGCGAACCACACCTACAACACAGCCAGTACGGTGCTGCAAATAAGTTAGTAAATAGTTAAATGTGAGAATGGGGGTCAATAATTACCTTGCCATGGTTGCAGTGAATGAGAACAGGGTGGTTCTCACGGTTGAGTACTAGTCTGAGGATCGCTTTCATTGTCCGCATGGGGATAGCCTCCTTCTTTGTGCCCTTCATGTTGAACACATGATGCCGGATGCCGTTGTTAGACATGAAATCGGTGTAAGGCTCGTCTACCTCATCCTTCTGAACGAGGGTGCTGTGATTGTTTGTGAGCATTGCCCACGGAGTTAAGGGTGCACTTGAGCCAGGTTTGACTTACACAATCGTTTTCAGCCCGAGGTTGTGGATGAAGCCAAAATCCTCGGGTTTAGGGTAGCTACTCCGGTAAACTCCTGGCACTACGACCCCGAAATTGATAGGCCGCCCGTCGATGGGGAGGACTCGCTCGATGCCCGGAGATATCGGAGAGGCCAGGGGCTTTTGTAGCTGGTCGGCAACTTTGAGCAGGCCGCCATCATCCGATCGCATAGCACCCTTCTCTCCGAGACTAGTAGCCTTCAATAACTCATCCTTCACCGACAAGATGACTTGCTTCTGTACGTAGACATCCATCGTAACTTCGAGGGGAGCGACGGATTCGCGCGATCCTTGTCGTGAGGGACCCTTTACTTGGTACTTTTCCGCCAACTCCAGCGGAATAAGATCGTCTTGCTTGGAGTTACGTCGAGCGGGTCGGTAGGCGGGGTCTTCTTCGGGATGACCGCCAGCGTCTTCAAGAAATAATCTCGTGCTTCTTTTTGAGACCATTTCACCAGCCATTGGCAGGCAGGTGCTTGAGGTTTGAGAGACTTCGTAGTAGAGGGTATCAGAAGTGGGTAGTCTAGAGAGACTTGCTCGCGTGACTGGTATAGAATTGTCGGGATGTATATGGCAGGGGGTTTTGTGTTTAGGCGTTTGGTTAGAGGTAAAAAGGGTAAGTGGTCGTGTGAGTACAGGTAAGGTGATAAAGGGTTTGATTGAGGGTTCGGTAAGGCGTGTATAGTTGCGAGTGTTAAACAGCGTATAGACTGGTGGTGATGGTGTCGGCGTTTCCTTCCGGGGAAAGACAGACGAGAGGCGTGTTGAAGAGAGTCCCCTTCGCGTGTCTTTACAGAAGACAGGCACAGACCTGACTGGCGGCAAGTTGGAAGTTGAGATCCATCTTGTCGAGAGGTTTCGTAGGTAAGGTGATCTGGTTGTGGATGTCGCAGCGAAGTGAGAGTGGTGGTCTTTCACAAGTCCTCTCGGTGATGAAAATGGGAAGCGAACCAGGGGTGTTTTTGGATCTCGGTATTGGTCTTGGTGAAGAGAAGATTAATGTAGGTTGGGGGGAGAAGAAACGAACCCTGGAGGGGAGCGCGGGAGGAGCGGGTTAGTAAATGAGCATCGTAATGGGATGGGAAGTAAGGATGGTACGTGTGGATGGCGGAGGAAGCAAGTATTCCTCTTCACTGCGTCAAAGGTACTTGACTCTCCGCACAGAGTGCGCCGCCCAAAGAAAAAAAAAAAAAAGGTAGGGGATGTACCTGGGTCTGGTTGTACCCTGTCACCTGTGTGCCTGTGTGCCCGTACCTATTGAAGTGCGGATGCTTGGCTAAGACGAAGTGAATTGGGAAGATCTGCCTTGGGGGTGTCTCAGGTTCAAGGCCCAGGTTATTGGCCCGTATTATTTTTTTTTAAACGATTTGGGGGGGCGACGCTGGAAGACGGGGAGGAGTAAGAGCATGGATGGAGGGGATGGGTGGGGGGGGGGGTGGCATCACAAATTCGGGGAAACCCATTTCACAGTTGCACTACGACATGGTAGTGAGGCGCTGGAGAACCTGACAGGGCAAGGCGGGGGGCCACCTCTGAGGACGGGGGAAGCATAGTGACGGGAGGCTAAGATTGTTATCCTGTCTGGCTCTGGGTCTCCTATCTGACCCTCACTCTCTCACTGTGCGAACCCGACAGCTCGTCACTCAAAGGAACACTTACATCTCCCAGGGAAGGAAAAAGAAAAAAAGAAGAAAAAAAAATACCGCGGCAGGCCAAAGGCACTGGACTGGACCCCTCGGCCACTCTCGACCTGGACTGTGGCCGGGGCTGGTCCACTGCAGTACCGCTGCTGCACAGTAGGCCTGGGTCACTTCCAGGGCGGTCGGCCCAGCCCCGATGCGGTTACAACAGAAAGGTGGGACTTCAAAGACGAGGTACCTTTTAGGTGATGCATCCGCCAAATAGGTACTCTCGCTTTACTGAAGGCCATCATTACCGATGACCGACCTGAGGTGAGTGTGGGGTTGGCTCTCTTGGTTCTGGCCAAAGTACGTACCTTTCAGGGTTCGTTCGCCTACTAAACCATAAACAAACAAGGGCGCGACTGGATGAGGCAACACCCACTTGCGTTTGCACTTTGTAAGCTTTGGAACCACTGACGCCAAGTGAGTTGTGAAGGTTGTAGTGGGACGTAGGTGCGTAGGTACCGTGCCACACATGCTTGTTGGAGGAGGGAGGATGGGATGGGATGGAAAAAAAAAAAAAAGGAGTAAATGGCAGACACTGGAGGAGTAAGAAGGTACGTACCCAGCCTATGTATGCCCTTGGCATGTCTCCCATCAGAGTGCCGCCTTTTTCCCCTGTGGTTTAAGGATACCTGCCGACAGTACATCACACAAAGGACTCAACGCATTATGCCGATATTCGAGGCCCATAAAGAAGTGGAGAGAGGTCGAACACGTACAGAGTACTGTGCTGTACCATGATCACTCAACTTGCATCAACCTGGAACTCCCCATCTGCTGGCCGCGCAACAGCCGCGAAAGCCTATCCCCGAATTTCCCTTCAACGTCTGCCACGATGACAATGTGGATTGTTGTTCTGCCTGTCGTCCGTCTCCAAAGACAACTGACACATTCTGCCAAGCGCCGCCCCCATCGAAGAAGAAGGAGAAGAAGCAACAATCGTTGGCGATCACAGCGTGACGCAGCCACAGATCGGCAGGCAAAGCACTTGAGAGTCCCCCTCTAGCCATTCAGCCATCACTAAAAACTGAGCCACAAGAGGAAAGGCGGCGAGGACCGACCGACCGACCAACTGACCGGGCCTCTCAGAGGCTGGCGCTTCAGCAGTCGTGGTGGTTGGACCCTTTCGCACTGAGAACTCTCTGAACTTTGGTGATCCCTTCCTCCCGCCCTCCGCGAGTGGCGGTTTTTCTCATGGTTTCGACCTGTCTGGCAGCGATGCGCGTCCAAGCCGTGCGACCGCGTTATTGATGGGCAGTTCCCCTTTGCTTTGGGTGTTATTTGCAAGTGACCCGAGTGGTTGCTCTGTAACAGCCGGATGACAGACTACTGTATGTTGTAAAGGTAAAGGTTGGGGGGGAGCAGGGATTCTCCAAACTGGATCAACACATACGAATGACCTTGCTTTCCCTAATGGTAAAATCAGACCCCAGCTCTGATTCACTGTGCCATTGAATGATGGAGAGTCCCAAGCAAATTGAGCGGTATTCTGGTTCTCGCCCTGCTTCGCCCTGCTAGCTAAAGAGCGCTGTGCCCGCTGTGTACTGCTTTGAAACCAGCAGACAAAAGGAGAAAGAAACAACAAAAACTACCAGACACACTGACAGCCTTGCCGATCGATAGGAGCATGCATTCTAGCCCGGTGTCTAATCTCTAACCCCCGTGTCTTTGATCACCGTCATTACTTAGACCTTGGGGCACGTACTCCGTACTTCACGAGGAGTCATCTCGACTGTCTATGAAACCGCCATCATTCCAAGTTTCTGCCGCGCCTGGTCTGGCCTCGTCACACTTCGTCTCAATCTCCAAGGACGCTCAGCTACATTAGTAAGAAGATGACCACTCAAAGAGACCCTTGGTGGCTCTTGGTGGCTCTGACTTTCCTCAGACATCATAACCGCTTCCTTGCCATTCCAGAATACGCACTCAACTGAACTGTCATAAGCCGCGTATCGGCATAACTCCCGCACTCCCATCCCCGGCTTACGTCATATGCCTTCATGCCACAAGCCAATTGTCATTGACGCGAGTCCCTTTCACCGAGCGTTTCTCGTCCAGGAACCAGCCGCGGCTTGACTACGTCGTAGGATGCGTTCATACTCCTCGAACCAGCCTTTCTGGCGGTTCAGATGGCGAGAGATTACCTCATCATCCAACCACTCGAGCCGCCTCCGTCACGATATCGGTGACGCTATCTTGTTGCTTCGCTAACCGAATCAGGGAACCATCCCACTCGACTTTCATCACACAATCAAAGACAGACGCACACCCATTTGACAAAAGGCACAAAAAAAAACATAAAGTCATAATCCAACGGGGAAATCCTACCACCCAGTGGCAACTCGGTTACCGGCACGGTCCAACAATGGACCCTGCAAACGGGGAACGAACCCGAACCAAAAACGTTACCATCCAGCAACGAGCAACGTTGACCCCCCAAATACTCTCTCCTGTTCGTCTCCCTTGTGCCAGGCTAGGCTGATATCATTCACCGAAGCCCCCCCAGCAACCTGCCTTTTCGGCACCGAAGAATCGGGGCTGAAAAAAGCTGCTCTCCATGTAGGGATCATCAGTCGAGCAAGGGGGGGTGTTGATACTTTGTGTGAACCAGCTGTCGTGTGAGCGTCCCACCGCACAAGGTACACACACTACACATCTGGCTGACATTTATTTTTGACTCAATATGTCTATTTTTTATTTTTTTCATTCCTGGTTGTGTCTCCTCCCCCATCGTCACATTTTCCCGCAATTTCGGTCCTCTTTAAGCAAAGAGACCGAAAACGAGCGAATCGAATGATTGGAGATGGGGAATCCACTGCATCAACTCCGAGCGTCTGGTCGTTCCGTCCCACCGTCAATCAGAATCTAACTGGCACCTCATGCTTCTCTGACTTTTTTTTTTTCCTCCCACGCCGGCGCTTGCTTCCTTGTAACCCTTGCGTAGAGGGAGCTTGGGAAACCCAATGCAGCCATCAACCATGTGATGAACAACAGCTTCAATGTCGCTCTGGCGTCCACCTAGACTAGCTCTTTAGAGCGACGCGTCTTCTCCGCCTTGATTGCACAACAGCTCTAACTCCGACGCGGTGGTAGTACCGGTTTGCTCGGAAGCTTGACCATGTAGCGTCGATTTGAACGTGGCATTCTCCGTTCGGCTCGGCCTGACTCGATCGGCTTTCTAATCCATTGCTGTGTAATCCAATTGCCCCGGTTCGACCGAGGAACACTCTCACCCATACTACTATAGGACGGCCTAAGCATTACAAAGGCTGCATTGGACGGGGCGACGGGCAGTGGAGTGCAGTAGTAGTACACTTCTAAAAGAGTGAACTGCGGGTAGTGTGCACAAAACTACTTCATCCGACCCGGCTACCAACTAGCTCCCATGCCCCCATTCTATACCTAAATGAATCGTGCCAATGTTCAAGTGGACAGGACAGGCAGTACTCCGCGACAATAAGAAAAGAAAACATCTCGTTCTGTAGTTTTAGTCGCCTAGACAATGCCTCTCCAATTGGGGATATCACCCAGCCCCATTCTAAACGCCAAAATGATGATAATAATAATGCCCTTATGCTTCATGTTACTCATTTCATGCCCTTCCAACGCCTCGCCCCAAGCTTGGTATTTCTCAACAAGCAGCGTTCCACATCTCATGCACCAGCATCGCGCCAATAACTGACGCACCCTGTACGCAAGATGTTGCCTCTGGCATACGACTGTCCCAGATCTGAAGCGCAAAGTGACACGCCACGGCTAGTTCGCCGATGCCCAGCGACGTGTTGATGATGGATGCCCAGCTAGGCGTGACCTCTCTACGCATATCTTTGATAGCGTCTCCCGTAAGATGAACAGCGATGGCCATGCTGAGCACCATCGCCCCGAGCATCACGTCCCGGCTGTATGGGTATGATGCAGATGTTGCATGAAGCCAAGCGGCGAGGAGAGTCGCCAAGGTGAAAACGTCTAGCAGCCGGTTGTTCCGTAGCCCGGCAGTTCTTGCCGAGGGCCCGTTGTTTGCCGTCTCGGCGCTCATATTTCTTGATTCGAAGCCCCCGCCATTGTCATCTCCTTCATCGGGGTCGTCTTGGCTCAGGCTGAAGCTCGAGTTGAGAAGATCGGCCAAGGAGCTTCGCGGGTCGCTGGGGTTGGACGCCGAAGGGGCGAAGAACTTGGGCTGCGCAAAAGCCACATCTCCCAACTTCTCCTTGTCGCCGTCGGCTGCCGCGTGGGCATTTGATGCGTTCATACTGCTAGTCGCAAAGATAGACTGCTTCTCCACCGGCTTGGTAATGAGCGGCTTTGGCCCGTTTCGCAACCTCTGCGCCGGAGCTATCGGTGCAGGAGGCACCTTGTACCAAAATGGGCTGGCGTTCGGACCTTGAGGAGGCTGCCCGAATACCTGGTTCGGTGCCTTTGGAGGTCCAAAGTCATTGAATGCTCGGTGTTTAGACTGCGTCGGAGACCAGTCCATTTCCTCCGAATAGTGGACCTGGGGTTGCTGTGTCTGAGGCTCAGGAGTGCTGACACGGAAGCTGCGATTGCTTGTCCGGTGCTGCAGTTCCCGCTTGAACAGCGCTGGCGAGTTTGAGCCAACACTGGTTGGGCTTGGGGGTATTCTCGGTGTGTGACCTGACTCCGCCAATATATCGTCAAGCAAGTTGGACATATTCTTCGTGTCGTCCTCTTTGCGTTCCGCTTGCGGTCTCGGGGGTGATGAGGCAGGAGTTCCCGTTGTCTGGAACAGTGGAGTTGTATCGATGCGCACTGATCGTTGAGCGAGAACGTAAATCTATGTTCAAATTAGTGAGAGCCCCTTTGTGGTTATGACTTTCTTCCACTTACCGCCATCATAAGCAATGCCATTAGGCCGTGGAGGCTCATCTGCGCGCTCCCCTGCCCTGATCGGCCGCCCCTCATTTCCGTCATGTTCATGGCCATAAACCTCGTCAAGATAATCAGACCCTGGAAGGTATACCATTGACCGAGGCCTAAAATATGCCGAGAAAACCCGCGAAAGACCTGCGCAAACTTCGGGTTCCACCAGATGCTCAGTGCGTTCGCCCACAAACTCCAGTAAATCAACCGCTCCGGTTTAGGAAGAAGCAGTGTCAGGGCTAGCGAAAGCCTCTGCACCCAGGTCGAAGTCGCATCGGGGTCTCTCAGCGGTTCGTCGTCCTGGCTTGCAAACACAGCTGCTAGAGACGCCAAATGCCACATGTACTGGCAGACGATACCACCTAGCCAAAGCCACCTACCCAGCGTTGCTGATACATCCAAAGGGGTTGTCTTCCTGGGCACGACACGGTTCTTTCTACTCCTATCCATCATTCGTCGCAGGTGATCTGTCCGGGCGGTATAGCCAGCCTGATCCAGCTTTGAGTGGACTTTAGGTTCGCATTCTGCACATATTTGAGGGTATCGCTGCTCGAGACGCCTGCGGAACTTGTACATGTTCTTCTCTAGTTCCGCATAGTCCGGGTGGTCCGTATCCTCAGGGAGGTACTGCGCTAGGGAGCTTGTAAACAGATGCTGGTTCTTGAGGCATGTCGAACAGAAGATGCTTTGGGAAGGGCTGGGGAAGTCTGGAGACTGGGAGCGCGGAATCGCGTATGTTTTTGGCGCGGGTTCAGAAGTCGTCTTTGCTACAGGAGGATCGGTAATTTCTCCACGCTATATCCTGTAAGATGGGGTCCAATTTGTGAAGTGCCAAAGACTGACTTACCTCGTCCAAGTAGTTAGTAGCATCGCAGTGAAGGCAAAGAAATTCGCGAATCAGGCCGTCGTAGCGCGTCGACGAGCGTTTTCCGCAGTAGAAGCAGGTCAGAAACCTGCGTCCTCTCAAGTGTGCCATTGCGCTTTGAGATAGCAGGCTTCCCGGCCCAAACAATGCATTTATGCAGGCAGGCGAGATGTCTTTCCTTTCCGATCCTGTTGTTCGCTGGGAACTTTCTAGGTTCTGCCGGGCGGTCTAGCGACGTTTCTTGAGGAATGCAGGGGAAGGTACAGGGATCCTGGGTAATCAGCACGAACATGAGGTCATCCGCTTTTTCTGCCAGGAACCTCATGGTAGGACGCACTAACAGAGTGCGCTAAATGGTCGCTGCTCTGGTCTTGCTGCAGCTTTCTGCAGGGACTGAGCTAGGTTCTCCACACGTGTTTAGTGAATGTTTTAGCGACTTAGGTCTTGCACTAACAGCATCTAGTAGCTGTCAGTACTTTCACTCACCATCCACTTCACTTCTCAACAAGGTTGTTGCACAGAGGGAAGAGATCACAGCCTTCTAAGAAAACATCTGGACTTGTTTTCCAACCCTTCTTCTCTTTTCTAACTGGGAGCGCCAGCGCATGGGGTGGTCTTTTTTTGTTACATAAAAAGTGAAAGCCAAAAAGTTAGTTTCACACCAACGGGAAACAATTTCACCAAAGATCACAACACGTTGCTAACATTTGTTCAGAGCTTCACTTCCACCCCGCCCCTGAGCTGTCATCAACTCAAGGAAATGGCAACTCGACACACATAGACTCTTGAACTATCTCAATACAAGTCACAATGGGAAACACCTCCAAGCCAGCAGCTTCTATGCTCCTTGGAATTGTCGCTGTGCTCTGTGCCCTTGGAATGGGAAGCATCTTCCGATCGTCGTGGAAGGCTTCACTCGGAACTTTTTTGCTGGGCATCATTACACTCATAATTTTTTTGACAGTGGGTCCATTAAGTCTACTGTAACAATTCAAGTGAGAATCGACAGCTAATATTCTACAGACTCGCCATCTCCAAATACAACGAGATCGTCTTAGCCGCCCTTTGAAATTATCCGATGATGTCAAAGAAGCTGGCTCAGGCCTGCTCAGAGGAGCCTACCTGCTGGTAGTTCTCGGCTCAGGCGGTCATACAAAGGAAATGCTCGCCATGATGGAAATTGGCTTTCCCAATGTGCCTGACATGCATCGGCGTTACCTCATCTCAAGTGGTGACAGCATGTCTCTTAAACACCTCGAGGCATTCGAGAGGGACATCAAGGCTACCCATGGTGAGAAATGGGCTGGCACGTACGATCTGCATATTGTAGCTCGAGCACGTAAGATCCATCAGAGTCTTCTTACAACTCCCTTTTCGGCGATGCTTTCGGTTACCCAGATCTTCCCGCTCCTGCTGTCTTCTCCTTTTACGGGCGCACGAAAACGACAGCAATTTCCAGACATCATTTTGACCAACGGACCCGCAACGGGATTTATTGTTGGGTTGGTGGTGTATCTTCTCAAGATATTCTATGTAATACCCGAGGACACCGCTCAGGTTCTTTTTATTGAGTCGTGGGCCAGAATTCGCTCTCTCAGCCTGACAGGCAAACTATTTCATCACACTGGCATTGCTGACTTGCTCCTTGTACAACACGAACCGGTAGCCAAGGCGTATGGTGTCACCAATGCAGGATGTATGGTTGTGAAGGAAAGGTGAAAGGCGTATGTTTGAGGATGAGGTTCATGAATAGCTATGATGACTTCGTCATTAGACCTACGATATAATCGAAAATAATACACCACCCTGCCAAACCCGTTTGTTGCGTCGAAGCATTGCAATTTTCTGGAGCGATCGTGGAGCTTGGACGTGATTAAGACCTCAGCACCCTCATATACAAGTTGGAGGATTGATAAATACCCATGAGGCAGTTGATCGGAAGGCCTAATCGTTCACTCGTCCTAGTCAAACATCCGCGATTATCAATCCATCAGCCGACAGCATTCAACCATCACCAAGCAGCAGAGCCATCGTCATTGAGCAGGTCGTATTATACAGAGTTTTGTAGTACATATGCTTACAAGAACCGTCCACCTTTTGATCAAGCCGCAAGGGGCTCTGCCTCAGCATCGGCCACATCCCCACTTGATTCCTCACCAAAGTTCGCGTAGCTGGCATTGCGAGACGCCTCGAGCAGAATTGCCCGCTGTCCAGCCCAGCCCTTCCAGGTCTCGAACTCCTTGTCCTCCAAGTCCAGACCGATCTGCAGCCTGTTCTTGCCAAAGTAAGCACCAACATGCCTTGCCTCCTCCCTGGCGACGCGCTTCTCGATCTCCTCCTCCTGACGAAGGGCGTAAAACTCTTTTCTTGCGGTGTCGTATGCTTGCTCCTTGGTCATCTGTTTATTGTACATGAACCAAAGCTGGCGTTGGACAACACTAAGAAGGGTCAGCAATACGGTCTAACTAGGGCTATGCGATCAGCTTACCATTCACCGGTCAGAGGCAGGCCAGGCTGGCGCAGACCCTTGCTCCAGTCACATCTCTGAGCGTCCTTTCCGTCTGCCTCCAAGATCATTCTCGGGCGGGCCAGCTCCCATGGGTGGTCTTTGTAGAAAGTTGATCGCAGCGAATCCTCCTCGTGAACTATCCTCGGGGGCTTATAGATGTTGTGCGGCTTGCGATGCTTGGAATGAGCAGGGGCGCTTCGAGACGCAACAGGCCTTGTGAGAGTCTCGGAAGGGGGAATGTCGCGCATAACCTGGAACCACACTGGCTCCTGGACAGGGTACTTGGGAAGCATCCTCGTGTTCAGCTCCTGGCTAACAGCATGGAAGACCCTCGCGGGCCGTATTTGTCGACCCATAGTGGCCTAAGAGACTTATTAGATAACAGCATGACGCGGGGGAAGTCAATTGAGACGTACGGTTCGATTTGGTACAGCAGCGGAGGTGCGAGGGTTGCCGTCGGGATACCAGACCACATTCGATGGTGTGAAGCTCCATCAGTCGCGAACTGCAGCTCAGAATTTTGGAACGTCGGCCAATCCTAACGCCGCCGCCGGCACTCCCATGCAGCCCCACTTTATCCATGCATTTCGCCTGCGAAATAATTCCCAACCCAATCATCCTAGAGCTTTTGGTCAACCAGCTTGAGCTTCCCGACTTCGCCGTTCCTTTCAATCTTTTTTCTACACTACAATCAGCTAGCTCTCGCTCTTTTGATGGGACGGTAACGCTGTGGGCCGCAATGCACGACAACCCATGAAAGTTCTCAGTCGGATTGACGGGTCCGTATGCGGCGCGATACTCTCAACACGACCCTCGGCCACCCGAGCTGCAGTTTCTTCTCGCCAGAAGCTCCGAGACGATAGACCCCCGAGGGCGCCGGCGTCCCAGTGCCGACGAGAACAAACCAGAGGTGCTCGTTCGCATGGCTCTCACTGCCCGCAGACTGCCTCATGGTTGCAGTCAACCTTCCTGCCGGCGCCCTCTCGACGTTCGCATCTCACTACCTACACCACCCTTCCTTGTCGTCAACGCATCCAACGATATAGCCATGCGACCGCCGCCGCCGCCGCCGTTGGCCCTCGTTCAGACCACCTGGTAATCCAGCGGAAGCAAGATCTTTTGGACTTTGTCGACAGCAAAGATGTGGGAACGGTGGAGGAACATCTCGAGATCATTCGGGATCCGTTCCTCAATAGATATGCTCAGCCAGAGCCGCCGAGGCTAACGATCTCCGAACGTAGAGAGGACAACCAATACCCCTCGTTTCAAGAAGCACTCCGTGGCGATAACAGTCTCACTCAATTAGCCACGTCACTAAGTGCAGCTGTTAGCACCAGATTAAGACACCCTGGAAGAATCAGTCTTGACACGATATTCAACATGTACTCAGCTCTACCGGAGCCGCGGATGATTCAGATTCCAGCCCATCTGCGCCACCGACTCCTTACCGCGTTCGGCACGCCGAAGAAGAAGGATTCGCAGACCATGCTGCGATATTTTTCTCTCATCGGAGAAGTGAGGGATTGCGGTCTCTCTCTACGACGGAACGAATGGAACCATGCCTTGTCATTCGCAAGCCGATATGTCGGCAAAACCACTGAGACAGAGGCTGAAGCTGCTCTGCAATTGTGGAAGGAAATGGAGAGACAGGCAAAGGTGCCTGGCAACGACGTCACATTCAACATTCTGTTCGATGCAGCGTCAAAGTCTGGAAACTTCCAATTGGCTGAGCTTATTTATAAAGAGATGGAAACCCGGAAGATCCCCTTCAACCGGTACCACCACGTCAGTCTGATTCACTTCTTTGGGCTCAAGCACGACGCTGATGGCGTGCGGGCGGCATACAAAGAGATGGTCGAAGCTGGGGAGATGGTTGACACGGTTGTTCTCAACTGTGTCATCTCCAGCTTGCTCAGATGTGGAGAAGACGAGGCGGCTCTAAGAGTTTACGAGCACATGAAGGCCACACATTCCAAGGCAGCCAGCCTGCCCGACAGAGACTATGTCGCACACAAGATGGTTAATAAGGTGCTTGGAATGTTCACGAAGGTGGGCAAGAAACACCCAGAATTACGAGCCCAATTGCAAGAACTTGCAGACACCACACCCGACATTCGGACCTATCGAGCTCTCATCAATCACTTCGCCATCAAGGCCGGCAACCTCAACAAGGTCGCGCAGTTCCTTGATGAGATGAAGTGGTTTGAGGTACCCGTTCATGGAAGCATTTTTCTGATGCTTTTTAAGGGATTCAACACGCATGGCGGGCTCCCTGGCTCCGAATGGAGCAATTTGCGGCTGCACAATGTCCTGTCAGCTTTGACACAAGCTTTAGATGAGAAGTCAGGGGCTGTATACCTTGACACATGGCTTATGATGTGGGCGCTGCGGGCATTTATGAGATGTACAAATAAAGAGACGGTGCTAGACGTGTACGAACAGTTTAAGCAGAGATGGAGACTGGAGGAAGATAGAGCTCAGTTCATGGATGCGTACATCAACAATCTGTTGGCAGGAAGGGATTCGGCGGTATATAAAGAGTCGATGCCCACACGGAAAAAGGTCAAGGCAGTCAGGAAACGGCCTGTGTAAAAACACTTCTCAATAGACAAATGATACCAATAATTGTAACATATTCACGCTCAATGCAATGTTTTCGTGCAGCTTGGAACATGGGCAACGAGATTGAACAGCACACAGAGAGATTTGGGCAAAGTAAATCGAGTTGTACATGTGGAAAAGTCGGTTAACGCAAATTTGGGTGAAAATGAATCGCTGAGGGCGAAATGCTCTATTTCTGCACATCTACACAGACGCCCCCCATCCGAACTCAATCCATGGTGTACATTCGCGACCGACTCAAAGAAAAGCGCTTGTGGCCGCTTAAACCTTGGGCTTGTAGGTTTGCCAAGCTGGAAGTTGTTAGCTATGTGGTTTGCCAAAAGTCGGCAGATTCCGGAGCAATGGAAAAAGAACGCACCAGCAATGCCGAAGGGGGCAAAGAAGCCGACGAAGGAGTAGGTCCAGAAGCCAGCGCCGAACCACTTGCCCTTAGGGTTGAAGGGAAGGTTGGAGTAGGCGCCCTCGGGGTAGTGGTAGGGGGAGCTCATCTGGGAGCGGGTGGTCGAGAAGCCGCGGCGGGCAACGACGGAGCGAGTCTGGGGGACCGCGCGGGCGGCAGCACGAGCGAGCATCTAAGGATAGTCAGTCAGCATCAATTGGGCATTCTGAAGCTCGAGAAAGGTCGTTAATACTTTGGCGGTGTGTTCTGAGGCGATCGCGACACGCAATTGGGAGAATCAGAGATGTGGTTATGGTGTTGAAGTCATTCAGAAGAGTGGTCTGAGATGTGATCCGACTAAGCTCCAAAGATCCTCCAAGGCTGATATGGTTATGTAAGCGCACGTGACGCACTTGTCAATCTGCCGTCCACTCTTGCGGTCGGGATTTGCAACTTGACTAGAGACAGACCGCCTTCCAACATATTTTTTTTTCTGCCTTTGCCCGCCTCCACCGACCCGCCAACTTTTTTTTGCCGAGCACCTTGGTATGCGACCGCTGCATCTCGCTAGGACCAGGCAAAATTGAGAGCTCCGTCTCGTCTCTCAATACCACAACCCGCGAGACGGATCGCTAACTTGGTTCTTTTCGGAGACCGACTCTTCGGAACTCCTGAGGGATATATCCTCTTAATCCCAATCGAATTATTTTTTACACATACAAAACAGTTTTGTCGCTGCTCCTGTTTCCACGTTTGGCTAAAACACGCCGCTCACTATGGACGAGCTATTCGACGTCTTCGACGCCCAGCCCGATGCGGCGCCCGAGTCGCCGAGCGAACCCGAGCCCTCTCAATCTCAGCCGCAAAGGTCGCGTAAGAAGGATAAGAAGAGCAAGAAGCGAAATGCCGATGGTGGGATGAAGAATGGTGTCACGCCTAAACAGGACGAGGACGCCGCCATGCCCGATGCCGATGACACCTCCAAGGATGGAGACGAAGCCGAGGATGCGGCCGCCACTTCAGATGATCAGCATGAAAGCCATAAGCGCAGGAAGAAGGAGGACGAGGCCCAGCCTGTTCTGACAGATACCTTCCAAACTGCCGAGTCTAGAGAGGTCGCTGGCGCCGCGACCTTTACACAGGCCCAGGATGAATCCCTCGTTCTCTCCCACAACATCCAGCACCAGGTGGCTCTTCCCCCCGACCTAGACTACGAGTATATTCCTCTCTCTGAGCACAAGCCTCCTGCGGAGCCTGCGCGCAAGTATAACTTCAAGCTTGATCCTTTCCAGAGCTTGTCCGTCGCTTCGATTGAGAGAGAGGAGAGCGTTCTGGTATCCGCCCACACGTCTGCTGGAAAAACTGTTGTTGCCGAGTACGCGATTGCTCAATGTTTGAAGCGCAACCAGCGAGTCATCTACACGAGTCCCATCAAGGCACTCAGTAACCAAAAGTACCGAGACTTCGAAGCGCTATTCGGCGACGTCGGCCTCATGACTGGTGATGTCACGATCAATCCTACTGCCAGCTGTTTGGTTATGACCACCGAGATTTTGCGGTCTATGTTGTACCGTGGCTCTGAAATCATGCGCGAAGTTGCTTGGGTTGTCTTTGACGAGATCCACTACATGCGAGACAAGACGAGAGGTGTAGTTTGGGAGGAAACCATCATTTTGCTGCCCGATAAGGTTCGCTACGTCTTTTTGTCCGCTACGATCCCGAACGCTTTCCAGTTCGCCGAGTGGATTGCCAAGATCCATCACCAGGCATGTCACGTTGTTTACACCGATTTCCGACCTACCCCCCTTCAAAACTACTTCTTCCCCGCCGGCGGCAACGGCATTTTCTTGGTGGTCGACGAGAAGGGTGTTTTCAGGGAAGGCAACTTCCAGAAGACAATGGCTCTCATCGAACAGTCCAAGGGACAAGACCCCTCCAATGCCAATGCCAACTGGAAGGGCAAGGGTGCGAAGAAGAACACATCCAAGGGTGGCCAGGCTGCGGACATGAAGTCCGACATTTCAAAGATCGTCAGGATGATCATGCAGAAGAGCTTTCATCCCGTCATCATCTTCAACTTCAGCAAAAAGGAGGTTGAGAACCTGGCGCTGAACATCTCCCACTTCCAATTCAACAACGACTCCGAACAGGCCATGGTCAAGACGGTCTTTAACAACGCTATCCAAAGTTTGTCTGAAGCCGACCGTGAGCTCCCGCAAATCCAGAACCTGCTCCCCCTTTTGCAGAAGGGTATTGGTGTGCATCACTCTGGACTTCTTCCCATCTTGAAGGAGACTATTGAGATTCTATTCCAAGAATCCTTGATCAAGGTCTTGGTTGCTACTGAAACCTTTTCTATTGGTCTAAACATGCCTGCGAAGACTGTTGTTTTCACTCAGGTTACCAAGTGGGATGGTACCCAGCGGAGACCGCTGACCCCGTCCGAGTACATCCAGATGTCTGGTCGTGCTGGTCGTAGAGGTCTTGATTCCCGTGGTATTGTCATCATGATGATTGATGACAAGATGGAACCAGATACTGCTCGCGCTATTGTGGTCGGTGAGCAGGACCGCCTCAACTCCGCCTTTTATCTTGGATACAACATGATTCTCAACCTCTTGAGAATCGAGGCCATTTCCCCTGAGTTCATGCTCGAGCGTTGCTTCCACCAGTTCCAGACCGGTGCCAGCGTTCCCACCCTGGAACGCGAGTTGGTGGCACTTCAGCAGGAAAGAGACAGCATGTCTATTGCCGACGAAGCCACCGTCAAAGACTACTACAACTTGCGTAATCAGCTGGAGCAGTACACCAGCGACATGCGGGCTGTCATTCAACATCCTGACTACTGCATCGATTTCATGCAACCTGGCCGTCTTGTCAGAATCCACGACCCCAAGAAGACCAACAACACCTTGGGTGGTGCTGACTTCGGCTGGGGTGTTGTTGCGGATCTGGTGAAGCGTAGGGAGCGCAAGCAGGGAGAAGCCGAGTACCCTCCCCAAGAATCATACTTCATTGACGTTATGATGGTTGTCGACCAGAAGAGCGCACCTGTCCCTGAAGGTGCCCGTCCTTCGACCACGGACATGCCTAACGGACTGGTCCCATACTCAAAGCCTGAGCAACCTGACAACGGGGCTCGCTTTGAGATCATTCCCTGCTTGCTGACCTGTGTTAAGGCCATCAGCCAAATCAGAGTCTTCATGCCCAAGGACATTAAGTCGCAAGCGGCTCTTGAAGAGGTCGGCCGCTCGCTCAGGGAGGTTCACAGACGATTCCCTGACGGAGTGCCTCACCTCGACCCTATTGAGAACATGGGCATCACCGACGACTCTTTCAAGGCTCTCATGAGGAAGATTGAGATGTTGGAGGCTCGCCTCCTTACCAACCCGCTCCATGGCTCACCTCTACTCCCCGAGCTTTACTTGCAATACCGCGCCAAGGAGAAGTTGGGTGAGCAGATCAAGGCCAAGAAGAAGGAGATTGCTAGGCTTCACAGCATCGCGCAGATGGATGAGCTCAAGGCCCGTAAGCGTGTCCTTCGCCGTCTTGGTTTCCTCAACGAATCCGAGGTCGTTGAGCTCAAGGCTCGCGTCGCTTGCGAGATTTCCTCCACCGAAGGCCACGAGCTTGTCCTTGCCGAGCTCCTGTTCGATCGTTTCTTCAACGAACTGTCCCCTGAGATGATCGCATCTGTTCTTAGCTGCTTCGTTCTCGACGAGAAGCTGGAAACTGCCGCCCTGCGTGAGGAGCTGGCCAAGCCCTACCGTGAAGTGCAGGCCAAGGCCAAGCAAGTTGCCAAGGTCAGCCGTGAGAGCAAGCTTGAACTTAATGAGGAGGAGTATTTGGCTGGCTTTAAGTGGCAGTTGATGGAGACTGTCTACTCATGGGCCCAGGGCAAGCCTTTTGCAGAGATCTGGTAAGTTGGCCTCAACGTTATCATCATGGTTCATTCACTAACACGAAGCAGCAAAATGACGAACGCCTACGAAGGTTCTCTTATCCGTCTTTTCCGCCGTCTGGAAGAGCTCCTGCGGCAGATGGGCCAGGGCGCAAAGGTCATGGGCAGCGAGGAGCTCACCCAAAAGTTTGAGGACAGTCTTGCAAAGATCCGCCGTGACATCGTCGCCGCCCAGAGCTTGTACCTCTAAAAGGTTTGTACCGGGTGCTTTTCAACCACAGGCACATGTTTGGGTGCCGACAGTTTCCCCCCTTGTTTGTTGTTGTTTCATGTAGCCATGGGGATTTCAACGAGGCGTTGATTGGTTAAGGGAGGGTTATACCATGTAGAATCTTTGTGTGTGCGGATTCGGAGTTGTAAGAGGTTTGCAAAAGCCCTTTCTCCATGGCCACCAATGAAGCAAGATAATGGCCCTTTTTGCTGCGTCTATCTGCGTGATAAATATCCTTTTTTTTTTTGCCCTGCCATGCTCTGGTATCATTAAAGAATTTCCAACCTAAAACGCCTTACGTAAAATGCCTGAGTCTATCGATCACCTGAGAACGCCCTGATGACGCCAATGATGATGCTCAACGTCACACCAAATCCGATGAAATCCTGCCACCGCCCTGAAAGCATACTCTCCTCCCTCGAAAGCCAACCAAGGCACCCAAGAGGCCAGAAGAACCCGACAACCATGCCCTCAATCAGCACGTCCAGAATGCCGCCCATAACGCCAAAAGCATCGTCCCCGCCGCCTTCTCCGCCGTCACCACCGGCACCCGCCGCACCGGGCATAGCTCCGCCAGCATTACTATCGATCCACGAGTCCTCAAGCGAGCGCATCGTATCCGGGCTGGGCATGGTGTCGGGGGTGTACTGCGCCGCTCGGATCTCACGGAACTGAAGACGGAGCTGGTTTACCTCTGCAGCCGTGAAACCCGCATTAAGGAGCCTATCAAAACCACGCGGGGTCTGACGTTGCGGTTGGGATTGGCTCTCGCCATGTTGGCGTTGGCCCGCGCCGTCTGGTGGTGATGTAGTAGCGGACGTGGCCCGATCGGAAGGCGCACGGAGGGCAGCCTCGGCTTCAGCGGCGAGTTCAGCATCGGTTAGACTGTCGCCAATGCTGCAATTGACATAGACGCGTGGCGGCGCGGCATCGTGGGCTTTCGCTTTTCCCTTGCCTTTCGGATCTTCCAATCCTACCGGAAAGGACGGCGTCGTAGGTGTAGAGGTTGACGATGGCGGCGGTGGGAGGGGACGGAGAACGGAGCTGAGAGCTGACCCATCGGGAAGGATCTTGCCTTGATGGATGAAGCGCAGACGGCGCTGGGAGTCGGGCTGAGAAAGGCGGCTGCGGATGAGATGCTTCAGGGCCGCTACAGTGGTCTGTGACGGGGACGGGATGTCGAGGTCGAGGTCTGGGAGGGAGGTTGTGAATCGGATTCTGAGGAGGAGAGGAGGTGTCCAGGGGCGCGAGGTGCTCATTTTGGTGGCATTGTTTTAGTCGGGCTTTGAACCTGAAAGCTGTTGTAGACTGTGGGGTTATGAGCTATGCGGCCACAGCTGTCCTCCGGAATGCGTAGAAGCTTAGTTGGACCCTTGAAGAGATGACATCGTCTGCAAGGCTTATCGATATGCGCATCGTGGGCTTATGCATATATCCGATACACATCTGCATAAACATAGATTGCACAAGTATTTTAACCCCTGCTCCCCCTGAGCACCTTTGACCTTAATTCTTTAGGCGCTACATTTACCTCTCATGATTATGAACCCGAGCCCTTGGATATTGTCCCTCAATTCTTGATAACAGCTCTACATAAATTGGCCATTTTCGTTGCATTTTCCCCAAATTGCATCGTATCTAACAATCCTCAAAAAAAGTCCAACTACAAAATACCCAAAAAGATTTAAAGAGTAGATAAGGACAGTTAAAAATAAAAATAAAAAAACGATGTTAGGATAGTCATTAGATTCTCAGATTGACAACAAGAAAAAAGGGGCGGGGGATAAAAAACCAACTTCAAAAGTCTTAGGAGCCTGATAATAAATTTACGCTTCCCCAATTAGTAGATGCATCAACCTCATTTGTACTACTCTCGTTATTCTCTCCCACGACTCGAAGTTCTGCCCTTACCAACCCCGAATATACATCCGCCGGATACTTCCAGGAATGTGATGTATAACCGGCCCTGTTGAGGGCGTATTCCAAATTGACGGGAGATGTACCGTCCATTCCTCATCCACCGGAGAAGTATATGACCCTAGGTCATGCCAAGTACAAACCGTAACTTTACCAGTAGTGGCCAAAACAGTATAATCCGTTGGACAACGATTGCAGTGACCGGAGATTTCCTGCCCTAGTCTGCTAAACGCAAGATACACATCATCCATTAGGCCTACGAGTCCTAAAGCTTGTGATACCTTGTTCGGGGGCCGGGGCTCCCTTATTGTAGAGCCTAGTATTCTCATGTGTGGGCATGTTGATGTCAAAGAAAGGTCCTTGAGGGATACCTGTGAAGTCCAATCTTAAAGCTTGAGTTCTACTTGGAGAAGGAACTTTCCGCTGACAATCTTTGGTTCAGCGCGACAATAACACTGTAGTTTGGAGGCAGAACCCTTAATGCTGTGGTACGTAAATGGTGATATAATATTCTTGAGGTGACTCTGGTTGTTGTGTTTCATTCTCGTGAGCTTCAAAGCCAGTTGGACATGCGAGTGACGCAGTCTATAAACGCAGTGAAACTTGAGATCCATCTGTTGCTGGCAAAGACAAGGCTTTTGATATGAGTTAGGAGTGTCCCAGCAGTCAACTTCATGTAACTTTTGGCAAGGCCCGCAGACCCAGTGGTTTGGCAGGACATAGGCAAGTCCAGTCCAGAAATTAAGTTGCTGAGTGCGAGTAAGTCGGTCAAAGGCAAGCCTCCAATCTCTCTGTGTAAGTCGTCGAGTAACTCTACAAGTATGCGAAAGAAGAAACTCATCATACAAATCGAGGTGGCTGATGATCTTAAGAAGGATTTCGCTCGGGAGTCTGAGAATATTCGGTACCTGAACCGCTACTTCTAGTGCCTTGCCAGTTTTCTCGGAACGGCGGCCCCAGTATCCCAGCAGCCATCGGATGGAATTCATTGCGGTTTACTGATATTGGTATAGATTTGGCGAGTCTGAGTAATCGTGTCAGATAACAAAAAAAATATGACGGCTGTTGATGTTGGCAGAACTACGGCACTGGGGGACTGAGATGGCTTAGTAGCGGGTGTAAGCAAAAAGTCGCAAATATCTGGGAATGCAATTCCAGATAATCGAATTTGCAATGAGGAAGTTAGGCAGAGCCTAGACGTCAAAATAGCGGGTTGAGTTGGTAAGGACGTAATTTGCACAAGGAATTGAGAAGCTTTTATAGGTCTAGGCTAACTTCAAAAGCGCACCAACAGCCGAAAATGTCAATCATCCAGGTTCTTAATGATATATGGAAGGTTGTCGTGAACCGAGGAAATGCAAAGCTAAGCCGCCGCATTGCTACTGTGACCTACCTTAACCTATAGAAGCGTCGTGTCTGTTCGCTTTTCATTTTCTTCACACTACTCTCCATACATCTGTTCACCTTCATCGCCTAGCTTACTAAAAGTGTCACTAAATAAAGAGTCTAATATCCAGTTGGAGGCGAACAACTGGTTAAGGTAGTTATACCGAACCTTCTAGTTACTTTCTATAGTTGCTTGTAGGACGTGAAGTTAATATTTTGCTTCTACACACAGAGCATCGCAGCCATCCTATGCCATTCTCTGCATCTAAATTACTCTCTATTTAGTTCATATACTCGCCGTCCTCCCTTGACCATGACACGCTAAACGTTGAAAGCCTGCTCAAGCTGTTACCAACCTACTAAGCATGGCTGTCACAGTCTCAGACTGGCAACAACACAAACCAACTTCAATATTTATATACCAGAAATGTAGGCAGTACCCGTCTCGAAGCCCTGCGCTATCTACGGCTAACTCGATGCCATCACTTTCACCCGAAATTAGGACTCAGGTGGTATGACAATTTCAAGAGTTTACCAATTCATGCGACTCTCCTCGCTATCGATGAACATCACTGGTTGAGTCAAGTTCTCGGGGTTTGATCTCAATCGATGTGGCTGGTCCTTTGAGCAAGCCTTTCGGCGAACGGATCTCGAAATTGTGTACAAGATACACCATCACCAGCCTCATATAATCCGCAGCAAAGAACCTTCCGGGACAAGTGTCCCTACCCCGGCCAAAGGGCAGGTATTTGTCGCTTGTATCCGTCAATTCTTCATCCTTTTCTCCATTCGGAGACACAAATCGCCACGGCTTGAATTCATCCGGTGCTTCATAATTGTCTGGATCACGGTGTATAGGGTCATACGCCGCTGTCAGCCAAGTGCCTTTGGGAAGTATCGGGCCGGCCTTGGCAGATGGAAGCTTCAAACCTTTCTCAGCCACCACCTCCCGATTCAGACCAAGACCAAACCCATTGAAAGTATGGTAGCGCAAAGTCTCCTTGAGAAAAGACTCTAGGTGAATGAGATGTTGAGTGTAATCGTTACGCAGCACATCATGTTCCGCCTCTTCAAAGAGCACAGCTGTCTCCCGTCGAAGAACCACTGCTATGCAATCGTCACCTCCCGGCACCTTCCGGGTCAGATTGGCCACAGAGTCACTCAAGCTCTGGTAGAGAGTAGGGAGCGCAAGTGCACCGATCATCAAAACCATCCGTGATATGATGACATGGGGATCCCGGTCTTGCGAGTCGGCTGACTGTTGCGCCCATTTGATGTGGTGATAAAGCACGGTATCCTTATCCTCATCGGCCTCTTCACCACCCAGATGTTGCCGAACAAGGGGTAAAAGCCACTTGTGGAGCTTGTGCAAGTAATATCTTGACGGTGCTGCGATCAACGGCACGTAGAGCCTCCTGAGCGGCTTAGGAATGGCGTCATGAAACTGGTATGGGAAGATGTTGAAAGTCAACCCGTACATAATCATTGTTTGAACAAATTCAGGATCGCGACTGAGACTCTTGGAGAGAAAGAGGCCGACCGACAGCCGTCCCACAATACCGCCTAAGAACTCGAACTGGTCTCTAGTCTCCCAGCCATTGTCGCATGCCTTATCACATGAAGCTCCAGCGTCAAGGGTTATGGGAATGCTGTCACGAACTTGCCGCCAGACAACTTCTGGTGTTATTTTCTTCAGATGGACATTGATGGTCGGCATGTGCGTGAATTCTCCAGCGGGCATCTTCGGAAGATAAAAATGAACCAGATCCGGATGGATAACCATTTGAGGTGGCATAACCTCGGACCTGGGCCTTTTTGCCAACCATTCGATATCAGATGGCGGCACAACTACCATTGGCTTTGTGGTTGATAGGGGAGTAATGAATGGGCTTCCGTATTTATTAAACTAAAAAAACACAACATGTCGTCAGGACCAGGGCTTCGAGACACTGAAGGTAATTCAAAGTATTTTGTTGCGCAGTTGAACCTACCTTTTTGTACCCTGCCTCCACGACCCTTAGGCCATCACGGCTATAACGCAAGCTCGCTCGGAGTCTTGGGAACCGCTCCTTTCGTAGGCCAGCCCAGGGGAGGCCATCGTATTTGGGGTGGCGATTGTGTAAAACCCACGATATTATAAACAGGGTTGCCACAAGAAAGCCAAGAAGTACTATCAATGACTTCATGGTTAATGCTATCGTATGCCAAGCAGGTGCAACAGGTCAATATTGACCCAAATGGAGCTGGTTAAGCAGGTAAGATGAAAATAGGAATGGTCTCCAGGCATTAGCGGCAAAAAACAAAATCCACTGACAGTGAGTATGTTTGAGCCATGATTAAAGTTTCATTCTATGTGTGTTGGATAACCTTTGGTACCAAAACCCGCTTCTATCCCTGAGACCAGAGCCACTGCCGTCGTATTTTGCACTGACTACTCGAACGTTTGCTCACAAAACTTAAACTACAGTGCAATTAATACATAACACCGTGCCCCAGATGATCAATCAGCAGAAATCCCAATTCGCCAATTTGCTCACGTTGCTGCTCACATGAGCTTATCCTCAGCAAGCACAAACTCTATTGGCCAATCGAGCCCTTCAATGTCTCACATAATGCAACTTGGTTACAACTTATTTTCTTGTAGGGGTGGTGAGGAGCACATTCCTTTTTGCAATTACTCTGGTCTAGTATACACTCTGCCCTATTGGTATGGGCCGGCGTCAATTACGTCGCAAATAGCAAAAATATAATTGCTTGTTGTAGTTTTAACAGCATTCATCACATCGGTTGATGAGTCCTAAGCATACTACTGGTACAATTCTCGAGACAACAACAATCGCCATGGCTATGAACGGTACAGCTATTGCGGAAGACGGGCATCATGGATTGTTTTCAGTGAAATGGCCTGACATACTGTCAAGAACAAGCTCAAAGTACTTGGTATTAACTATCTTACTCTTTATCTTTTACCGAGCTTTTTTTTCGACTAAAAGCCGACCTCTACTTCCGATCACAATGCCATTGGATATCATAATCACCTCAGTATGTGTGACTGCTGGCGGATGGCCTCAGAAATTCCGGTAATTATACTCTTGCATTATCCGTGGCTTCTACAAATGCATAGCTGATATGTTGGGCTCCAGAAACGTTTTCCGAAGATATGGCGGGCCCCTATATGGATTTTCCGGCATGCATCAAGTCATCTACGACCCGAATATTGGCGGACCTCTCTTGATCAGTGGTCAACCTAATCATGCCCTCGAGTCCAGGACAGTGATGTGGAGCCTATTCATGCGCGTCGGAGGTACCAACAAAGAGGACGGCGAAACCTTGCACACGAAGTGGCAGGCCGCACACAAAGACCTATTGGCAGCACTCGAGCGCACTTTTCTAAACGAGCATGGTGCCGCAGGCGCCTTGACAGACGGAGACATCCCCAAGAGAATAGCCAGCTTGATATCTTATGTCGATGGAAACGTTAAAAGTTCGCTTAAAGGGTGGGAACGCACTGCAAACATAAAAGTTACCCGACCAGACACCCCGGAACAGCCGGGCATTGTTGAGGTCGACTTGATGAACCTTCTACGAGACTTCGGAGCTCACATGGCAATCTCGCTTCTTTTTGGAGAAGAGTGGCTGGCAAGATATCCGGAGTGCATTGAAGACCTCTGGAAGTTTGAAGAGCAAGTCCTCTTCTTGAGCCTGGGTTTACCGAGATGGATACCGCTGCGATCCTTCAAGGAGGGCGACAAAGCCCGCAACCGCATGACGGACCGAGTGGGCGAGCTCTTCAAACAAATATCGGATTACCAAGACGGAGCGATCAGTGGTGATGAGTTGAGAGACGTGCCGGCCGTGTCGTTCGAGCGTAGCAAGGTGTTCCGCAAATACGATGTCAGTAATTACCATCGTGCTGTGATTGAGACAAGCTTGCTTCTTGGTCAGAACAGCAATACGCAGCGCGCAACTTCATGGCTTATCATCTTCATATGCTGTACCCCTGGCCTACTACAGCAGATCCGCGACGAGGTGGCCCCGTTCGTCCTCGTTGAGCGTGACACTGACACAAACCGCCACAAGATCACTCATTTCGACCACCTGTCTATCCACAACAAGTGCCCGCTGCTGAAAGCTGCCTTCTACGAGACGTTTCGACTCACAAATGAGACAACTTCGGTGCGCCACGTGTCTAGACCAGTAGAGGTCCCCATGTCTACGAGCTCGGAAAACCCCAGCACTCACACTCTCCCGCAGGGGACTTGGGTGACGGTGCTTCATCACCTTGTTCAACATGACCCCACGATTTTCCCAGACCCTAAAAAATTCGTTCCCGACAGGTTCCTTCAAACACATCCTGACACAGGTGAGAAAGTTGCTCGACCAGGCTGTATGAAGCCTTGGGGAGTTGGCTCCGGCATGTGCCGTGGCCGTACATATGCCGAGAAGCAGGTTATGGCCATCGCCGCTGCCTTCGTCACACTTTACGATGTTCAACCTCTGGGCGGCAATGGAGGTGTGATGGAGGCCCCCCAGGGGTTGCCAGGCACTGGCACTAAGGTACCCAAGGAAGGTATCAGAGTGAGTCTGAGGAGAAGGGAGTTCATCTGAGCGAGGCTGCATTTGCGTTCACTCTTATGTGGATTGGCTACGGGTACATGCGCAAGACAACACACACACGCTCAGGGGTTAGTAAATGTTTTCTCTAACCAACAAGAAAATGCAACATACAAGTGCTTTTCCCGGCTCAACTTGCTACTTATACCGAGTCACAAATCGCAACCCAAAGCAGTTGATAAACGGACTGTTTTGTTCTTATGAAGTGATGATTGGGGTAGAAGAATAGAAGAGATACACCTTTAGCTATTCTATACTCAAAAGGAGTAGCTTCTATGTTCTGTGTAGTTTCGCTCTGCTTGTTTCTTTTATAATCTTAAGACCTTCAAAAATGCACATTGCAGAGAGGGGGATTTCTATTGCACTGAGAACAATATCCAGCGGTGCCTAAACAACTAATTTGAAGAACTGTCTTTTTCCATACAGACAGCGCAGTAAAAACCAAACTGAGGATCAGAACAGACAACCATTTTCAATAGCGCAAACATGATGAATTTACCTCGTTATGTGGAAAATGTTCCGTATCGACTTTTGACCTAACAAACTGAGGAAGAAAGTGCAGCAGACCTATATAATAAACTTGATTTTTGTTCTAACTATGTACTGGCTAAACAAAAATTTACTAGATTTGAAACCTTTCTCATATTTCTTTCTATGGCAAGATCAAACATATGGAGAAAGACCTTTCAGACAACGTTCTAATATAGTACTGATAACTGTGGTATCTGCGCACTACCAAGCAAGCTCCTCCACCGTTTTGTGCTGCTTGGAAAAGTCTGCCAAAGACTCTGGCGATTTTACCACCCTGGATGTGTCTCCAGCCGAGCACAGAGCATCATAGACATCTTTGTTGTGCCGCCGAAAAGCCTCCGCGAGGCCTCGGTTCTCAACCAACTTGAGTTCCATGTCATCAAGTTGAAACGAAAATGCTCTCCCACCCACCGTGGCGCACCGTCGTTTAACGTCAATCTCTATCTTGGCACCATGGTCTGCAAGGCGGTAAAAGTCTTCATCCGTGATTACAAAGCCAACCAAGCCAATTGTAGGCATGTTCCGCCCAAAAATGAACGAGAAGGATCTTGCGATAACGCATCTAACGCCGATTCCTGGAGAAATAGGTTGAATGTTAGTGACTTATGTTTCCCATTCATAGCCAATGTAGAGCACCAGTTCATTAGGCTCTACTGATGAGGTAGAGGTAAGGAACAGCACTTGAAAGCTCCGCTTGGTGGTATTTACCTTTCAAGGCTCGGGCCGCTTCCTCTCTGGAAGACCCGCATCCGAATGCCTTGCCGCCCACAACGACAGTATATCCTTTGCGAACATGTTCACGGAATTCAGGGCAGACGTATTCGAAGCAATGCGATCCCAAGGCTTCGTCGGTTGGGCTGGAACAGAAGGGTGCTGGAATAATCTGAGCTCCGTGAAAGAGAATGGTCAGTTCACTGGCCCACAACGAGAAGAAAAAGAATAGAAAGCCCAATACGAGTACCGGTAGCTTGCATGCCAGTAAATACATACCGCGTCTGTGTCCACAAAATCCCCCATTTTGAAAATCTGGCCTTGGATGATATTATCAAGGCCTCCACCTGTTGTCTCAGATGCAGTTGCCCTTGGGCTTGATTGTGTTCTAGTTTGTTGGGCTTGGACTGGCTTCAACCCAGGCTCAACGTATTCCACGTCGCTGTCTTGAGAACCACTTTGTACAGGTTTCTTTGGCGGCACTACGTTTTGTCTGTTTCGCCAGGCTTTGCATTTTTGCAGGTATTCATTGTACCTGGTTTCATCGACTTCTCGCAATAGGTTTGTCGGATCTGAAAGAGTCATGCTGAAGGACGAGGCGGCCACCGTGGCAGCAGAGCAAATGTGGCCAACGGATCCTGCTAAACAGTAAGCGGCCTGTGTGAAACAAAACAAAACGAGAAACTATGCTCGAATGAGTTTCAGAGCAGCATAGAAACAACCGCGTTATCGGGAAAATCATATACCTTTGCCCATTCGATTCCTGAAGTTTCGGTTTTGTGAAGACAGCCAATTTGACCCTTCTTCAGCGACGTCAGCCCCCACTATAATATGTCAAGTCAGTGAACATGTTTTCTTGACCTTGAGCCAGTCTTCAGTGTTAGGATAGAGTGTTTGCTAGTTATTGCAATCGTTGGAAGCAACACTCGAAGTTCAATCGCCGTATATACGACGGGCCAAAAACCGCCATAGTTCTCAAGGGAAACACTTACTACCGAGGCACATACTACAACCAGGTGCAGGTTGCTCGAAACCAGCCGATTCATAAATATCCATGAGGCCGAGAAGTTTCAGATTTCTGGCGATTGGTCGACTTCCGGGAACCATAAGGCGTTTGCCAGGTACTATCGGTATGCCTCGTTTCAGGCCAGCTTCAAGAACCAGCGCAGCCAGAACAAGATCTTCCTCAGTCGTTGTGCATGCGCCTATAAAGCAGCCGTCGAATTTCATACCCAACCGTTCCGTAACTGGGTGAACATCATCCGGTGACGGATAGATGGCAATGTTGGCCTCGACATGACTGAGATCGATATCAAACACGGCCGAGTATTCAGCGTCTTCGTCTGGGGCAAAATACACCGAGTTTGATTTGTAAACCTTTGCCTTGCGGCCATCTACAAAGGCACGCGTCACCTTGTCTGGGACGAAAATACCGGTTATTGCCCCTAGCTCTGTGCACATGTTGCAAATGGCAAAGCGAGCATCGCAAGACAGATACTCCGCACTCGGACCTCCAAACTCGACAACTCGGTCGGCAGCGACAGTGTTACGACGGAGCGTTCTCAGAATGGAGAGAATGACGTCCTTGCCCTTGATGTACCAGGCGGGTTCGCCCGTGAAGTTAACTCTGATTGACTCGGGCACTTTGAACCAGGTCTGGCCGGTTGCGAGACCGATCATATTGTCACCCGCTCCTAAGCCAATGGCTAGAGAGCTGACGGCACCACCAGAGCAGGTGTGAGAGTCGGCCCCTATGACAAGCATACCAGGCTCCGCTCTCTCCCTCACAAACTCGGTATGGAGAATCGTGTACTACGGCAGCATCATGTTAGACTCGGTACACCAGGCGCAGTCAAATCTCAGACGTAAAATAAAAAACATACGTTAGACCCCTGGTTTTCTGTCATCTTCAGATCCCGCTTGGCCGTCTCCAACTCCTTTCTGAGCATTTGGCTCTTCTCTAGATGATAATTGCGGGGGTCGACAGCATGATCGCCAGTGATCCAAAATCGGTCGTTCCTCCAGGCGCGTGGCTGCTGTCCGATGCTCCTGGTGGTGTGAAGCATGCCTAGCCATGCGACTTCGCTGGCAATAACCCAGTCCAGTGACACCCTCACGACATCCCCCGGCTTGACACCCCGAGGAGACGGCAGCGAAAATGCGTGATACACCATAATCTTTTCTGTCAGGGTCATTGGGCGAGCGTCACTCGGGGTTCCGAGGCGTTTTCGTAGGACTGGCCTCGCTTGCTGCGAAGCATCTTCTCGGGAGCTGATGGCAGAAAGCCAAGCTTCGACCAGGAACTCAACCTCTTGCAATAGGGCCTCTTTCTTTACAGCTTCAGCGGTCGTATCTGACGGCGCATGATCTGGGGTCCAGACAACGGCATCTGCAGCGATACCAAGACCGCCCAGCTCGGGATCTGTTGTACATAATTGAGCAACGTGGGCTATAGCTTCTGCTTCTGCCACATGACTTCTTTGTTGCAATTCACTTTCCACATGTCCCAAAAATTGGCTGAGACTGGAGAAGGAAGGTTTAAGTCCGGCTATTAATTCGGACCAATCAGATACGTCATTAAACATGGTGGCTTAGATAGGCATTTGGATGAGTTGCAGGCTTTCCTCCCTCAATTCTTTGTGTGTTGCGTGTCCATCCTCAATTGTGATTCGGTTCGAAAGGTCATCTCACTCACCTGAGTATAAGTGCGTAGCATCATGAAGATCAATACCACGGATGCTTTTCAACGCACTCAGAACGTTTGTTACGACCCGACTTTGGGGGGTTTCGATAGCCATACTCCCTAAATGATCTGTTGAAAACTCGATAAACTATTCTGGTTTCGGTGCAATGTGTTCGGACAGTCTTGCTTGCCTACCTAGCTACAAGTTGGCGCGCAGGTGAGATCGACATAGAAAGTATTATGGCCACGGCGAAATTAAGGTTGACATAGCCCAGTGCGCACTGAGGCTGTCCGGTGGTTAGGCGTACACTGAACGTTTACCTAGCATGTCAGCCTTTGGGACACTATTTCACGGAACCCAGAGCCAGTTTGAGTCAGCATGTCGCTCACGTCATCACCCAAACACCTAGCGGTCTTGATGCTTGGGAATGCATTGTGGCTTCTGAACGCAAGGACTTAAGTACTGTGATGCTTCAATCTGGACGCAGGAGTTTGTGTCAAGCTCTGCTGGCACCGCCAATATGTCACCAGAATTCGGTGCTTTCATATTAATCGTTGAATGCCAGCGGCGGGACTGCGGGCATTGATCTTGATGAAGTCGGTTCCAAATGCACAATGGTCAAACCTGCTCGGCTTAAACTGTGCTACAAAGGTCTCCAGTTGGCGTCTACGTCCGCTGGCAACTTTTTTTTTCATTCTTTTGCTGCTCACCACGTTCCATTCTGTTGGTAAAATATGTAAACCTGTCTTATGTCGCCAGGTTATCCTTGTCTTTGCGGTACCAGTGGGAGTACTTACCAAAGAGTAAGCCTTTGAATAGCCCCAAAATGCCGTATATGATCTTCTATCGCGACAAAGGGTCTCGATGATGATCGCTTGTTCTTCCCAGCGGTACTATGCAAGGCAGATAGAGCGGCTGTTCGACTGCAATAAACAATTAGACCATTATAGTAAGCCTAGGGTTACCAGTCAGTCCCATTCCACCGTTTGTCCAGTAGAAGTTGGCTAGATACTCGATCATGTTGTAGCCATTACGATCATCTGCGCTCGAGTGCCACCTTGTAAGAAGAGTCAGTATCCACTCTCTAGATAGCAATATTGTACTAGGCCCAGAGTATCCCATCGAGGTCCAGTTGGCTACAAGTACATCCTTGTGAGGAGGACTAGCCAGTCAGGGGCTAGCCAAGACGCCGATCGAATAACATAATTGAAGGGTTCCTATTTGATCATTCTGGCTATGAAACAGGTTCCAGCAATTACCAGAGTCCCAAGAACGCAGGTTAGGAAACATAAGGGGGGATGCCTTACAGTCACGTATCCCCAATATAAGGCGAAAGGTGTGGGTGTATATTGGGACTACGTGCCTGTAATCAGCCAGACCTTGTTAAGATAGCGAGGGAATGGTTTACGAAAGGTCTCTGTCCGAGTCGAACTAACATTTGGGGTCTGTATTCACGACGGCGTAGTCTTTCGCAGTCCACTCTGCCGAGTCTGAAGCCTCGAAGTATTCCTAGCCCGACAATCTAAACAGAGGAACTTCAGCGCGGCCTGGGATGATAACCGGGCAGAAGGCACCTTTGACAAAGGAAAGGGTATCAATGGTATTCTAATGTCCCCATCCCGCAGAGCCGCATCTAAAGAGTATAGGACTACGGAGTACATTAAGGTAGTTTCTGGGTGTATGCGGTGGAAATGGATGCAGGGTACACTGTTGTTGTCCCTTGAAGCTCACCGATTCGTTCATCAGGGCTAATGATATTGCGCAAAGTCACTGCAACTCCCATCAATCTACACTAACTGGTTCTTGAGCTCAAGGTAAAGTTGTGCTATTAGGGCTTAAAACAAAATACAGAGATGCGCAAAGAAGGATCTGTGCCCACAGGTTTGATTATTCACATCATCATCTGCGATGGCAAGAAAAGGAGCACTATGTGAACTCATGTGGATTATACATGGGTCTGCTAGGTTGACGCCTTCAACTTCTCCATGTCTACGGCCCTGTCGGATGGGGTTTATCAGGGCTCCGCAGTCCCCCGCTGTGGAGAGTAACTGGGAACATGTGGTTAGCAGACGGTCGATGGGACATCACGTCATCCAAATCACTCTCTCCTCCACTCTATGTTGGGCGTACAGACCGATAATTCATGTCCATGAGAGTTGCATGTTGCTATAACGAGGTCTACATGAGCAAGCGCCCGGACTAGTAATGGGAGCTCGAGATAAGTGAGTCGATATCGGCGTTGGAATGTGGAGACCTTGGGGTCAAGTGAATAGAACGGTTACTTTATCGTACATAGGAAGAACATCCATTAGAGGCGGTTATCTCGTGACTATCAACAACAACACATGCCTCTAATCGGTTCTCGGAATCGACTAGGAAAATCAGAGACTGGTCTAGGGATCACACCAGTCCACGTAATCACAAATCACATAAGGTTACCTCACGTAAGCTAGCATTAAGAAACCTTAATCTCAGTCAGCAAGACCAACTTTAAAGCAAAGCAATATTTGTTCCCAACTCATGATATTTGTCGACTGGCTATAAGCAGGGCCACAAAATACCCATTGAAAAGCTATGGAGTTGGAACGTGTTTACATAGTATCAACGATGTAATAGTTTGTTGGTGGCGGGCTGACTGAGGATATGGGCGACTCGCTCCATGGAATTAAGATTGGCATGCGTTGGTTCCACCAGAGAGCTGTTGAAAGAAGCTGTCTTAACATAGTACGACTGAGTCGCACACCATTGGCCATTGAGCTTCCTACCTATAGACTAATGTAGAGTTTTGTACTCCTCCATTGGGGCCTTGTGTTTCAGCCATTCGTGATAGCTTTGTACCCTCCCAAACATGGATTCCTCACAACAAGATGGATCCTTTGATGCCAACAGCTCGGTACACTCTATCACCAACTTTGCCAGTAGAGTACATTGAAAAATCTAACAAAAATGTTTATTAGGAGAGTGGGCATCTTTTGGGTTGGCGACTCTATGCGATCGTGGGCGCGCTCACTCTAGGGCAGATAACGATCGGGATGGTAAACACAGTTTTCTGAGCGTCTTGCAAGACAGCCTGGAGCCCAAGGCTACGTGTGAAGCGGGAAAAAGAAAAACAGAAAATGCGATACACGCGGCTTCTATTTCCCAGATCTTCGTGGCTAATACGTTGATTTTCCTACTGTAGGACTCGAGCTTCGTCGGAATCCTAGCGCCAACGCTGGGGAAAGAATTCAATTCATTGACAGATGTCGGCTGGTGGGGATCATCGTAGTAAGTACCGAGAAATTCCAGAAGAATTGCTTCAAATCTACACGCCGAAGAGGGTGATCGAGACTGACGCATGTTATACCAGCCTGGCAGCGGTTGGGGCCTCACTGCTGACGTTCGGGAAAATGTATGCCGTGTTTTCGACAAAGAAAGTATTCCTGGCATCTACGCTATTTTCAGCAATTGGGTCGATTGTTTGTGCCGTTGCCAAGACGTCGCATGTGTTTATCTTTGGTAGAGTTCTGGCCGGCCTTGGGTGCGCCGGCATGCAAATTGGAACCACTCTGTATGTTCGCGCCGTTTCTTTGCCTTCATACAAGTCCGCCGAAAGTACTTACTGAAACAAACCGCATGTAGCCTAACAGCATCTGTCATGCCCTTGTACAAGCGATCCTTTTATGGTGGAATTATAGGAACGGGCGAAGTCCTGGCCGTGATGGCTGGGCCCCTTGTTGCTGGTGGCATAGCCAAATCAATTGGCTGGCCATGGTGTTTTTGGATTAATCTACCTGTCGATGCTGTCATCATTGCGGCTCTCGCATTTCTGATAACCGAAAAGAAGACGGAATCAGGAGCCCTTAGGGTGTCACCAGTCGCAAAAATCGGCAAACTTGACCTGCCAGGAGGGGTTCTCGTCGCAGGCGGTACGGCATCTCTGCTCGTGGCCTTGAACTCCGCAGGCGCGAGGAGCTCTTGGACCGAGGCTACAGTGCTGGCGCCTCTCCTGGTATCTATTGCTGTTTTCGTTGTTGCTGCAGTGGACCAGCACAAGAAGAAAGACCAAGCAACCTTCCCTACGCGGCTGATGAGAAATCGACATTTTGTCACAAACATGGTTTGGCTGTTTATGCAAGCAAGCTCACAATTACCAACAATGTACTATGTAAGTTGACTCCACATCATTGCATCGGCTCTTTTTGGATTCTGCAGCCCTGTTTTTTGTACTACAATCTGGTGCCATGTTAATAACAAAATGATGTCGCACACAAGCTTCCGATATGGATACAAGGACTGGCAACCGATTCTGTTTTACAAGCCTCCATTGGGATGGTGCCCATACTCGCCGCATCCATCGTCGGCGCCATCGCAGGTGGGCTTCTTGCGTGGGCAACACATTATCTGCCTCCAGGGACGATAGCAGGAACTGCAATAATGTCAGTTGGCTCAGGATTACTCTGGAGTTTAAGACCTGACAGCAGTATGCCGGTTTGGATTGGGTTTGGTGCCATTTTCGGATTGGGAACTGGGTTCACGACGCAACAGGCCGCCGTCGGTGCACAAGCTGAGCTGAATGAGAAGGACTTTCCTGCGGGAATGTCAGCCCTTGCAGTGGTGCGGCATGTTTCTGCAGCTATCTTCATCGCCGTGGACCAGACCATCTTTTTGAGCCGGCTCTCCCAACTCTCGAGCGTTCTACCGGGCTTCAGCACAACATCCGCTCCCAGCATTAGCAGGGGCTATTTGAAGGACCATGTGACGCCGGAAAACTTTTCTCGGGCACTGGACATATACAATAAAGCCCTGACCAGCATATTTCTGGTCTCCATGATTCTGGGAATTGTGGGCTTCCTAACAGCTTTCGTACTTCCTTGGACATCTCTGAAAAAGCCACATTCTGGCAATGATGATCTTAACGAGCCAGATTCCGTCGCGCTTAGTGTGAGGCATCTTCCAAAGCTTAAAGAACACAGTACAGATTCGAACATGGAACAGTATCGTCACACAATTGCACTGGATCGCAATCTAGATGAAAGAGGAGGTCAGAATTCTTGGCTTGGGGAAGGTATTTATTTTCAACGGGAATGCAAAAGCTTGGAACACATTAGACAACGTTGTAAATCGTTATAGACCAACAGATGAATTCATTACGATGGTTGCTGAAGAGGCTGAAAACTTTTTTGCTTTGAAGGCAGTTTTGCGGTAAATCGAATCGGACATAAGAAACGGTCCAGTTCTGCTTTTAGTCGGCGCCCAATCGCTTCCCAACCACTTTGCAAACAACTTTGTAAACCCCTAAGGAGGAATCGTTTCGATTAAGCACTAGCTCAGCGACTGGTTAGGAATTAGCTGCCTGAGGTGGTGTAGTTTTCCTGTCATATATGTTCCGGCAGATATGCTTGGTATAAAACACTCATGATGCCGACCGAATGGCATCTTCACCACTGTTATCGTTCCTTCCATTCAGTAGTCCGATAACTTTTCAGCATTATGACCTCCTTGCACGGTATCTGCCGCGTTTGGAAGTAAGGTCTGGAATATACAATCTTACAAAGGGCTGATATCAACAAGTCTGCGCCAGCCGAAATGGTCTTTGGCAACTCCCCTCTGTATGCCCTGTAGAGCCTCAGATATCTTGATGCAGCAACTGCCCCCTGAAGCAAGGCTGAACTTCTCTCCAGTCGATTTCCGGTAGATCTCGCTAACGCTTAAGGCTCCCGATGCAGTTCCCGCTGCCATGGCTTCAGTAATGGTTGCGAGTTCCAAGAAGTTGATCTATCAAGATAAATTAAACCAGTGAGCTCGGGAATTCAGAAAATCGGTAGCCAAAACAAAGTTACATAAGAAATAGAAGATTCCTACCGGCCGTCTCTCAACTTTCCATCCGAATGACTCTGCAAGGACTGCTATGGAGTCCACCGTGATACTGTCGAGCACTGTGTCGCTGTCCGAAATCAGAACTGTCACTGATTCCTCGCTACTTTGATCTCGTATACCAACAAACCCGGAGGTGGAAAATTCCTCTATCTGGGTCTGTGTGCTGCTATCGAGATGTAGAAACAGATCATAGCCCTCGTTCTTGGCAAGACGAGTCCACTTGGGGATACAGGCGTAGTTCCCTCCTGCCTTGGCCTTACCAACCCCTCTTGTTGCAGCACGGTCGAACTCGTCCGCGACCAGGGCTTTCAAGCTGGAGGCTTTATGGATTCCAAAATGGGGTTGGACATAAACGCAGAACATGTATTCATCTGGAGGATCCAATCCGATCTGTAAACTGCACGCAAATTCCACGGGGCGAATGTACAATGAGGCGCCAACTACGTCGTGGGGAGGCACATATTCAGCGTTTTGACGAACAGCGAGATCGACACACTGTAGGAATAAGCTTTTGGGAACCTTGGGCATCCCCAAAATGGCAGCGGATCGTTGGAAACGTGCCGCATGATCGTCCGGCCGAAATACAGCTATCTCATTGTCCGGCTGGCGAAATGCTTTAAGGCCCTCAAAAATGTGCTGGCCGTAATTGAGACCAGGCGCGAGTCCGTGGACTTGAAGTACCGGGTTTTCGACGAATTCGGGTGTTGACCACTCGCATGTCTGCAGGGAGAAGACGCATTGCACATGGCCGTTTACTGCATAGGCAAATGGGTGGACCGGTTAGTGGGAGCGCTTGTGCGACAACTGTGAGAGATTGACGGGCAGACTTACCTGAAGGTTTTTTACTGCCATTCACTAACCGTTGCCCAGGGCCAAAGGTATGTCAGTAATTGATTATTATAATGAGATTAGTTCGGGATAGGAGGCTGCTAGCATCAAGGTGAACATACGTAAACTAGCATTGGGTTTTGAGGCCTGCATGACGCCGTTGGTTTTGGACCCTGGTGGAAAGCTCAAGATAGGCTCAGATAAACGGTATACATCTATTTACAGCTTTAATATTTCCTATCAGTAAATTGGCAATAAGATTTCGCCTTTCAAGACACCTGACTCACGCATATTTTATTCTAGTAACAACGCTCTGACATAAATCGAGATGAATCGGCCTGCTGTAAGCTTACGAATAAACATTGGCTTACGTTATGTCCGTCTACCTCGAAAAACCGAGCAGAAGTTTTCATGTCTGAATCTTATATACCTTTTATTATCCGTCTTATTTTTCATGTATATTGACCTGAGACATCGGTAAAAGGCCTTGGAAACTTTCTCGTCCATTTTTGTTGGAAAACATCTTCCCGTAAAACAGTATCTGCACCCTTTATCCCAGTCACAAAATGCTTGATGCTCTGACGATTCGAGACAAATATGGAGGCCGGCTTCCACCTGCAGTACCACTTAAGGATCGCCAATGGCCGGGCAGAAGCATGACGAAGTGCCCTCAATTCTTATCCCACGATCTGCGCGACGGCAATCAAGCTTCGCCCATCCCAATGGTATGCAGCCCTATCTCTGTCTACTTTCAAGTAAAGACAGGGAGAGACTCAAAAGTCTCAATATTTGCTGATTGATTTCCCATCATCAATAGACTTTCAACCAGAAAGTAGTTATGTTCAAGCAAATTGTTTCAATGGGATTTAAGGAGATTGAGCTGGCCTACACTGGCGCTTCCCAAGCCGACCACGATTTTGTTCGCTATGTTATTGAGACGCCCAGTCTCGTACCAGACGACGTGTGCGTTCAGGTGTGCGCCCCCTGCCGGAAGGACGCCCTTCTGCAAGCTGTCAAAAGTCTGCACGGCGCAAAAAAGGCCAACGTATTCACCTATATCGGATGCAGCGACTACCTGCGTGAAGTAGTACTCAGAATGACCGAAGACGAATGGGTTGAACGAGCGCGATCTTGTGCCGCTTACGTACGGTCTCTCGTCAAAGATGGTGGACCTTACGCGGAGGGCACAGAATGGACTTTCAGTTTTGGCTTCGAGGACTTTTCAAATGCCCGAGTTGAACCAGTCGTGAGGTGCGCTGAAGCTGTTAAATCCGCATGGAAACCAACGGTTGATGACAAAATGGTCCTTGGGGTCGCTGCAAGCGTTGAGATTTCACCGCCTAATATCTTCGCTGACCGAGTCGAATATCTCTTGAAACAACTTACAAATCGCGAGACATTTCGTTTTGGAGTACACCCGCACAACGATAGAGGATGCGCTGTTGCAGCTGCCGAGTTGGCCTGTTTGGCTGGGGCTGACCGTGTTGATGGCTGTCTCTTTGGCCACGGAGAGCGTGGAGGCAATGTCGATATGATCATAGTTGCTGCCAACGCAATGACTATGGGACTTGATCCGGGTCTCGATATGAATCGTCTCGACGAAGTGGCCAAAACTTTTGCCGACATCACAGGCATCCCCGTTCACCCGCGCACTCCCTATTCGGGTGACTTCTATTTCCGAGCATTCAGCGGACTTCACCAGGACGCTATTCTCAAGGGCCTTCGAGCGCGCAAAAATGCGGCGGCAAACGAAGTCTGGCGGGTGCCATATCTGCCTCTTGATCCGAGCGATTTAAATCGAGATATGCAAGATTGCGTGGTTGGTATAACCAGTCAAAGTGGCAAATCGGGTATTGCCTGGATTTTGGGTCAATATTTCGGACTCAACCAAATTCCCGTCGAAGTGTTGCGCAGTTTTCAAAGTGTCGTGCAAAAACTTACCGAACGGGCCGAGGAAGAGCGCCACAGTATCAGCAATTACGATATTTGCCAGGCCTTTTGCAAAGTATACCATATCGAGATGCCGGGTCAAAACGTCCAGCCTGCGTTCTTGGTAGGGACGAACAGTTCAGAAGTATTAAGATTGGATGACATTTTGTCAAATTGTAACACAAGTGACACAGCCGAAACATGTGCAGTTTTGGCAAGTGTCCTAAAGCTCCCTAAGCAAATCGAAATTTCCGTACAACATGAAAATCTGGATGAGTCGCCGAACCAGCTCCTGCCAGGTAGCGTGGGGGCATACGCAAAGCTCACTGACGCCAACGGGGCTGTAGAATGGGGAGTTGGCATCGGGGGAGGGAAGACTGAAGCGTTGATTCGAGCTGTCATCTCAGCAGCCATCGTAAGTTACGCCAATATGTGCATGAGACAGTTAAACTGACACAGCGCTTCGCGTTAATCAACAGGCTCATGGACACCTGCGCCTTTGGGAGCCCGAAGCCCGTGAGAGTAAGATGAGCGGTAGACATATCGGCCATCTTCCCGCCGCGCCGCGCCTCCATGGAATGAAAGCTGTGGAAACGATCTAGGCTTCATTATGCAACATATCACTTGCTGGAGTCAAGAACTGTGGATTTTATTTCGTCTTCTGGGGACCGACTTTTGTGTCTGTATTGTACACTTGCCATTTTGTATCAGATTGTATATGTTCTATCAAGCGTGGTAATTACTCGGCAAAATAGACGTAAATAGTTTCTTGGTATGATGCTTTTCGATATTTTCATATTACACCTACTTATTAATAACATTTGGGCCAAGTAGACAACGATACTATAGTGGTCAAAAATTCTATGAATGCAGTTTCACGACAAATGTGTTCAAATGCTTATAAACCCATATATTATGCCTAACTTTATTGCTTGGCAATACCAAACTCCAAAAGTCTAGTTCCACGTCTCATTTTTGTAGAAAACAAAAGCCCTTACTTCAATGCTCTGTCTCCCTGGCAAATTACTAGCCGCCGGCGATTCCTCAAACGCAGAATGCGCCACCCTTCTAGCTCTGCCATCCGTCTTGCTATCGAAAGTCTTGAAGATCAAAAGGTCATCGGGTTTCATACCCGACTTGTAAAACCACTCATGTCCCTCTCCGTACCGGACCTCGTTCGTTTCCATCGTCGGAATGGTCTCGTCCGTGCTGTGGCGTATAGTGATGGTAACCTCGTCCTCAGGAGGTACGCTGTGGGCTTTGCCTACGCATAGTGGATCCCGCAACACAGGGGCAAGAGGCCGCCAGACGTTGACCATAACCACGCGAGACCTTAAGAGCTCCTCGGCCTTATCGGGAAAGAACTCATGAACAAGTCGGTGTGCATAGGGGATGGAAGAGTCGAAATGTACTTTGTGGCAAGGCTTCGCTGGATGACCTGATATGTCTCCGCGGCGAACCATGTGATTAGCAGCTACGATGTGCTGCACGCCTAGTCTGCCACGTTGTGTTCCACCACTTATCAGTCTGCTGACACCAAGAGTAGGATTGCTGCCTCAGAGAAAAGCCAATCCCAAGGTGTAATGTGATACTACTTACAAGTCTCTTAACAGCGCCTCGGTCTCGGGATAGTAGACTTCCTTGATAAGGCGTTCATCGCTGAAGTTTTTAAAACTCGTAGCATGTCGAAACCATTGAAATCCATCCTTCTCAAGATTAAAGTGCTCTTCATGGCCGCTAATCTCATGGATTGTTACTTCTCTGGTATCACATGGTTTTGCTTGGGTCTCCGGCTTGTCCATGTAGGATACGAAATCATCCGAGCCATCTTCCTTCACTTTGATGAAGTTCAGCGTCGTGCGCACTGGGTGGTAATTTTGACTTTCAGACATAGCTGACTTGATTATACTAGAGTGTAACAGATTTTTAAAAAATGCTACTCAAATGTCAAAACTGCTGCGGGCACGGCGTCAGCCTTGAATTCTGCAAAGTTAACTTGGGAAGTAAAGTTTGGCTGCAGGCGCTCACCGCCCCTCATCATGAGGCAAGCGGCATTTACCGAACCAGAGTCAGCTTCTAGATCACGTCACTTCATGCAACGTCGCAGCGGTTCAGAGTTCGTGCTAGTGATGAATGTAGTATAAACCTGCCAGAGCGGGGACTTATATCGTCAGCAAAGAAATTCATCAAAACTTACAAGGAATATGTGAACACACGCTGTGAAACCCACTGAAGGCCTCTGATCTAATGCAAAAGATCAGAAAATCAATGAGAACCGAGGAATGCCGCTGTTTATGATCATTGCACAAGTTTGAAATTATTGCAGCTAGACAAGCTTGACTTATCCATTTTGAATTGTTCATTACTAACAGAACCACACCCATGAAGTGCCCACTTCAAATATTGCGTACCTCTAAATAAGGTGACATTTGCTGACAGATTTTACAACATACTCCTTGGCAATTGGGAAGGTTAATAAATAAGTTTTTAGCAGATAGTAACCAATCCCTATCAATCAAGCCTACAGAAAAATTGAGACACAATGGCCACGGAGTATGACATTATTGTTTTTGAAGGCGATTACGCTGGTCCCGAGGTACACCCAAGATTCCACAAGTCGCCATTTGGCAAGGCCATTGTTGCTAGAGTCTGACGAGTTGGCATGTTCGAACTAGGTCGTTCGCGAGGGAGTCAAAGTACGTCTGCACATATGAAAGCCGATTTACCGGTATACGCCCCTTTCCTGCATTGAACCACGTTGACAGGGAAAATGACAAAGGTTCTTCGTGAAATTGAGCGTCAAACTAGCGGGGTGAAGTTCAATTTGAAATACCGGCTCATTGGCGGGGTGAGTGACGGCCTGCAGAAATAGGGATGTGAAGCATTCACTCAGATCTATCGTATTTTGCAGAGTTCTTGGGACGCTGATGGGGTCACGATCTCTCAAGAGACCCTCTCCGAAGCGGCTACAGCGTCAGCTGTTATTCTTGGCGCTGTTGGCGGACCGGTACGGCACACAAATGAAGCTCTGAATAAGTCCTCGTCAGCCGGCTAATCTGCTGGGTTACCTACCCCCTCACTTAGAAATGGTCGACTGCAGGAGTCTCGGTAGAGTCTGGACTTGGAAAGCTGCGTAAAGCTATGGATGCCTTCGGAAACTTACGGCCTATTAACTTCATTGAACCGTCGCTCACGGAGCTGTCCGCGTTGAAGGTTGAACGATGCGCTGGAACCAACATGATAATTGTCCGCGAATTAACGGGCGGCATGTATTTCGGCAACAAAGTGGAGCACGACGGATCATTCAACATGGCCAGCGACACGGATCTATACACGAGAGCCGAGATCGAGCGAGCGACCAGGCTGGCGGGTAGGCTTGCAACAGCTACTAACCCGCCGCTACCGGTTATCAGCCTTGACAAGGCAAATGCGCTAGCATCATGTGGACGTCTTTGGAGGGGTGTGGTCAGCCAAGTCATGGCTGCCGAATTCCCTGAAGTTGAGTTACATCATATGCTGATAGACACGGCGGCCATGGTGATGGCAAGCAACCCATCCAAACTGAATGGCGTGGTATTGACGAGCAACATGTTCGGCGATATAATTAGCGATGAGGCAGCTGCTATCGTTGGCAGTATCGGGCTGCTGCCCAGCGCCAGTTTATGCGATATTCCCGACTGTGTAGAGGGGAAAAGCAAAGTTCGTGGTATTTATGAGCCTATTCACGGTAAGTACAGATGGACAGGTCCAGACATGAGCTTCCGGGTCCTTCCAAAGGTTGTTGTTATTAATGAACCACTGTCCAGGTACTGCGCCGGAAATCGCTGGGAAGGGAATCATTAACCCTATCGGCATGATTCTTTCCATTGCTATGATGTTCAAGTACTCTCTGAACATGCCTCGGCCCGCTGCCTGCATAGAGCGCGCCGTCAGCAATGCGGTGCTACGGGGCATACGGACCCCGGACCTCGGTGGTTCAGCTACCACATCGGAAGTTGGAGATGCAATTGTAGCCGCTTTGAGCGCTCTGTAGCTCGGCCCACAAGGACATCAATTCTGGGAGTCCCTCGCACAAAACAACTGAACTTCAGGGGGACCTCGAACTTTCTGTTGACTCGAACTCAAAAATGACGAATGCGGAGTTGCGTTTGTGGTTGTCGGAATCTGGTTTGCGGGACTAAGATAGATCAACAGGTGCCTCTTGAGATTTTAATGCTCAAATTTAAAATCAATCCTGGTGCAGAAGCAAAGCTTGTCCCACATGCCGGATGGCGCCAGCCAGCCAGCCTTTCCTATCCCTTCGTGTGCGAAGTAATCGTATTTCCGTTGAGTTGAGGTAAGGCTAAAGCAAGACCCCTTTTCCTCACTGGTGTCATTGAATCACGCGCTATAATCAATGATAAACCTACCGCAGACTCTTGATGGCCTAGACGGCTTGGCGTCCCATTTGTCTTATGCTCGAGAGTCTGCGGTACTCTCTCTGAGTTCTGAACACGCGAGATGTACCGCCAGTGTGAATCGATACAGACCGCTACATCATGATAGCAGGATCCCTTGAGGGTAAGGGATGTATGAATTAGGTTTGCCTTGAAGTGCGGAGCAAAGTGGTATCAAGATGGAGTTCGCAACCTTGCCGGAACTGGCGTCATTTCGCTCTCGGTTAGAGTATGCACAGGCGTGCTTTACCATAGTATGAGTGATCGGGAAATCCGACATGAGGGCCCCGCCATATTCAGCTAACAGTTGGGGAATAAATTGAGCCGTGCACTGCTGCAACCTAGTGGGGCGGCGCTGTGGTGTTGATTGGGCGCTTAAGCTTTTTAAGCCAATAGGATAGGAAAGTTTGTAGCTTACCAATAAAAACAGAACACTAGCTATTCTCTTATTTGCTTGACTCCAAATCTATTGTGAGTCTACACATTCTTGTTTACATGTACCATTTCACTTACATTTCTTTCAACATGGTAAAAAAAAAAAAACGTTTGGGTTAGACTTTCATATCTTCCCGACTACTGTTGCAATACTCCCACCCTCCATCAGGCTACTTACATGCTTACCATAGTATTTTCAGGTTACTGCGGTATCAGGCGAAAGTATGAACCCCAGTTGAGGCATCTATGGGTAGCTCCCGGCGGCGCGGTCCATCTCCAAAACATCTAAGGAGGAATTTAACTTCCTCAAGGATGCTACGTGTCAAGGGGTAAGTACAACTTAATGGTCATGTACTGTGGAGTACTGATTTACATCACTTTGTAGAATCGAGACCTGACTCGTCCAAGAACTGTCTATGGACTAGAAGTACCTACTTGTGTTTGCACAAGCAGACTGAGCAAGGTCACAGTCACCTGACGAGGGGGGTTGGCATTGGCCCGCAACCGTAGTAGTAGCATCGCCACAGACACGATCCACCAGCTGTCAGATCAACTTGGGGTATTAATGCCATGCTATCTATACACTAGTGACTGACTCATGCTGCTTTGCACATACCTTATCTGTGCTGACTTTTGGTTTCATTCTCAGGAACTATATTGAAGGTCGGATCCGAATGCGGTTTCTTTTCCGACAGTGTTACGATGAAGGTATTAGTCTTTCGACCTTTTATGTTATGATCTGTACAGGATCAACCTGTTCACGTTACGAATACAAAACCACAATGTTTCAGACGTTGCTCATGCCCGTACAAATGCAATTTAATTTCCTAGAGTCTCAGGAACAGGGTATGTATGACTCTTAAACTTCATTAAACTCAAAGAGCCTTTTATTATACTTAAATGGTCCGAAAGGGCTAATTATCTCCAACTCTTGCAATTTCAGGGCTTCAGACCTGACAAGGAGTTACAGAAAGACTTTTGCTGCACTCTTTCGTATGCAATCATCGCACGCCAGCTCGATCTTTGGAGCAGCAGGGACGCTTTATGATTAACCTACCACAGCTTCCCTGGAAACCCAGTAGGTAGACTGCAGAAGGTATATTTCTCGGTACCCCATCAGCTGTGACATGGCAACGGGTACAAATCTGTCATTCAAAGAACCAAATATCCCAAAACACTAAATAATGTAATGCTCTCTATTCGAATGAAAGTAAGTTTACCGTGTCTCATCGGCATCAGCTGGTCTCCGAAGGCCATGAACCTTTTGACATTTGGCACCCAATGGAAAAATGTGTTGTTTCCGCCTAATTTTGGGTTCCCATACGAACAGCTTACGTCTATCCAGGATTCTCGAGGCCGGTCGTGTCGAAAAAACCAGAGTATGACTTTATGTTGCATGAAGATTCAAACTAGAGCAAGAAACCTTTGGCGGGCAATTTGTCGTGCGGTTTACTTGGCTGTAATATTGATTACGCGTAGCCGTGCACATTGTGCATAATCTACTGGTCAGGCCTCGATTATAGCCGCACCTGAGGATTAGCACCAACAGATGAACGTAGTAACATTCTCCTTTCGGAAAGGATCTCTCACGAAGTTACACGTATGGCGTTAACACAAACTATAATTTATTATCACATTTTCCTCTACGAGGTTTTCCGCTTCATAGAACAACTTGAATTTTGACGCGGCGTCAATTATTGGTTGCAACAGCTCAATCAGCATGGGTTTTAGAGTTAAGTCATGCGAAAGGAAAGTTTGTAGATTCGTCGCGTTTTCTCTCGCATATACCGTACCTGTAGAAATTAAGTTTGATAAACCGGCCATCGGGCCATCTAACTAACCATCAACGAGCTAGGAACTGAATACAGTTGACAACACGTGGTCTCGCTGTCCGCGCCTTCCAGTCCTTCCACGAATGCCTGGCTACAATAGCATTGTCCCTGCAGTGGAAAACTGTTTCGTGTAGGCGTATTTCCCGCTATTCCCAGTTTAGAAAAAGTGAAATCCTTCACAGAACTTTATTCCAGCGCTTAGCGTACCATGCTAGCGGTAAGGCTGCCTTAAACACTCACTCTGGAAGTAAAAAGGAGAAAAAGGGAACAAGAGGTGAAGACACACATAGGTTGTCGGCGTCTATTCCCGAGCCAGATTAGCAGATCTGCAGATGATTGAGTCAAGAGCGATGCAACGCCAAACTCTGCTAAACTGTCCGCAAACGTCCTAAGCCGAAACGTCCGTAATGAACTAGAGATGACGGAAACCTAGAAATGAAGAAACCATCAAACAGAGTAAAGTAAAACAAATCTATACCAGAAGCTTCAACACAGAGCCTGCCAAGTTATCATTCACAGATCTCAGGTAATGAACACAAGAACCCATTGTAAAGTACCTTATTCGTTCATGATCTCAGCGTTCACAGTTGGGACTATATCTCGTCAGCAAACAAACTAATTCCAAGGGCAACGTAGTTGCCAACAATCGGCCGTTTACGAGAGACGAGCTTTAAACAGAGCCGTCAACCACCGATACTGTGCACCTGCCAATGGGCCGAAGAAAAGAAAAGTCTCTGGTCCAAAATGAAGATGTGCATGAGAGGCGCAAGACTCAAAACCGTATTGCACAACGCCATTATCGTATGTTCAAGCCATGGTGTTCCATCATTGGGACTTCCAAGATAGGACAAAACTAAGGCCTCGATTGTCAGGGGAGCGACAGAAACAATGCCTCGAGAATGCCCATAAATTGCTTCTCGCTCATGAGGCTGTCAAAAACCGTTGCCGTGTGATTGGGCAGGGCAAACGCGCATTCTTTTTGGATTCGCCATTGGAAGAAAGCATAGAATCCGCCATGAATATCGAAGCTGCGCTGGCAGACGTCCCAGCGGAGGTTCGACAAGCCCTGCTGAGGTTTGACTCAAGGCGAGATTCTGACCTAGGCAACGGCACTATCTTCGGGAACTTGGACTTCAAAACCACTGAGGTTGATTTACTGTTGCCAACACGGATAGAAGATTCAACAGCTCCGCCGTTGAATGCGTCGAATAACACTGTCCATGTGAGTGTTCACAAGCCTCAGGTCATTAACGACGTGCCGTTACACATAGAAGCAGTCGAATCGGTAAATATCAAGCAATCTACTACAATGAGTCCAGACACGACTAACTGTTAGTTTTTCGTATGATTTTGTTAGTTCTCTCCTGTCTCGCCATCCGATTTCTTTCAGTTATCTCCACCTTCTATATCCGACACCTTCGATCCGCTACCAGATGTCAACAGTGTACCTTCTAGCGTACCTAGTACGTATGTAGACATTAACTCACCTTCGAAGTTGCAGTATACGTCAGAGGTGGGACTCGAAGAGGGAAGCAGGCAACCTAGCGGTAATTCTCTAACAATAACCCCCCAACACGAATCCATCAGACCTAACAAAGGACGTAGCTGTTCCGTCCGAATCACTAGTGGCAAAGCCCTCTTGCAGCGCTGGGAACCAGAATGAACTCCCTACCGGAGGGCGCTCACAGCCACTTGTGGATGATGACGAATGGTCGACGCCGCTTCTTGCAGCAGCCGCACGAGGCCATGCTGGAATGGTAAGGCTTCTTGTACAGAATGGTGCAGATCTAGAGACGAAGAGTAAGTCAGGCAAGACGAGTCTCTACTGGGCGGTGGAAATGGGACAGATAGAAACTGTAAAGTGCTGTTTGGAGTTGGGAGCCAACCTTGGAGCGGCCGAAGACGAATCTGGAATGAGTCTATTCCACAGATCGATCATGGATGGCGACATCTTTCTCTTAAAGACGTTGCTTGAATATTGTGCTAAGCAGGGCGAGAAGGGGAAGGAATGGATACATAAGACGGATCGTCGAAACCGCACCCCTTTATACTTGGCAGCTGAAATGGGCAAGACAGAGATTGCAGAGCTTTTCATCAAAGCGGGCGCAGATATCAATCGGAGGTAACATCATCAAAGGGTAAAATAAAGCGTTTGGCTGCATTCAATGTGAATTTGGATTAGCAAACTTTAAAGTATAAACTGGATGGATGCGTGGGAGAGCCTGGAACAGATAAATATAGTTCCGATATGCTGACGTTCAGTTATATTGTTTTTCTACGTCTACCTCAGGTCCCGTCCGGCTTGTTTCCTCACATATGTTCGAGAGCAGACGTGAGGCTTTTAGAACTATGATTTGACCCAAAAACAGAAGAACAAGACTTGAACACTAGCGGTCATTACACATGATGAAATAATAGTTTAGGTTCTACAACAGATTGCAAATTGTAAATGGCTTGCTTGAGAAGGCCTTCATGGTTCGCTGTAAAAAGAAAGATAAACTATCCTCAGCCATATATAGGACTAAGTCATAGTCAATATTTATTGAATAGTAGCATGTAGCCGACTGTCCCATTCAAACTCAATAATAGATAAATCTTTTGGGCTCTTAGTTCTGCAGGCTACAAACCTGAATCTCCGGTCCGCTTTCTGGAAGAGTTCCTGCCACTCTAACAAGCTACGTTCTTGTCCATTGAATAAAGCCATCATCGCAAGATCATAGTTTCTGTATGCGAACGAGTTAGTGAATGCGAGCGAGAGGCTTTGCTTCAAAACAACATTTTAAAAAGGGGAGCCCAAAGACAAGAGGATAGAAAGACATACATCAACGATTTGAATACCTTGTCGGAGACGGCGCCCGGCCTGGGTATTACCAGTTCGTTTAAAATTACTCTCACACCGGGCCGCATTGCTGGAATAAGGCTTTGTATGATCTCCACCGCATGAACATCACTCCAGTCATGCAGAATCCAACGGAAGAAGTAAATATCGGCATCTTTGACCGGCTGTGGGGAGAAGAAATCACTATAGCAATGCGGTTAACAATGATCCTTTGCGGAAGTAGAGGGATACTCACTGCGCCATGAATTTTACCCTTTCTTGGAGATCAGCAGGTAGAGAATTTTGTCCTTCTCTAGCGTTCTGCTCGGAATCTTGTATCACAAACATTGTGGTGGGAATTTTGCTGGCAGCTTGAACTGCGAGCGAACCTCTTCCTCCCCCAACATCCACTATCTTTTTTCCTTCAATATTTAATTGGCCAGAGAAGTCTTCCAAGTAAACATTTTCACTGATAAATTCCTGCGTCATGACATTATGGAACCGTCTTGCCATCTCTGGCTCTTGCGAATGGACGTGCCATAGGCTTTTCCGCTGCGACAGCGCCGAGGGAATATTTGTGTTCTTCGTGGCGGCATCAAGTGACATAAGCTCCCGTTCAAGGTTCGCCAACGCGAAACCGGTGTCTTTGGGATCGTGACCGTCTGGAAATCTTTGCAAGGCATCAGCTAGCCTCATGCCCGCAGGCAACATGTCGAACATGCCGTATGTAACTAGATCCTTGAGGAGAGGCTCGCGGATTAACAGCATCGATGTCGTATTGTGAGCCACAAGCCCTTCAGAAGGTTCGCAAAAAATACCGTGTGCTGTGGCATGACGAATAATTCGGCGGAAACAGCTTTCACTGATCTCCGGGCGCGTCATGGCGGCTATAGTGGAAAAGGGCGTGCCTGCGGCACTACCGAGGGGGTGTAACGGGACCAGTTCTGCCAACCGCAGCTGTATAACGACACGTAGAATCGCCGGCCTTGTCCAATCAATGATGAGTGGCAAGACAGGGCCTCCAAGGAGTCCACGCAGCTCCTCGCAAGCATCCATCACTTGTTGTCGCGATTCCGCGGCTGCCGCGTCTGGTATAGGCCCCCATGGAGGTTTGTTGTCAGGGTCGCCATTCTCAGTGTGTCTCGGAAGGCCGTTTTTATGCAGGTAAACATCCACAGCGGATGTATGCTCCAGAATGCCGCGTGCGAGTGCAACAATCCTAGATTCCGATGTCATTCTCCCTAAACCGCGAGGAGAGATCTTCTCCAACAAACTTGCACAAACTCATCTTGCAATGTTCTAGTAACACTTGGCCATCGGAACATAGTCCGTTTTGCAAGAACTTTCTTCACGATGACTTGAACCTTGAGCTCCACATCTATTAGACTTACTAGAATATGTGACTGGTGCGTCTGACGTGTAACACGTCAGGAAGCGCATTAAGCGCTGCACAGGTCGAAATTCAATCACCACGTAAGCAGGAAAAACTGTGGTACTATCTAGGCTGGCTTACCATCTTAATAGTAATCTGAGAGCGTTTAAGGATTTTGAAAGACCTGATTTGGCGAAATGAAAAAGTGTGGATCAGGATTAGTAACCGCAGTAAAGATAAGAGCTACCAGGGATCGGCATTTAAAGTTTGGGGGAAAAAAAGAGAAGGGAAAGAATGTCAGCACGTTACAGGTGTGACAAACTCAATTGGGCGGTGGGTGAACTTTAGAGAGCAATACTTGCTACTGGAGCTGGCTCACTTTAGTAAGGTAGACAGCAGAAATTCTAAGCAATAACAGACGGACCCAGTTATACTTTCATTTGTGGCATCGGTAGATGTCGTTTTGAGTAGGCAAGAGTAGCATTACTGCACTAGGAGAACGCAACACAGCGATCTTCCAGATATCCTGTCGTTTTTTGCACATTCTATACGACGTGTAAACTTCGGCTTGCTCACTTTAGAAACCTAACTTTGATTACAGAATGGATTCAACGACGCAGCCCTCCCACAAGAACAGTGAGCTAGGTTGTATTCTTCAAAACCTACCTGGAGGAAAACAAAGTGGCACCCATGCGATAGCGAGTATTGACTTGCATGAGGTGTTAGTGGGAACCTGGATAAGCGTGAACACGGCTTGGTGCGTGTTGGTTCATTTGTATTCAGACTGTGACCAGGTCTGTTTCGGTTACAGGAGCACCAACAATGGCGAACTATCGGCAAGCTCTGTCATATCCTACCTTATTCACAAAGAAGACACGCTGAAAAAAATTGCCATCGAGTTGCAACATCTGGAGGCAAGACAGGATGTTTCTGCTTCACTGCCAAGCTCTTGGAACACGGCGACACGGTTTGCTAAAAAACACGGCAATCGAGTTGACGAGAAGGACGACATTGCCGAATTACTGCCTTTAGGTGTGGACCTTGTTCTTGATGTCATTGAAAACCAGGATGGAACTATCAGCAAATACAAAATGATATATCGACTATCCTTCATGTCAGACAACGAGGCTCAAAACGTCGCAGCGACACTCAAGTATCTAATTGCTCTTTTCCACACCAATCCCAACCAAAAAATTGCCAATCTTGGACCAAGCGACAGAGACATCAAACAAATCATGTCATGGTATCCTCATTCCGGGCTCAAACAAAACGCCCGCTTAATCCAAGATGTCTTTTCGGAACAAGTTTACAGTCAGCCGAACTCAATGGCTATTGACGCATGGGACGGCCAGATGACGTATGCGGAGCTCGATGAGGCCTCGGACAAACTCAAAGTGAAGCTTCACCAAGAGGGCCTCACCAAGGGCACGGGTGTGATCCTATGCTTTGAAAAGTCCACGTGGATGGCTGTCGCGATGCTGGCCGTTTTAAAGGCAGGGGGTTTCTGTTCGAATATAGATCCAGGTTACCCCAAAAATCGTGTCGTACAGATCATCAAAGCAACAGATGCCAAGTTTCTGTTGGTTTCCAAAGCGCAAGTGGAAACATTTAAGGGTTACGAGATACGGCAGTCCCGCGTAATTCAGGTACCGAGCAACGGACAACCTCAAAATAGCCATGATTGTCATGGCGCGCTCAACGACAGCCAGCAACAAGAAAGAGCCAATCCAGAGACCACAGCATTTGTCGTTTTCACCTCCGGCAGCACGGGGGTACCGAAGGGTATTGCCGTCACGCATACCAATGTTTGCACTGCTGCTTCGGCACTAGGGGATGCGTTTAGTGTTGGCAGTTCCACCCGCACACTCCAGTTTGCTGCACACTCTTGGGATGTGAGTGTGCAAGACTACATGGGATCATTACTGCGAGGTGCAACCGTGTGCATCCCCTCTGATGAAGAGCGGTGGAACGACTTGGAGGGTTATATTGCAAGAGCAGAAGTGAATTGGGCACATTTGACACCCACTGTTGCGCGGACGTTGCGCCCTATAGTAATTAGCAAACACCTACGAACTCTCCTCTTGGTTGGCGAGCCAATGAGTGACGCCGATATTGCCGGTTGGATCGAAGCTGGAACCATTACATTCAATGTCTACGGGTGTACTGAAGCCACATGGGTACAAGTCTCTACGCCCAAGCAAGGCGCCAAAGTCGGTCGCGGCCATGTTAGCGGCTATGGAATCAACACGAACGTTTGGATAGTTCGCAAAGGAGGCACGGTAATCAGTCCGGTTGGTTGCACAGGCGAGATATGGCTTGAAGGCCCCAGTAAGTGACCTTTTACAAATACTTTGACATTCTGTGCAATCATCGTACAGATATTGTTTCTGTTCAGCATGAGAATATCGCTAACATAAAGTATTTAGTGGTTACTAAGGGTTACACTAATGTCGACCCAATGATTGCATCGGAGAGCTTCCCCGAGAGCCCAGAATGGGCAGAGAACTCTCAACTTGGTCAAATCAGCAGCGGATATAGATATTATAGAACGGGCGATCTTGGCCGCTTCTGTGCCGATGGAGCCCTTGAGGTAATGGGGCGTACCGATACTCAGGCAAAGCTTGGAGGCCAAAGGCTCGAGCTCTCTGAAGTGGAACATTATCTGAGAGAAGCTTCACCTTTTCAAGCTGTTTCAGCATTCATACCCAAGGCTGGGTCATTTTCTGGAAGGTTGGTCGCTGTTTTGGGTGATCTATCCCTAGGAACAAGTACCGAGGGCCATCAACATTTGCTGCCTGTCCAGAAAGTGTTGGGATCAGAGCTTGAGCGCTGCTCTTCATCTATTACAGCAGAAATCACCCGGAGACTACGCGAAGTCCTTCCAAATTTTATGATACCTGTGGTATGGCTGCGAATTTCTCAATTTCCCATAACAGCTTCCGGGAAGTTGGCACGTTCGCAGGTATTGTCCAAGGTGGAGGCCATGAGCGGTTGGGCAAAGGACTCTGTCCAAGATGCACAGTTAATTAGACAAAGGTCAGTAATCAATACTATCATGATCAGATATCAAGCAGAGTCGAACCTAACGTACATTCCAGGTCAGACAAATTACTGGAGACCGCGTCTGATGGTCCGATTCGTAAAGAACAAGACTTTTTGCAGAACGTCTGCGCTACTATCTTAGACATGGAGCCGGGCGACGTTGACCTCGACAAATCATTCGTATGGCTCGGAGGTGACTCTATCAAAGCAATGCAGGTTGTGGCCCGTTACCGAGCGGTAGAAAAACGCATCACCGTCCACAATCTACTCACCAGCCAACGCCTATGTGAAGTAGCCAGCAAGGTTCGAGAGCTGCATGACGCAACAAACGACAGAAAGGACGAAAAAGGGATGAATCATGGGACCGAAGAGTTACAAGAAATCCAACACATTAGAAGAACAACACGACAGCATATCCAGGACCTAGGCAAAAAGTTGCTAGCTCTGCCAACAGTAACCCGTCTAGAGGAGGTGGAAGATGTGTTCCCACTATCTCCAATGCAGGAATCTCTGGCGCTGAGTCTTGCTCGAATAGGAGGCCGGTTTTATATGGATGAATTTGTCTGGGAGGTTAGGACAATGAATGGCGACCGAATCGACGTAGATCGTCTTGAACGTGCCTGGAAGGCAGTCGTGGCACGTCACCAGGCACTTCGAACGGTATTTGTCGAGGCTGATGCAGAAGCGACCGCTTTTGATGAAACGACAACAGAAACAAGTATGCCGTTATATCAGGTAGTACTGAGTCAGAATTTGGCAAGCTGCAATCGAGTACAAGCTGCAAGTGGCGAAGATTCACAACGCGTTGCGCGGAAATACCCTCGCATGGTCGACACTTTAAGCCATCATCAAATCATTCACGGAGGACTGCCTACACACAGCATGCTGATGGTCTATAATAATGCAGCAGACGATGAAGAATGCCGCAGCAAAATATGGTGCAGGCTCGAGGTAAGCCATTTGGTAGAAGATGGCATGTCTATCTTGCCGATGCTCCGCGACTTTTCCCTCGCATATCGAAACACTGAGGGGCTTGGTATTGGAAAGTTGACTGTTGGTGCCGAATTTATACGGCATATTCGTACCCGGCACAGGCGTGATGCCAGCCTGTCTTACTGGGGCTCGTACTTGAAGGGCGCGGAACCGTGTCTCTTTCCCAGTCTCATCGACTCGCGCTTGAGTTCAGTTTCCGAGACGGGAGTTGTAATGCCATCAGATGTAGGGCTCTATGAGCAACGTACGATTCTAGTTGCGCTCGACGAGAAGACGAATGGGTTGCAACAGGCGGTAGCACGTCTGGACATCACATTGCCCACCTTTTTTCAGCTGGTCTGGGCAATGGTCCTTCACGTGTATACTGGCAAAAGCGAGGTGGTCCTCGGTAACATCGGGTCTGGACGTGACACTCCGATAAAGGGTATTGAGGAGGCCTTTGGCTGCTTCATGGGCATTCTGGTCTGTCGTGTGGACTTCGGCTATAATGACAACGTCGAGGTGGATGAGCTTGATCAGCCTCATCACCCGACACTTCTGAACATCATGAAGCGAATTCAGCGTGAAACGATCGACGGAAGCAACAACCAGTCATGCTCCCTTTCCGAAATGCAACAAGCTGCTGGCTTGTTCCGCGATAGGTCCTCCAGGGTGCCGTTATTCAATTCTGGCATTTCATGCCGGCCCCTCGTTACGGAGGATGAGCAGGAGGGCTTTACGTTGAGGTTCAACCAAGTCGAAAATATCGAACTATCAGAGGTGAGTCCAGTCACAAAGCGTGAGCAGCATTTTAAGTTGATTGATGGGTGTCACTGTCCATTTACCTTCCCTCCGGAGGGAGCTATTCACAACCGCAATATACTAACATTCATATCTTTCGATACAGATGGACCTGGCTTTGATCATAGAGACTGGGAGAAATGTGACGCGTGTTCACATTCAATACCAAACATCGTTTATGAGCGACGCAGCAGCGGTCAATCTCGCAGAGACCGTTAGCTACCTAGCTACGGAAATATTACGCAATCCCCATATGTGTGCCCGCGATGTGGCCAAACTGAGCCCTCACGACCATGCACAAATTTGGGATTGGAACAAGGACTGCCTAGAACCTGTTGAAAAGGTAACGCATTCTTTTGTCGAAGAGAGGATGCGGGCCAGCCCGGAGCGCCAGGCCGTGTGTAGCTGGGATGGCAACATGACCTACGGTGAGCTGGATCAAGCAACCCGGCGCACTGCCCAATACCTTATGGAATCATGCCACGTGGTGCCAGACAGCATTGTTCCTATCTGTTCTGAAAAGTCGATTTGGGCTATCGTAGCCATGCTCGGCGTCATGAGGGCTGGTGGGTGCTTCGTGATGTTGGACCCTGATCATCCGGACTCTAGGCTACTTTCCATAATTGAACAGGTTCGCCCACACGTTATGCTGTCTTCTGCTAAGCAGAGAGATCGCCTGGAAAGCTTGGCGACACAGCTGTTGAATCCTGCACCAGGAAAACAAAACGCTACGTTCATACAAGTGCAAGCCGTCACAGATGCTTGGGTCAATCGAGAGCTATCTCGACGTCTAGCTTCGGACGAACCTAACACGGAAGGTACATTATGCTGCGATGTTCAACCTCAACACGCTATGTACCTACAGTTCACATCAGGTACAACTGGGTTACCGAAAGGCATTGTCATCTCGCACCGTAATTTCTCTACGGGCTTCCAGCGCCACTGTGAGGGTATTGAAGTACGGGCCCACACAAGAGCTCTGCAGTTCTCATCTTACAGCTTCGATGCGAGCATTGGTGAGATTCTCGCACCGCTATCAGTGGGTGGATGCGTCTGCAGTCCCTCAGACGAGGATCGTAACATGGACATCGTTGCCTTCATCAAACGGACGCAGACGAACTGGGCGGAATGGACGCCGTCCTTCGTCTCACTGCTCGACCCCGAGGACGTGCCTAGCCTAAAAGATATGTGTGTGGCTGGTGAGTCGCTGTCGGCGTCCCTCGTTAACAGATGGTCGGACCGTGTCAGACTTATCAACGTTTATGGGCCAAGCGAATGCAGCATGGCCTCGACAATGAACAACCCAGTGAGGCTGGACTCTCTTCCTTCCAATATTGGTCGAGCCCACCGCTGTGTTACATGGATTGTTGATGAAAATGACCACGAGCGTCTACGGCCAATCGGAGCCACAGGCGAGCTGTTGATCGAGGGCCCGCTCGTAGCAGATCGCGGCTATCTGGATCGTCCTGATGCAACAAGCCAAGTCTTCATTGAGGCACCATCGTGGCTACGCGCTGGACGTTATGCCCGTCCAGGCTCTCGTTTGTACAAGACTGGCGATCTGGTGCGATATAGCTCGGACGGAACTATCAACTATATTGGCAGGAAGGATACGCAGCTAAAGATCCATGGACAACGAGTTGAGCTCGGCGATATTGAACAACACCTTCGCTTCTCCATAGGTCAAATCTTGAAGAAGGCCTCACCTCCTGTTGCCGTAGAGCTGCTTAAGAAGACTCCAAAAGACACTGGCATGTTGGCAGCCTTCATTGTTGTAGGCGACACAGGCGCAGACGAAGAGGCCGAGGGTGATGTGCGCAATCATCAAGACACAAAAAATGGTGCTCAAAACAGAGGGGATCAGAATGAAAGCAAAGTTTTAACTGCTTCAGATTCTGAGACTCTATCCAAATTCCGATCTTTGGTTGAGCGGATCCGAAAATCACCACTGCCGTTGCCGTCCTACATGAGACCAAGGATCTTTGTACCGCTCAAGACCCTACCAATCACTACAGCCGGCAAACTGGACCGCCGTGCTCTTCACCAAATCGCGTCCACTATGGGCCGTCAGAACCTCCTTTCATTTTCACTACAAGATGATAAAAATGGCAGTAACGGAATCCATTCTACGACTGAATTGAAAGACTCACAAGACTCCGAGTCTTGGATCGAAGTCACCGTATCTGGCATCGTCTCAGAGTTGCTTGAATTGGACGCAGTCAACATCCAGGATGACTTTTTTGATCTAGGCGGCAACTCATTGTTAGCCATCAGACTAAGTGGCATAATACGCAGACACAACCTCATTCTAAGCGTTGCAGATATTTTTGAAAAGCCTCGCCTTGTCGACATGGTCTCGAGAATTACTTCCCGAACAGCGGTGTCGCCTACCCTCAGCAAGAATACCTTCAACACAGATCACAGTAACCTACTGCACTCGGAGAACCAAAGAGTGCTTCTGACGCCGTCCCAACTGCTCCGTGATAGTGGCATTGTCTCGGACACATTCTCCCTCGACAAGTTTATAGAGGGCGTTGCTAACGAGTGTGGCATGGCAGTTGGTGAGGTCGACGACGTATTCCCTTGTACGCCACTACAAGAAAGTCTGATGGCTATCTCGACTGTCAGAACAACTAACCCACAGCCTTACGTCACCCACCAGGTCTTTTCCCTTTCTGATCAAGTCGATATGGCACGCCTGGCAGAAGCTTGGCATACCATTCTGTGCAAACATGGTTTGTTACGCAGCCGAATCGTCTCCACGCCTCAGGGAGGAGTGATGGTAATGGCTAAGGAACCTGCCTTGTCACAGTGTACTACTCATAATTACACCGAGGCCATGGATCAGTATCTAGATCAACATCAGAAACAGATACGCTTTGAGTATGGCAGTCCACTAATACGTATTGACTTCGTATCTTGCTCTGAGGCTGAAACTGCAACTAAACCTGAGCCTGATAATGAGCATCACATGAACGGTTTGGCTAAAGATGCCAGCCGCAGATATGCAATATTCAGTGCTCACCATTCGATCTACGACGGATGGTCTCTTCAACTGATATGGGACGAGGTGGTATCAGCTTACAGGCAACGACAACAGGGAGATGTATCGATGAAAATGAATACAGCAGCAGTGCCTGGTCCATCTTTCCCGGAATTTGTGAAATGGGTGCAACAAATGGCAGGCGAGGACTCGGAGAAGTTTTGGCAAGAAACACTGGTCGATGTGGACGCTGAGAGCAGTTCTTCGTTCCCAACTGTCCCAATCGGCCATCAGCCCTTGGCCCGGGAGAAGCACACCCAGATTCTCTCTCAGCCTCAGAAGCCACAACATTCAAACTCCAGCGTCACGGCGACAACACTGATTCAAGCCGCCTGGTCCCTTGTTCTCGCTCTTTACGGCGGAACGACGGCTGCGACTTTCGGGGCGGTCCTATCTGGTAGGGACACGCCGTTATTGGGAATTGAGCAGCTGGTTGGGCCAACCATGGCTACGGTGCCCCGTCACCTACCAGTTCGCCGCGAACAAAGCATTGCCGACTTTCTTAATCACGTACATAGGACTGCGCTTGCAAGCATGGCTCACCAACACCTTGGGCTTGATCGTATCCAACGACTAGGGCCCGGTCCTAGAGCGGCTTGTGATTTCAAGTCAGTTGTTGTCGTTCAACCTGCCGAATTCTCAGTCTCGCTATCCAAGGCACAGAAAGCCATTGGGATCTCCATGATTGACAAACCACACTCGGCTGTTTCTGAGGATGGGTTTCACCCTTATGCTCTCAATGTCGAGTTCTCGCTCATGGCAAACGATTCCATCGGTGTGGAAGTACGCTTCGATCCGGACTGCGTGGACAGACACCGTGTACAAAATATGGTCCGCTCATTCGATGTTCTATGCCGTAGGATAGGACAATCCAGCGTTGATGATACGATTGCCAACATCATGTCAGTGCTTACAGACGATTTCAGCTCAGATTTGCCTCCACATCCATCCCTTCCCTCCGCTAAACAATTTTCTCGTATGGACGATACAATCACCCATTTAGCAGCACAGAAACCAGACAGTCAAGCTATATTGGCCACAAATAGCTCGCTGTCTTACCGGCAGCTTGAAACTCAAGCCAGTCAGCTTGCTTGCCATCTCCTTGCAAGCAAGCACTTTCTCAAAGATGAGGCTGCGGAAACCGACAGGAAGGAAAAATTCATTGCAATCTGTATGCCAAAATGTCCGTTGGCTATCGTAGCAATGCTTGCCATCTGGAAGGCTGGGGCGGCGTTCTTGCCCCTGAATATTTCTCACCCAACTTCGCGCTTGGCCAACCTTCTTTCACGAGCCAACACAACGCTTGTTATCTGTACACGCAAAACGAGCTCAATGTTTGAAGGCATTGAGGGGGTCGAAACTTGGGCAATCGATGCAGAATCGTTTCCACTTAGCTGTTCTGCTACGACGAAGATTAATCACGCCGTTTCACCGGCTGTCTGTGAAGACAGTGATAACAAATCCATGCGACAAAAATACCAACCTGATGATGCAGCGTATCTTCTTTACACATCTGGGACTACTGGAGAACCGAAAGGCGTTGTCATCCAGCATCAGGCTCTCTGTAGCGGCATGGACGCACAGGCAACCGCGATTCAATGCGACTCAAACACACGAATGCTTCAGTGCGCGAACTTCGCTTTCGACGCGTCCATTTTGGAAATCTTTGCCCCTTTAAGTGTTGGTGGATGCGTCTGTTTGCCGAACGAAGCCGAACGTACGGGCGACTTGGCTGGTTTCATTCGTCGACACGAAGTAAATGCCTGCACTTTCACACCTTCTCTCCTACGTCTCCTAGACCCAACGGACCTGCCGTCCTTGCGGACCGTCATCACGGGGGGCGAGCCCTTGATGAGAGCAGATGTTGATGCTTGGCTCGGCGGACTTCATGGATACTCAAGGCGAATGTACAACGTCTACGGAGTGACAGAAGCCTGCGTTGTTTCAGCTGCCATGCCCTTGACTTTGAACACCAATCCTCGAACGGTTGGCTATCCGGTTGGGGCCTCATTGTGGTTAATCAGCCCCGTGTCCGGGACTTTCGCCCCGCCAGGTGCTGTTGGAGAACTGTACCTAGAAGGACCAGCTTTGGCGCGCGGGTATTATAATGACGAGCCAAGAACAAGAGAATCCTTCACCGACGGGTCAGATTGGTTGATTGCTAGTGTCAACGGACATGATGCGAAACGTCCCCTTCAAGAAAGCAGCTGCCAAAGGCGGGTTTACCGTACTGGTGATCTGATGTACAGCAACCAGGACGGATCTTTGGTGTTTTTGGGAAGAAGAGATGGACAAACCAAAATCCGTGGTCAGCGTGTGGAGCCCGATGAAGTTACCGATATGATCCGTGGGTGGATTTCACATCGAGCCTCCAAAATACTTCTCCCTAACACAGCTGTGACCCCTTTTGTCCCTGCCGACTGTCTAGTGGCCTTGATTACCAGCTCTCAGCCGCTAAAGTGCGGTGATACTGAAGATCATCCAGTTTACGATGTAGATGGTGTGGCATGTTCTCTGGCACTACATTCTGCCGCGGGTGCTTCTGTGAGCAACAAGCCGATGCTTAACGATAAGCAAAGTTCTGCTCTGGCTCTGGAAGCTGCAGCGCTGGATGCTTTTTTGCGTCGACATGTTCCCGAAGTCATTGTCCCAAGGGCATATATTGCCGTGAATGAGTTGCCAGTCACTCCGTCGGGAAAGCTTGACAATCGCTGGGTCAATCGATGCTTTGAGACGCTTACAGCCAACTACGGGCTGATCTTCCGAGGTTCGGGTGTTGATTCACGAGAAGATGAGAAAAGCACATTGCACCATCTCACAGGAGATGCAGGTCTTCTTCAGAAGTGCTGGGCAGAGGTGCTTGCTGTACATCCTCCTTCTCTCATTGGAGTTGAGACCGACTTTTTCCATATGGGAGGTAGTTCCGTCACCGCAATTCGCTTGATCGGCTTGCTACGCAAACATGGAAGATTGCTGAAATACGATGCTGCAATGATGTACTCGCGATTGGGAGACATGGCAGCCAATTTGATTAAGATTCAAGAGCATCGTCCACCGCAACAAAACGGCTCGGACATTCGCAATGTCACCACTTATCCTTTTGAGCTGGTTGGAGATAGAATGCATCTCGACTCCATACTGAACGATGTATTGCCGCATTATGGTATCGATCGAGCTCATGTGCAAGACGTTTACCCTTGCACTCCAATACAGGAAGCCTTTATGGCCATGAGTGTCATTCATCAGGGAGCGTATATCTCTTTCCACACACTTGAGGTTCCCGCCCAAAAGTTTCCAAACTTCAAAACAGCATGGCACTCACTCCACCAGCGCCACGAGCTGCTCCGAACTCGCATTGTGCCCTGGATCAACAGCGAGGATGCTAATCCCCTTCAGAGATCGCTCAGCGCAGCCTTACAGGTTGTCATTGCTCCCAATTACGAAACCGAAGATGTTTATTGGGAACAGACCTCCGGTATCGAAGACTTCGTCCGTGATGTCAAAGAGGGTCATAGATACGGGGGGCGACTGGTTAGACTCGCCTGGATGACACAGCCGGAGAATAGTAGCAGCAAACGGGCTAAGTCAGCGATCCGGGTGATTGTTGCAGCCCACCATGCCGTTTACGATGGTTTCTCATTGAACATGCTCTGGAGAGACTTGGAAACTGAGATGCAAACTCTCAAAAAACAGGTGTCCAGCAATACAGACAAGGCGAGTGCCGCAGTGCTACCGACAAAAGCAGCGTTTAGTGCTTTTGTTCGTCACCTGTGCCGGCTTGATCAGGTTGAAATATTGGCCTTCTGGAAAAAGGCCCTTCTTGGGGCCTCAGATTGCACACATTTCCCAGTGACATTCTCTTCTTTATCGTCATCGGATTCAAGTTCTAGAGATCAGCCAACAGCTTCATCCACGCTCACCGGTACAGCCAGTCTTGGCTCTGCTCTGTCCAAGCACCGTCTTGTTGATTTAGTTCATGGTGCCTGGGCTCTCACCATCTCGCAGTACACCGCCAATCCTGACGTCGTTTTTGGTGTTATTTCATCTGGCCGTGAGTCCATCGCTGGGTTGTCTGATTTGGACCCAGCAATGCTGGCTGGGCCAACGATGGCTTCTGCACCTTTCCGGTTACAGGTCGATTATTCGCAGCCTGTGAACGTTTACCTTGATGAGCTACGGCACAAGTGGCTCGACCTGACGCGCTTTGCCCACATTGGCATCCAACGGATTTCCCAAACGAGCTCAGATGCCTGGCATGCATGTCGCTTTGAGAGCATCCTTGTCGTACAACCCGAGTCCAACTATTTATCTTCATCATCTCTCGAGAGCGCTACCAAGGCTATTGATGGTACGGAGGGGCCTTTGGTCGACATTGAGCCCTTAAACACGCCAGATATGTATCCTCATCCTCTAATGATAGAATGCCTACAGCCGTCACTGAATGGTAATGGGGATCAGGAGGTCACCATTAATATGAGCTACGATCCGCGCCTGGTCCAACACGCCTTCGCGCAGCAGATGCTGCGTACGTTTACTACAATTGTTGCTCAACTTGCCAAGTACAGCACGATGGACTTCCCATTGTACAAGTTACGGGGCTTGGCGATCGAAGATGAGTCTTTGCTTCTAGAGCGTGCGAGAAAGCATAAGCTCGCCCCGGTCGAGTTATGCATTCAGGACTTGATACACCAGCAAACATGCTTACGCCCTGATGATACGGCAGTTGATGCGTGGGACGGCATTTTGACTTACGCCCAGCTCGCAAAAATTTCTACACGCCTTGCGAACAACCTTAACAAGGCCCTCGGCGGGTGCCACGGTCGGGCATTTCCCATGCTGTGTCATAAATCTAAATGGGCAATCGTCGCTATGCTAGCTATTTGGAAAGCTGGCGGTTACCTAGTCCCTTTGGATCCATCTCATCCTGTTCAGAGACTACGGCTCATTGCAAATACTGTGGCCGCTTCTACTGTACTTGTGTCCTCACACTGTCTCTCCACCGCACGAGAGTTGGGTTATGACTATGTCATAATTGACGCTGAAGCAAGCATACAGGATGAAGACAAGGAATACCAAGAGGAAGCAAGTAAAGAGGAAGCAGCGTCAGGATATTCCTGTCCTTCAGATCTCGTTTACGTCTTGTTCACATCAGGCAGCACTGGAACTCCCAAAGGAGTAATGGTCGAACACAGATCGCTGAGCACATCACTCGTTGCACTAGGGACTAGTCACAACATGAGTCCTGCCACACGCACGATGCAGTTTGCCTCGTATACTTTTGACGCTATGCTAGTCGAGATCTGGAGTACTTTAGCATTTGGCGGATGTGTATGCGTGCCATCGGACCAACAACGGATGAATGACATCACTGGCTTCATTGTCGATGCACAGGTCAACCACCTATTCTGCACGCCGTCTCTTTCACGAATGATTCCCCCAGAAGCAGTTGTACCGTTGCCTCTCGAAAAGCTTAGCCTGGGAGGTGAGGCAATGTCAAAAGGAGATGCGGACCGATGGTGTTCCTATAGTGTCTGGCTGTCCAACGGCTACGGACCTAGTGAAGCTTGCATCGCATCGGCGGTGCAAGTCATGACTCCTACCACTCCACCTGGCACCGTGGGCTTTCCTCTAGACAGTTGCAGACTCTGGGTCGTAAACCCTCTCAAACAAAACCAAGATCCTGATCATTACGAGCTCGCACCTGTCGGCGCAATTGGGGAGTTGTACATCGAAGGTGTTAATGTGGCTAGGGGATATGTTGGCGATGATATCAAGACGGCCGCAGCCTTTTTGGAACGGCCACCCTGGCTTGAACGTTCCGGCGCAATTGGAACGGGTCCTGATGAAGAATATAGAGTGTTCCGTACTGGTGACCTAGTGTCTTACAATCTCGACGGGAGCTTGCGCTTCATTGGTCGCAGAGATGCGCAGGTCAAATTACGAGGCCAGAGAGTTGAGCTTAGCGAGATCGAGGAGGTTATCCGTCAGCGCATCCAATCGTCCATCACAGTGGCCGTCAGAGTTTTCAAACTTGCCAGTCGCGGTGGTAGTAGGGGAGACGATGGCACAACATCGATGTTGCTAGTCGCCTTTGGCGTTGGCACAAACTCAAAAGATGATGCCCGCCAAGGTGATGAGGGCCGCAAGGACACAGAGACGTTTGTTGTTGACGACCCAGACATTTTGCTGAATATGCGCAAAATTACCACTAAGCTCCAACAAGAAATCCGCGCAGTTTTACCAGCGTACATGATACCTGATGGCTACGTGCCGCTTCAGTCATTACCTTTCAACAGCTCAGGTAAGCTGGATGAAAAGATACTGCGGGAACGCATCGAGTCGCTTAGCCCCGACAATATCGCCTCTTTCTCAACTCCGGATCTCGCCTCGTACATCGTGGAGCCAGAGAACAAAACTCTATCAAATCAAGAAATGCTCCTTGGTAGTCTTTGGACGCGTGTGCTCAACGCTGATCAGATTTCAGAACGCACATCCAGTCCTTCCAACGATATTCGAGGAGGAGACAACTTCTTCAAAATGGGTGGTGACTCGATTATGGCTATGCGGTTGGTGGCATTGGCTCGGCAGTATGACCAAAGACTCACTTGGCGGGATATTGTAACCAATCCCACACTTTCCTCTATGGCTCGGGCCATGAAGAACACCAAGATGGAAAATGAGGACATGTCAGTGGTGAATGATGAGGAGGAGTACAAATGGAAGGCCGAGGCGTTCAAAGCCGCGCAAGACGCAGGATGCCTCCCGCCTGGGGTGGCCATTGGCGACCTTCTTCCTGCGACACCCATTCAGGAGCACTTCATGAATGCCACCTTATCATTTCCCGGGGCACACGTTTCAAGCCTAATCTTCACCGTCGACCCTAACCTGGATATCTCTCGGTTGCAGTCGGCTTTTGATCGTTGTGCGGTCTGGTTTCCGATTCTCCGCACCCGCCTCGTCAAGGTCCCTAAATCAATCTCCAATAACCTTGCGCATGACAGTGTGCCCGATGAGATGATCCAGGTCCCTGTCCCAGAATCGCCCGCCTGGAATTTCGCGCATGGCTCTTTGGAAGAAGCATTGGAAGTTGAGACTAGAGCCTCGTCTGGCCTGGGGCAAGCCCTCTCACGATTCTGCGTGGTGGTAGGGGCCCAAGAGACTGATCCATCTGGAACGCGCCCCACGCATCTAATTTGGACGCAACATCACTCTTGTTATGATGGATGGAGCGTTCGTGCGCTTCTAGAGCACGTGTCAAAAGCCTACTCTGATGAGACATACAAGCCGCCAGCGGGCCTACTCCCTTTTTCCCGGTTTGCCTCTCATGTTCACAAACTCAACCAGTCGACAGCAGCGCTAAGTTTCTGGTCTTCGTACCTCAAAGGCGCCAAAGCTTCGTCCCTCTTCAACTATGACAGTGTTCCTGACCCTCGTAGGTCACAGTCTATGAAGCGCAAACTCCCGCTGCCCCTGTACGAGGCGGAGGGGAGCTCCGTGACAACCGCAACGCTCATCGCCGCGGCCTGGGCCAAGGTGGTTGGTCGTCTATCTTCCTCGCCGAGAGATGTTACGCTGGGCTACACGCTCAGCGGGCGAGCAGGATCGATGGTGGGGTTGGAGGACACTATTGGCCCATTATTGAATAAGGTGCCGCTGCGAATTCGAGTTCCAGAGGAGTCAGGCGATGCTGATGAGCCGACTCTGCTGGCTCTTGTTGAAGAGACGCACAAGTCTCTATTGCGGATTTCAGATCGTGCAGACTGTCCTCGAAGCCATCATGGTCACTTCGTCGAGGTTCTAACGAAGTTACCCATGGATCTTATTGTGCATCCACGGGGCACATCTGGTGGTGTAGATCTGCTACCTGGGGCTTCTATTGGGTTACGGGCCTCTGGAGCTCGCCTTTCAGCTCCCGCACCTGGATCTTTTTGTGTTGAGGTCAGCATCCTAGACAGGGGGCTTGAGGTTCTCGCTTTGTGGGATGAACGGGGTGCTAGAAGAGAACAGGTAGAGGATGCAGTAGAAAGCTTTGCAGTCCTCGTTAGGAAAGGGCTATAAATAGTCGCGATTTTAGGTACTAAACGCGCTTAGCGAGTCAGGAGTCTTAGAATATTAATATTCTTTTACTTACTTTTGAACTAAAAATTCCGATTCTTTGTAAATCAACAATTGTTATGAGTCCCACGCTCAGGAACAGGCTGGGTATTTCTATCAGAAAGACATCAGTGGTAGCCTCTAGCTCGACTCACAATCTAACATGCAAAGCCAAGAATAGAGGCTTACGAGCCTCTCAAGTTAGCTTAGTATTAAACCCCCAAAATTCTATAATTTCTAAACATCAACCCAGTAGCTTAATGACATGTGTTTGGATATACCAATACATTTTCTCACTCTATGCCTATCCCCATCTTGCCCCTTTTAACTGGGTTAAGATATTTTTGAAATTACATGTGGCGGGCAGCTGCTTTTCAAACCCTAAAACAAACTTTAGTTCCAAACTGGATTCCAAGCTGTTGTGTCCTAGATATGGAGGCGGTCATGTTACGAGGACCTCCTCCTCTTAGAAATCAAAGCGAGCTCATTAGGTGTTTCCAGTTGACATGTCATCTTGCTCCAGCGATACTCACCCAGGAAAAAGCTCTTATGCCACCCCGATGGTTTTGCCATCGTGAAAAAAGTGAGTTGCGGAGTATAAGTGTTACAGTTACATCATGAGAGCTGAGATCTAATTTAACAAAGGATCCCATGATTAAGTCGATCTCGGCAAGTCTTCTTTGATAACATGGAAATAACCCAAAAACTACATCTTTACTAGCGATGCAAGAAACAACAGGCTTCTCTTCGTATCTTCAAGTGGTTCTGAGGACACAACAAGTAAATCTAACTACACAGACAAATAAGACAGTACTAGGGAATTATTGTACTTGCATTTATGATGTGTTACGCCGTTTATCCGATTGAGATGGACTAGTCTGGCTGTAATGCTCGAAGAAGTGCCATTATTGCATCAGAAGCATTGCATGAGTGTGCCTTTCCTGGGGCTGATGATCCTACCTGCTAGAAACCTTAAAGTCTGTCATGTGCTGCTGCATTATGCTTTACCCCAACATTATAAAGCGTCCCAACTCGCATTGTCGCAAGAAAGTAGTTTTTCTCTATCCTTTCACCCTGAACTACTTGTATTTTTGGAAACTCACCGATATGCAGCTCACGTATCCTGATCTCGTTCGTCGGCTGTATGACCTGGAGCGTCTTGCTGAGCCTCCAAGCCCCGAGGAACATGGTGGATGTATGTCGAGTTATGACCGACGGTCTCAATACGACCCAGAAACCGACACCTACATTGACTGGGATGCCAACGACGACGGCCGTGGAATCATTCGTGAGGAGGGTGAGTGGGTCGTTGCCTTTGAACAGCAAGGCCCAGGAGTCATCTGGCGGACTTGGTCTGCCATGCCAGACGTTGGACACATTCAGGTTTTTATCGACGATGAGGGTCACGGCCCCCCCGCGATCGACATGCCTTTCCGAGACTTTTTCGATCGCTTTCAAGGCATGCCGCACAATTTTCCTTCAATTGCACCAAATTTATCCCGCGGCCGCAACAGCTTCATCCCTATCCCTTACAACAAGTACGCAAAGGTGCGTCTTGGACCAGGCTGGGGTGCCTACTACCACTTTACGTATACCAAATTTCCCAAGGATACTAAACTGCCCCTGTTTGATGGAAACTTCGATAGGCAAAGCTGTCTGGCCCTTGCTACTGCCGACCGCGAACTAGGTCGGCGTGGATGGTCAGCCCTTCCACGGGCCAAGGGCGACACTTTGGAGACACTGACTGTCACCCTACCACCTGGAAAGACACAAGCTATACGAGAAATCATTGGTAACAGAGCCATTATGGGCATGCGCTTTGTACCACTTGATCTCCCAGAGTCATCCCAGGATGTGGCCCGGGTACTCCGGGAGCTAGTTCTCCAGATCATATGGGACAACGATAAGTCTCCAAGCGTCTGGGCACCCCTGGGAGACTTCTTTGGAAGTGTTCCCGGTATTCAGACCTACCGGTCCCTTCCTCTTGGCTCGACGGACGGAGGAGGATTCTATAGTCATTGGTTCATGCCATTTTCCGATCGTGCGCTACTCAAAATAACGAATGATGGGAAAAAAGAAGCAAAAATCTTCCTTACCATCTGCCACCGCTCACTGGAAAAGTCAGCTAAGAACATGTTACGGTTTCATGCCAAATGGCACAGAGATGCCTTCCTCGAGCGGCCGATCAGCCAGGGCCGAGATATTGATTGGCCGCTCTTGATTGTGGACGATGGGCCGGGTCGGTTCTGTGGCGTGCAGATGCATGTTTGGAATCATTGGCAAGAACCAAAAGTACCAGCAAAAGACTGGTGGTATGGCGTCGGTGGGGAAAAGTCAATCGACTGGTGGTGGGGAGAAGGAGATGAGAAATTCTTCGTGGACGGCGAAAAGTTCCCGTCAACCTTTGGAACAGGTTCCGAGGACTACGTCGGGTATGCGTGGGCTGCTGAGCCCCCTTTTCCAACTTTCGACAGTGCTTACGCTTGCCAACCCTACATTGAGCTCAACGCCAATGGTCACACTTCAGTCTGCCGCTTCCACATTTGTGACGATGTGCCTTTCCATGAAAGTTTCGAAGCTTGCATTGAGAAGTACAAACCAAACAACTGGGGGCCTGGAAACGAATGCTTATATGCCGTGGTGGCGTACTGGTATCAGAGGGCAAGGGGCTTAGATGCCTACGAGAGCATACCGATGAAGGACCGACATATCAACCACCTACAGCAATCCTGTCAACTGGAAGCATTGGAAGATGGCAGAAAAGAATTGTGAAGTCTTGATCAGTCGGTAATTAACTTATTAAACTGCCTTTCCCATTTGATTAAAGTGAACTGGACAACGAATCACGAGGCTCCGCACTCCCATTGTTGTTTTTACTCCAGCTTATGACAAGCTTTTTTGTACCTTATGACAATTAATATAAGTAGACTTTAAAATAGCGTGCTTATTTAGTAAGTGACCTACTAAGCAGCCTTGGGCGGCCCAGGAGGGAAGGGAGTGGCGTGATCGGGGATGGGGGCCGTAACCAGAAGAAACCTTAAAGTTCTAAAGAGAGGCAGTACCTGTAATAACGTCGTCATGTTCAAACTTTTAGCCATATATAGACTCAAACCTGGTGATGTTTGGCTCATCTAAGAGCTTATGCGTGTTAGGAGCTGTGCCCGGTACGGGGCTACATCCGTGCTGTAGCTACGCACTGCGCTTCCCAAGGACAGCATTATTATGTTGTGTCTAACTACTACCACATGTTGTGATTGGTCCTTTACAATCCGCAAATACTAGCAAGGGCCGATCTGATTGTCATTGATATTTTGATTGAAAATAAAAATGACCCACCACCACTACAGTTATGGCTCACTTTCAAACAATATCTTAGGTAGGCGAGGCGACTAGATTGAGCAGATGATAGGTCCAGTGGGCACACCATCTCTCCTTAGTGGCTTGGGACATGAAACAAATCCCTAGCCTTGATTTCCGGATTCAAATAAGCTTTTTGTCGGTAGCTCTACCGATGCTTGGCTCGAGAAAGGATATTTGGGCACGGCTGCCCGGATAGGGGACTGATAACCAACACAAAGTTAAAGTACTCCTTATTACAGAAGTCACCTAACGGTAGCAACCAAGCGTCAAGTCAATATGTCAGACGAGACAGCTTATATAAGGCCCTTAAGAAATGCATGTGTCACAGATTCAAAAATCGTTTGAAAGTATGCCGCACGCAGATCCATCATTACGCCCGCAGATGGCGGTACTTTCGGAAACCAGCTGAACGCCGATCGTGCGGGATGCTGAACGTTTCAACGCCAACATCTACCCCAACCAACGTCCATTGTCTGGTTTACGAACACTTGACGACAATATGTTTCTACCAACTTCTAGTAGACCAAATTTGACAGCCACAGGTCTTTCAGAAAGCGGTTGGAACCTGATATGCGAATATTTATTCATCCAATTTGACATCCAGTGTGTATCGTTTCTATGCTCTTCATCTGCCAGTCTCGAAAGCCAATGTGCTTTGAACGATGTGCTATGCGGCTAAGGTATACATCGAAACAGCATACGTAGGTTGGACCTTGGCGTGTGCGCACTGTACACGATGGGCACCTTGATTCAGCAGACGTCGTAAAGAGGACCGGTTATGCAAAGAACCCGGTCACCTTGCCATCTTTACCAAGCCAGCTGCGCCTGCTATGCGCTCCTTCCGGGTGGGATGTTACGAGGCTACTCTTCTCTGGGGTCCCGAAAGCACCAGTGCCTCTTTTTGGGGAGTCAATAGGGATTATAAATATTCTAAACCGTCATCTATCAGTGGTATGCAGCTCCACCCACCGATAGAGCTGGTTCTGCCCTTTTGAACCTGGCGACTGTGTCATGCCTGTTCAAAGCCATAATTCATGTCACACATCTGTTGTAGCGTGGACTTGACTATCCTTACGAGTAGCCCCCATCCTGATGCAGTCGAAACCTATTGACTAGTATCGCGCGATGAATTCTTGACAGTTGGGCATGTGATTACCTCATATTGTCATATAATTTGGATCTGCATGCGAAACTCCTAGGTCGTATGGTCCGATTTATGGTGTGAAGGAACCTCTGGGAGCCATGGTGAATCTTATGTAGCAGTGCGAGAAGCAGCAAGGACGGAAACAAAACTGGTAAACTAGAAGCTAACCACCTGGAATTTATGACTAATATGCAAATCACGACAGACAACAACTTTTTGAAGCCAGTAAAGGTACTAACAGTCATCGGGTGACGCCTAAGACAAAGGTTGAGCTTTTGAGGTAAAGTCTGCCGTCGCAGTTTAAAGGATTTCGTCCCTGTAACACATTAGTTTCCCGTAAAAGAAGCTGGATTGTTTAGCGCGTGGGCCAGTGATTACATGTCACACAACATAACGTGCTCTTCCGCAGACCTGGCACCTCTTGACCTGAATCATTTACATAATAACGGACAGCGCTTTCTAGCAGGCTTATCCACACAAGAGAGTGACGATGCTGGCTAAATACGGGGTACCCGTGTACGGAGATATCCATGCAATGGATTGGCACAATGGCACTGACTTTGGATATCCTTTGCCAGGGACAAAACTTATTTTGAGGGGAAAGATATAATAATTGAATCCTATGTTGATCTTAACTCTGAAACTGTCAGATGAAAATCGATATTTCCTGTCAAACATGTACGATGAGGGCCCCCCTCACTTCAAGACTCCTTATCCTTGATGGTTGATCGGAGCATTCCGTGGTATAAAGTACACGCTAGACATAACACAACCGCCTGGCGACGCTAACGTGCTCCAAGCTTGCGTTATATAGCATGAAGGGTTCTTCCGGGGCATTGGCAATGTTGCGCAGTTATGTTCCGCTAGAAGGGCTGACCGCGAATGATGTTATTGACGAGCAGATTTTGTGTGAAATTCAAAGAGACACGCATGCTATATCTGAGTTGCCTCAGTTGCGTTGTTGTCTTGTTCCTTTTCTTCGGCTTCCATCTATGGTCACGTCTTGATTTGCACTCCTTCAACGAAAGCCATGAAAAGACGCAATATGAGACTCAGTCATCACTGTCTTCCACATCCAACGATACAGGCAGCAAGGCGGCATCATTCCACGGCCGCCCACACGATTTTTTGAAATCGAAGCCATCTGGATCGAGCCAACCAAGATATGCAATCATTCTTCCAACATATGTAGGCATTCACTCATAAGGGCAGCAGGCCAGTTTCCTGACGTACTCTTCAACCAGTCGAAACACATACCGCTTGCTATAGATTTCTTTCAGTCGTTGATGTGCCTCTGCACTGACTACAACGAAATCGATTTACACATCATTGTTTCGGATTCTAATGAGATAGAGGCCTTTCGAAATGCGACGAAGGGGTTGAAAAGCTGCGGTGAAACCTACAGCATATTTAAGACTCCAGCAACGAACGTCAATGGCCCGAGACCCAAGCTGAACATCGTCAACCTCTACGACATATTACCCACAGTATTTCGATCGAATTACAAGGGAAGAATCTCGCCTAATGACACATCAGTGCTGCTGAAAGAGCATGGAAAGTTCCAGTATCAGACTATCAAGAAATTGGCAGCTGCTGTGGAACTCAAGTATGACTGGGGGCTCTGGTTGGATTCCGAAGCCATCGCAGTGCAGCCTTTTAGCATGAGACAGGCATTCGAGACCTACATTCAAAAGCCGACAATATGGAGATCAAGAATGGCCAACACAGATTTTATGCGGGCAATGATCAGTAACTCCGCACGCGTGTTGAATCGCGAGATTGAGTCGTTTGGTCAGGCATATTGGAACCTGGAGAGGTAAGATGATATTCGAAGCTGCCGCTACGGGCTATTTATTAATTTCTGTTTTCTTCAAAGTGTGCAGTGGTTCTTTGAAAAACCCATCATCGACGAACTCGTTCGCTACGTTGAAAAAACCAGCAAACAGGATTTCTGGACGACGTGGGTCACTCGAGGAGGGCCGTTTGAGGTCAACCTCTACAACATGCACATACAAGCACAGAAGCTAGAAACAACAGACCCGTTATTTTCCAAATATATGATTGTTGAGACAGAAAGGGAAATGGAAAGATTCGGTATGGGTAAGTCTATGATCTTCGACCCTGCAGTTTCCCCACGTCCAAACAATACGTTTTAACAAGAGACGAACTCAGGTCCGGCCAAGAACATTATGGATAAAATGGAAGGTACCGGTCTGCTTGAAAGAGGCTATAAGCTTCTAGAAGTGCCAGAAGTCGCGTCAGGTTTCTCATCCATGTTGGCAAACTACGGACAGCGACTGTTCCGCCTCGACGACCTGGCAATTGCTCCCCCTGAGGTTCTCGATCAGTTCCTCTTGGATACTCCAATAGACATTCTGTGCTCAGGCGCACCGCCTCTACACAGCTGGTGGGAAAAGAGGCAAAAGAGCATCAGATAGCGTACTGTTATATACTTGGTTTACTCTTCTGTAAGCCCATCAGATTTGTGACATATGTTCTAGACTCCCCTCAATCAGCCAGGGCTTAAACCATGATCACAGTTACAAGCTTCTGACTCAAAGAACTATGCGATTGGTTTCTAGCAATTCTATTTGGCATGCGCCTCTATAACTTATGGTTTATTGGTAGCTTGTCTCAGTATTTTGACCTAGAAGGGGCTAAGAAACTAAACGTGTGGTCCGACATTGAAGTGCGACCCTGGCGAGATGACCTACGGTACTGTTGCCAACTTTTGCTGCCCCGGTGACGTAGAAGACCTTTTCCGGCTCCAATTTGTCTAGGGCCACTGATGATGCGGAAGATAGGAGAGACGAAGACGCAACGACAACCTTGCCACCCCGAGTGAGATCGACCCCAAGTACCTCTTGTGGGCCGTTCGTCGCGACGTACGCTCGCTTGCCATCATTCGAGAGCGCAAAATCATCGCCAAAGGTAATATTAGAGGCAAGAATCTCGACAGGTCCGGCAGCAGATCCATCGGTAAGTGAAATAGGAAGTCTGGCAAATAGACCCTGGTCCAGGCTCACAAAGTAAAGACTATTTCCACGAATCCGGATACCGTTCACCCCGATATTGAGACCTGTGTCCAACGGGGCCATTTCGCGCTCTTGGTGGATAGTCTTAACATCGCCCGTCACCACGTTCAACCGAATAATCGTCCCAAGAGATGAATCCGAGATGAGTAGGTTCGTCGTGTCGTTTGCGGCCAGAGGTGTCATGCCGTTGAGCTGTCGTGCGGACGGTATTCGTTTGACCAATGAGATCTTCGCCGGCTGGATGATGGTGCCATTTCGGGAAACTTCAAAATTGCGCAAGTCGACTTTCCACACGCCGTTTGAATTTTCAGTGGACGTCAAGTTGGAGCCAATCACGTAGAACAGGTCGGGTTCTAGTTCAGAGATCCCGAGCAGGCCGGTGACACCGGCTATCTCGGCAACGCCAACCGGGTCCCCTTCATTTGTCGGTGACAACTGATATAAAGTTGACGAAGTGACCGATGCGACCAGGATATGACCGTTGTTTCTGACAGCAAGATTTTCGAGTGTTGCAGTTCCGGGGACAGTATGAACTGTCGTTACATGTGAAGGTCTGTGTAGCTCGTAGTGGCTTGCTGGCAGAGCCTTTACTGACAAGGGTAAGGAGGACGCAATCAGGCCAAAGGCTTGAAGCACAATTTGCTGTACGAACATGGCTTTGCTGTACGAACATGGCTTGGATATTTCCTCTAGAGAAGCTATGCCTGCATGGGTTTCATGGTTATATGCCTCAACTGGGCCATCGAGATAATAAATATTTCTTTCATATTTATTTCGAAGCTAGGAGAATATCAAGAATTTCTCTGCAGGTGGAAATTGACTTATGAGGTCAGGCGGTGATAGGCGCTGATTTTGAAAGAGTGTGGATACGTACTGAAAAATCATAGATTGACAACGGCGTTTAACTTGCTAAGTCCGTGATGACACAAGCCGATCGTTGGAGGGTCTCACAACAGAGCGAATCAGGCGTTTTGTGGATTCGAGAAAGATAGCGCTATCCAAAACTACGCTTGTCTGTGGCAAAGGATAGCGGAAATCAAGTTGCGAATTTTAAAAGTATTGATGAATTGGTACACCTTCCAAGCAAACTGCTTCCACGCAGGACATCCACGGTCGGAGTCCATAATACAAGCTGGAGCATAGAGCAAGAAGACAAACTGAGATTGGCAGTTAAGGTACCAATATGATCTTACTATTTGACTTTGTGTTCGTGGCTGGAAAGCTCCAAGGAGGCGAACACGTAAAAGTCCAGGGGACGCTTCTCAGCTGAACGTGCAAGGTGGCTGAAGATTTCGTTGTGTTTGGCACGGACATAGTGGATACGAATCATTGAGGGTTTGTCTTTGTGCTCGAGATAGCGCTCTGTTTTGAAACTGGTAACTAGGGCATATGACTTATCGTTGGGCTTGTCAACTGCATTATTCAAGTAGACGCTGAGAAAAAATAACCCAGCACAAGCAGACTGCCTGGATAGGGATAACCTGCTCTTGTCGGTGCCCGGCTTCTCAGTCGTGAAAATAATTCCCAACTATCAGTCTTGCATGCAAGCTCGCGTTTGGCAAACATAGATGGTCAAGAAACTGGGGTGGGACGTTACGACTGTATGTTGCAGATATCGCCCTTGGATACAAACTTGCCAGATGCTACGAGGGTGATGATTAGCTAGGCTTAGACTCTGCGATTGGTTCATTGTACGAACAGCCCCAACTATCAGGTTTGTGACATGATAAGTCACAGAGGTGGACAGAGGAGTGGCCGAGAACCTTCTCTATGCTGTGCCTGTCGAACGATAGTCAGACATGACACTGTGTTGGCTTGCCATGAGAGCTATCAATGATCGCCTTCCTAAATCCGGTGTCAGCGGAGACATATGTTAACTCCATCATGGAACCTTGCAAGGTAGCGTCAATGTGGCCTCCACTACGCTTGTTGCACGACGCAGTGGCCCCGAGGTCTGTGGCGCTGTAGCGGCTCCACAAACCCTGAGTTGCCAGGTTGTCAGCGACACGCATCTTAACACCGGAACTCCGTCAATGTCTCACTTCATCCATTCCTTTGACCTCGTTTACGTCATCACAATAGATTCAACTACTTGAAGCTATATTAAAAACTACTTATTCAGAGTAGAGCTGCTCTTGTAGATCTCCAACATCAGGTCAAGGCTTCATTCCACAGACTCATAAAAATCCTTCAAATCTTCTTTTTAAAAAGAATACAGCAGAAAAACAGACAAGAACAAGAAAAAAGACAGAAAAATGGTTAAGTCACTTCCTTTTGGTGATATCCAGGTCCCTTCGCCAGGTTTCGGCGCAATGGGTTTGAGCTTTGGTTTGGGTACCAACTTGACTCTTGAGCAAGCTGAACCTGTGCTCTTGAAAGCGATCGAACTTGGGTGCACATTCTGGGATACCGCAGTAAGTGCATCGAGTAGTCGCATATTTTGGACGTATCCTAATGCTTAGATTTTGAACCTAGGTCGTCTATCAAGCTGGTGTCAATGAGAAGCTTTTGGGCGATTTCATCAGAAAACACAATGTTCGCGATAAGGTCTTCCGTAAGCGCCAATAACTCTTTTTACTGCATCTTACATGGACTGACTGATGAACCGTGTTAGTTGCTTCTAAATGTGGCTTCGATGTTTTTGGAAACGGGGCTGTGACCAACTCGGCATCCCACATCAAGGAGTACATTGAAGGATCAATTGAGAGGCTTGGCTTTACCCCGGACCTCTACTACCTCCACCGCATCGATCCTAGTAAGCAGCCAATCAAATCTCACTAAGCAACTACTTCTGACCGTTTCGCCCAGATACGCCGTTGGAGGAATCCATTCCAGCTCTCGATGAGATTCGTAAGGCGGGAAAGACCAAGTACATCGGTCTTTCTGAGTGCTCAGCCGCGACGCTTCGCAAGGCCAATTCTAGTAGGACATTTGCGGAGATACTCGTACAACAATTGGCTAATCAAATATAGTTGCCAAGATTGACGCCGTACAAGCAGAGTACTCTGCTTTTGAGACACTGCACGAGACAGATGGACTCATCGATACCGCCAAGGAACTGGGCGTAGCCTACGTCGCTTACAGTCCCCTTGGCCACGGGTTTCTCGTTGATGACTTTCAGTACAAATCCCCCGACGACTTTGCACCGGATGATTTCCGTCGGAAAAGTAAGTCCTCCATGCAATCCCGCGTACCTACACACTTGTGGCCAAGAACGTATCGATGCTGACTCAAGGTAAACTCAGTTCCCAAGTTCCAAGGGGAGAACTTCTATAAAAACAAAGCTATTGTCGATGAGCTCAGGAAGCTTGCGGTGAAGAAGGGCTGCAGCCTGCCCCAAATCGCACTTGCATGGGTCGCTGCACAGGGCATGATTGCCATTCCAGGCACAACCAAGGCCAAACGATTGGAGGAGAACTGGGCTTCTAGAGACATTGAACTGACAGAGGAAGAAAAGAAGGAAATGAGGAGGGTTATTGACGCTGCCAAACCGCACGGAAATAGATATGAGCCTGCGCAGCAAGCCGCGGTGGGGCATTAGCATCATTGGAACAGGTACATAGACTTCAAGCTGCAGCAAGCTTAGTAAGACTGTTCATTATCCATGGATTAAGTTCCAAGCCGTTCTTATCTATTCTAAACTGTTAAAGGAATCGGCACAATCGGGTTGTTCTACCACAAGTTTCGGTTTTATGCCTGGTCAAGATAAACGCTCGCCACAAGGAAGCTGTTAACTGCGGATACGCGAAAGACACAGAAGCAAAACCTCTAGTCAGGCCCGGGTTCACGCGAGATACTGTCAGCTAGGCACTTTGGCAACTTTAGGCTATGTATCGTACAATCTTCAATCTTATTTTCGCACTCCATCTTGTGTGCTATGTTGTCCAGCACACCAGATGATTGGGGTTGGAAATCGGGAATGTTTCAGTAAATGAATTAATTGGGCGCATACACCTGATGCCCTTTGATGTTGACTTCCTCTGTCTCTGCGCATACTTATGAAAGCAATAGGGCAGCTGATAGGTAAGATGCGCACATGGCTCGAGCTCATCTACATTAAAAGGTGTGGTGCAGAAGGAGCATATCAAGCCGTCAACTTTTACTTGGGAGGGTCTTCCTATTGTAGAAGAAAAATTGGTTTGGCAAAAGAAAAGTGCGGATAAATTTTTTTCAGGCCGATTATGAGCATTGCTTCAAGTTCTGAAGACCCCTCTACCTGTCCGAAGGTAGCCTGAACTGTTCTGGTCGATTCTGAACCTTTGCCTGTCCTACTCCAGATCTGTGGAAAGGAGAGAACTGTCCCTCCTGCCTGCCCTTTCTTTGAACGTTAAGACACGCGCTTTTGAGGTGTTGTGAGCAAATAAAAGGCGCATAAATCATCAGGGAACTGTACTGGATTACCTGTTGGCAGGTGCGACTGTGGTCTCGATTTGATTTTTGCTCTGGCACCTTCTTTATTAATCTAGCAAGTCACTCCAACTTCTAGACTCGTAGAATTTTCCAGGCTTTCGAGCACAAATTTCCTTACCATACTCACCCTACCATACTCATATTTGGGAAAGAGCATCCTTTATTTAATACAGGGCCCAGTTGCCAGTCCTTCTCAAACTTATCCAACTCACCAAACTCATCTCACCAACGAAAGAATTTCACGCACACAGAGTACTGAATTAACATTGAGTCTCTGCCCTACCTACATCTGCACTTGCCTCCCACTATTTCTCCCAAAGGTATTCACCTCTACTCCTCGAAAATATTTCATCTTCCTCTTATCTCTCACCTTTGCACACTCGCAAAAGCCCTTCACCACCCATTTCCATTCCCGCTTTCTCTAACTGCATCATTGCATCCTGTTATCTTGCATCATCTCATGAACTCTTCCTCTTTGGGTTGTATCAATTCAAATCATTCAAGATGTCTTCTTCTGACAGCAACAATAACGGAGGCAAGTCCAACCTCACCGATCGTGAGGTTGAGATCCTCAAACACGCTTGGAACTGTCTGAAGACGCTTCCTGAGGTAAGCCAACATAATATCAATTTCCATGCATCAACTTAATAGTTTTTTAACGAATGTGCTTTTCTCAGATCGATTCCCACAAGTTGGCCGCCGCCCTCGGCATGAGCAACCACCGGTCTGCCCAAAATGCCTGGGGTGCCATCAAGAAGAAGCTCTTTGTTGATCTGCCCACCTCCGTTGACGAGAATGGAGAGCCCGTCGCTACTCCAAACAAACGCAAGCGCGCCACCCCCGCCAAGAAGAAGACCGCCGTTGCCGAGGATGATGACGAAGCCGATGATCTCAACGCCGAGACCGAGGAGAAGCTCGTTGTCGAGACTCCAGTCAAGAAGAAGCGTGCGACCCCGAAGAAGAAGACCACTGCCGCGGCTTCCGCTGCCACCGAGGGTGAAGCCGATGGCGAAGAGTCCGCTGCTCTTGAGACTCCCGTCAAGAAGAAGCGAGCCACCCCCGCCAAGCGCCGAACTCCGGCCAAGGCCAAGAAGGAGCAGGACGAGGTTGCTGAAGAGGCCGCTGAAGAAGACGAACCTGCCGAGGCTGCTGCCCCTCCCACTCCTGAGGAGGCCAAGGATCTGTTTGAGGAGGATATCAACATGGTGGACAGCCATGAAAAGGTTGAGGCCTAGTCTTACTTTGTTATTTTCACCTTGGTGTCTCCTCTTGAAACTCGAAACTATATTTCATGGCACTCGATGTTCAGGAATAGGGATGGGGTTTCATATTTCTTGAATCCATAGAGTTCAGGACTCGCGAGGATTTTGGGACCTGATGATGGTCCATGGATATTGCTTAGCTTTAGTGGTGGGCTTCACAGTTCATAAGGGGAAGCTCGATGAGCCTAGGTACTTAGCTACGATCGTGATGAAATTGCACAAAGTCATACATTCATCCTCTTTTGCACTTCTCGTGGCGCCATTGTTCCATTTATTTCGCCTCGTACTCGTTGAGTACAATGAAAACCACGTTATGAATGTTTTGCTTGCTTTGAACCTTGAGATTTCATTCCAGTTTAGTGCTCTGTGGGCTGGGACTTGACTTGAATATTTCTACTGATTACCTTGTCGCAGAAACAGTTTCCCTTTCACTCTGACTGTTCTGCGCGTACATACACAGACAATTCAACGCCTTCTGACTTCTTGCTAAACAGGCAATTGTTGGCTCATCTCGTCGCTACCTGCCTCCATCGGAGCCTAGACCATGGCTTCCCACACAATCCGCGCCGTACTAATGTCGTATCAACTCTGGTTCAGCCAATTACGGATCTTACGCGCAAATTTACCAGCGATAGAACGGCCCACAGCCAACCATAGGCTCGGGTAAAAGGGTTGCCGCTCCTGTTCGTCCTTTCTTCCGTGATCCTCACTGGGAACAAAGTCCTCATCACCCAGCTCCCACCTGGTTAAGAGGATCAGGAAGGGGAAGGATTGAAACGGGCCTGAGACCATTCTAGAGATGGCAATTTGCCCTGAGGCGCTTGTTCATAATCAACGTCACCTCTTTTTGCCCTATTAAAAATGTCCCTTTGAGAGCCATAATGTAATCCGTTGTGGTTGACCGTGAGGGGAAACACCACTACATCTCGAAGGATTCGCAGGCAGGTAAGCTGTACGAGAGGGCCGATTGTAGCTCTCAAAGAGATTCCCCATTTTTCGTAACGATGAATCGGGCGGGTAATTTTTTTTTAACTTGTGTTGCGAAAGCGTTCCCTTCTCAAGGGGTATAAAGGGATGCCATCCATCCCTGGCATCACCACCTTTTCTCGCCCTAGATAACGTCTCAACAATCTCATCAAGACATCTTTTCATCCCAAGGGTTCACAATAATTAAACAGAAAGTCTAAAATGACTCTATCTGCCTTCACCATCACCCTCGTTGCCGCCCTCTCCGGCGCCGCTACCGCGGTCGTGTGCACTCCAAGCCAGACATATTGTGGCTCTCATCTCCTCAAAGTCGGTCGGTTTACCTCACCCCTCTAGCGCCGCTCATCCATATCTCGGGCTGACAGATGGACACAGATGCAAACAACCAGAAAGACATTGAAAAAGCTCTGGCTGCTGGGAAACAACCTGTCGACGACGCGCATGTGACGGGCTCCGTCTTTTGGTGTGTCCCACCCGGCGTCCCTGCCGGCCAGTCTGGACTTCTTTTGGTCACGTACTGCGGTCCCAACATCAGTGGACCTATTGTCATCTGCAAAGAAGGCGGGGCACTGGGTGGCGTCGGTGATGCGTGTGCTGCCGTCTCAAACAGCTTCAATTCGGCCAAGTTCCGCCAGTAGGCTGTTGACGTGGTCAGTGTTCTTCATGGGGATATCAATGACTTTTATGATCGACATGTACGGGATAGAAACAAAAATTTAGGGCTTGCATGGGATGCATTTTGTCTATTTACTATCTTGAACAAGAAATCTTCGAGATCGCATGGTACATGTGCTCACCCAACTCCTTGATATAATCTAAAGTCTCAAATACGTTTACTCCTGGATATACTTCTTCAGACCGCGCAACCTCTCCTTGGCGGTCTCCAGCACGTCATCGGGCTTGCAGACGGCAAAGCGGATGTAGTCCTCGGCGATGTGTGCGTTGGGGTCGGTGTAGAACTCGGTGGGGGGGATGGCAGCGACGCCGACCTCCTGGATGAGGAACCACGCGAGCTTGAAGTCGCGCGGGCGGCTCGCAACATGCGCGGGGAAGGGGTAGTCCTCGGGCAGCTTCACCTTGGCCATGTTGACCAAGACAAAGTATCCGCCCTCGGGCTCCGAGTAGGGCATGTCAAGCTCCTTCCACACCTCGTTGAAGCGGTCCATCCTGCCCTTCATGTCCTTGATTGTCTCATCCCAGAAGCCTTGCTTTTCGGCTTCCTCAAATCCTGTGGACTGTTAGCTTTTGCTCAGTTTGAGAATGGTGGGGTGAGACATGCCGACGGCGCAGGCTTCTTGGAGAGGAGAAACGGAGGAGTAGCAGATACGGGTGTGCGCGGCTGACACGTATTGGATCAGATCGGCCGGTCCCATGAGCCAGCCCACACGCCAGCCAGTGGCGTAAAAGTTCTTTCCGGCGGAGCCAACAGTGATAGTGAGACGCTCAATCTCGGGAGAGAGGGTGGCGATTCTCGTAAAGGGGACGTAGTACAAGCGGTCGTAGACCTCGTCGGAGAGGATGATGATCTCGTTCTTCACGCAGAGGTCACCAATCTTCTGTAGCTCGTCCTTGGAGAAGACCTTGCCGACAGGGTTGTCTATCTACAGGTCAGTGACGTGTAAGTAGGTAGAGACGAAAGATAGTACGGACGTGGCGTGTTGAGGACAATCATCTTTGTCTTGGGAGAAATAGCGCGCTCGAGCTCGTCAAAGTCGATGGTCCAGTTGCCGGCGGATGACGTCCTCTCACCACCGTCCTTGGGCGGGTGCAATGGGACATAGACGATTTTGCCGCCGGGCATCTCAATGTTGCTAATGTATCTGTTCCCGGAGTCAGCACATGGAGGTCCGGTCAGAAGTATCCCAGGGTCTATCGTACTGGTCAAAGAAGGGCTCAAAGACGATGACTTCGTCGCCGGGCTCAATGAAGGCCATGAAAGCGCTGAGCATACCTGGTTAGGTGTCAGTCTACCACCCTTACATCGCATCGTAGCATTTCTCTCTCACCCTCATTTGCGCCGGTAGTAATGGTAACCTCGGTCTCGGGGTCGAGCTTTCGGCCCCAGTGAGGAGAGTAGGCATCGGCAATGGCCTTCTTCAACCGAGGGCGGCCCTTGGTGGGACTGTACTGGTTGCACTCGACGCGATCCAAGGCCTGCTTAGCAGCATTGAGAATGAAATCGGGCGGGTTGTATCCGAAGAAGCCCTGTCCCATATTGACAATAGGCTGCTTGGGCGAGGCAGCGGCGGCCTCATTGATGATGGACCTGCCACAGTTAGCAAGGGATTCACGCGCGCATTCATCCGAGTTTGAGGAGGTTCACGGCTGCTTGGTAATACGCCGTGTTGCTCATCAGGGTCTAACACACCAGACATCCTGGCGACGGCCGGTGACTCGCGCCGCGGGCTTGATCTTGCTGCTGAGACTCATGGTGGTTGTGCGAAATCCTCTTCTTGCGGCACTGCTAGGGATGCGAGACCGGAGTAGAGGGAGAACGAAGGAGTTCATGGAAGAGAAAAAGGGACAGACGGAGAGCAGGAAACGCGATGAGGGAATCGGAGCTGCACGGCGTTCGAAATGACCACCCTCCTTCGATTAGACCAGGCGAAACTCCGAAAATACTAGACGCTGATTGCTTGACGCTCCCTTAAGCCCCATTCCCGTCTGGAGCCGATTTTGCTGTAGCACTGGTTGACCCCGATTACGCCATTTGTTTGGCCCGATTTTCGGTGCTCCCCTCTGCAGCGGGGTGAGCCGGCGCTTGCCCTTTTGGCGGGGTAAATTGCACGGGCAGAAGATGACATAATCACGGCTTGTATTCCGATGTTCTGCCGGTCGGGCTTTGAGCCGACAGCCGCTTATTCACGGGTTTGCCTGCGATCTGAGAAAGAAAGCAGTTGCAATTCCATACCGCACTATTTTCACCGGCACAGGAGCAACTAATGTAACCGAAAGTTTCTGTCTTGTCATAAATTTGAATGTCATCCCATTTTATTCCATCGATTTTAGGGTGGCACGATGTCACAATGGCCCGACCTTATTGCCCGAAGGTGGCCTGGGTCCGCTGAGTTCGGGTGAAGCTATCCATCAAACTTACCGATATTGACGAATCAATATTATCGACCATGGGCCAATTAACACTCTAAAACTTCAGCTAAACTGTGAGCAGCTCAGTAATTCGGTCGAAATTTTTGGTAGCATATCATCATGAACCATAAATTTTGAACGAGGCAACTTCAAACGAATGCGATGTTGGAGTGCGTGAAGCCGGCAAATAAAACAGCGAAGATTTTGAAGGATTGTATTTCCAAAGCCCTGAACCTATTGAGATTACAGTTATCAAGTCTACCTCGCAAAACTTGTAATATACGATAGCAGTATTGATGGCACTAACGAGTAGACCTTGTTACTATGAGCGCTACATCGGACTGATCACACGTAGGGCGTCTTGCCATATCTCTCCGCCAATGATTGGTTGTAGAACCATGTATGGCGAAGAAGTTTGTGTGTTCTACAATTTAATTCGTCTCACGCCCGCAGTCTCTCGTTTTCCTTCGCAAGCGGTTCCCCTAGTTGACCGTTTTATACTCATAAAAATTCCAATGATCAACTGATTAAGCTCCAACATGTCGCCATGGCTTCTTAGCATGGTTCCTGTGGCTGGATATTGTGTAAAACAAATTCAGTTGGAATCGAGACTCAAACTTGACGAACACGTCTACTTTGGTGTGATTGGGCAGTAATTGCAAGTGAACGCTAGTAAAAGAGCCCGGCAATGTCAAGCTCACAAGCTGGAACGTAGAGTTACTTTCGAAACCTTCTTTTCATGACGCTGTTATGTTCTAATATCAATGATGACATTGTGATGTTATGATTGGATCTCTGTCAGCTTAGATGAAGCCATAATTAACCCACATTCCAGTCAGAATGTCGTCTGCGTCCAACTCAGACACATCGGGGATCTCTGCCTCGCCGTATCGACAATACATTTCCAAGAACTCGGGGATGGTATCAAAAACAGTCAGCTTCTCGTACATGCTGGATACCACATATCTCCAGGCCCAAGGTTCGGGCTCCGTACCCGGCTGGGGAATCCTCCGGCAATAAACCACATAGAAGGCGTACCTCCACCCTTCTCCTGGTTCCCAAAAGACGGCACACTCCCAGTCACGATTGAAGCTGAAATTTTCCTCGTCGGGCGTCTTTACAATGGCATCTATTGCCTCCGCTGACGTGGTAGTCCCGGTCCAGAACATTGCTTGGTGTGTTTTGTAGTCTTCCGGCCCCGGGCCGGTTAACTGGAAGACGTACTCGGCAAGAATGCGGAACTCTTCAGGCACAGTAATGGTCTCACGCACCTCCTCGAGACACTTTTTCTTTAGCGCCTGCTCCAAAAGTGAGAAGTAGCTGTCGCGCTCATGGATGTACTCGTCATCAAACAAGCTTTGCGATGTGGCCATGCCGGTTCCGTCGAGGCCAAAAATGGGCACTAACTCGTCGTAGCGCGTGAGCACATCGCCGGGAACCGTTATGTATTTCTTGATCTCTTCCCCAAAAAGTGCAGCTAAGCTGTTAATTCGTACCTCCTCGATGCTTTCATCTTCCCAGTCGCCTGGCTCGCCTTCGGCAGTGGCGATGAAGTTTACTGAAATGTAGCGGTGTAATTAGCTTCGAAAACCCAATACTGTGCTGTGAGTGTTGCACATCTTACCAAAGACCTCAAAGATGCGGCGATGATGTTCGGCAATGTGGGATCGGTACGCTTGAACGGCGGCTTTGATCTCTTCAGGGGAGGAATACACTTTTTCTTCTCTCCCTCTCTCTCTCCGTCTCGAGGTGTTTATGGTCGAGCGATGGCTTCGTTCAGGTAGAAAAGACCGTTTAATCTCCTTGCGGTTAGGATGACAAGGGCATATAAGAGAAACTTGTTGGTACCTCGAGATTTCAAACAATGTTCTGATTGGCCACAGTCGCCAACACCCCGCTAGCACGAATGAAATGATTGAGCAGACCACTGTGTGGTATTATCATGGCGACAAAGGTAATACCGCGAAATTCATATTGGTCTGGTACTTGAGTATAGCATACCCATAATGGCGAAGTCTGGGCTGATTGGTTTACTTGGCACGTTGACAGCTCAACATATGATACGGAGCGTTCTCCACGAATTTCAATTCCTAATGGCGATCGAAGTAGCGACAAGTGTAGTGGAAATGAAGTAAAAGTAGGAATAGAGTTTTACAAGGTATATTCAAGCTTTATTATTTCGACCTAGGGGCGTGTCCGACATACCCCAGCCGAAGTGAAACTAGCTGTTTTCTCAGCTTTTCCGGGGGCTGGGCCTGCTCTCGATGGATGATGAGCACACTCAGGGGAAAGGTTACCCAGCGTCTAGGTACCTTATTTGCCAAGCGATTTAGACTAAGAACAAAACGGATAATTTCACAGAGGGAAAACGACAGCTCTTGTAAAACGTTCCTTCTGTGGAGGCGCTTTAATACTGAAGCTCGTGTTCGAAAGGAGACTGCGGAGGTACGTAGTCAGCTCCCTCCCAGGGACCCTGCATCTAGGCCTTCCACCCTGTTGTAGAAGACGTTTTAGGCCCACTACGCCTTGCCGGAACCCGATGTTCAGAGGGCTGTCATCGTTAATTGGATCACAATTTAGGCGGCCGCTAATAAATCGGGCGTGATAGAGTAGCTGGTAGCAGCTATCCGACCCTGCGCTAACCGTCTTCGTAAAGGGTTCCCGAAGCTTGTTAGCTCGTCCAGCTGGCATCCCTTCCGGTTGCGATTTCTAGGTCCAAAATTCCCACCCACCATTAGACCAAGTAGCAAGGAAGCTGCATGATCTTTCATTCCAACCCCCAGTCGACCTGCGTTGCTTGATACGAGACGATGCCAGATTCGGAGGTGCGACGCATTTGCCGTCCCTGACACTGCAAAGTTCCAACTTAATGTCGCCTCGCCCGCTGTCAGTCTTCCTGACACCACCATGTCTCGTCCACCGGGCTTCATCAAGGTCGACCTCCGTCCTTGAAATCTCGCCCAACGATTCCTCCATGACCTGATCGAGCTTCATAACCACGACAACGATGGCTGGACCCCACTCTCGTCTACGGATCGTGCTCCCCGTCGCCGCCCTGCTCGCCCTTGTCGTCGTGTTGGCCCGTTTCCATGCAGGCATAATCACTGTCGACTCCCTCTTCACCGGGCAAAAAACCCCTCCTCCGCCCGCCGCGGGTGACAACAAGCCAAAGGCCAAACCTCCAGCCGAGACGCCTCGTTACAAACCCGCGCCGACATACACGCCGCCTCCAGTTATCGACCCGTTCCCTCTCCTTGCCAACACGGCCTCTCCGCCGCCCCCGATTCCCGCCTACAACGTCCCCCGGAAGGACCTACATCTTGAATATGGCATCAACAGCATGCCGCCGCTTTTCATCGGCTTCACTCGTCAATGGCCGATTTTGCTACAGTGCGTTGTTAGCTACATCACGGCCGGCTGGCCCCCGGAGAGCATTTATGTGCTCGAAAACACGGGCGTACAAATGTCCAACGTGGACGAGAAGCTGTCATTACAGAATCCCTTCTACATGAACCATACTACACTGAAGCGGTTGGGAGTCCATGTCCTGCAGACCCCGGCGCTGCTGTCCTTTTCACAGATGCAAAACATGTTTCTGTACACGGCACATTTGCAGAACTGGCCATATTACTTCTACAGCCATCAAGACGTTGTTGTGTTTTCGCTTGAGGATGGGCCGGACGACGCTAAACGTCCTGGAGACCGGGCGTGGGAATTCTACAGTGACGAGGAGAAGCAAGAGACGATGAACCCCCCAGCGGCGGGAGAACCGGGCTACAGGACGATATACGAGAACTGCCTCCGCGACTTGAACGTCACGCTTGAGCGCAAGGAGAAGTGGGCGTTTAGGTGGTACCAGTATGATCATTTGACGCTGGTGAACCGCGCGGCGATGGACGCCATTGGGGGCTGGGACTCGATGATTCCGTACTACGCGACAGACTGCGATATGAATGCACGGCTAATAATGGATGGATGGACGACGAAGCACCGCCGGGTTGGCATCATCAACGATGTTTCGACGCATTTGGAGGACCTAGCCGTGCTTTACCGGGTGCCAGGCGTGGAGCCGAAGTGGACAGACCCGAACTTGCCCTCGCCAGAAGAGAGAAAGGAAGAAGAGGAGAGGGAGGCCGAAGAGAAGAGAAAGGCTGAAGAAAAGAAGGCTGCTGAAGCCAAGAAGAAAGCCGAAGAGAAGATGAAATCCACAGAGAGACGAAAAGAAGGCGAGACCATCGATGCCCCCCCTAAAAAGGAACCGGATGGCAAGGGTTACTACCGCTCAGTAGTAGAGACGGCTCTCGAGATGACGAATTACAAATATAGAGGCGGAAGCCGTAATCGGAACTCTTGGCAGAAGAGCCAGAGAGGTGGTGCAGGCGAGCCGTACTACTACAACTCGGAAGGGTTTGCGGACGCATTTGAGGTGCTCGTTGCCGCCGGCAGGAGGATTTTCGAAATGAAATGGGGCAGGGGAGGTTGCGACATTGGCGAGGGATTCGGCTTGAAGGTCGCTGACCAATGGCGCGTGCTGCCTCCCAAGGACGCCTGAAAAAAACGAGTTGAATAGCGATGAACTGGCGATGTTATTATTGTACAATTGGTAATGGTACACTCAACGGCGTACGTAGACGAAGGTGCATATTTTTTTTTTCTTTTTCCGAATTTTGCTCGGCGGTCACGGGCTTGGAGAAAGGTTGGGGGCGGGAGGGGGAAATTAAAATAAAATATACACATGTCAGATAAAACAAGAGTCACAAGGCGAGAGAGAGGACGAATGTAGAGGCATATATAGTCATGTCTTTGGGATATTTAATGGACGAAGGCCATCTATACTGATTTAGGCACACACACAAAGTCCATTCTCCTATCATCGGAGAAAAGACTTCTTTCTAGTGCTGATAACCATGCTGATGATGCAGACTACTAAAAAAAAAAAAAAAAAAAAGGTAGAACAGAGGGATAAGGAAAATCGTACACGTGCTGTCAAAATGACCCCCTACCAAGACGCCATACCCGTCTATCTAGGTATCCCGGTCGCGATTGATGTAAAATCAACCCGACAAAAAATGAGAAAATGAGAAAACACATATAAAGCTTCCGACTCGCAGTTATATCCCAACTGCCGATCTAAAGCCCGGAATGCTTTCTCTCGCACATAATAATCTAAAACACACGCTCTCAAAACGCTAGGGTTTTTAAAAGACGCAGGGAGAGAGAGAGAGAGAGAGAGAGAACCTTACGCCTGGGAGGTGGCGTTACGGGCCAGAGCACCGCCGGCCTGGATGTCGCCGAGGCCGACCTTGATGCCGCCGGAGGAGACGGAGGCCTGGGGCTTGGGCGCGGAGGTGGCCTTGGTGCGGCCGCTGCTGCTCAGGACCTCGTCGCGGGTGATGCCGAGCTTGTCCTGGGAGAGACCCATGGACTGCAGGAAGCGGACGGTCTCGGTCCACTCCTGGGCCTTGCGGGCCTCGGACCAGCCGAGCTCCTCGGCCATGACGTCGATGACGCGGGGCAGGGCGTAGAGGGCCGACTCGGCGTTGAGGAAGGCGAGACGGGTGCGGCGGGAGATGAGGTCGGTTGCCGTCTGGGCCATCTCGGCGCGCACGCCGTGGCGGATCTCGCCCTCGACGAAGGGGAACTCGGGGATGATGCGGGCGGTGGAGGTGGCGGCGACGGACCAGGCGCGGTCACCGTAGTTGGTGGCCAGGTGGTGGGCGACGTCAGGGTCGAGCGAGAAGTGGCTGATGAGCTGGCCGGGGAGCTGGGTGGAGAAGCCGTGGGCACCGATGAGGGGCACCTTGGTGGTGATGCACTTGCCGGTGGTGGTGAGGCCGGGGAGGCCAGCGCCGGAGATGTCAGGGAGGGTAATCTGCTGGGGCTTCAGGTCGAAAATCTTGATGGCCTCGTCGACGGCGTCCTCGGCCATCTGGCGGTAGGTGGTCCACTTGCCGCCGGCGCAGGTGAGAAGGCCAGAATCGGAGACGGTGACGAGGTGGGAGCGGACGAGGGACTCGGTGTTCTTGGCCTTGGGATCCTTGACCAGGGGGCGAATACCTGGGAAATTTTCTTGTTAGCTATTGTGTCATAGTTCGCTGAGGAGGGGGTGGGCAAGTGGGGCCCGCCGTATTTTACTTACCAGACCAGGCGGCGAGGACATCAGAGCGGGACAGGGTGGACTCGGGGGTGATCAGCTTGTTGACCTCCTTCAGAATGAAGTCAATGTCGTTCTCGCGGGGGAGGGGCTCCTTCTCGACGGCGCAGGCGGTGTCGGTGGTTCCGGCAAGGGTGTGGCCCTGCCAGGGGAGGACGAAAATGACGCGACCATCAGAGGAGGCTTCGAGCAGACCGATACCGTTGGGGCAGATGTTTCCAGGGAGCATGATGTGGGCACCAGAAGCGGGAGCGACGATGGCCTTGCGATCGGGGTTGTCCATGCGCTCGACGGCATCGGTGAAGGGACCGGTAGCGTTGACAACACCCTTGGCGCGGACAGTGAAGGACTCGGAGCCGGGGTTCATGACGTCGCGGACCTTTGCGCCGCAGATCTTGCCGTTAGAGTTCTTTTCCAGAGAGGTGACTTCGACGTGGTTCAGAACGGTGGCGCCGTAGAAGGCAGCGGTGAGAGCGAGGGAGACGTTCATGCGGGAGTCGTTGTGCTGGCCATCGTAGTAGACAAGAGCACCAATCATGTTGTCGCGGCGGAGCAGAGGGAAGGTCTCAATGGCCTTGGACTTGGACATGTAGTAGGAGCTCTCGAGACCCTGGGAACCGGCGAGGAGATCGTACATCTTGGTGCCGGCCCAGGCGTAGGGGGCGTACCACCACTGCTTGAGAGGCAGGAGAATGGGCAGAGAGGAAGACAAGTGGGGGGCGACAGTCAGGAAGGTCTTGCGCTCGTGGAGGGCCTCCATGACGAGCTGGAGCTGGGAGTAATCAAGGCCAAGGACGGCTTTCTCGAGATAGCGAACACCGCCGTGAACGAGCTTGGTGCTCTTGGACGAAGTTCCGGCGGAGAAGTCGTCGCGCTCGACGAGAGCGACCTTGAGACCACGAGTAACAGCATCGAGGGCAATTCCGGTGCCCGTGGCGCCACCGCCGATAATGAGCAGGTCATACTCTTCAGAATCGGAGGAGTGGGCGCGCAAGTCGGCAAGCTGGGAAGCGCGGTCCTTGATGGAGGGGAAACTGGGCGGGACAATGCGGCCCTGGTTGTCGCGCTTGAGCTCGACCAGAGGCTTGTCAAAGGCGTGGGCACCACGGTTGTTGTTGAAAGCCGAGTAGGCGACAACACCACCAGTTGCGGCAACGGCCGCGGCGGCGAGAGGCCTTCTCAGGCTCGAGAAACGCGACGCCATGCTCTTGGAAATTTGACCTCGTATCTCTCTCGGGGGAGTTTTAGGCCGAAGTCCAAAAAAGGACGAGTGTGCGTTGGGGTTTGTTGGAGAAGGTCGACTTTCCCAGGTGTAGGTGGGAGTCGAGTATCTTCAGGTCTATGATAGTTTGTTGGGGAAGGTGATGATCCTAAGAAGGAAGGAAAAGGAAAAAGGGAAACAGAATAGAGAAAAAAAGTGAGAGGACGTCACGACTTAAGAGGGAGGGTCGGGCAAGTTGAGAATGTCAATCGGTAGATATCAGATTTCGTCAGGCGAAGAGCTTCGGGCTGGGCCGCCTCACCCGCAACTTTGGGCTTCGATTCGTGGAATGACACCCCGAGGTTGACCAGGAATGGTTCCGTTCGGCGCTACTCAAAATCTTCCGTTAGGCTGGACAGGGCGACAAGACAAAAAAAAAAAAAAAAAAACACAGGGCGAACAGAGAAAAGAGGCTAAAAGTAGAGTGGGAAGGGGTGGGTGGAGGAGGGGGATCAATCGGAGATCGTGTTTTTTGGTTGCTTATGTGGGAATCTGGATGATAGCTTTCCTTTACCTCCACGCTCATCAATTCTAATCACTCACAGCACCCCCACGTGGTCCCAGGACGGTCTATTCTCTGGCTGACACTGTTGCCTGTGCCCTCCTTTGCTGTGCGTATTATTGGCAACGCTGGCTTGCTTCATTACCCAGGGAGCTCCCAAATTTGGAGGTGGCCCAAGCTATCTCCGGACACACCTATGGTATGGTATCAAATCAAGGGTCTGACATCATGGGGGGAACTACAACGTGGCACCGAGCACAGTCCGAACAAAGACGACGGACTTTGATGAATCAAAGAGAGTCAGTTAGAAGAAGCCCGGACAAGGAAGAGGCAAAGGGAGGCCCGCTTCTTCCTCGTCATGTCGGTAACAGCGGAGGATCCAATATGGAGAAATGAATGGGGAAAGCACGAAATCTCTCGGGGCCCCGGGGGTGACGGAGGGTCGAAACTTTGCGAGAGCTGCGGTGCCATCCCATCCGTGTGGTGTTTCTGGGTCAGAGCCTCATATGTCACTCAGGGGACCTCATGCACCTCGGTGTTATGGACCCGAAATTGGGGAAATCGGTAATTAGTCGGTACTCAAATCACCCGTGTCCTTGCTTCGGTGGTTTCGGTTCAAGGAGCCGAATGTGAGACCAAAAAGAAGGGGAAAATATTGGGTAAAGAAATTGTTGCAGAAATAAGAATGGGTCCAACTCGCAATGATCGGCGAAAGCCTCCGAGGTGAAAAGGCTAGAAGTAGGTCTCTCTGCTCTTACCCGCTTGTGGCCCTTCTCTCTGGGTCGCTACTACCGTTTGCTACCAATTAGACCACTCTTTCCCACAAACCCAGCCTAATTACTACCATAGTGTGCATAGTACGTACAAAGTAGATGCAGTCAGACTCCTCCACCTAATCTGCTCCTCTTTCACTCCCTTAGCCACCACACTCCTCCAACTCGCTTCACCTCGGTATTGTCGACCCGTATCTACAGCACCACCACCGTAGCTACGCACAAATCGACCTGCCTGCTGGATCTGAGACACGCATCCGCCGTTCTAGCCTACCACATCCAATTCGGGCCGTCACTCTGCTTCTCCCCTTTCGTCCCCATCATGGGATGTTTGCCCACACAAGGCCATACCACTTGGCGCCGTTCGCCTTATCCTTCGAAAGATTGAGGCTGTCGTAGGCCTGATTACTCTGGGTCCCCGTACGCCGTCTCAAAGTCGAGGCCCGATTGCCCAAGAGCTACGCTTCGTTTTAAGAAGAACGTGCTTCCTCCTAATGCGGACCGTTTTTGGTTCCCGAGATGGACGGTCAAAGATCTGGGCTGTCTGAGATTCAACCGTCATCCAGCATCGCTTTTTCTCTCTCAGTCTCTACACCAAAGCCACGGCTACCCATCTTTGTCATCTACACCATCCCGCCATCCACACTTCGACATGCTGCCAAGTCCTCCAAAACCTGTCTCACCCTGCCGGGTCTTCCTTTCAACCAGCTATTCCCGCACCCTCGCCCACTCATACCGGCCGAGATCCGGCTACGAGTAACTGTACTTTGAGAACGTACCGTACCTGCTCAGTGCGGGTACGTACACTTCGGCTCTCTCCCCCCATCAGGTGCTGGTAGGGGCCAACGCTGTCTGAACCGACCGCCACGGGACACAATGTACCCAGACACACACATACACACACCCGCCGTCCGTTGCTGCCGCCCACTGCCGCCACTTTTTACCATCGTGCCCTAGACCATATCGACGCCGCAGTGTACTTCGACCACCGCCGAACATCCCGGGCCGCTGTGCAACAGCCGCATGGAAAAGTGGAAAGCAGGAAGATAAGCTGGTCACGGTGGAAACGCTTGCAATACCCACACTCCCCCCTATTTGCCTGCAGATGGTCACGATGCAATCATATGGATGGCAAAAATCTACTCACCGTCCAGGCTTCCTGGTCTCCTGGCCTGCCAGTGTTGCTTCGAAATACACGACACCCCCCGTCTTCTTGCAAGTCAAAGTGGTATGCAACCGCCAGGAACTTGAAAGTGTGTTGCTATTTGATGACTGGCCAAGCATTGTTTCGAAACTCGGATATTGCAGCTGTGCTCCACGGTTCACTCATCCCCGATGGCAATCGATCTGAGTAATACGTGCTACCAGGTCCAGGTTGGTCGGCGAGTTGGGGACCACCTCCCCTCTTGGCTGTTTGGCATTAGCCTGGCAGTAGCTCTAAACAGCACGATGTTACCCCACGAAGCTTTCAAAAGCAACTTAATCTTTGGGCTTGCAACATACGCTGATTCGTTTGTTCTTCGAGGCAAGGTCCTCGAAACCTAGACAGCTGTCTGACACGAAACTTAAGCAGCTGTCTGGCGAGTCACGCTCAGCAAACTTTAGAGGGGATTTTTGGATTACTGTGTCGACCATCGTCGATTGAGGTTGCTATACACGGATGGACATGGTGACTAACATGATGCAGCAAACTTAGTAGACTTGGCTTCACTCACTCCAGTGCACCGCCCCCGATCTTACAAGCTCGAAATCACTCAGGATTTACAACACAGCGGACCGTTTCAAGCTGGGAAGGCCCTGAAGCGGCCCTTGATACCAGCTCCCGCCGCTAATCCGTCCAATCCACGCTCTCTCCCGCACCTGCTCCAGCGGGATGAAGTTCAGGTGGCATTACACAAGTTAGCGCCAACTCTGCCTTACTTTCTCGCGGACGATGGCGCAACACTTCTATTTCAACGCATTGCTACAAAGCTTGGGAGTCTCACTAAGCCCGTCCGAAGTTTTGGCAATCCGTACATTGAATGAAGGGCGATTAGCAGGACTGAAGGCCCGCCCAGGCGGCGTGAGCGTGTCACGCCGCTGGGAACTTGACCAACATCTCCAGAGCTTTGCAGGAATTCCGCTTTCTACGCGCCCGTCTGCTACCATCTTCTACCAGCTTCCCGTCTTTTGCCAACTTTGGCAGCGGGGCAGGAAACAGGCAAGCATGCCAGAACGGGACACAACCGGCTATGGACGGATGGAGAAGGGGTTGATGCACTCTTTGGTTGTCCAATCGTGCGACGAATGCTGCTTCCGTCGGCGACCATCGGCGACCTCAGTCACGAAGGCGTCGCAAACCCCTTGCGAAGTCGCAAGACTATTGAATTCTGGGCGGACCAAATGGAAACCCGCAAACAACAGAATCCAGGCCCTTTCGGCCAACAGTGCCCTGTCAAGAGGTCCCAGGAGGCTGCAAGTCCGCGCTGTCACTGCATCTGGAAGCGATTCCGGCAGCATGGCGCGCCCCTCTCCAGCCCAGCCCAGTGGGCTCGCCCAACAGAACTTTGGGGTCCCCGTAATTTGGCTAAAATCGCCGACACGACGGAAGAATTCTCAATGTGCCAGAATTGGCCCGCCTTCGGGCGTCGTGACAATCTTTCAGCGAAAAAGTCAGGCCCTGCTTGGTTCAGGGTCTTGGAGGTCCAGACATACTAATTGATTGCAACATCCGTAGTCGGGCGTCACGTCCATGTTCATGATTGATCTTTCTTTTCTTTCTTTTCCTCCCACTCTACAAGTCATTGTACAAAGGCAAAAAAGGCTTTCGACGACAAGCAACAATTATAACGACTGAACTAACATTTGAAATATTTGTATTGTGATTGAATATTTGTCATTCTCTTTCCACTCACCGCTGCCCAACGAAAGCCCAAACAGCGGCGACGACTAACGACGAAAACAACAGGCCCCAAAAGATAAAAGCACCGCTAATCCACGCCCCCAGCCCAGCAAAACAACGGTCCGCTGGCCAAACAAGAAACTGGATCTTGACTCTCAATCGATAGACAACCGTCAACCACTCTTTCCTTTTTTTTTGCGCCCATGAGGTGTTCTTTTCGTTTCATTTTTTTCCTTATTGTTTGGTCCGAATCCAAGGCGACGGCTTCGTTTCTGAGCGAAACCACGGTCGGCCCGCTCCTCTCTCTTCTCTCAATCAGAAAAGACAAATGTGGTATCATTGACCCAGTTACCATCCTTTCTCTTACTCTCACACTTTCTCACTCACTCCCGCTCAACTCACTCATCTCTCAAAGACACGTTCACGTCACAATCTCTTTGTGCAAAGGGATGAAGCAAACATGAGAAGCATCCTCGAGTGAGGCGGCCTGTATCTAGACCTTGCTCTCCATGTTGTTCTTATAAGTGTTGGACCAGACGTCACGACGCGGCTGGACCAGGCGCTTGAGGCCGAAGTATGGGGAGTTGATGGGGCTCTCACCCGTGTAGAGGAAAACGTCGTACAGGAAGCCTCCGAAGAGGGTACCAAGGAACGGAGCGACCATGGGGATCTATCAACGCATCGGTCTCGTTAGTCAGGGCACTTGTCAAAAGAGGGACTTTCGTCAACGCATTCGTTTTCGCCACATAAAAAAAAAAACCACGCAACACCGACGCCATTTAGAAAGGAAAAAACCGGGGAGCCGAGGCACCGATAAGAAAAATCATCAAAGGGGAGGGCCTTACCCAGAAGTAGTATCCACCGGCGGACCACACCTCATGTCCGTATCCGACAATGTACGAAACCAAGCGGGGACCGAAGTCACGGGCGAGGTTAATGGCGTATCCTGTCTCCCAACCCCAGCAGGCGCCAATGCCAAAGATGAGGAAGAAAAGAGCAAGCGGCATGAATGGTCCAGCGGCACCGTTGGCGGGGTCGGCGAGGGCGAAGATGACGAGCTGAAGGAGACTGGAGCAGATGAACTCGGACCAGAACATGGCTGTCCGGGTCATGAATTCGGCCGGGTAGGTGCAGAAAATGCCGGCGGTAGCAGTGGGACCGCTGACGGTGCGGATGCCCTTGCCCTCAAAATTGTCAATGGCGGGCATGTAGTTACCGTACAGGATGAAGGCGGCAGCCATGGCTCCGAGAAGCTGGCCGATGAAGTAGATGGGGAACTTGCGCCAAGGCATGCCACGGTACACGCAGTTGGCAAGCGTCACTGCTGGGTTAAGGTGACCACCGGATTTTTTGCCGACGTAGACGCCGAGCATGACACCCAGGCTGAGCAAGGTCCAAAGTTAGCATCTTTTTTTGTGATGGCTATATCCAAAGGTTCATCGATGAAGTCACGATGAGAGCCTATAGGGTGGTGTGTGTGTGTATGTGAGACTTACCCCCATCCCCAGGAAATACTCTGATAGTCACCCTTTGTGCTGTTACTCAACACGACTTGGGCAACGACACCGTCACCAAACATGACGAGGATCATGGTGCCGAAGAACTCGGAGAAGCCGTCCTGGAGGTTCTCGCGGACGCGAGACCACCACAGCTCCTCTTCCCGCTGAGGCGGGGTCATGGTGCCGGAGGCGTGCTCCTCGTGGCTTTCTTCTCCTCCCATCTCGGACTTGAAGACTGGAATGTGTTGCTTCCCAACGGATGATGAAGACTCAGACACCGAATCGGCTGCGTGGACAGTGATGGACATTAGAACCGAAAACGATATTAAGATGGAAGGTGAGTGAGGGAGAGTTGGGCGAAGGGAAGAGAGAAAGGAGTGAGAGAGAGGGGGCGGAGAGGTGAAGATGAGATGAAGGGACGGGCGATGGTCTGGCCAAATATCATCCCACGTCTCCCATGGGGAAGAAGCAACTTCTTATGGTCCCCACGGGCTGATCATATCCCACGGGGCTGGACGACCGTTGCACCGATCCGCCGGGTTGACACCTTTGGGGAATGGGGGGGAGGGGAAAGGCAGAACGAGGAGGAGAGAGAGAGGGGGGGCCTTCACAAGGAAATCATGACGCTTACCCATCTTCGTCTTGTTGCTTGCTTGGTTGCTTGCTTGCTGCGACCCTGTGGATCTAGACCGATGATACACTGATGAAAAAAGGTCTTTGCCCCGGCATTCACGGCCACGAGGACTCGACAGACGAGATTGGCTATTTCCAATTCCGGATCTCTGGGATGATGATACCAACACGTCGGTTCCTTGCCTCACGGGGATACGAAAAGATACGGGGTTCGTACGGGCCTTGCGGAAGAGTGAGGAGGAGTGAAGGGGAGGAAGGAAAAAGAAAATCGAACGATGTGGGCGAGAGGAAGTTGCTCAGGTGGTCTCGGTGTTGCAAAGTCCAGAGAAGAAGGACGGCCTGCGGTGGGACAAGGGGCAGTGTGATGCAGTTCGGTGGCTCACACCGACGTTGAAAGTGGTCGACTGAACTCGGGGACGGGATGTAGATGCTATTACGGACGACGGCCGAGGCTTCGCCTTATTTCACCCTCTGAAGGAATTCTGGATCTGGACCTGGGGTGCGAGGATGAGGAGGAAGAGGACGACGACTACTACTCAGATGGGCTTCTCTTGCGTCTTTCTGCTTCTCTTTTACCCCCTCTTTTTTACCCCCTTCTTTCTTTCGTTCCTCTTTTTCCGGGGTTCGCCAAGGTTCGGACTTGGGATGCACAGGTTGCGCAAAGTAGAGGTACAGAAACGACCAAAACCCACACCTGCGCCACTAATAGGCTTCACTTCCCAGCAAGCAGCAAAAAGAAGAAGGGCAGGGTGTGCCTGTTCGTCCTTTTTTTCGCAGATGGGAAGGGGGTACGGTATGGTGGTTCTTTGAGGTAAGCTTCTGGGGCAAGTTCCCACGTGTGGGTGAGGGGGGAGGGGGCGCGCGGTCGTCGGTGGTCCACAAAGATTTCGGGCGCGTGAGATGGGCGAAAAAGGTCCTTCCTTTCTGCTTTCTGCTCTACACGCCGGCCGGCCGAGGCAGCTCAAAGGGCTAGAGAATTTGGCCAAGGTAGGTTTTCGGTGCGTTTTCCGAGACCCGTTTTATTCGATCCTGCGTCCGCTTTTTGACTTCTTGGTTTACGGCAACTTATGCAACTCTGTGTGCTGCTTGCGCCGGCCTGCAGAACCCCCAGTTTTCTTACACCTGGCTGTTTTTGGGTCCCAAAGACTATTTTATGTTTTGGTTTTTTTTATCGTTCAAAAAAGAGTATTTCCTTCTTCACATGAGAGGTTGTGCCAAGGTTGTTGGAAAAAATTGGATTGTAAGTCTCACGACATTCCCGGAGCTTCCAGTTTCCCCCGTTTAAAACTCATTGAGTTTTGGCTGATCGGATCGAAAGATTACCTCTTTCATCATGCATCCTTGTGCCATCTGGGGCTGGGAACAAGAAGGATGGCCTAGCCAGGGTAAAGAATGTGGAGATTCTTTTTTTTTTTTTGGTCCCAATCTGACAGACAGTGACGAACCCACGCCACTCCCGAACTATGTAACCACCGCGGCTAACGTCATACACGAGACGGGTAGACCTATCACGAACCAAGCCGAAGGGGAGACCAAAAAAAAAGGCCAATGGGCGAATTAAAAAATTACATTGACAGCCTTTACAAGCTATGCGCAACCCTTTTGTCAGTATTCGTCCTTGGCCAAGGTTTCCATTACTCGCCAATGACCAATGACGTGAGCTTGGCTTTTCGAGGTAAGAAGGGGAAAAACAAAAGAAAAAAGTTACATGACAAGACCAACTGGAAGTCTGAGCCGCGGCTCATTACACACACTCATATTTTACGACAAACCCCCCAGTTCCCCGTTCGACTTTTTTGGTTTTCAACCCTTGCCTGCATTCCTGTTGGAACTTTCGCCTCTTCCCCGCAGTTCTCTGCGCGCACATGGACGAATTAGACGAAGAGACATGCGGGCGAGTGCAACGTAGCGGGAGGGGAAGCAGGTCAGCACCAAGGCGATGTTTGTCAGTCTTGACCGTTTTCGACCAAGTCGACCAAGATGACAAGCAGCGGGAAATAGAAATCTGGTGAAGGCGCACGTCGGCACATGATTTACTTGCATGCTCAGGTTGGATTTGCAGGTTGAATTGGGAAGTTGAAGCCGTTGGTTCGTTTCACAGTTGGTGATGTTTTTTTTCTGTTGGTTGGCACTGTTTGTATGGTGCCCGCCCCGGGCATGTCCGATGGAGAGGGGCTCTCTCTCTCTTTCTGTCTCTGCCTTCCTCCTCTTTCTCCTCCCTGCCCACCCTCACTACTACACGATCCTCGTTCTCGTTGCCCTTCTAGAGCGCGTGCGCCATGCAGTGTGCAGCAGAATGTGGATGCACAGGTAGGCACAAGGCAGAGAGAAATTCTCACGTAGTCCCACGAATTCCACGGAGGCGGCGGAGCTCACTCTCCTCTTCAGCTCTAGCCTGGCAGTAGTAGTATAGGCTCTGCACGCCACGGGCTATCCGTATCAGCCGTCATCTCGTCTTTTTTTTTTTTTTTTTTTTTTGGGTTACTTAAAGGGACCCCGCTCGTCGGGCGACCGGTGCTTGAGATAACGGCCGGCATAAGGCCGGACCCACCGGACCGTGGCGCTCGCCGACGTAGACCGAAACTCGTGCTGTTGCACTGCGACTGTAAATGACATCAGCCCCATCAGCAAGGTGATCCGGCCCCCGTCGCCCTCCACTTTTGCTCGCTGTCTGCGGCCGACGTTGCCTGTCCCTCGAACCATCGGCCGACGTAATTCGGTGTGCCCTCCCCGAAAACATGGCCTCCCGGATTCTTTACAGCGAAGGATTCGGTTGCCTGTCAGACACAGACAGAGAAGCATCCCGCTGTGACCCGTTCGCATCCCCCCCCAGTGGGGATGATCCTGCATTCCGGGGCCCCCTCGTTTGGCAGACCTGCGGTTTTCCCAAGTCCGCTCAGTTGGTGCTCATCTCGTGACATCTCCACACGATCTGGGGGATGGGGTAGAGATGGGAATGAGGGGTAGCTTTTTTTTTTCGAGAAAGCTGTCTTGTTTTCCTGTTCCCCATGGAGGAAGCTAGCCCGACGCCGCGCCTAAAGGCAAGTTGGAGCTGAATTTCCCACATGTGCGCCGCACATGGAGCACATGGTGAGGGGAGGGGGGGAAGAAGGAGGGGCACTACAAATATTTTGTGAGCCCGTGAAACTTGAACTCTGTTGCGAAACCAGCCTCTCTCTCTCTTCTCTCTTCACCTCGTTCCTCAAGATACCCAATCGTCCTTGTCCTTCTCCCGTCGCTGTCAATTCGTCCCGTCTTCCCCCTTTGGATGCTCTCATCGCTTCTCCCCAACCGCTTCAAACAAACCTCGGACAAAATGTCTCCCGCAGCTGTCAACGGAGGTCAGAACATCTCCTTCGTCGGTGCCATTGACCAGGGCACCACGAGCACCCGTTTCTTGATCTTCAACCCCCACGGTGAGGTCATTGCGACGCACCAGCTTGAGTTCAAGCAGATCTACCCCAACCCGGGGTAAGTTACAAACTTTTTTTTTTTTTTTATACAAGTGGATTGTTTTTGTGTGTTTGCGCTGCATGCGAAGCTAACTCAATTGCGACAGCTGGCACGAGCACGACCCCGAGGAGCTCGTCTCCTCCGTCGAGAAGTGCATTGACGGCGCTGTCCAGGCCTTTGAGACCCAGGGCCACTCCCGCGAGCAGATCAAGGCCGTCGGTATCACCAACCAGAGAGAGACCACCGTCGTCTGGGATAAGACTACCGGCAAGCCTCTGTACAACGCCATTGTCTGGACCGACACCCGTACCAAGGACCTCGTCCGCAAGCTCAAGAACCGCCTCGGCGCCAGCGAGCTGACCCAGCGATGCGGTCTTCCCCTTTCCACATACCCCTCCGTCGGCAAGCTCTTGTGGCTGATTGACAACGTCCCCGAGGTGAAGGATGCTTACGAGCGGGGTGTCCTGGCTTTCGGTACCGTCGACACCTGGTTGGTCTACAAGCTCAACGGCGGCCCGGATCGCGATGTCTACGTCTCTGACCCTTCCAACGCTGCCCGTACCATGTTCATGAACATTCACACCCTTCAGTACGATGATGACCTCATTGACTGGTTCAGAGTCGACCCTACCAAGGTTAAGCTCGCCAAGATCGTGCGCTCATCCGACCGCGAGGCCTACGGCACCCTGGCCAACACTGCTCTTAGAGGCACCAAGATCACTGGTTGCTTGGGTGACCAGTCTGCCGCTCTCGTCGGCCAGAAGGGCTTCACTGCTGGTCTCGCCAAGAACACCTACGGCACTGGTTGCTTCCTGCTGTACAACATTGGTCCCAAGCCCGTCATCTCTTCCCACGGTCTCCTCACCACCGTTGCCTTCGACTTCGGTCCCGGCAAGACCATGTACGCTTTGGAGGGTAGCATTGCTGTTGCCGGATCCAGTGTCAAGTTCCTCGTTGACAACTTCGGCTTCATGGAGTCGTCTTCCAAGCTCAGCGCCCTTGCTGAGACGGTCGAGGACAACGGCGGCTGCACCTTCGTCACCGCCTTCAGCGGTCTCTTCGCGCCCTACTGGATCGACGATGCGCGCGGTACCATCTTTGGTATCACTGCTTACACTCAGCGTGGCCACATTGCCCGCGCTACCCTCGAGGCCACTTGCTTCCAGACCAAGGCAATCTTGGACTCCATGGAGAAGGACAGTGGTGCTGCCCTTACTGAGCTCGCCGTCGACGGTGGCATGTGCAACTCCGACCTTGTCATGCAGGTAAGAATAGGACCCCGGACCTTATCCGAACCTCGGGACGCAGAAAAAGGCTAACCCCTGTACAGACCCAGTCCGACATCATTGGCATCCCTGTCAACCGCCCAGGCATGCGGGAGACCACGGCCCTTGGCGCGGCCATCGCAGCAGGCTTTGCTGTGGGTGTCTGGAAGAGCTTCGATGAGCTCAAGGACGTCAACCTGGAGGGTCGTACCATCTTCAAGCCCCAGATCACTGATGAAGAGGCGGCTAAGCGCTTCGGCCGCTGGGAGAAGGCCGTCCAGATGAGCAAGGGCTGGTCGAGCTAAACACTCACTGCGAGGCTGATCCTTTGTTTTCATCACTTAATGTCTTTTTTTTTCTCTCCATTTTTTGCCATATACCACTGTGTGTTGCTTGGGAGGGAGGTCCCATCACGACGGCGGCGCGGATGAGGTTTGGCGCTTGTCGGAGAGAGCTCCAGATTGTATCATAGGTACCATGACGAAATGACGCAGTTTGCCTCTTTGTCAGAACTTATGTGCGTATGTGTGTGTGTGTGGATGTGTGTCGTATGCTGGGGGTTGGATCCTGCCCCATTCGCCTGATCCTGTAGCAATCTTTTCAAGGCTGCCAAGTCGAAGGTGTCAAGGAAAATCGCAGTCGCATGTTTATTCTGATCCATCTCCACGTGCAAATGTTCCCTGTTAAGACCGGATGATCGGATGCAGGCAGCCCCCACGACTCCATCGTTCCGTTTGAACTGAGTCGTGAAGTGAGCGGTCTGTAGTGAAAACCATCGTCATATTGCCGAAACCATGGAGGAGATTCCGCACTTCTCGGACGAAGCCCGCGGGGGCCCGTGATGAACGATCGCAAACACCCAGCCATCGCATGCCCCGCGGGAGAGGAGACATGGTTGAAGCCACTGCCGTGCCCCCCACCTTTAGCGATTAAAAAAGCCCACGGATGATCCTCGCAGAAGTGGCCTTGACAGGGAAAACAGCGAGCGGGGAGCGGTTCGGAGTGGCCGGGGTGCGGCGCTGTTTACCAAATGGGGGGGTTTTTTAGCAGTAAACTTGGAGACAGATGAGGGGAACAGAGGTCCAACGCGGTTCCTGCGTCTCTTCCGTAGCCCATTATAGTGCCTTGGGCCCGTCTAAACGATTCTTGTGACAGATGGCTCCGGAGATGGCTCTCGTTATCGTAATCGCCGCCAAGGGTTCATCGCTGAGCGCAGCGATCTCCCCTCATCCGTTCCGCTATCCCATGCCGCGGTATGTTGTGTGTAACGGTTTTTCCGGAAAAACGAAGGGTAAAGCTGCAATAAGACTGGATCGTTGATCGGCTGAGTTTGGCGCGCGACGGCGGCGCAGCGGAGTCTTTATTTCAGGTGTTCCGTGGTATTCCGTAGATTTTTTTTTGGTTATTTTTTTCTTGCGATGCAAGATCCAGCTCTTATTGTGGACAAGGGTGGGCCAAATGACTGGACCTTATCTTTTTCTTTGCATCCTTTTCTTTGTGTGTCGGGTGAGAAACACCGAAAAGCCCCGTGGCACTTCGCACTCTTGTCAGGCGCGCAGACACCACTACCAAGACCTTCACAGTAGCTTGCTGACAAAGTCCTCCTTAGCGGTCTCGGCTCGCCGAGGCTTTTCCCCCCCTAGTCTCTCTGTTCCTTTTCCGCTCGCTGAAGATTCGGTGGTCTCACCTGTCTTTCCCCCCCTTTTGGCCCCCTCACTCCCCTTCAACTTAGCCCTTGCTCCTGGTGCTGGTGCTTGCGCTTGTGCTGTGCAGGCTGCAGGTTCGTGCACACAACTGGAACCAGCTGCCTACGTTCCCCAGAAGTTCTGGAACTTGCCCTCGACCCGGCCAACCACGGCAGCCAACGCCGGATTATCCCCATTAGCAATCCCCCAAGTGCTGCGGCGCATCCTCCACCATCCCGGCCGGCTGAGGCAATTCGCTAGCCTGCCTTTTGCTGCTCACTGCACGCCTGCACGCCAGTGAAATGACCACTTTGTAACATCAAATTCGGCCCTGCTCCTCAAGGCTCCATCCAAAAGGGCCCTGATAAGAGCGAGATTTCACTGTCTGTCAAAGTTAAGAACAGGAAATGTGGAGTTCCCACGACCATGGGACAGACATGCTAGGAACAAATGCAAATGCACGTCCGCAATCAATGGCCGAGGAGGAAGCGAACTCGGTGTTTAGCCACGACGAAGGCTCGAGTGGTGAAGACACCACCAACAACGGCTCGGCCGGACCACCGAGAAAGCGCAAGAGGGAGAAGCACCAAAAGACATCGTATGATATTATTCCTTCATGTTGAGACACGACGCTGACCGCGCTGTAGATGCGAGCTGTGCAAGGCGAGAAAGGTGAAGTGCGATCGCGCGGAGCCCGCCTGTTCATGGTGTGCTCGTCACAACCGCACATGTGTCTATCTTGAGAGACAGAAACCTGGAAGCCGTATCGGTTTCAGTCTTGAACTTGAGGCCAAGGTCAACAGACTTGACGCGCTCCTGCAAGCCCTAGGCCGTCGTGTGGAGGAACACATCGCCAACGACCATGTTGCCAATGCCCAAGCCCTCTCCCCAGCCATCAGTAACCAAGCATCATCTCAAGTCGAGGGTTTCCATCACGATGCGAATGGCGTCAGTCCAGCATCTGCTCTGCCGAGGACAGGGCCGACTGCAAATGGGAGAACACCCGCCTTTTCAAGCCCGTTCTGGCAGGGTGGCGACGCTCAGGAGGCGCTTCAGAATGGAGATCGAACTTCAGTCCAGGCTCTCTTGAACCTCTCAGCATCAGAATCTTTTAGCCAGGCGGGCGCAACTCCCAGTATCTCTGGGCCGCGCAAAGAGGCATCATCTCTGACGACTGTGTCTGAGTTTCCGCCACACGACATGCTTTACACACTTGTCGACTTGTACTTTAAGCACTGCAATACCTGGTGTCCGATTCTTGACCGCAAAACGACATTTGGCGCCTTTTTTGGCTCGACTTCACTGACCGATGCTGACCGTGTCCTACTGCATGCTATTGTGGCGACGACCTTGAGATTTTTAAAAGACCCGCGATTGTCGCCCGAAATGCGATCTCACTACCACGCCGTGTCGAAAGGCAGGGTCCAAATATACGCGATGGAAAATGTTAGTATTGCGGCGCTGAGGTCTCTGGTTATCCTATGTTTGGATGAGCTCGGAACCTCCAACGGACCACGTGGTTGGAACATGCTTGCGCTTCTTGCACAGAACGTAAGGCAGCTGGAGTTGTGCGAGGAGTGCAGTGTTTATCTCACAGCCGAGGCAGAAGAGACCCCGCACACCGGCTCAATCCGAAGAGTTGCAACAGGTCGGCCTGAGTCTTGGATTGAAGACGAGGGTCGGCGGCGGTTGTGTTGGATGGTATACCTACTTGACCGATACGCAACGATCGCGACCACCACCTTCGACTTCATGCTCGACGATAATAAGATGAAGCGCAGTCTTCCGTGCTCGTACGACTTGTTCTCAAGAAACGTTCCGGTCGAAACAAGATCATGGAGCCCATCCTTCGACCCGACCGTCGCTCCATCCATCAACAAGCCCGATAACCTGGGCAGTTTCTCGTATCATTGCGAGATACTGCGTATACTCAGCAAAGTCCACGACTTCCTGAAGACGCCCATCGACGTGACGTCGTCGGGTGAGATGGCTGTCTGGCGGAACACGTACAGGTCGTTGGATGGGGCGCTCGATAGTTGGCTTCAGAGTCTACCGAGCGAGTACAGTAGGATATCAGCGCTGTGCCACTCAGACCCGGCGAGCCGCGTCGCAAATTGGTTCATGCTTCACAGCGCATATGTCACGTCCGTGGTGCGTCTGCATTCTTCAGCAGCGTACCCTACTATAAGATCACACATTTTCGTCCCATCGCACTATGCGATGCAGAGATGCCTTTCGGCCGTGCAGAGTCTAGGCGATATTGCTCAAGATGTTTTCGAGGCCAATGGTCTTGACCTGCTCGGTCCGCCATTTGCATTCTCGCTATGGGTGGCGGCGAGGTTGTTGCTCGTCCATGCAGCGACAGTCGGGTGCCCCGTCGACCCCAAGATTGATTTTTTCATCGAAACACTCAGGCACGTCGGTCAATACTGGGAGGTGGCAAACAACTATGCCAAAATCCTGGCTCGAGTAGTCCAACGAGGACGTCAAGGCGACATGAACTTTACTGCCATGAGAAAGTTAGTATCCCGGCGTTGCTTGCTCATTCGTGTCCGAAATTTGCTGACAGCGTGTCCTCCAGGAGCGCCCATGATCTAGTGACTCTGACATCCTCCACTCGACGCTCTGGCGTGGAGCCGACCTCGACTCAGGTAACGTCATTAAGCGAGCTGGACAACATTGATGTGTTTGACTTCTTCAACTACCCGAAAATGTCGGATCCGCAATTAAGAGCCACCAACGGCCAGACAAACATACTACAAGCCCAGGTCATGAGTGGTTTGGGCGGCGATTCCATGAGGTGTACAGGCGTACCGGATCCGGAGTCAGACTGGTTGGGGTTCAACACTCCTTTTACCTGACAGCGGTAGCAGCGGGATATGTGGTCATGGATATTTGGAGGAATTCGACTTGTCGTGGGCACACGACACCTTATTTAACACCCTTTTGATTATGAGGACTGGCGCTGGTGGGTTTGGAAGAGGCGTTTCTGGGGCACTGTACCTTGGTTATTGATGGATCTCCTGTGGCTTCGAAATACAGCCGCAAGGGAGATCGGCCCAATTGAATTCGCTGATCCCCGCACAGCTGACGAGCAACCCCCCACCGTGACTGGCTGAGCCACTTCTGATCGTCCGTGTTTGCTATGCAAAACGTCCTCCCTGTCTTCGTCCAACATCTTGAAAACGTATACTTGCAGCTTGCAAAGACACATCTCGACACTGGAATCGATTGAGACCATACCCAGAAAACATCTTTCAGAAATCAAAATGGCGCCTAACCAGGGTCTCGTGCATCTCAAGGAGTACGACATCAAGGATAGCAATGTCGAACTCATTGGCACAGACATCGACCACCGTGTAAAGTACAATTCGGCAGCCACCGAGCCGGCATGGAACGACGGAAAGGTCGGCCAATCCGCTGGTCTGCACATCTGGCGAATTGAAGACTTTGAAGTTGTGCCGTGGCCAAAGGAGAAGTATGGCCAGTTTATGGATGGCGACAGCTACATCGTCCTTTATTCATACAAGGTCGGCTCCAAGGATGAGTCTGAGAAGCTAGGCCACGAAATCTTCTTCTGGCTCGGAGCTCATACATCCCAAGATGAGGCCGGTACCGCGGCGTACAAGACGGTGGAGCTTGATGAGTTCCTGCAGGGAGCGGCGACCCAGCATCGGGAGGTGCAGTCGGCACCTTCTGACGACTTTTTAGCGCTCTTCCCCTGGATTCAAATCCGATCTGGAGGTGTCAGATCAGGCTTCCGCCATGTTGAGGAAGGCGAGCCCAAGCAAGAAATCCTCACGCTGCTACGCATTTTCAAGAACCCGTCGGTTGGTGCCAGCGGAGTTGTGGTACACGAGGTCGAGCCGACCTGGCAGAGCCTTGATGATGAGGACGTTTTTGTACTGGATACTGGCGACAAGATCTGGCAATGGCAGGGCAAGAGCTGCAGCCCCATGGAGAAGGCCAAGGCGGCGCAGGTCGTCAACGACATGACGCTGGCGAAGCATATCGACGTTGAGGTCCTCACGCAGGAAGAATCGAGGTCTCGTGTCATTGTGTCTCTGCTCGGCGGTGACGAGGACACTCCGCAGAGCGGGTTCCGTTGCCCAAGACCGGTTAGGTCGGCGTCCAAAGCTCACGCCGGCGAGCGGCCTCAAAAGCTTTTCAGGCTCAGTGATGCCTCTGGCGAGCTTAGATTCGACCTTGTCAAAGATGGCAGCAAGGCGAGCCTCTCGGACTTTGACGGCCAGGACGTCTTCCTGTTGGATGACGCGGGCCGCGCCGTGTGGGTGTGGGAGGGGCAAGGTGCAAGCAGGGGTGAGAAGGCCAACTGGCTCAGGGTTGCCCAGGCGTATATTCGACAGTTGCAGGGAGGAGATGAAGCAAGCGAGGTGCATCTCACCCCTGTTGCTAAGGTGGTGCAAGGCAACGAGAGCCGCGCATTCTTGAAGGCTGTGCAGGCTTAAATATTGATGGCAGATTTTGGAGGATAAATCAATCGAGCGTCAGTCATCATATGATCTAGTCTTTCGTATTCTCAGAGCAAGACTCGAAACCCTATTCTATTGACAAGATTTTGAGCTGCAGATGTCAGTGACTGTGAGGGGTCGTTGATGAGAGAATTCGACCGTGACGAAGGCCCATGATTACTCGGGTATCTCCAGGTTGAAGCGACTTGAAGCGACATCGTCTCAACGGCTTCGACGAGGCATGTCTTCCGGGCTTGAATTTTGTTGAAGATGTGTTTGTCGAGGGGAGGTTAGATTATCTGGAAAGATCACGAGAGATACAATGGACAATGGGAAGGTAGACTTAGGGAAGGAGCCGTCGAAGGTGATTGTGGTACCTTCCGTGGAATGCTTGTGTCACGGTTGACGAGAACGGTACTAACAGTGTGCCGGCCATTCAACAGCAAAAATTGCTAGTGCACCTCCACAATGCGGGGTCTCCCCAACATTGCTTCCGTCCCAGCCCAGCAACCCACCCTACGAATTCAGACATGTGATGGCGCCTGCTGCTGGAGTAGGAGTGAAAAGCGCGCCTATAAGTTCTTTATTTGCTTCATGTCTTTTCTTTTACTTTGAGAAGTTTTGTTCATCCATGGACGACTTTGGCCAGGCATCATTCGACTTTCAAATGCAATGTATTTTCATCTTAAAGTCCTGTCGGCTTCTCTCTTCGTCATTACATTGTAAAGTTCAAACAGGCAGCGGGACTGTGAGACTCAGTCTCTTCAGTGCCCATGGTATCCCCACAATCCTAGTGAACGCCTTTTGCAGAAATAGTATCCCAAAGCCTTTCCTCCATTGCCTTATCGAAACACGACGAGAAATTAACGTTCGAATCTCGCAAGCTTCATTCTCAACCTCATGGCCAGCTTTAAATCGTCATTATTGCCAGGGTTTTGATCTTTCAACGACGATTACGGCCCGCCAAGGAACAGCCTATGGTCCACCCGCTTGAGCCATGATCCTGGCTAATTCGTCCTCGATTCTCGCTCGGTGTTGTTCGCTAATGGCGTGAACGTTGGTACTCTGTGTCGAGACACGATACATGTTGCCGTCTTGAGAAGGAGGCTGGCCTTGATACATGGAGAGCCGTCGCTGGGCAAGAGTGCGCTGCGATTCCGATGAAGAGTACACGTGAGGCGGCCTCACAGCAGTGTTACTGGCAAGGTCTAGTCAGTCACGCAGTACCCTTTCTAATCACAGGAACATCCTCTGGAAAATGGCAGTACCCGTAGTAAGCTGACTGGCCGGATTTGTTATCCATGATTCACAAGTGAACAGCCGTAACTTCTTTGTGAATTGAAACTTAAGGCCAAACCTTAGTCCTCGCTGGTTCAATAGCGTAAAAATACTGTGCTCGCGGCCGTTGAATGTAGATGCCAGACTTGTCAGGACAATTCAATGCAGTGCTTTTTTATAACCACATAATCATACGAGCCGCCATTCGACGGTCTTCCGGTTCAAAATTGAAAAGCCGCCTTATTTGACCCTGCAGTTCCAGGACTGGTAGTATTGAATGTCTTGGGCGGAACGGAAGCGACTTGAGCCTCGAATGCACATGAAATTCGCCAATGAAATCCGCCCGCAGGAGTCCGGCCGTGCTGCCCTTCCACAGCCCTTGAATGCACAATGGCTATGTGTCCTCGAGTCATTGGCTATTTGTAGAGCTGCACATTCAAGACAGAGAGAAAAGTCTTGCATGAGCTGATTTGTGTAAGCTGCTTTATCGTGGAGTTGGCGAGCAGTTTGCCTGGGCGAAACAGGGTGGTTGATGACGGCAAGGAGCCCACCCCGCGGTGCCTATGCATCGAGAGGCGCTTCAGGTATTCCAATGTCGCTTATGCGTTAGTGTGTTATACAAAAAGTGAAGTAGGGGAAAATAATTTTGTCCGGTTCTTAGATCCGACTTTGGCCAATCGTCAGCCTGATGTGAGCCGCCATTGACGTTGGCGTGGTGCTAAGCTGGCTATCAGTACCCTGTGCTTGAAAGTATGACTGAAGCCGCAAGTGATACATCAACTTTGATGGCAAGGTCGTTTCCTTTGAAGTATTGAAGAGTGCAGGAGAAAGGACGTAACGAGGAAGAGGTCCGACTAGTTTCCTGCTTCTGGAACGCCACCGTGCCGGCAATGCCAGGTAGGAACACACTCCGGGCCGCAATTCGGCGGTACCAACAGTCTTGGAAAAGCTCGCAGAGCTATCGATGAGGAAGGCCTGTCTCCCAGCTTGACCTAACCTGAGGGCACCTTGCAACATCTGCCCTCATAACAGCATATTGCATACACTCGCTCAAACGGCGACAGGCTTTACTACAAGCATGCTCACGCCCCGGCGTCTAAGGGTGAAATAGCCTCGAACTTGGCGGCTGCCTTGAGCCTTGAGATGAGAAGCGTCAAGCCTAGGCTTGCCGATAGTCTACCCTCGACTAGTGGCGAGAAAGTCGGCGGCTTCCGACAATCTTGGCCCCTGGCCACGATGACAGCGTTGGGCTCACTCAGCTGTGGCTTTCGAAATTGAAGTTGGAAAAATTCGAATGTGCAAGAATGTAACATGGTATGGGTTGGTTGTAGACATAAGTGGACGTTGTTGTGATGTCGTAGGATTTTGAGGCGCTTCTGCCTGCATGCAGTGTAACGTGAAAAGAGGCCTCCCGCCTCACTTTTCGCTTCACCTCGAAGCCCTGAAAATCTGCCTCATCTGCCTCACGAGGCAACTGGTCGCCTGTTGATGCCCAACTCTAGGCATCGCAGAGTCGTAAAGTCCGATAAGGCGTCTCGGTTGCCTTGCGGTCGAGATTGTAGTTCGCAATGAATGATGAGCCTGGATCTGTTAGCTACCAGGTGTTGCCAGACGTATCGAGGTGCCGCCGGATACCTTACTCCAGGACTTGGTTATGATTGAATGCCAAGGTAGTTGTCAATGATCATTGGGACTTGTGATGTCGTGTGTATAGTCCGTGTCGATGTTCACAATGATCATTTCAGAGCGGGGATTCGTGATGTCGTGCATGGTCCGTGTCGATATATATAATGATTATTTCAGAAGAGAATCTGTGGCTGCTGTATCATCCAAAAATGGGTGTGCCTTGCTGCATCATTGAGGTTGAGAACAAAACCAAAGAGGCGTGAGTTTGATGAAATTGAAAAAAGATTGCTTGAATAAAATAGGACTGGCGCGGAGTGAGGTATCTTATAAGGGAAGCGTTTCTTAGCCCCCAAGTCTGACATCTTATAAGCGTCTTTCAGCCCCCAAGTGTAAAAGAACCGTGCATATCAAAAGCGCCACGGTGGAATCCAAAAGTACTTCGCATACATAAATGTACCATGCTGAAATATGAATGGATGGTCCAAGTTTGCAAAATGGTCAGTGCCTGGTGTGCTACATTCCCACAGCATAATATCCCTGTATTGTCTGCAACCTAACACAGCCTCGCGCTTTTTGGCATACCCAACGCAGTTGAGCCCCCGACATTTGACCAATGATATAGTGCCAAAACCCAACCGCCTGGGCTGATGTCCATATGCAGGTCTCCTTGCATCTGAAATGCTTGTGTGATTGGCTGAGTGGAAAGCTCATGCCGAGTCTCTACACCTCCCGGTTTCATAGCATTTCCTGGCAGAACACCTTGTGAGGCCACAGGTTTCCAATGGCAAAACGCTGTGTCAGCCCGTGGCATGACGAAGAGATCGGTGGTAGCTATGCGGCGTATGATAGGTTGGTTGTTCACCGAGGCAATTCAAGCCACGACAGCGTGCATAATACCATCTACTCTGTCCTCCGTCCACAAGATGGAGGACTAGTCACACGAAGGAACGGAGTAATAGAATTACTACCTAATAGGGTTGAGGCGTATATCTAGGCGAGAAGATAGTATATAAAGTATTAGGCTTATATTTTTAGATCTATTAGGACTAGCATTATTTTTCTATGACTTTTTAGTACGAAAAAAGCCTGAATTGATGTTTTTATATAATTATTATCCTTAAGTTAAGGGGGGGTGAAAGTCGCGAAATTCGGGCCTAATTGCGTATTTGCGGGACTTTTCGACATGACTGAACACTTGCTGCCAATGCTAACTAGTGCGTGTCCCTGCTGATGTGTGAGTCGAGTGTGGAAGTCAACGGACACTATTCACAGCGTTGCACTTTGTCCTTGGAAATAGTCTTGAACCAAAATGATTTGCCGCTTGTTACCGGTGCCGCGAGGAGACACGAAACTTGTTACTCTATTTACTATCACAACCTATAGATAGGACTCTTATCTAACTAGTATATGCGAGTAATGATCTTGTCTGAGTAGAATGCATCGCCAAATCTCACGTGACAAAAAAAAAAGAAAAAAAAAAGAAAAACCCAGTCATATATAGAAGTAAGAATCCGCACATTTCTAACAATGGCTACTACTCAGGATTTGTCTAATAGTCTTCACCATATCCTTGACTAATGCCGATCGGCCCGATGAAGGACTTTCCGCGGCGCCATGTCTTGCGCCATGGAGGTATGCATATAATTGAGTAGGAGCACATCCTAAATCCAGCAGGCCATGCTCGCGACAGGGCGACGGTGGGGGCGGAGGCGGGTGATTTTGCGCTGTCGCCGTGTCAAAGCCCATGATGTTCTCAATCTTTTGTAACATTTGGGAGCTAACGTGTATCAACATCTCAATTTGCAAGTTAGGGTGACCATCCAGACCGAACCCTCCAAACTGAATATTTGGCAAGACGGTAGGACACAATGCCCCAGGGCCTGTCTTTCCTGTCCGTGAGACGGGTGTGGATGACGATGACGCTTGTCGTCTCTTCTGTACGTAGTGATAACTCGAGATATCGCATTGCTGTCGTTGTTGTTCTTTCCGTTGTTGGTCTTCTTGCGTCTGCTTTTGCAATAGCAAAGACTCTTGGATGGCGGAAAAAACAACCTCGTAGCCCTGAAACAACCACATATAGCAGGTTACGATTGTGAATATGGTTGGCATGCTGAAGCAAACATTTGTCGAGAAAGCATTCGCCGATTTACAAGGATATCGCGAGGTTTTGTCGCTTGAAAGCTTGGTAGCCATTTCATGGCTGTTGTCATTGTCGCTATTGCGTGGCGCGAACGCTGGAAACGGCGTCGAACTCTCCTTCGAGAGGAAGTCGGCTTCGTCTGGCGAATCCAAATACAAATACTCTGAACTAGACGGCGAGTACGGATGCTGCGGTTCTTGCTGGGATGCCTCCAAGGATTTCAGCTGCTCTAGAGTTTCTAAAAACACCTGAGAACTCTCTAAGAGTTCGCCGATGATGTTTTTGGCGGTATGTAACCCCTGATCATCCCCATCATGAGCGTTACAGCTCATTTCCGGAGATGGGTAAGCTAGAATATCTTCGAGGGCTACATGGCGATTTTCAGTCTTACTAAAGCACACCAACAGCTTAGAACTCAGCTGAGACAGTCGCTGCAAGCATTCGTCCTTACTGCTAGAAGGTTGAGGAGACTTCGAGCTGCGGCTTGCATCCCCACCACCGTTGGCTGTAGTGCATGTACCAGTGACTGCTTTGAAACTTTTTGGGCTGGTCGAGGTGCTGGCAGAGTGGCCGAAAAGGTGTGCCAGGTCAACCTCGCTGTGTAGTTCATGCTCTAGTACTGATTGAACATTCGCTATTCCAGATTCGAAATCGCTGAGCTCAAAGGGTAGGTCAGGTCTGGAGCCCGTGTTGGTGTCTGTTTTCTCCAACATCGAAAATGATCGGGGTGACGGGCCGCTACGTGAAGATGTAATCGGAGCGGTATTTGAAAATGCAGAATCTAGACGCATTGGGTGCTGAAACGTGTCTCTTGAAATAGGACTTAGCACCGTGTGGCTCTGAGCTCGCTCATTGACTGGGAGCCGACCATCACATGCTGGCTGTGCCGGGATAGATCGAAAAGAAGTACGTTGGCCGGCCTCCCGAAATCCTTGGTCACCTGTTCCGGCAGAAAATTGTGGATAAGCAAGTGTGGGAGATGGTGAATCTGAGGAACGGCGCCGTTCGTAACCATTCGACTGAAAGGAAGCTCGACAAGTGCGAACTGTATGGAGGCACTCGGCGCCGGCCTTGACGCATCGCTCACATGCTAGCAAGGCGGTCTCTTTGCCTTCAACCAGAAAGTTGCCACCGTTTGGCCTCACACAACGGAGCTTGTGGCTTCGGCACCGGTCACAAGCACTTCTCCGCGAGCTACTGCCGTGGATGTTGATGTTATTACTGCTGTTGCCGTTATTGTTGCTATTGCTGATGCTGTTGTTGGTTTTTTTGACGAGATTGATCCGATCCATTAGGACCTGCTTGGCATAATTTGTTTGCAAAATATATGCGGACAGAGTTTTCAACAATAACCTGCAGAAAAAACTTCTCGGTACAACATGTAGTCTGGTTAAGTTTGAGAAAGTATATTGTGCCCACAAGAGCCGACAACAAATTACGTTGAGACTTTGCAACCAGTATGTTATCAGACTTCTTCGAGAATGCCAATGGCTTTTATACGTCCATGACAAGAGTTTTTGTGTGTTGGCTAAGTGTACAAACGGGTGGCTGGCTGCCATGATTAAGATGAAAAGAGGATGAAAAAATGTGCGGAAAGCTACAACAACCTCGCAGCTTAACTCTAATGAGAAATACCTGTCCTGACAACACTGGGGCTCCATGCAGTGGAGATTTTCAATAAAGCTAAGGCACTAACGCTATAAAATAAGAGTTGCGATTGCATGTTTGTTGCCATGGAATTATATTGTGTCAGGGTGGTGTCGGAGTCAGCAGAGTACTTGTGCTGCGAAAGGTATTGCGAGCGCTCAAACCTGCTGTCATTTGGGCTTTTCAATCCCGGAAACACTAGTCAGTATCGGTAGATGCTTGGTTATTTTAGTTTCTTTAACAAGAATGTTTGTCCTGATCATTATTTATTCGTTCGACAACGGTGCTTGTTTGTAGGTCGGTGGTGTGCGTACCTTGTTCTCCTGAACGAGATTGTGGTCGTCATGTACATGTTCTAGGTGTGATTAAAGCTGGCTTTTGTGGAAGACTTGCGTGTCCTGTCGTCCACTGGCATGCGAGTTAAAACCTTTAGCCCATACAGTATTTTTTTTCTAATGAAACCTTCACCTCAAAGCTTGTCTGACGTACTACGTCGATCATCGAGATAAAGTGCTGATTGGAACGCCCCCCCATGATGCAGCGTTCTACCGTGATAACCGATGAAGGGTGCCCTGTTTGGATACTCTGTGATCTGTTACAGAACTTTAACTCAATATCCTTTACCTTGCAGTAAGAGGCACATCTAAGGGACGAGCTGCGACAAAACTTCAGAATGGTACCCATAGCTGGATTGGTAAACTGGTATAATAATTGCTTCGAGAATGCATAACAAATTTTCAAAAAGGTTCAGAGACGCTGTAGGGCGATGTTGATCACATTCAAAGTACATTGCACCAGGGTCGGAATTTGTTACCGCGAACGATTCAACGGGTTACCAACTTCGATAGGCGTTCCTGAGATCAGTTATTACTTCAAAGGTTGAATCCATGCGAAAGCCTTTATTGTCAAAGTCCTATCTGGATCAATTTAAGTAAAAAAACTTGCGGAAAGCTGTCATGTTAAGAGTATATTTTGGCATTCCATGACTTCTCGCAGCAACTGACTAGGTCAAGCTTTTTAGTAAGTTTCTTACTTGTCATCATTGTGCCTCCTTGATCTGTATGAATGTTTGCATTAGATCCATAACGTCCGGGATACCTTCAGGCCGATGTTTTCCCTGAATAATGAGAGTAGGAACGCCAGATTGGGCTGCCGTTACCTTACTTTTCTCCGCTTTTGCGTCAACCACATCCCCTGCCTCATCGGACTGCAACCAAGCTTCGGCGTCGGCGTTGCGAACGCCCGCCCTCAGCGCAGCTTCCACTAGCACATCATCCCGAGCGATATCCTGTTCCCGACAATTGTATGCGTCAAGGATAGCTTCGACCAGGTTACCTTGTGTTACACGGTTGTATCTATCTTCAGCAGCGCCTGCAAGGTGTACAAGCCGATGCGCGTTTCGAGTCGCTAGGCCAGGGCCAAGGTACCCGCCCCATTTGAAGTTGATGCCGCTAGAGAGGCCAGCTCGCGTCATGCGTTGGTTTAGGGCAATGCGTTGATCGGATGTCATATCGGCCAATCGTGATTCGGCAAGCTCGAGCTTATCAACTCTATGTGGATGAGGGTTGTAGTTAAGGTAGTACGGTGTCCATGTAATAGCAAAAGTATCATATTTGCCTCCAGGGTATGTCTTCTGATAGAGTGAGATAGCAGAGTCCAGATTGCGTTTCGCAATGTAGCACCACTGTAAAGCGTTAGAAGCTGCATGGCAAACTTCGAACAAAGAATGACGGGGCAAACAGGAGATGAAGCTCACTGCGCATACGAAGTCAAAGATGAATTCGATTTCGATAGTTGTCATGATAGAGTCTATCCCGGTCAACAAAATCTAGAGCCAAGATCGAAATAACACGTACATATTGCTGTCAAGTCGGTAAGTAAGAACAAGAGGATTGTAAAATGATTATTCAGGGGGAGGAATGCGGTTCTATATATGTGTCGAATTGAATCAGGTAAAATATGTGCTTGACCAGGTGTGTAAGCAAGGCAATCTTGAAAATGCATCCCCGGACTTAGCAACATATCTCCGGGGGGCGTTTTGCATGACATGACATCTGCTGGCATATATTCATGCACCGCCAGGGCTTCATAAAATATGCTCACAGTGCTTCACCTACATATTTGAAACCAAACCACACTGCATCTCTACAAAGTGTTTTGATTTGAACCGAATCGTAGCAAAGCTCATGATCATGTTTGGTGTGTGGTTATGTATCCCATCGAGGCCCGGTTGGCCACAGGTACATCCACACGAGGGGAATTAGCCACTCAGGGACTAATCAGGAATTTTCTATTGAATACAGGTACCATTTTTATCACCTTGAACTACGCACCTCATCTACTTTATAATGAATAAATGGAACCGACGGAGACTATCCAAGTTACAAACTCAGCAGCGAATGCAACTAGGAAACAGATGAGTTGAAGACGACGTATCATCACGTATCCCTGATATGAGAGGAAAACAGTGAATGTTAAATTGGGGACTATACTGTAGCCAACCGGCCCTCGATGGGATAATTTATCCTAGACAAATGGAACATGAAGTCAAGCCGCATTCCTTTTCATCTCTATTGTTAACATGTATTGCGTTGTCCTTAATTATCTAGGTCTGCTTCAAGTGCCTAAGACTCTGTTTGTACCCGCTGCTGTAGGCCAAAGTCTTCCGATGTTTGCTCCGAACGTGCTTCAAGGTTTTTCTCAACAAGCGAGGCAAGAAACCCGACAATCGCAAAAGCAGTCAAAACATACCACACCTGCTTCAAGCTCTCTTCGTATAGGGAAATAATGTGGTCTTGAACTGGAGGAGGAAATGATTGAACGAAGTCTCGCGATGCTCTCTCGTATGCCTGACCGTGTGCCAAGGCCGCCTCCGCGGAAGGGTCAGAGACGGCGCCAGGAACTGAGAGGAGCTGATCAAAACGGCTGTTTAAGACTGCGGCAGGAATGGTCACGGCAAATACCGTAGAGATGCTCCTCACAAATGCAAATGCACTCGTGCTCTTGGCGTTGAGAGAGTCGGATAACTCGGCTTGGATAGCCGTTAACAAAGACGGGTTAGGAAGTCCAAGACCGATGCCAGCAAGAAGGCTCAGCGTTACCCATGTCGCCATGGATGTTTTTCGATCAAGCAGTGAAAATGTTCCCATGGCCACAGTCTGCAACGCAAAACTGACCACATGAACATTGCGAAACTTGCCGAGCTTAGAGACTATGATACCACCAGCGAGTGCTGCGACACAATAAACGGCCGAAAAGGGAAGTAGCTGTACTCCGGATCTTGAAGTGGATACGAGCTGAGTGGATTGGAAGTAGACCGGAAGAAAGTAGAGCGTTCCGAAGGATACCATAATCTGCGCGAACGTTGCCATGTAACCACCCAGAGATGTCCGGTTCTGGAAAAGGGATTTCGGAAGTGCTGGATGAGAACACCATGGTGATTCTTGGTAGGCGAAGAACAGCCCAAGACCCAGAAAGCCCAATATGAGGGTTGCAATTATGACAGGGCTAGACCAGGGATATCGCGCACCACCGCCATATGTCAAGGCGTAGAGGAGTGATGTGACTGATGCGCAGATAATTAACAGGCCGATAACATCGACCTCCTTGAGCTTGTCGAATGTTTTTGACTCGTTTCCCTTTGCGGGTTTACCTTTGAGAACGAGGAATAACAATACCAGACACACTCCACTGATTGGTAAGTTCAGGTAGAAAACCCATCGCCATGACAAGCGGTCCACCATCAAGCCACCTAAAAAGGGCCCAAGCACAGAACCCAGAATAATGAAAAGAAAAAGCATCCCCATAAACTGTCCGCGCTCCCGCAATGGAAGGAGGTCGCACAAAATGATTTCTACGAGCACGTTGATTCCGGCTGCACCAAGTCCTTGCACAGCGCGGCCGCCGATAAGGACGCTGCTCCAGTTGGCGCCACCACAGACTCCGGATCCTACAGTAAATATGGCTAGTGACGCTGTCATAGGCAATCTTCTGCCCCAAATGTCGGCTACCTGGCCGTATAGAGGCTGGAATGCTGCACTATTCTCGGGCTGGTCAGCTTCATTTCTAGTTAATTAGGATAGGACAGTGGGGGCGACATGGATGAGGAAGCTCATATGGCTGACGCACCTTGTCAAGAAGTAAACGTTGACGATCCAAATGTAGTCTTCTTGGGCGTTGACCGCTCGTGAGATAGAAGGAAGGGCAGTAGAAATGATTGCTCCTTCAAGAGAGCTCAAGAACGCTGTGGCGGCCAAGCTTATGACAATAGCCCAGAACCGCCATCCTCGGTGACTGGAGCTTGGTTTTGGAGCCTCTGGTGTGATAGATTGGCTACTCGAAACCGGAGAGGCCTCGTTATTGGGACTGGGTATGTCGTCGATTTGCGCTGCCATGATACCGAGACGTTTGGTGCTGGTGCTGAACCTTTTCTGGAGCTGCTATTGTTGTTGCAAAGTATTGCTTAGATGCCGAACAGACATTTCCCAGGAAAGTGCAAGATGGAAGTTTACAGGTACTCAATTAATATCATGCTAGTAAGAATTAATGTATTAGTCATGGCTATGCTTGTTCGGAGCTGACCTGTCTAAGTCATGTAAAGTACAGACTTGAAGTGTCTCGAAACAAAACAAGAAGCAGAATACAGGGAAGTTACAAAGTACAAACATGTGATATCTGGACAAGGTATGAATACTTGATCAAAAATCTGTCTGACACAATGCCGTCATATCAAGGTGGACGGCAGATAATGTCACTAACACCAGTACAAATTACGGCCATCACAAGAGTTGGAGAAAGTCAACGTTCATGCTGATTGAAATCGCTCACAAATATTGATGTGGAAAGTGCCTTCGTGTTTTAAGAAACTATCTCACAACGGTTGTCTCTCAATCCCAAGAGCCCGATCCAGAAATTCATAGGTTCGTTGGTTGCACAATGCCAACGCTCCCATTTTTGCTTGCAAGCTACCCTGTCCCTCACTGCTGGGTATCCAGACTTCCTTCTTCTCGAATGGAACATTGACAAGGCCTTCAAAGCACCGCCTCGTATGGTCATCCGCATCCATATAGAGGGACTTGCCCGCACCTGAAATAAGAACAGGACAAAGTACGCGAGACAAATATCCACTACTTCCTTTCAAACCAGGGCCGGAGAAAGTAAACTTCTTCATATGCAGCAGAATGTCCGCTGGTGACGATAACCCGAAGAATGTGCCTGTGACCGAGATCTCCCACCTAAGCTGGAAGGAGGTCATCTTCATGGCTCCAATCAGCTTGTCTACCATGTTATGGGTTATCCAGCCGTTTTGCCAAGCCGAGATAAAGAGGGGAGAGACATGGGCGGTGCCAAAGTCCCACATGTCGTAAAAGGGATCCTGAGCATGACCGATGTACATTAGCACATAGTCTTAAACACGGGAACAAGAACGTATGGCCTTGAGGCATTACTTACAATTGATACACAAGCCTTAATTCTCGGATCAGCGGCCGCTCTCAAGGCAAAATAAGCCCCCATGGACGCCCCTGAGACTGAGATGCAGTCCATATCGAGGTTCAGATCGGGATTCTGCGCACTCAGGTCGACGAGATAGTCAATAACACATCCTGTAACAATCTCCCAGTCTGGCCTCATATGAAGCCCGTACCGCCGCAACATCATGCCCTGGCCGGGCCCATCAAATGTGAGGACGGCGTATCCTAGACCAGGCCCAGCGGCAGGGTTCAAGAAGAACAACTCCTCTTGGCATGAATCCGCCCCGCCACAGTTGATAAGAACAGGAATCTTGCTCCTACTGGGAATGCGACGGTTGGCAGGCGGTAGGTAGAGGTATGCTGGAAGCATATAATTCTCATAAGGGATCGACAGAGCAAGAACAGCACCATCCATCAGTGAAATAGCCTTGCGAAAAAGCTCACCCACTTTTTCAGCGATGGGTAGAGCACGAGGATCCTGAACCATCGCGGTCTCATGTACGGACGATATAGAGGAGACGTACATGTAACCGCTGGCGCGTGTATAGTTTGCAGCCCGCAAGTAAGCCCGCTTTGAAGCATCGCGGTCGCCGTGCTGTTGTGCCTCATTTGCCAGCGCCTCGGCTCGTTTTGCCTGTATCTGCCATGCTTTCTCCCAAGACGACGGGTCGTTGGCTTTAATCTGGCCAACTGCTTCAAGAACCTCGGCCGCATCAGCACCTCCATAAACACTGGTGCCGAGGATCCGAATAGCCTCAAAGTCGAAAAAGGTGCTGTTTGGGAATAATTTGTGCATGTTGAACAATCCAGGTTCTGTTGAAACGATGTATGTAATGAGCTTGAGTAACGCTCGATTGCATGTTTAGGAAAATAATTAAGGGTAAGTCATAGCCAAGCAGTCATACCAAGGTATATTCAGCTGGGGTGGTTCTAATCTGACAGGTACCGATCATTCGGCGTTCTTGCGGACAATTGCTGATTGCAATGGCCTTAGTTGAGATTCATTTCAGCAGGGTTGCTCCTTGCCTGCTTGGCGGCCCCGCTGAAAGTTGAAAGTTGTGGACGTTTCAACACTCGTCAAGTTGGGCATATGTCGGAGAGGACAAACTGGCACCGACAAGAACGCATGGTTCTTCTCGCAGGCTGATCGGAATCGGATCCGGTGACACACCCTGTGTCCGTATGATGGGCTTCGGGCCACCTTTAGATAAGTGTAAATCCTGGCTACTCAGGAACCGGAACACCGAATGCAACAGCCGAATGTTTAATGCAACTGCGCGGTGGATTTACTAAACTTTGTTTCAACGGCATGTAAAGTCAAGATCTCTATAGGCGGATGTCCCCATTCGTCATGGAGCTCCGTATGCTGAACAACACAACGCACAGTGACCAAATATGGCAGAATTGGTGAAGATCGCAGTGTCCGAAGGGCTCCCCAACAAATGGTATCCTGCCCATTCTTAGTTCCGTAGCACTACTGTTACGTAAACACAGTATATCTGAGTCAGTGCCAAATTGGGGTCATAAGTCCATAGGTTAGTAACGTTGTTCGCAAACCGCAGTGCGGTCATACGTTTGGCGGTAGGTTCTCGGTCTCGCATTTAGAGTAGGCATGCCTAGACTGTAATTCAGGTTAAACCACAAAGCACGGGATATGATCTGTCTAGTTTTAATGCAGCCTCCAAGATAGTGACCTTCGTTGTTTCTTTAGTATCTCCAAATTATGATGTTTTCAACAAGAGTGTCAACAAGGAGTTCTAAGCAAGATTTGGACTGGAAATCTTGCAAAGGGAAGGAATAGGGGAACTCGGGCGCTGGTGTTACCTTTCATCAGACTCCAAAGAGCTCATTTGCCAAAGAACACTACATCTGGGCACACTGAAAAAATTGTTAAGGGCGTTAAAATAGCAACTTCAGTTTTCTCTATTTAAATATCTGGATCTCAAAACAAATGATTGCCAGTAGAAGTAATGGAAGCTGTAAATTTCCTTATTCAACATAGTTACTTTGAAAGAGAGGAGAATTCTTAGGGAAAGTGAGGGCCTCGCTGAGAGCAACTCCCTCATACTGGTCTAACCCAACATGGCCGCCCCTCGAGAAGCCTGAGAAACCGCTACCGCCAACACCTTCGCCGAGAATATACTCAAAGGCCAAGTTGGCGTGCTCCACAAAGAATGTAAAGTGACGCTTCTTGCTCGGGGAGATGAGCTCTAGCTGGAATCCAGTCACCTTATCCTTTAGTGTCCCAGTAACCGCGCCATCATAGGTCTTCGTGGCGAGAACGAAGTCATCTGTGTCAGATGGACTGTCTCGAGTGCTCTGGAACACGGGCCTGCCTTCTTTGAAGAGCACGACAGACTGATGAGCACCACCTTGTGGGAAGTTGGAATCGAGACGAAAAAAGCTTAGAACGTATGGGCCTAGCTTTGCTCGAACGGCTTGGAGGTTTCTGAGGCAGGTAAACCAGCTAAAGGCGGACCAAAACCTCTCGTGCCCGCCCATCCCACTCCAAGTTACGTTGCGACCTTTGATATCGACTTCAAGGTCCACTGTACCTGCGGGGATTGGTTGCGACCAGTGCCAAAAAGGAATCGGCTCCGTGGATGCGTCCTCAACCGGCCATAACTGCCCATCGGCTGCAAGAGGTGAGGCACTGGATTGTATGACGGCTTTGCCTTTGACGGTATCAGAGTTAAGAGTAATGACAGCTTCACTCATGTCGGCTTTGACCATGAAGGAGAAGCTATACCCATCTTTTTCGTCCACCCATATTCCTCGTGTGCCTTGAGGACAGGTTTCTACAATAGATCGCCCAGGGTAGTACACCTCGTAGAAGCGAGTCCGGTCTGCGAAAGAGAACTCGATCGACAAACGGAAATTTCCCGTTCCCAATATAGCGTAGTTGGGATCTCGGTAGAAACCAAAGATGAACGACTGCATGCCGTCGGCTGAAACACCGTCAAACTCCCACTGTTCTCCGGCTGTCGAATTTAGGGGCCTGATTTTTGGTTCTTCGAAGTTCTCCTTGGCGTTCGTGGTGAAATTGACCACTTTTCTGCCCTTGGCCATATCGAAGGCCGTCAAATTGCTAGTTTGGCATGCTGACTGAGCAGGCTTGCTGACCAGTGGGTTTTGTTGTGGTTCGGCAAGGGCGAAGACGGAAAGTGTCGAGTCTTGCCAAGCTATAGGCCATGGTTCAGGCCATATCATGCCGCCAAAAGCAGGCGTCGACAACAGCCAAACAAAAAGTATTATTTCAGCAATCAAGTTCTGCATCATGAATTCCGTTACACAACTTAATCAAATGAAAGAGTAATCCGTGTTAGCGCGAACAAACAAAATATTATAGAACGCACTTAATAGCTCAATGCTCGGACTGAGGTACCAAAGGCTCATATGTGGGGTGTTGAGGAGGACTGTCTAGAATTTCAAGTGGAGTTTCGGCCTCGGAACGTCTTGTTTGAATTCCCACCGATACGGCGATGCTGTCCGATGAGACCAGCAGATTCAAGAGCCTAGTAGCCACAGCATATAATAGGCTCAAATCAACTGCAGATGAGTCGGAGCCTTTTGCGGACGACACTAAGATCCAGTTGATCCTAATACTCTATTCAAGTTATCACCATGGCTCTGCCGGCAACAAGGGTGGCTGTCGTTGAAGGCGAGGACCATCAACTCAAAATCGAATTGCAAGCGCCACTTCCGAACCTCAAGCCTAACGAGGTCTTGATTCAGACGAAAGCCGTCGCCATTAACCCCTGCGACTACAAGATGCACGAGCGGTTTCCCTTTCCAGGTGCAGTTGATGGGTGCGACTTTGCTGGAGTCGTCGTTCGCCTTGGATCAGAGGTGACTTCATTCGGCATCGGGGATCGGGTGTGTGGGGCTGTGCATGGGTCGAACCCACTCCGGCCGGAATCGGGGGCCTTCGCCGAATACATCGTCTCTGAGTCTGAATTTACACTCAAGATACCGCAGGGGATGACGTTTCAAAAAGCTGCAGGTTTAGGTGGTACAGGACTGGCGACTCTGGGTATGGCGCTGTTCAAGGCCCTTGCCCTGCCGGGAACACCTGAACAACCCGCCGAAAAGCCGCGAATGGTTCTTGTCCATGGCGGAAGTTCTTCGGTGGGTACGATGGCGATCCAGTTACTTCGCCTGTAAGTTTTACGAAACCAAAACCTTGGTTCCCCCTCCACCTTGCTGTCAAGATTTCAATGGATGTTCGGATCAATCTTGTGGTGCTAAGAGAATGACTGTGAAAATTTCCAGGACTGGTCACATTCCTATCGCTACTTGCTCTCCGAAAAACTTTGACTTAGTCAGGAAATATGGCGCAGAGAGAGTTTTTGACTACAATGACTCCGAATGTTCCCTGATGATCAAGAAGTATACTTACAACACACTGGCCTACGTACTGGATCCGTTCACAGACGCCAAGAGTATTGCACTGTGCTACGGTGCGATGGGAAGGGCTGGTGGTCGATACGCCTGCCTGGAGATGTACCCGGACTACGTGCTCGAGCGCAAGTCAGTCAAGGTAGAATTTGTCATGGGGCCGGCTCTTTTGGGCCATCGCCTCGGTCTAGACTTCGGTTACGAAAGGGAGGAGGACCCCGGAATGCGTGCGTTTGGGGTACGTTGGTACCGAAGTCTACAAATGTTGTTGGATCAGGAAATGTTGAAGCCTCATCCGCTGAGGATTATAGAAGGAAGGTTCGAAGGAATATTAAGGGGGGTCAATATACTAAAAAACAAGGAGGTGTCGGGTGAGAAACTCATTGTAACATTGGATGACGCTTAAGGAGCAATTAATAATGGCTGGTGGCCAACGCAATCCATGATTACAAGACAGTATAATTTGGTCACCCTGACAATATGCCACACTTCAATTGCTAATGACTATCGGGTACCCTTTTCCACGTGCCAATTGCTACGAATTAGGTGCTCAAGGCCCTACTGCTGTCAATCCCAATCCCTAGTTGGTGACCTCGAGGCCCACGCCGATCTCCGAATGCTCAGTAATATGCAGCATATGTAATAAGTAGGACCGCCACCAAGAACTAATGTCACCAACCTGCGTGTGCTTAAAATCTTTTCTTGGCCACAACATAACCACTTAGTTTCGAATCATATTCAGATACTGCATAACATGTTCGGCTCACTAATCCAACTGCCGTTGTTCATAATCCTTGCCGTGACAGGGGCATTTGGTCTTCTTTACTGGATCATTTCTCACCAGGTCCGGCCGGTCACGCAGAAAGAACTTCGACACATTCCCGAACTACGATTCGAAGGCTCTAATACCGCTGAAAGATATATAAATGAGACACGGAATCTCTTAAAACTAGGCTACGAGAAATATCTTCAATACGGTGTTCCGTTCCAGATGCGAAATCCAATCGGTGAGATGGGGCCTCAGGTCTTTTTGCCGATTAAATATCTGGATGAAGTGAAACGCGCTCCAACGACGGTGTTCAGTTTTGAAGAATTCTCAGAGAAGTCATTTCTTCTCAGTTACAGCCATGCGCCGCGACAAACGGATGCTGCCGTTCGTGTGATCAAAGACGATTTAAATAGCCACCTTGGTGAGTATGATCGTTCCAATTAATTTTCTCAGAGCAAGGAGGTGTATGCTAAATGACCTCAGGAAGCTTGGTGAACGGATTGTGGACCGAGACTATAGCATGCCTAGAAGAGACTGTGTCTTCAGAATGGATAACGGTGCCAGCGTACCATTTCATTTGTAGCGTTGTGGCCCGCACAGTATCGTATGGGCTCGTGGGTCCTCACCTCTGCCGAAGCCCCGATTGGCAACGAATCGTTATCGAGACTACATACGCCATTTTTGGCGCAGCTAATACCATTCGCGACCAGTACACGCCGCGATGGAGATGGCTAGCTCGATGGACGGACTCAACACAGAAACAACTGAGGCAAATAAGACAACAAGCCACCAAATTACTCACTCCTTTATACAAGCAGCGACTAGAGGCTGTTGCGAACCCAAGCGATTTTGGCGATCCTTCAACGACTTTTCAAGACACCATATATTGGTTACTAGGCAGAGAGCAAGCCGACAAATCGCTTGCTGGCATTGTTGATCAGGAGCTGTTTCTTTCCATTGCTGCAATACACACAACATCTGGCTCGTTAAACTCCTTTATCTTTGATTGGATTGCGCATCCTGAGTATCACGATGACATCATAGCTGAAGTCAATGAGACTTTGTCCGAAGTCCAATCTTCTGATAAGAAATGGACAATGCAGCACGTCGCCAAGATGAAAAAGCTCGACAGTTTTATCAAGGAGAGTGCACGGATGAGCCCTATAGGATTTGGTGAGAAGCACCCCAATGCTCTTGAAGAAGACTGTCGAGATCATTACTAAAATCAAGCCACGCAACAGTTACCGGCCAGCGCCTTACGCTTAAACCTCATACATTCAAGGACGGTCTACATATTCCGGCTGGAACCACAATATTATTCCATGCTGAGGGCGAGCACTACAATCCAAATAACTATAGAGAACCAGATAAGTTTGACGGTTACCGCTTCTATCATCTCCGTGAGAAGATTGACCCCAGTCGCTTCCACTACACCACTGTGTCGGATGCCTCTCTCAATTTCGGGGCCGGGCAACACTCTTGCCCCGGCCGCTTTTTCAGCGCGCTGGTAACCAAATTTATTCTTGTACAACTCATAACAAAGTATGAAGTAAAGCTTGAGGATGGAAGTATCCAAAGGCCGCCCGACGATTTTCATGACAACAATATGAGGCCAGGTGCGAATGTAAAGATCAAGATTAGGAGGGTGGACTGAGTTTTGAAGAGTTTCACATAGCTTTTCCAAGGGCTCCATGGAAAGGCCGCTACAAGAAGCGTAAATCTTATGGAAAGTAGAATTACATTTAGATGTAGGAACATCGGGCTACTCAGAACACGAGCCCACAATGCAACAAACAAAATCATTGCTGGCCACACAGAACAAACACATTGACTGATTAACTCTTTCACGGTGTATTTGGCGCTCTTATCGCAATGAAACGACCTTTTGCTAGACTACCAGAGTTCCCTGCTTGGAGTAATTCAGAGGCTCAGAGCCCACAAATACTGGATGTCCGACTTTGCCACTTTGTCTTCCTGCAGGGGACGCACAGCATGAAGGTTGACAACCGTAGTCACATTACTCGATTTCCCCCCAGCTGTAGCATGGTTTTCGGGGAAATGGCCTGGCGAATCGGACTGAGATTAGTCTATACGGAGACCCACTCTAACATCGCCGACTCCGAAGGCAGGCTGACGCTTCTTAGATTCTCCTAATGTGCTGGGTCAACGACACCGCTATCTACGGCCTCTCTTCCTTCTCCTTGAAGAATTTCCGAACTCAAGAGTAAGCTAGTATATGCCCACCGCATCTGTAATTCAGTATCTATCTTCACGTTTTCACCAAGACCCGTTGCCTTCGAGACATACACTCCTGCATATTGACAAACATGTCATCAAAGATTCAAACAAACATTGTGGAACCATTCTTGGTTTTGCGACAAAGCCTGGCGCCCCTCAAGCTATCCAGATGGCAGATGATGAAAATTTTTGCCAAAACACTGGTATTCGGATCGTTGCCTTGGGGGGTTTTCCTTGTCACAGTCACTTCGGTGATTCTACTTTATGTTTTTCGGGCGATATTTGGTGGGAAGCAGGTCCAAATGCCGCAAGAGCTACCTGTTTTGAAAAGAAATGACTCTCACTATGAGAATATAGTAAAAGAAGGAAGGGAGAAAGTAAGGAAGACATATTTCCCTCACTGTACGAGGATAACTTTAAGGTTAACCAAATAACAGTACCCAAACGAACCTTTTCTCGCGGTCAATAAGCGCCACAGCTTTGTTATCTTTCCCCGACAATGCTTTGACGAACTGAAGCGACTTCCGGAGCGTACTGCTTCGGCCAAGGGTTTCTTCCATGCTGCAAACTATGGCGATTGGAGTCTTATTGGCACTGAAACACCAGCACTCCTCAAATCTATCATGGCCGACCTTACTCGTGCCTTGCCTGCACGAGTTCTCAATCGACAGCAAGACACACAAAAAGCCTTTGATGCTATCGTTGGGCACTGTCCTGACTGGAAAGCCTTTAATCTGATGATGACAGCTTTCGAAATCGTCTCTCAAATCAACGCCTGTTCCTTTGTCGGCAGGGACCTAGGGTGCAATCGCAGCTGGGTGAGAGCGGTCATGATGTCTCCATTGCTTATTCATGTTGCAGTTACACTTACGAATGCTTGCCCAGCCATTCTGAGGCCGTTGATGAAACCCATTCTCTTTCTACCTTCATTGAAGAATCAGTGGGACATGAAGCGCCTTCTGACACCAATGCTCCAAAATGACATAAAGACGTTTAATGAAGCCAAGGATAAGAAGGAATTACTGCGCCCTAGGGTGGAAGGAGATATTCCATTCACTGCTTTCCTACTCTCTCGCTATAAAGCTGCCGAGGCCACTATCAAACAGCTTGTCACCGACTATGTACTAGTTAGCTTTGACTCGACACCTTCAACTGCATCAGCATTATATCACGCTCTTTGCGAGTTGGCGCAGCATCCCGAAGCAGCAAAAGTCATGCGACAGGAGATTGAAGAGGTTATGGTAGACGGTCAACTTCCGTCGACTCATCTACAAGAGTTGAAGCGAATGGATAGTTTCCTGCGAGAGTCTTTCAGGATGCACCCCGTCAGTCTCTGTAAGTTGATCTCCGCGGCATTTATCTTGTTCTGTTCTCAAGATATCAGAATAACTGACTTGAGTTTCGTGGTAATCGCAGTCACCCTTCAACGCTATATTGAGACACCCGTGAAACTCTCCGTCGGCCCAACCATTCCAGCCGGTGCTATTGTCGGCATCGACTCTCAGTCTATCAACCGATCACCTGAGCTCTGGGAAGATCCGGACAAATTCGACATGGACCGTTTCTACCGACTACGTGAGCAACCAGGCAATGATAATCGCTACCACTTCTTAACGACTGGATCTGACTCACCAGGCTGGGGTGATGGAACACAGGCCTGCCCGGGTCGCTTTTTCGCCACCAGCACGCTCAAGATTGCGCTAGCACATGTCGTTATGAACTATGACATTAAACTTGAGGAAGGATGCCTCCCTCTGAACATCACGCCGCTGGCCAATGGAACCTGGAAACCAGATGATAAAGTAACAGCATACTTCAAATCCAGATCTTAAATAGTGGAAAACTTTAGAAGTCTTCTTTATCATGTTCCATAGGTCATGTAATTGATAACTTTTGAAGCCAATGAAAGTTTGGTACATTCAGGATGAGCTTCGCATGTTAAATGTTAGCCACACCTTGAGTTTTCTTGGTGAAGAACAAGCAATAGTCTCCCAAAATCCTAAATCGTGAATTGTCTGACTTTCCTGGCTCATATGTTTTTATTTGACTTCATTACGTTGCACATTGTTATCAAATTATTCTTCAAACTTCAATGGATTCTGGTGTTGATTACACCTTGGAGTAAGCGTGGGCATGTACAAAAGCCTCGTTCAACGTATTGCATGGAGCATTTTGCTAGTCGAAACGGAGATTTTTCTATAAACGTAATTTTCACCTGGTTTCTTGTCCCCGAAATCGAGTAGCGTGCTGACTGAAGGGGAAAGTGTCTTTCCGTGATTCGGGGGAAATGTAAGTTCTCCGAAAGGCTTTCCGATGACAAGGATTTCTGGGGTTGTATTCCGGGTCTACACAGACTCACCTCCGATCAAAACCCTGCAAGTCTCTCCGACCGTGAGAAGAACTGGTCATTATCCATCTTGTCCCTAGCTGGCATAAGCTAACAAAAAAGGGCTTCGAGCACCCTTCGTTTAGTCTAAGTATAGCCTACGTCCTCAAGACATTCCCGGCTGCCACTCACTACCCCACCTGGCCATCTCTCATTGATTCCTTCAAACAGGGATCGCATTCGCAAATAGAGTGCTATCGACGAACAACTTTGTTTTATCCTATCTGATTGTCCACATGATGCCGACCACACACGAGCCTATTGCCATTATTGGCACCGGCTGCCGCTTTCCAGGTGATTGCAACAATCCATCCAAGCTATGGGAGTTGCTCCGCCATCCCTGCGATCTACTGAAGGAGATCCCTGAAGATCGTTTTAGCGTTGATGGCTTTTACCATCCCGATAACTCTCACCATGGGACAAGCAACGTACGCCACTCCTACTTTCTTGAAGATGACTTGCGCCTCTTCGACGCGCAGTTCTTCGGTATTAAGGCCACGGAAGCAAATTCCGTCGACCCGCAGCAGCGCTTGCTCATGGAAACTGTCTACGAGAGCCTGGAAGCGGCTGGACTCTCGGTGCAACAGCTGCAAGGCTCCGACACAGCCGTTTATGTCGGTGTGATGAGCGCCGATTTCACTGACATGATTGGGCGTGATGTGGAAACATTCCCAACATATTTCGCTACAGGAACGGCACGGAGCATCCTGAGTAACCGTCTTTCTTACTTCTTCGACTGGCATGGTCCCTCGATGACTATCGATACCGCCTGTTCGTCAAGTTTAATTGCTATGCATCAAGCCGTACAAACGCTTCGATCAGGGCAATCATCTGTCGCTATCGTAAGTAGTTGTTCGATTGTTACTTCATACCACACTCGGCCCTCCCTTTGGTCTACGACTGGGACTAAAATACTGCTTCGTTGGCTCTTCTCGTTACTCACAAACCTCACAGGTCGCTGGGTCCAACTTGATTCTTGGACCTGAGCAGTACATTGCGGAGAGCAAACTTCAGATGCTTTCACCGACGGGCCGAAGCCGCATGTGGGATGCGGAAGCAGATGGTTATGCCCGTGGTGAAGGCGTTGCAGCGGTAGTCTTGAAGCCTTTGAGCCAAGCAATTGCCGATGGAGACCACATTGAGTGCGTGATCCGTGAGACTGGTGTAAACCAAGATGGAAAGACGCCTGGAATCACAATGCCAAGTGCGACAGCCCAGGCATCCTTGATTCGATCTACATACGCCAGGGCCGGTCTAGACATCAGTAAGCCAAGTGACAGACCCCAGTTCTTCGAAGCGCACGGTACAGGTAAGTTTCAGTACTTTCTACGTTTAGCAAAATGACCAAAGGACTAAATAATTCATTCATAGGCACACCGGCTGGCGATCCTGTCGAGGCTGAGGCTATACACAATGCCTTTTTTGGTGAAAGTGCAAACTTCCATCCGCAAAGTCCTGAAGACAAACTAGTCGTTGGTTCAATCAAAACAGTTGTTGGCCATACGGAGGGCACAGCCGGATTGGCTGCCGTTATCAAGGCCTCGCTTGCACTGCAATCCGGGGAATTGCCGCCGAATCGCTTGTTCAATGAATTGAACCCCAAGATCAAACCCTTCTACCGAAATCTTCAAATACTTACTACTGCACAGAAATGGCCGAGGCTGGCAGAACGCGGCGTGCGAAGAGTAAGCGTCAACAGCTTCGGATTCGGTGGAGCCAACTGTCATGCTATCCTTGAGAGCGCCGATAGTTACAAGGTTACGGAAGACAAGTCGCATGGTACCGAAAGCATTGGCAGCTTGTCTCCGTACTTGTTCTCAGCTGCATCCGACAATGCGCTTCTATCAGCTCTTGAACGTATGCGAAGCTACCTGGAGGCTATGCCGAGCGACACAAGTGTTGATCTACGAAATCTTGCTTGGACGCTGTACACTCGTCGCACGACTTTTTCACATCGCACGTTTGTGACAGCATCTAAAAGTGTCAAAGAGCTCACTCAAAAATTGGATGAGTCCATTCAGACTTTTCGCCAGTCTTCAGACTCATTCTTGTCGAAAACGAGACCATCCAACACGCCATTGCGGATCCTTGGCGTTTTTACTGGGCAAGGTGCACAGTGGCCACGCATGGGAGCTGAACTGATTGAAGACTCTCCTATGGCAGATCGTATAATCCAACGGCTCAACGATAGTCTTCAGTCTCTTCCCCTACAGGATCGGCCACCATGGTCACTGCGTGATGAGCTACTCGCTCCGCCTGAATCTTCCATGGTCGGCAGCCCCTCCCTGTCACAGCCCCTTTGCACTGCAGTGCAAATAATGCTTGTTGACCTCTTGAAAGCAGCCGGCGTCCAATTATCAGCCGTTGTAGGTCATTCCTCCGGTGAAATGGGTGCTGCATATGCTTCAGGGTATCTCTCTGCAGAGGACGCAGTACGTGTGGCTTACTACCGGGGCTTGCACTTGAAATCAGTCCAGCAGAAAGGGTCGATGCTTGCCGTAGGAACCTCTTATGAGGATGCTATGGAGCTGTGCTCTCTTCCTGCCTTTGAAGGGCGTGTGTTTGTTGCTGCAGTCAACTCATCGTCCAGCGTGACGTTGTCTGGCGACAGTGATGCGATTGACGAAGTAAAGGTCATCCTGGACGAGGAGAAGAAGTTCAATCGTATTCTAAGAACATCTTGTGCATACCACTCTCCTCACATGCAGCCCTGCGCTGAGCCGTACGTACGTTCCCTTGAACAATGTGGGATAAAGTTGCAGCCCAGCCGTGCCAGTGCAGACTGCCGGTGGGTATCCAGTGTTTTTGGATGTAACATTTCCGACATTCCGTCCTCTGAAAGCATTGGTGGCTCCTACTGGGCTTCCAACTTGACTAGACCAGTGAGGTTCACTGACGCCTTGAGCGCCCTCTATCAATCTGTTCAAGATGGGGACATTGGCACATTTGATATGGCAATTGAGATCGGGCCTCACCCGGCTCTCAAAGGCCCTGCAACCCAAACAGGTAAGCACCATCTGTTCCTTTATTTAATTCCGAGAGACGTTTAACTGATCCATAACTTAGTCCAAGAGTGCCAAAATGGTCAGTCGATTCCATATACAGGAGTTCTCGAACGTGGCAAGCATAGCACTGAGGCCATCTCAAAGTCGCTGGGCTACATTTGGAAAACATTTGGCGAGGGTGTAATCGATTTCGCTCAATATGATCGTTTCGTTACGAACACGCAGCCATCCTATCAAATGATCAAGGGCCTTCCAACATACTCTTGGGACCATAGCCGAAAGTTTTGGCATGAGTCGCGTTTGTCGAAGGCTTTCCGTACTCGAAAGGATCCTCCACACGAGCTCCTTGGGCGTCAAGTACTGGACGGAACACCTAGCCACATGCGATGGCGCAACATCTTGTCGCGTAAAGAGATCTCCTGGCTTGACGGACACCAGGTCCAAGGCCAAACTGTTTTCCCATGCGCCGGTTACGTTTCCGCATGCGTAGAAGCATGCATGCGCGTTTGCGCTGATTACGGGCCCGTCCAGTCCATTGAGCTCCGTGATTTCAATGTTGGGCACGCCATGGTCTTTAACGACGATGCGGGCATAGATGCGCTCATCACGCTGAACGATATTAATCGATCAGAAGAACACGGGAAAAAGACATTGACTGCTCAATTCGCATTCCAATCAGCTCCTAAAAATGATACACTCGACATGGTACAGCATGCAGACTGTCAGGTTCTCGTTGTACTCGGCGAAGACATCCCAAATCTTCTTCCACCCAAGGCACCCGATGACTCGGAGTATGCACTCTTAGACGTGGAGCATGATCGATTTTACAACGCACTTGGCGATCTAGGCTTCGGCTACGATGGTCCGTTTCGATCTCTTAGGAAACTGAAAAGAAAGCTGGGCTCTGCTCAAGGCTTCATACAGACCCCGGTTCCCATCACTCAAAATCAGCTTTCACCACTGCTCATTCACCCAGCAACGCTAGACTGCGCTATTCAGTCCATCATGCTGGCATTTTGCTATCCAGGCGACAGTATGCTGCGCTCAATCTATCTTCCTACCAACATCAGGCGGCTTGTTGTAAACCCTTCACACTGCCTCGACTTTGCCGGGAAGTCCTGCCATGTGCTGTTCGACTCCACTGCAGTAGTGGACACGGCAAAAAGCCTTTCTGGTGACGCAAACATCTACTCTCCCCAAGGATTCAATTGTAAAGCCATTCAACTGGAGGGCCTTCAGACACGGCCGCTATCAAATGAAGGCGAGTCCGGCGACCTGAATATTTTCACTGAGTTGGTATGGAACGTCGACAAGCCTGACAGCGAAATTATCATGGCACAGGTTCCAGTTCAGGAGCCCGATGCCGACCTTCTCTTTTCTTTAGAGCGCGTTGCATACTTTTATCTCCGCCAACTTGGTAACACTTTCCACCCTTCGAAACGTGATGCTCTGGAGTGGCATTTTAAAAGGCTGCTCGCGTACGTCGATCACGTACTTCCCAGAGTGTCTCGTGGAGCAAGTCGCTTTGCCCGGAAGGAATGGGCCAATGATACTGAAGGGGTTATCACGGAAATATATAACAGATATCCACAGAATGCTGATCTAAGACTTATGCGCGCAGTTGGGGAAAACATCATTGCCGTTGTTCGAGGAGAAACCACCATGCTTGAACCGATGGTTCAAGACAACAAGCTGAACGACTTCTACGTCCATGCTGAAGGCATGCCTCAGTATACTGCGTATCTTGCTGCATTCGCTAGTCAAATCGGGCATCGATATCCCCATATGAATGTACTGGAGATCGGAGCTGGGACAGGTGGTGCGACCAAGTCGTTCCTCAGAGAACTTGGGGATCAGTTTGCAACCTATACATTTACTGACATATCAAGTGGGTTCTTCCAGAAGGCATCAAGCGTCTTTGCTCGCTACAGCTCAAAAATGAACTTCCGAGTCCTTGACATTGAAGCAGACATCAAGACTCAGGGCTTTGCTAAGGGATCTTTCGACGTGATTATCGCATCTTTGGTCCTTCATGCTACTAGGGACTTAACCAAGACGTTGCACAATGTTCGAGAGCTGCTCAAGCCAGGTGGCTACTTACTTCTCCTTGAGATTACCGACAACGAACAGATGAGATTCGGCCTGCTTTTTGGCGGGCTTCCAGGATGGTGGCTCGGGTATGATGATGGGCGTGCTTTATCACCTTGCATCGGCCTTACTGAATGGGAACGCCTACTCAAAGAGACCGGCTTCTCAGGTATCGACACTGCCATGCCGCACAACGAACGACTACCAGTCCCGCTCTCAGTAATCGTATCGCAAGCTGTAGATGATCGAATCGAACTTCTGCGGCAACCTTTGCATCACACAACCCAAAATGCCCTAATTCCCCGTCTGGCGATCGTGGGGGCCGGACACAGGAGTGCTGCACTGGCTTTGGGCATTCAAAAAGTTCTCACGCCTCACTGTGGTGATATAAAAATCATCGGCTCATTACAACAAATTCGAGAAAACGACTTGAATGTTGGCGGCAGTGTCCTGTGCCTCTCAGACCTAGACGAGCCTATAATGAAGTCATTGGATCAGTCCAAGCTTCGAGGCTTCCAGGAAATATTCAAACAGTCCACTAATGTGCTTTGGGTCACTTCGGGGGCTCGAGAGGGAAACCCATTCTCCAGGATGGTCGTCGGATTTGGCAGGACTATCGTCCTGGAAATGGTGCACCTGCGCCTCCAGTTCCTTGACATGAACAGCACTGCAGTTCCCGAACCACTAAGGATTGCCGAGGCTTTGATTCGTTTCTTGACGCCAGAGACATGGAGTGAGAAGCCTGATTCACTGTTACATTCTGTCGAGCCTGAGCTGTCTATATGTCCAAACGGCAAAGTTCTCGTGCCTAGGTTTAAACTCAATAAGCATCAGAACGACCGGTACAACTCTAAACGCCGCACTATCAAACATCCAGTTGATGTCTCAAAATCTATTCTGGAACTATGTTACAGTAAAGAAGGCAACTCATATGAGCTTGCAGAGTTGAGCTCAGATAACAATGTGCCAGTCTGGTTTGCTGAAGACCATTTGTCAGAGATTGAGGTCAACTACTCAATGAATCTTTCCGTACGGACACAGGGAGACTGTTACCTTTTCCCAATCTCCGGAGAGCACAAAGCAACTGGTAGAACCGTCTTGGCACTATCTCCCAAATTATCCTCCAGGGTGATGATCCCAGACTCGTTTGTTCTGTATGAGCTCAATTTATCAACAGAGAAGCAACATGAGATTCTACATTCTTTCTACTTAACCCTGATTGGGCAGGCAGCCCTGAGCGATATTTCAGCCGGCGCTCATGTCATTCTTCTACAGGCCGGAAATCGGTTTGCTCAACTTGTGGACAGGTTGGCAACTGACAAAGCCGCCACGATGATGTGTCTTTCAGACCAACTCGACACCAAATGGGACTATGTTCATCCGAAGACACCTGGGTCAGCGATTCGGAACCTGATAACACTGAAATCTCCCGGTCTGGAGACTCTGGTTCTTGACATGGGCAAGGATAGTTATATCACCACTGCGGTAGCCGAAAGTCTACCGAAGAAGGATTGTCCCATTATTCGGAAAGCGGATCTTGTTAGATCAACGGGATATCTGCCCAGGAAAGATTTAAGACAGAACATCCGAGCTGCTTTGAACGATTTCAAATATGCGCTTCAGCAGCAAACAGTTGCAGAAAACACCGCCGAGACTATTGAGCCAGTGCCACCGATTCACCAGTTGGAGGAGTTAGTGAGTAATGCAGATGTTGAGAAACGCGCTGACCACGAGATTATTGTGTCATGGAGATCGAAGTTGACTGCAGTTGATGTGCCTACACACAGTGTCGACACCAAAGTGCGATTCAGAAGCGACAAGACATACTGGCTCGTAGGGCTCACTGGGGGTCTTGGTCTGTCGCTGTGTGAATGGATGGCACGGCAAGGCGCTGGTCACATTGCTATAACCAGTCGAAGCCCAAAGGTCCATGAGAGTTTCATAGAGAAGATGAAGCTCAGGGGAGTTACTATCGAGGTCATTGCCGCGTAAGTCTTCACCACTCTCTCTTAGTTCCCTTACTCTTTTTCTCTTTTTTCCCTTTCCTCTCTTTTTCATTCCGCAGAGACAGCGTGTTACATCTTTAGCTTCGCAGGTTTTGTTTTTGTTCCCATTTTTCCCAGCATCTGGTCTACAAGCTTGCTTTCTTTTAACATCGAATTGATTTCTCTGTTGATTTGTCGCTTTCACTAAACGAGCGATGCCTAACTTTGAATTTATAGTGATGTTTGTAACCGAGATTCTCTTCGCAAGGCACACAACGACATTACGCAAAAGCTACCTCCCATTGCGGGTGTTGCACAAGGCGCTATGGTCCTCCATGACACTATGTTCGTTGACCTTGACGTCGAACGTATCAACAAAGTTATGCGACCTAAAGTCGAAGGCAGCATGTACTTGGAAGAGATCTTCCAAAATACTCATCTTGAGTTCTTTGTCTTCTTCTCCTCTATGGCCTGTGTCACTGGTAATCCGGGCCAGTCGGCCTATGCGGCAGCTAACATGTTCATGTCAGGCCTCGCGGCTGAACGTAGACGTCGGGGCTTGAATGCATCTGCCGTTCACATTGGTGCCATCTTTGGCAATGGCTACGTCACCCGAGAGCTGACTCTAGCCCAACAGCAGTTCTTGAAAAAGGTGGGAAATCTGTGGCTTTCTGAACAAGACTTTCATTGTCTTTTTGCCGAAGCTGTCTATGCCGGACAATCGCAACGGGAATCGAATGCCGAGCTCTCTACCGGCCTTATGATGATCGAAGACAACGAAGAGTTCCAGAAAAATATTACTTGGTTCAGAAACCCCATGTTTCAACACTGCGTAAGAAACGTTCAGACGACACAACTAACGGAAAACACTGCGAAAGGCCGTCACGGTGTTCAAGTCAAAGCTCAGCTACAGGAAGCAGTCACGCCAGATGACGTTCGTGATATCATCCATGGTACGCCTCAACAAATACACTCACCATGCAATTTATCAACTTTACGGCTAATAAATCCAAAACAGAAGCGTTTACTCTCAAACTCCAATCGAGTTTGCAAATTGATGAGAGCAGGCCTATTGGAGATCTAACAGCAGACACCCTTGGTATTGACTCCCTGGTGGCTGTCGATATCCGCTCCTGGTTCATCAAAGAGCTCCAAGTTGAAATTCCGGTCCTTAATATTCTTAGCGGGGCAACAATGGGCGACATTCTTGCGCGGGCGCAAGAGTTACTACCAAAAGAACTGACGCCAAACTTCAACCCGGATGGGAAGTCATCGCTGAAGCTTATCAAAACCCAACACAAAAGTCCTGCCACTGCAATGACCACACCCTCGCCAGACGTTACTGAAATTGCAAGTGATCGGTCTCGAGGACACGCGAAGGATAGTGCTGAGGAAAGCGCTCCGCGTTTGCCTAAGACATTTGATAACAAAACTGCGGTAACTCGTCCGCCAGTTGTTACACAAGGGCCTCAACTATCTTTCGCAAATGGATCGCGCTCGCCAACTGCCACATCAACAGAATCTGGGATTATCTTCTCCCCTGCCGATACGAATTCCAGTACAACATCTTTTGGTCAAGTTGATGCCACAATGGCAGACTTTTCGGAGTCTAAGCCAGGCTTTTCTCCAACTTCATGGTCGGAGATTGACGAGCATGAGGCAGAGTCCAGAGGGTCAGAACCGATAGCAGAGCCGTCCACCATGAGCATTACCACGTGCCTCGAGAAAAACGATGCTATCATTCGATCCACAGGAGCCGTAACTAAAAGAATGCCCATTTCATTTGCACAGTCTCGGTTTTGGTTCCTAGAACAATTCCTCGAAGCACCTGCTTCTGCTCTCAATGTCACCTTATCAATCGACCTTGACGGTCCTTTGCAGATCGGCAAACTTGAAAGGGCAGTGTTATCCGTTGGCCAGCGCCACGAGGCCCTTCGCACAAGATTTTCTGTCGAAAACTCTACTGCAGGTGTGATGCAAGAGGTTTTAGCATCCTCATGCTTAGCTTTGGAGACATACGACACTAGTACTGAGACCGAAGAAAAGGATTGGCACAAACTTCTTTCTCAACACAAATACAGATTATCTGAGGGCGAGAATATGCGAATAATTCTTCTCAAAAGATCATCAACATCCTTTCGACTTATCATAGGTTACCATCATATCAACATGGATGGCGTTAGTCTTGAAGTTGTCCTTCGTGAGCTGCAGCTTATTTACAGCTCCCAGAGCCCCCCAAGCATTCAGGATATTATGCAATATCCTGACTTTACTGAGCAACAACGTCTTGAATACCAATCTGGGAAGTGGGAGAATGACCTCGCCTTCTGGAAGAAGGAGTTTGGGAACCAGGCGCCCCCAGTCATTCCACTTCTTCCATTAGCTAGGTCTCAGGCGCGGAAGCCGCTCACCTCCTATTCGAGCAACTTCGCAGATTTCTATATTAGCAAGACAGTAGTCTCAAGTATTGAGTCAACGTGCAGCAGGCTCAAGCTGAAGCCATTTCACTTCCACCTCGCCATTTTCTACACTCTCCTGACGCGGCTGCTGGATGTAGAAGAAGTCTGCATTGGCACTACATCAGCAAATCGTCAATTGCCGACCACAGTGCAAAGCGTTGGCATGTATTTGAACCTTCTGCCTCTTCTCTTCAAGTCTCAGCCGTCTCAAACCTTTGCAAGCGCCATGCAACTGGTTCGAGATAAGTCCTTGGCTGCGTTTTCTCATTCAACGGTACCTTTCGATGTCATAGTCAGCGAACTGGGCGCCGCAAGAACGACTTCACACAGTCCGATGTTTCAAGTCTCTTTCAATTATCGACCTGGTGTGTCGGAAAGACGGAACTTCTGCGACTGTCGGAGTAAAGTCGCGGAATTTAACCAAGGTCAGACAGCGTACGATCTGACATTGGACGTCATTGATAACCCTGGTGACGAGTGTCGGATCATCCTTGGGGGCCAATCAGCTCTTTATGGCAATTCAGAAATGCAAAGCCTGAAAGACATGTATATGAACCTTCTGAACACCTTTTCCAGCAACCCAGGCACACGTCTGAGCACACCGTCGCTCTATAATATTGATGACATAAAATCTTCTGTCATCCTTGGGAGAGGTATGTTAAGAAATCGATCTTCTTCTAAAATCATTTATCTTGGAGTCTACTTGACCTTTATCCTACATGTGGGCTTGCTAACACAACATACAAAGGGGCTTTCCAACAGCTTGAATGGCCAGAAACATTGGTTCACCGTATCGATAACATGTCTGAGCGTTACGGAGACAAAATCGCGATCCGAGATGCTTATGGAGGGTCTCTCACTTATTCGCAAATGACCAAGAGGGTGAACCTTATCAGTGAGTCAATCAACCGATATCAGGCCAATCCCGTCAAGCCTGGTACTAAGATAGGGGTATTCCTCGAACCGAGCATGGATTGGATTTGTTCCCTTCTGGCTATTCTACGCCTTGGAGCCGTTTACATACCCCTCGAGACTAACCTAGGTTTGGATCGCCTCTCACTAAATGTTGGCGACTGCAAGCCTGATTTGCTTCTTGTGAATGCATATACGAAAGTGCAAGCAAAACATTTTGAACCATTGTTGCAGCCACAGCAGATGTTCGATATTGGTAACGCTAGTGCACTTGCCAATGAAAACAAAATACCCGTTGTAGCCAAATCAAGCCATATCGCGGCTATACTGTATACCAGTGGCTCGACAGGAGTTCCAAAAGGCATCGTTATGAAGCACGACTCGTTTCGGAACAATCTTGAGATTATGACAAGTAAAGTCTTTTACCGCGAAGGGAAAGAAGTTACTCTGCAACAAAGCTCTTTCAGCTTCGATATGTCTCTCTGTCAGACTTTCTTGGCTCTTTGCAACGGTGGCACGCTCTACGTAGTGCCACGAAATCTAAGAGGCGACCCACTGGCTATATCATCAATTATTGCCAATGAGGGCATCACCTTCACGACAGCCACTCCGTCTGAACTCATCAGTTGGATTCAATACGGTGATTCCGTTTCCCTAAGAAATTCAGCTTGGAGGGTAGCCCAAAGCGGTGGGGAACCGGTGAGGCCCGGATTGCTGCAAAGCTTCTGCGAATTGGACAAGCCAGATCTACATTTGATCGACTGTTACGGGCCAACAGAAATCACGTTTTGCTGTCTCAGTCGAGACGTCGACTACAGGGGTGAACTCACATCCAGCATTACTGGCTCTGAGGCGAAGGGCTTGCAAATTTGGCCCAACTATTCCATGTACATCCTCGACGCCAACCAGAAGCCGGTGCCTGCTGGCGTGTCCGGCGAGGTTGCCATAGGTGGCTCAGGTGTTGTATCGGGCTACCTGCACAGCGAGCTAAATGTCAATGGCTTCAGAAAAGATACATGGGCCTCTCAAAACTTTGTCGAAAACGGCTGGACGCAGTTTCATCGCACCGGAGATATTGGTCGGCTGAATTCAGCCGACGGAACATTGGCCCTGGGTTCAAGGATTGCAGGAGATGCCCAAGCCAAGTTGCGAGGACTTCGCATAGATCTTTGCGAGATCGAAACAGCTATTTTGAAAGCTGCCGAGGGTGCGATTTCCGACACTGCCGTCACAATTCGTGAGGGCAAGACACAGGGGCTTGAATACCTAGTTGCCTTCGGCGTTCCAACCACCTCTCAGGCTACGGATGATTTCAGTCGCATCCTTGATCGACTTCCACTGCCGCAATACATGCGCCCAGCTGTGTTGATGCCTATAGAAAAATTACCCACAAATTCCTCCGGCAAGATTGATAGGTTCGCACTCAAATCAATCTCGCTTACTCAAATTCCAAGTTTGTCCAAAAAACCTAACAATGAGCAACTAAACAAAGTCCAGTCACAGCTATTGGAGCTATGGAAGCAGGTCATCTCGCCTGAAATTCTCTCCAATTATAGTTTACACGCAGACTCGGATTTCCTCCACGTCGGCGGCAGCTCCATGCTCATGGTGCAGCTGCGCGCTAAGGTGGAAGAGACCTTCAAAACTAAGGTGTCTCTTTTCAATTTGTTCGAGGCGAGCACACTCCGTGGCATGGCAGCACTTCTTACAGAGGACACTAGCATGGCGGATCCGTCAGATGGTGGCCGCTCTGATGGCAAGTCTCGTGAAAGTATTGACTGGGACACGGAAACCGCCGTACCACGCAGCTTGATAGGTATGCGTACATCGCGGAGATCCTTTGCGAATCCTAGCGTGGTGGTGCTCACTGGATCAACCGGTTTCCTCGGCAAAGCACTTCTCAAACGACTCTTGGAAGACAGTATCGTGCAAAAGATTCACTGCTTGGCCATTCGAAGTGATCTTAAGAGTCTTCCTAAAGATCTTTTCGAATCGCCAAAGGTTGTTCTCCACCAAGGAGACCTTGGCCTGCCGCATTTTGGACTGTCAGAAGAGACCGTATCAAAAATCTTCTCAGAGGCCCATGCCGTAATTCACAACGGCGCCGATGTCTCATTCATGAAGTCTTATGCGACTTTGAAGCCTGTAAACGTGGACTCGACGAAGGAGCTGGTACGACTCAGTTTGCCTAACCAAATTTCCTTCCATTATATATCGAGTGCCAGTGTCGTCCAGCTTACGGGGCAAGAGAGATGGGATCAACAGTCAGTGAAAGAATACCCTCCATCTGCTTCAAACGTAGATGGCTATATTGCCACCAAGTGGGCATGCGAGAGGTATCTCGAGAAAATTAGCGATCAGTGCACACTACCAATCTGGATACATCGGCCATCATCCATCTCGGGAACCGAAGCACCCACCCTGGATCTCATGTCTAATCTGCTACGCTTCGCAAGGCGTACTAAGGCAATTCCAGATACAAGCGCTTGGAAGGGTTCACTCGACTTCATTTCCGTAGAACGTGCAGCTATGCAAATCGTCGATGAGGTCTATGAGGACTATTCTTGGCCCGGTAACGTCAGGTATCTTTACGAATCTGGTGAAGAAATCTTTCCGCTAGCAAATCTACGAGATATTTTGGGTCGCGAGACCGGGAGTAAGATTGAGGAGCTGCCCATGGAGCAGTGGATAGCGCAAGCAGAGGCGCAGGGCATGAGTCCGCTGCTAGGCGATTATTTGCGTGGTGTTTCCGATAGGTCTCTCGTTTTCACAATTCTGGAGAAGCAGGAAACATGGCTGTAAAGTAGAGTAGAACGTCTGTTATCGGAACATAGAAGAACAATTGCATCATGATACAAAACAACATCCCGAACTCTCGTGTGACGAACTGCCTCGAAGAAATGTATCATCAGAATAGCACCACTTTTACGCGCTTTCTCGTAGCAACTCGTTTTCCGCTTGATTGCGGGAAGTACTTTAGCAGAAAATATGCATGGAGGATGCCTTCACTATCAATGCTCGTCCTCTATGGTCATAGGAGAATTCAAAAGCGCTTGTTTCAATACGGACGATTTCGATCCAAGTTTCTGCCTTCACTGGAAGAGTAAAGGTACTGTGAGAGCAATCGACAAACAATAATGCCGTGAAGAAACAGATTTCACTTTCTCAAGATGAAAATAGTGAAGGCAATAAAAGCAAGATGTTAGTCTTTACAACAAGTCTTCACGATATTGGCCCAGCTGAAAAAAAATTGTTGCCCAGCCTCCTTCTTTGGCTTCCCTTGTTGCTGCATGTTGGGGCGAGAAGGCACTTTCAGGAACACCACATCCCCCTTCCTAACCCCCCTTTTCCTTTCGATAACACAAGAATTCCAGTTCTTGAAGGCTTTGGTGCTAGCCCCTCGCTTTCGTTTGACTAATGCATGAATGACTTGCTCATATCATATGTACATCCCAGAAAGTAAAAGTCAGCATCACAGGCTACAGCTTCAAAGTGCATGACCAATGCTGAATAGCTTACTCGAGAGACTGGTTTACTCTTGTTTCAAGTTAATCTCCTCTACATGACTCGCCCGATTTCTGCTCGGGTGAGTGTTATCGGTGCAACAAACACGTTGATCGGTCACCGATCAGTTAGTGAGGATTATACAGCCTTTTCTGATCCGATCACGAGCTTTGCAACTGCTGTTACGGCCTGGAGTTCGGTGTGGACCCCCCGAGCCCGAACCGACTCCGAATCCGGTATTCCGAAACTGAGCCAAAATTCGGAGTTGGCCATGTTTGAAAACTCAATTGTACTGTGTCAGGTTACCCACATCAGGGCAAGAGACTGACATAACCGCGAACGGTTGATCATCTCAGTGTCCTTTTCTGAGGTGTATTTCGATGGGTAACCCTGCCATAGGTCCGATTTGTTCATTGTGCATCCGCTACAATTAGACTGTGGGATATTGGCGTAGGCATCCTCAGCTGTATTTGGAAGGCCCTTGCCTAGATGTGTTCTAGAGAATTCTTTGGACCTGTCAACACTAACCGTAGACTCAGCCTTCGTTCAAAAGCTTGATTCTGAGATGGCTTCTATGCTTTTTAGCGGGAGTGGTGCAACTGGCTTGGAGCCAGCCGCCAAGGACACCATCACCATTGCTCATCCTCTGAAGACTATGAAAATCAACACAGCGGCTATCAAGGCCAAATACGAAGAAGAGCGAGCCAAACGAAACATTATTGGGGTGTCGCAGTTCAAGCACGCTCAAGGCTCCAACGCGCGCTTCAAAAGCGATGTACTGAAGCCAACAGCAAGGCGAGATCCCGTCACCCTCAAGACAAGCACTTTGATTTGTGGTGCTGGCTTTGCCGGTCTTGTAACGTCCGTAAATCTCAAGCAAACACACGGCATTGATGACTTTGTCATCATCGACAAGGCAGGGGGCTTCGGAGGGACGTGGTACTGGAATCAATATCCAGGTATGACTTTGAACATCAACCACTGGCTTTCTTTCTTCGCGTACGTCTACACCTCAGGTTGAATAAAAGCTAATCTATGCTTTTCCGTCTGATTGTAGGGGTTGCCTGCGACGTCGAATCATACCTTTACATGCCATTTCTTGAAGAGACTGGATATACACCCAAACAGCGATTCTCGTATGGACCTGAGATTCGAGAGCAAGTTGGAAGAATCGTGAAAAAGTGGGATCTAGAGCCACATGCTTATTTCCATACTGAAATTACTGCCATGGACTGGGACGCATCCATCAAGCGCTGGCATGTCTACACAAACCAACAAGACCATTTTATTGCGCAGTTCGTTGTGTTGGCTACCGGAACCTTCCACGAAATGAAACTCCCTGGTCTCCCAGGGCTCGAGACTTTTCAGAATCCTCACTTTCATAGCAGCCGGTGGGATTACAACATTACGGGAGGTTCCCCTACAGATTGGAATCTGGACAAGCTAGCCGACAAGACAGTCGGCATTATCGGGACGGGAGCATCAGCGGTTCAACTCGTACCCCAGCTGGCCAAGAATGCCAAAAAGCTGTACGTGTTTCAAAGAACACCGTCCTCCATTACGTGGCGAGAAAACACAGCCACAAGCGATGACCCCGAAATCTCTGCTTTAGTCCAACAAAAAGGCTGGCAACGGGCCCGAATGGATGAGTTTGCCAACATCCTACAAGGTGCCATCACGGATCATGACTGTTCAGCACTGGAAGGTTTAGAAGCGCTCACGGTTCGAGCGCTAGTCAGGGAAGCCCAAGAGGCGGGCGCAACAATGCGACCAGAAGAAATTCCCGAGCTGCTGCAGATGGCCGACTTCAGACTTATGGAGACCATCAGAAAGAAGATCGAAAACACAGTTCAGGATCGGGCGACGGCTGAATCTCTGAAGCCGTGGTACCCGTTCATGTGCAAGCGACCAACATTCAACAATGACTACCTTGCAGCGTTCAACAACCCCAACGTAGAGCTGGTCGATACAGGTGGCCAAGGCGTGGAGCGATTGACATCTACGGCGGTTGTGGCCAATGGCCGTGAGTACCCCGTCGATATTCTCGTATACTCAACGGGGTTTGACTACGAGACCGATGCCGACTTCTACCACCGAACGGGCATCCGCCTTGTGGGGAGATCCGGCCGTACCATAGATGAAGCGGCGGCTGACCGCCGCGGGCCCGCTACTCTTTTCGGTATCCACTTCCGCGAGTTTCCAAATCTGTTCAATATTGGACCCGCTCAGTCAGGTGTCACTGCTAACTGGACGCACACGACTTACGTAGCTGGTGAGCATATTGCAGCTGTCATTGCGGACTTGCGCCGCGGGAAAAAGCTGGGTGAGAGTGACTGTGTGGAGGCCATAGAACCCACTGAAGAGGCTGTAGAGAGCTGGGGTAAGCAGGTTGACGAGGGGCATGAGATGCGATTGCAGTTCAATTCGAGTTGCCCCCCGGGTTATTACAACAAGCAAGGCCAGCCTGAAGATATTTCTTCGCGCATGGCCTATTATCCGAAAGGTATCATAGAGTGGCAGAAAGTGATGAGAGAATGGAGAGAGGAGGGTGACTTGAAAGGCATGTCAAAGACATAGGTTAGAAAAGGGATTCGTTTAATCGACCAGCAGCTTATCAATTTCGTTGCCGGTTTGGACATGACGGAAAGAAGTTTTCAGGCATTCTGAATCGAGTACTTGGTCTCGTAGAAGAAGAGTTTTTAGTTCCTTCAGGAGTAGAATGTATTGTACTTGAAGAAAAACCGATGGAATACTCCTCAAATATGTGCATTGCTCAAAATTAGTCTTGCGACTGCATCATAGGCTGATACCTCACCGAGGCGACTCAGGCCACGACAATATGCATGATACCATATACTCTGTCCACAAAGATGGAAGGTGGGTCACACGAAGGAATGGAGCAGGAACATCGGTCTCGAGGGAAGATTCAGATTGCAAACTTGTTTCATTTCAAAGCAATAATGAACATTAGAAACCAAATGAGGCACTACCCAGGATCCACCATTGCCTTCATGTGTAGGGAAAAAGGCGTATAAACAATGACTATCGTGAAAATTCTATAATCTATGATGAATTGGTCGTTGATTCATAAAGTAAAAATGAAAGGAAGTCAAGAAGAAGAATAAAAGAAAAGAAAAAGAAAGGGGTATCTTTTGTCCAAATCGTGTCATCACGCCTGGGGAGCAGCAGTGCGCTTGGGAATGGGGATGTTGGCCGCACGGAAGCGCAGGCCTCGCTTGCCCTTCTTGCTGGTTGTAGTGGTTGATGTTGTGGAGGTGGGCTTCTTGCCGCTCTTGTCATCGTTACCAGATTTCTTGTCATCACTGCCAGACTTCTTGTCATCGTCACCAGACTTCTTGTCATCGTCACCAGACTTCTTGTCATCGGACTTGGTCGTCGTCGCGGCCTTGGTAGTGATGGTCGAAGAAGTAGCCGAGGCAGCCTTGGTAACGGCGACGAGAGTGGAGCCAGTGGGGGAGGCGGGTGCAACAGGGACGGCTAAAGACGGGGAGGCCGTCTTGCTGGCCCAGTAAGCATCAAGGCGGCTCTCGACTTCATCAAGTTTGTTGTACGGCTGGAAGCTGGCCATGAACTCGATACGGGACTTGACCGCTTTGTATTCATATGCACTGGCGCTCTCGTTCTTGGCCTGCCACTCGCCCTCCATGGGGTCTACGAACTGGTTCTCAGTGTATCCGAGGTCCTCGAGAACGGAGACGTTGAAGGCAGCCATCATCTCGTGATCCTCATGGATCAGATTGTGGCAGTGGAACATGTAGACACCGGGCCAGGGAGCGTAATGGGCCTCGACGGTGACAGTCTCGCCGGGACCGAGCCAGACGACGTCCTTCAGACCGTTGTACTCGTAGGGCATTACAGCACCGCGGCCATTGACACGCTTGATGACGCGGAAGTCGACAAGGTGGATGTGGATGGGATGACTCCAGCCACCGGAGCTGTTCTCAAGCTCCCAGACCTCAATGGTGCCACGCTTAGGCCTAGCGAGGACACGGTTGTTGACATCGGCGAAGGTGACACCGTTGATACGCCAGTCGCCACCATTACGCTCGAAGCGGAAGTGCTGGTCGACGCCGGTCTTGTCCTTGGGGAATGGAACATCGCGGAGCGTGGCGGGGACGCCAGGGTTATCGACCGACTTATCACTGACTACAAAGCGCATGACCTTATCGGTATGAAGGAAGTCGGTATCGGCTGAAAAACTGCGAGTATTGCGGAGAGTGACATTCTCGCCCTTGAACTTGGAGAAGTCGATGATGATTTCGTAACGCTCGGCCATGGAGATGTACAACTCCTTAACAGACTGGGGACTAGTCAGGAGACCAGCATCAGAGGCGATGACGTCGAAGTCGGTTCTATTTCCCTTGCTGTCTTCGAGATAGAGCAGGAACGAGCGAGAAATGGCGGCATCAAGAAGGCGGAAGCGGTACTTGCGGGGCTCGACTTTGAGGTAGGGCCACGGCTGCCCGTTCACGTGGATAACATCTCCATACAGACTAGTAGTTTCCAAGGCAGGGGAGTACAAGCTGCCGTCGGGGTTGTATTGCTTCGCAGACAGGATCAAGGGGATGTCGTAGATACCATATCCGCTGGGAAGACCGAGCTTGTCCTCGGCAGGATCATGGAGGAGATAGGTTCCCGCCTGCCCGTAATAAGCGTTCTCGGCCGTGTGGTCGATGGCGTGGTCGTGGTACCAGAGTGTTCGGGCAGACTGGCTGTTGGGATAGTAGTAATCCTTATACTGTCCCGGCTTGGTAATATCCTCGGCCCAACCATCCCAAGCGGTACGCTGCATAAAGAAGTTAGTTTGCATTATGTGCCAAGCGCCAGTTGAGAATATTTACCGAGTAGGAACCGTGAAGGTGGACAGAGTTAGCCATCTTGGCATGGTTGGTAAAGCGAACGACTGCTTCCTCTCCACGCTCCATGAGGAACGTGGGGCCGGGAGAGATGCCATCATAGCCAACAAGGGTAGCATTGCCCAAGTTGGGGTAAACCTTCTGAGAGAACTCCTTGATCTCAATCTCATAGTATCTGATCTTCTTCCCCGTCACAGGGTTGACAACGGTTGGCTGGTTGGTGCTGGGATAGGTTAGCGATCAGGTTGTAGACGAGGATGATGGGGGCCTGTTTGACTCACAATCGTTCCGCCTTAGGAGGGGGGATTGGAAGAGGAAATTCGTATAGCCATTTGTACTCGGGACTGAGCCAGTCCTTGGCGAGAGTGTCAGAAGCAAGAGTGAGGAGAATTGCCAGAGACTGGCGGACTGTGAGAGAAACCATGATGAAGAGAAGGGCATGCGCAAGGATAGATGCCAAGAATTGTTGCCAAGAAGAGCTATGCAAGTGACAAGTGCTGGCCAAGGCGGGTGGCGACGCCTTTGCGAGTGTCAGAAAGAATTGAACGGTGAATGAGGTGAGTCTGATGAGCAAGTTTCCGATGAGGCGGACATATGGCGGTTATTTAATGGTCTTCGAGACGTGCTTCGACAGCGTGGAAAGAGTGGCGAACATGGCCGGTTCATGGAACTTCAGTCCAGTCAATCTAGGAGGGGACACGCCGTCGCCGCCGTCCCTCCAGAGATGGACAACAGACGGACTTCTGGTAGAGCCAAATCGACTCATGTCGAGCACTCGTTACCCGCTCGGAAGTCATAAGCTAACTCATTTAAGAAAGACGGTTACTAGTCCGACCGGCTCACCCCATATCCCACATACCGTATCGAGAAGGATGGCTTTGTGGCCCGCGTGGTTGAAATGGACGGGGCTGACACCTAGTGCTATAACCTGAAATACAATGGGGTTTGTTCGATGATGGCTGGACCGACAGCTTGGGCCTAGTGTGTGGTCGAAGACACTAACAGTAAGCTGGTCAAGAAGTCAAAGACAATGAGTACGTTGCGACAAGCACGACAGACGACCCGAGCAGGAAACACAATGGTGGAGTCTGGACTTCCACAGCCCGGAAAATTGGTTCATCGACTTCATCCCATCCCAGCTTGGGATCGACTGTGTCTGTTCTACCTGCAGATAATGACATACGCTAGAGACTTAGTAGCAACAGTTTGACATAAATTTGCAGAGAAAGAACCAGCCCGCCGGATCAACAAACAGCGGTTGGAGTATTCTGATGTCCGGATATGATGGAAGTGCATACTGTTTACCGGAACTGTAATAATAAAAAAAAAAAAAGAAAATGACCAATAATAGATATTTAGCGGAGGAACCAGAGTATCAACCTGCCAAACGAGGCTTACATGCCTGCCGCATTGTACAGCTATGCTTCTGAAGAGAAGGCAGATATGGGTGGAAGAGGGGCCTAAGAGCTAAAAAGGCTAACGCCCACATTGGCGCAGCTGCTCTTTGAGGGTGGTAAATTGTCCTTGTTCTCCAGGCCGTTGTGGCAACCTTAGCCTCAGACTTCTTGCACTAAGGTATTGGTACGATCGATCATATGAAACCGCCCCCTAACATTAGGTAGTGACAATGAAGGCTGTAACCACCGAGGTATTCTTGAATTTTGGTGTAGAGGCTCGAGCAGTAACGCCGGTAGCCGCAGGTTCCACGGATATCGGTGCGTATAGGCCTGGATGGAATGCGCATGGCTGCAGAGATCCAGGATCTTGGTTCGGCAGATGCAGAAGGGTGTTGCCATGGAAAAGCATGGACGAATGAAGATGGCAGTCCCTTCGTCTCATAAGTAGGGATCGCATGTCCGATCCAATCTTTGCGATAAGATGGAAAAGCTGGATTGTCTCTCATGTGGCCTAGATCGAACTGGGGCTGGAGCCCCAAAGAGTGGCAATGCATTTGGATCCATCTGAAGCCGTGGTGACTTGTAGATAACAGTCCAAAGTCAGGACCTTGGCCGGTTCTCAGCGGACTAGATTGGCGTTCCCCCACGCGGTGCACCCAAGGCATCGATTAGCCCGTCAATATGTCGCGCCGCCACTTATGGGACCGAGTTTTCCATATCCCCAACAGCTGAGAGACCTCAGACGTTAGCCTCAAGAGGGAAGAGGCTGGGGGCAAGAATCCAGACTCAACCAGGCACCGAATACGAGGTATGGGTGACAAACAGGGAGTAGCTGAGGTGTTCACTCCGTATATCGAGTGCTAAATCAACTATCAGTGACTTCCTGCATGTCACCTAAAGTTCATGATGATGATTCGACTACATCTCTGGGTTCGAAGGAGGCTCAGCGAGCTTGAACAACAAAGGTACGTTTCAAAATGGCAGAAGACAATGGAAGGAAGTTCGGACAAACACACCTTTTCTTTTTTTAAATTCAATTCTGCAGTCCAGCGGTCTGATCTCAGAGGTGCATGTGAAAGTTATGGCGGTAGTGTGGGATGTTTCGCCGGAACTGGAAAGGACTTTGGAGAGGACAAAAGTCTGGTGACGTGGTATTCGGCAACAAGGACAGGGAAGGGGGATCTCGGGGGAAGGAAGGAGTGTGTGCTGGTGTGATTTCCCCATGTTTCTTTTTCTTTTTTTCGATCCTGTTCCTGGTGGGTGCCTAAGCTCCAGGCGGCTCAGTGCCGCTAGCGCCTCGCCTGGACCCCCCCTTGTAGGATCCTCCTGACTGGATAAAAGCTTAAAAAGTGTATCCATGTGGTCGAGGTTCGCTTACATTGACCAATCAACAGTTGCCTACCTCGGGTGGTCTTTACCTACCTTTCATCCAACTAATCTCGAATTTTCCCGACGCCTCGAACCGCGTCGGACCGCGTCCTCTCGTCCTTTGTGCTTCACTACCCCAGTCAGCAACTAGGCTCCTCAACCTCGAATCTTTAAGCTTGCATCTTTCAGAGACCCACAAACACGCTTACCGAACTGTCGGCACCGAAAACTACGCCCCCGGGATTCCGGTCCTTGTCCCAAGCTTTGGATCGTCAAGCCGACACGTCTCTCGCCCCAAGGCCTCTGGGTTTACGCCAAACGTTGCGTTTACGAAGGGGATACTGTTAGAACCAACCTCAAAGAAAAGTAAGGAACCGATCGTTCCTCTTGTTAGGTCACTCACGGGACGTCTTTGCCATGTGGTGTGGTAGCATCCGACTAGCCATGAGGGTGGCTGCTGACATCTTCCAACCTTGCCGGAAGACATCAAATTACTCGCGATACTCTACCGGCATGCAATCATAGTGCCATTTCTGTCAGAGGCAGATTCAACTCTACTGAGCACTCATTTGTACGTCAAGTGATTGGCATGTTTCCATCGCTTCAGGTGCCCTCCACCACTTTCCCCGCGCTACCAGTGGTCCAGAACCCTCCAATTTCCATTCATGGCCCTGCGATACTTGTGGAGATGTGCATTGGGCTGCTAACCTGGACTTCCGCGTCTGCTTAATCTCGCTATGACCGGAGAAAAATCAGGCCATCGTACGGCATTGCGGACTAGCAAACGCTGGCCATCTCGGCCTCTACTGCAAGCTTGCATATCAGCTCATGCGTGATCGTCAACACCTGTATGCATACTCGCATAAGCGCATTCTTTAAACAAACATACCTCTTCGTATTCAACTTGTGGATGCGAAGAAGACCGTTCCAAAGATTCGACTGCCACAATGCCATTTACAGAGTAGTCGTAGCGTGGCAAAAGGAGCCATGACTTAGGGCCACTTCTTTCGCCGATGCAGCCACATTCTAGGCTCTTTGTGCTCAGTTCCTCGAGCTCTCGGATCTACACAGTTACACGATCCAGCACCATGGAATTAGGAGCTATACCTGTTGAGCACGGCGTCTGTCAAGCTTGCTTCCAGAAAGTGTTCAAAAGAACCGCGTTTCACCGCAATGTTGAGCGAAAAAGATTGTAATCCATCACTCTCATTTTCCACAGCCACTCGATGCACAACAAGTCTCCCCGGTCTTCAATCATGCCCTCGACACGATCACTTGTCTACGCCGCTCTAGGCGCGACTCTATCCTTTGCGGGAGTTCAAGCACAAGCAGGCACAGCGGCAGACGTTCCCCTTGACATTGATGGTGCCTTCCAGACGTACGTCTATTTTATCATGACTGGTATTCATAAAGTCTACTGGATTCGTATTGACCGTAATCCTTTAGTGCAACACTTACTGGTACAGAGTTCAACTCTGGCGGGTCAATCACATGTAACGGTCGGACGGTCATTGTCCCCAAGAACCTCCAAATCACTTTCCCTGCAGCCTTCGTTGGCTTCAAGGATTTCGTAGCCAACATGGGCAGCTACAAGGGTTACCAATGCTCAATCACCGGCAACGTAGTTGGTGGAAAGGCAATTGCGGCTCAAATTGCCATCGCACAGTTCGCTACGACTACCAACAGCGGCTACATTACCAAGGTAGACTTTGGCGGTGACATCACCGTTAACGCTGCCGGTCAGGCACTCACAATCCGAATCAACGATCCCCGAGGAGTTTATTCTGTTGGAAACGACAAGGCCGGCTTCACCATTGACCCAGCTTTTACTGCGGATGATGCCAACCCCAGTATCACCTCCTTCTCTGGTTTCCCGATGTGCGTCCCTCGCAGCGCAACGGACCCCCTTTGCCCTATGACGAACCGACCCGGTCTGAAGCAGGGATCCATGTAAGTTTGATCGCTCACCTCCTAACAACACTTTGCTGATTCCAGTCACAGTCTCGCCGCCGACTCCAAAGTAATGGCTCCTTTGATTGCTGGCGATTTCATCACCTTCTCTGGCTATGAGAGCGGAGGAAAGATCATCGTTTACAACCTGGTGGCCTCCAATATTCAGATTACCACTACTGGCGTCCCTACCTACATCCGCATGGAAGATGCCAACATCGGTGTTTGGACCGCCGACACTGCTAACCAAGAAATCGCTCAGACCAGAGTAAGCATTTTCTTTACCCTCCCTCAAGAGTGTCTAGCTAACCCGCCAAAGTTTGTTGGTTACACTTCCGACTCTGATGCGAAAGTCAACCCTATCTCGATCTCTGCTATCGAGTATGACCCTTGTACCGGCGTACCCTCGTACCGCGAAGTCGCCAAGATCTCTGTCCCGAGTACTGAAGCCCGCAACAAGTTCGAATACCGCAACAAGGCTACACTGAATGACGTCTACGCCCGAGAGTACCGCATTGTTGCTGGTAACGGAATCTTCAACACCAACAACAACATCCAAGCTGGTTCCTACGTCATGCCCGTCTCTGAGTGGATCCAGCCCGAGGACTCAACCCCCGGCCTGCCTCCCGCCCCTCACGACTTCCGCAGTTACGGCTGGCTGGTCAAGGGCCTTGGTCGTGACGCTGACGGCAACCTCTGGGGACCTCTTGACCCTTTCCCTCAGTCTAATGTGGCCATCTATGACAACTCCAAGTGCCCTCCCGCCACCCCCGCCACTCCCGTCACCTCGCCTGTTGCTTCCCCCGGTACTGGCAACGGTGGCTCTGCGGCTTCTCCCTCTCCCGCTGCCCCGACACCTAAGGTATATCCTGACGTCGTGACATTCACTGGCTTCAACTGGGCCTCCTCGCAGAGCGGTACCCTCACCGCTCAGTGTACTTCCAACAACACAAATGACGCTGCAGTCGCGATGAAGCTCACTTACACCAACAAAGACGGTACAACCGTCGGCCTTCCCATGATATCCGCTGGCAAGGGCGTGTGGAACTTCCTCAGCAATAAGATTAAGCAGCCGACGGAAGTCATCTGCAAAAGTGGCCTCGGTGGATCTGCCAAGAGGTAGTGACTTGCTTTAGTGGTTTGTTGGGTTGGCTTGCATAGATATGGCGTTTCTCTTGCTTTTTATCATATCTTTACTTTTCTGGTAAGGGATACCCATGGGCTGTAAATAGACTCAGTGCGTATGACATAATCATCAAAGTTTTGTTCACTACTCTTTCTTGTAACGTGTTCTTGATGCCTTTGAATATGTGAACGCATGTAAAAACACAATTGTTACGACCCGTAAACAAGGATAACAGCTGAACGACCCACTTGGGCGTCGGGCGGCTAGAACATGATTGATTGATTGATTGATTCCTACACGGTTATGAAGCCGCTCTTATGCTAGCAGCTATGCCCGGAAAGCGGGGTTTGGCAGACAGCCGAAGCATCGACGATAAACCGCGACGCCCCACTTCGCCCTGTTGTTGGATCAGGACCAGCTGTCCCCAAGCTCCCACTATGCTATCTATTCTTGTGTGTTTATGCCCTCTGTTGAAGATTGTTGTCCTCCTGCCTGCTCTCTCGCTTGGTGTTGCCTTCTAGAATCCTTCTTTCGCGTCCTCCTACTTCGGTTCTGTTGGTGCTAGGCACCATGTCTGGTTCTGTATACCTATAGTCTCCCCCCAGCCCTCAGCTTCGTCTCTTTATCTTGTCCGCATCCTCTCAGACTCGCATGTGCTATATCTCAGTTGAATCTGTAAATCTTTTTGTTGCCTCATGCTGGGTTCCTATGTGGCTCTATGTTTCCATCTTTCGACCACCACCTCCATCCACCGCCTGGAGTCGGACTCAATCCGCAAAACACAATGCTCCAACCGCTTCGATTCGTCCGATTACTAAGTATGAGAGCTCGTACACAGATTCCGCAGACATTGTCATACGTTGAAGGGGCGACAATCCTTCTTCGCGGAGGGGGCGACAGGGGACCAATCTGTCTGCAAACTGTAGTATTTTGTGGCATCGATCGTAGCATGCCTGGTGTCTGGTGCTTTCTCTATGCAGGAGGTGATACCGTTCTGTCGGGCTTGTCGTCGTTGTTGTCGCGGGACGTTGCAAACTTTGTCGGGGGTGATAGGCGACCCATAACCTATCGGTGGCTGTGGTGTTGATGTTTGTTTGGGCTTGGTCGTTGTGCTCACGTGATAGCCCGTGACTCAACCGCGGTGGTGTCGATGGTGTTGTCTATTGACGTGTCATACTTTGTGGCTTGCTCTCGAATTTTTCGTGGTCAGAGCCCGCCCGCGGCCACGAGCAGGCTCTTTGGGAGCAGAATCAATGCCGAGGATGACATTATGCCCAAAGTGACCTCTGAGAGCGCGAGCGGGCGTGGTTTGATCAATTTGATGCTGTTTTCAAAAATTTCGTTCTCGCTGTTGTTGATGTTTTTGGGGCGGCTAGAACAGGACATTTGTACTGCAGGATCACGGGAACAACAGGGACTCACTCGGGAACGGAAGAACTATGGTACAAGTCACGTGATGATAAGATAAGACTGAGCAGGTAGTATGGGTCACTGAGCGCTCAGTCAGAGCTACTGAGCGCTCACCAACGATCACTGATCGCTCACCGGTACCTGATCAGTGATCAGCGACAAGACACAGGGACTGTCCAGGACTTGTATATAGTATGACCTGAGCTCGGCCCATGGTCAGACTTCCATAGCTCTTCAGCAATCAACTTTGTGATTACCCTAACCGGTACTTTCAGCTATACCTAAGTGACGACTACTCTACGACTCTTGTTGAGGCCTTGACTGATCACCAAGACCTTTGAAGATCTACGATCTATTCGACCAGGACCACGGAACGACTGTTACTACTCTCAATCCCTGGCTTACTGTTAACACAAACCCACTGTTAGTTAGCTAGCCGTAATACTTTGATTGCTCCTGTTTAGTAAGTCACCTTTTGAGAACTACTAAACAGTATAGACAAGATGTCTTCTCGCGCTTCTGCCAAATCACCCACTCCAGGATCCTTATCCTCTTCGCGCAACCAGCCTCAGAGCCTCGCGCAGGAGCCTGCCAACACTGAGGACTTCGACATGCCGGACCTCAAGTACGACTCCGATGGAGATGGCTCTTTCACCAAGGAAAGCTACGATAAGCTCCGACGCATAATCCAGAAACAAGAAGCCGAGACAAAAGACATGCAGAAAATCGTCAACGAAAACCGACAAGCAATGGAAAACCTCAACGAGCAACTCCAGCACGCTAGACAGGCCTACAAGAAGCTGGAAGAAGACATCAAGGGGGACGCTAACCTCCGGAAGATCTAGGAACTCCAGGGGGAAATCACCACCCTCCGGGCCGCCGCCAACATCGTCACCACGCCCGTCCACGGAGGACGACAAAAGCTTAAGCTCAGTGCGCTTATCACCTACGACGGAACCCCCGGGACCTTTAAAGGATTCCTGATTCAGGTCAAAAATTACTAGAACTTTCACTATGGAGATTTCACTAACGAAACCGAAAAAGTAGTACACGCAGCCACCTACCTCCGAGGAAAGGCCCTCAAGTGGTTTGAACCAATCCAGGAAGAATACCTTAAATGCGAGACCCTCGACGAGTATACCACCGAGACCCGCGACATCTACGCCAATTTTAAAGGATTCGAGGATGCGCTTAGGTCACTCTTCCAAGACCCCGACGAAAAGCGACAAGCCGAACGAGATCTAGCATAACTTAAGCAGACTAAGTCTGCTAAAGACTACTCCGCTAATTTCCGATAACTTAGCGTTCAACTCGACCTTACCGAGGAAACCAAGATCTTTATGTTCTATCAAGGACTAAAGGACGAAGTCAAGGACGAGATCATCAAGATTGATCGACCTGACGACTTTCTCTAGTACGCCGAACTCGCTATCAAAATCGACAACCGGCTTTTCGAACGACGAAAGGAAAGAGGCGAAAAACGACAAAACCCCAACTCAGGACGCAAGTACCAGTGGCAGCCTCAGCACTAGTTCAACAACCAGCGAAACGACAATAGACCCTGCAACAACTAGAATAACCCCTGACAAAGTACTGCCTATGGTTACCATAGTGGACTAATAGACCTTAGTGCTATATAGAGAAACGATAAAAAGAACGACAGTTGGAAGAAAGATAGACAGTGCTATAACTGCTAGAAGATTAGACACCTAGCATACGAATACAGGTCACCTAAGAAGGAACGCTTCCAACCGGTACTAGAGAAACGACAAGCAAGTATCGCTACGAAGACGATCCCTTATAAACAACTTAATTAGACTACCTGCTTCGATAACAACTGCTATATCCACTCTAGCAGTAAGGAACACGCAGGATGGTACCCCTAGAAACCTTAAGAACGATCTGGTTACGACACTACCAACGTACCTAAACGGACCCTCGCTGCGGGATATAGAAGCAATAGCAAAATCAAGCGCAAGATAATCGAACGGCTCGATAGTATAAACGACAACAAGGAATTAGAACAAGACAATCAGCGAAGGCTGAGCCTCCTCTACGCAGGACGACAAGCCTACCTGCAGCGGATTCAACAGGACTCACAAAACCCTATGTGGCAACGACAACTCGGTACGCTGGACGCACACATCGAACGACGACAACATGCACAAGGAGATCCCGCACGGATCCGCTAAATCAACTAAGAACTAGAAGAACAGGTCGAATCAGAAACGACCAAGAACACCCCCAACGACTCGGAAACACCTCGCGATGTTGCCTGCCAACATGCCCAACTAGAAGTCGCCTTTGAAGTCGCTTCAGTCGACGACACTAGCTCTGGAGAGGACTCTGACGAAGAAATACAGTGGTATCACTGCTACCAAGACCAGCGCCGAGTCCACTATATCAAGAAAGACGAAGCATGGAAGAAACAGCAAGAAAACGACGAACAAGGAACGGACGAGCAGTCAAAAAACTAGACTCGCCTACCGAAGACAAGGGATAACGACAGGCAGTCCAGACAAGGTCCCTATGTAGCGTAACGACGCCTACGACATAACGACACGAGCATGTACAAGTCCAAATACAGCTCAACGGAAGAACAGCTACCGCTATGATCGACAGCAGAGCCTAAGGAAACTTCATATTACTAAGAACGGTGAATGAAAGAAAGATAACCTGGAAAAGAAAAGCAGCCGAAGACTGCTACGAACTTAGCACCGTTGAAGGAGAACAAGTCTAGTACGGCGGAGGACGCATTGCTATAGAGACAGCGCAACTCCCTTTGCAGATCCATGGCCGGAATGAGCGACTAAACTTCGATATTACGGAGATAGGAGACAAGTACGATGTCATCCTTGGAAGACCATGGTTATACGACAGTAACCCACGGATAGATTGGAGAACAGGCCAACTCCATTGGGACCAGGATTCAGTCACTAAGAAGCAACCACGGAACGGTGCCTCAAACGAACCTCTCAAGACTCCTGAAGCGAAGAGATTTCTAGCATACCTACGGATCAAGGATGCAAACGCCAGGACGTTATCAGCAACAGACATCGGCAAGGAAGACCGACTTCTGTCTATCCCAGAAGAATACCGGCAATACCAGAAGCTATTCGCCGAAGAACTCGAGACCGGACTCCCGGAACACAGCAACTACGACCACGAGATACCCCTTAAGGAAGGGAAGGAGCCAAAGCTAGAAGCAATCTACGGACTCAACCAGAAAGAAATGGAAGCACTCGACGCTTACCTCGAAGAAAATCTACAGAAGGGATACATCAGACCCTCCACATCACCAGCAGGATACCCAATCCTGTTCGTACCAAAAAAGAACGGCAAACTACGACTCTGCGTCGACTACCGGAAACTCAACGACATTACGATCAAGAACTGCTACCTACTACCGCTCATCTCCGAACTACGAGACCTGTTGCACGGAGCACAGTGGTTTACAGCACTCGACCTAAAAGGAGCCTATAACCTGATCCGGATGAAATCAGGTGAAGAATGGAAGACAGCGTTTCGAACACGCCGAGGACATTACGAGTACCTTGTGATGCCCTTCGGACTCACCAACGCACCCGCGACATTCCAGACGATGATCAACTACGTCTTACGAGAATTTCTAGATGTGTTCGTCGTAGTTTACCTCGACGACATCCTAATCTTCTCTAAGACTCTGGAAGACTATAAAAAACACGTATACTAAGTACTGCGGAAACTGCAACACGCCAAACTCCTAGTGGAACCCGAGAAGAGCAAGTTTCACGCCAAAGAAGTCGAATTCCTAGGTTTTACGATAGCCCCAGGAATCCTCAAAATGTCCAAAGACAAAATCGCAGCAGTACGAGACTGGCCTACACCACAGAACGTTAAGGACGTACAATCCTTTATTGGATATGTGAACTACTACCGACGGTTCCTAGAAGGGTACTCAGACAAAAACGACCCTCTCACGAGACTCTCGAAGAAAAATGTTCCCTGGCAATGGGAAGAAGAACAAGAACAAGCCTTCAACGAGATCAAACAACAAGTCACATCGGAACCAATACTTGTTATACCAAACCCCGAGAAACCATTCGAAGTCGAGACCGACTCCTCAGACTACGCTATAGGAGGACAACTAGGCCAACGAGACGACGAAGGACGACTACACCCTTGCGCCTTCTTCTCACGCAAGTTACACGGCCCAGAACTCAACTACCAGATACACGACAAGGAACTTATGGCAATTATCGAGGCATTCAAAGAATGGAGACCGCAACTCTCAGGGACCAAGTACGAGGTCAAAGTATACACCGACCACAAGAACCTCGCACACTTCACCACATCGAAAGATCTCAACAAACGACAAATTCGATGGTCCGAATTCTTATCAGAATTCAATTTCAGAATCATCTACCGGAAGGGCAAGGAGAACGGCAGGGCCGACGCCCTCAGCCGACGACCGGACCACGAGGTCCAGGTACCTGAGGAAACCCGAGTTATCCTCAAAACAGACAAAAACGGAGACCTTGTGCCAGCAGCCAGACTCTTAATGATGGCCAGAAGAGACAGTACTAGCACGCCTGGAAGGATGTCTCCTGAAGCCATTAGGGAGATACACTCCGCACCCGCACATGGTCACCAAGGCGTAACCAAAACGTAGAAACGCATCCGTCAACACTACGACAAAACGGCTACACGACAAGAAGTATCTTTAGCGATTAAGGACTGTGAGGTTTGTGCGAAAAGCAAACCCAGCCGACATCAGCCTTATGGAAAGATACAGCCGCTCCCAGTGCCGCAAACCGCATGGGAATCCATCTCGCTGGACTTCGTTACTAAGTTACCTAAGTCCCGTGAACCGATAACCAACGTCCACTACGACAGTGTCCTCGTCATCGTCGACAGACTCACAAAGTATTCGTACTTCATCCCGTACATGGAGTCTAGCACTGTAGAAGACCTCGCCTACAAGTTTCTGCAGGTGATCGTAAGCCAACACGGAATGCCGAAGGAAATCGTATCCGACAGAGACAAGCTGTTCACTTCCAAGTTTTGGAGATCCCTGATCTCGCAGCTAGGATCTGACTACAAGATGTCCACCGCTTTCCATCCGCAAACCGATGGCTAGACAGAACGAATCAATCAGATCATGGAAACCTACCTACGCTGCTACGTCAACTATCAGCAAGACAACTGGGTTCAACTGCTACCTATGGCCTAGTTCGCCTACAACAGCGCAGTAGGAGAAAGTACAAAAGAATCACCATTCTATCTGAACTATGGATTCAACCCAACAGCCTACGGACAACCTCGACAAGGCCCAGCAGCTCTGAAAGCTGTGGCAGACATCAACAGACTTAAGGAGATCTAGCAGGAACTCCCTAGAGACCTCGAATTTGTGCGCGAACGCATGCGCAAATACGCCAACAAATCAAGAGTTGAGGGACCAACTCTAAAGGAGGGGGATAGTGTATACCTTCTCCGCCGCAACATCAAAACAAAACGACCAAGCGATAAGTTGGACTTCAAGAAACTTAGACCCTTTGAAATTACGAAGAAGGTATCTAACGTCAACTTTAAACTCGCACTACCCGACAGCATGAAGTGTTATCCAGTCTTTCACATTTCACTTCTCGAATCAGCACCAAAGGGATCGTACACTACGGACTATATCGAAGTAGATCCCGAACAAGAATACGAAGTCGAACGGATAATCGATCACATCGAAGAACAAAAAAGTATCCGCTACCTTGTCAAGTGGAAAGGATACGGACACGAAGACAACACATGGGAACCACCTCAGAGCCTCGAAAACGCACAGGAAGAACTCGGACGTTACTAGAGACAGCAAGAACAAGAACAACAAAGACAAGCACCAGTACAAATCGAGAAACAAACGCCAAAAAATCAATTTCGACTACGACAACCACAACCCATCATCCGTCCACCACGATCAAACAAGCCACGGGATAAACACCCTCTCATTCGTTTAGGAACCCCAGAGCCACCTAAAGGAACCCACTAAGGGCCTCTAACACCCCCAGGAGACGCTTCAGGAGTACTCCGCCTCTCAACAACCGACCCTGAATCCAACAAACCAAACTCAGCCAACAAGGATGGCGACAAAGCGACATCCGGGTACAGGGTATCCCAATCCGCTGTGAACTCCACCGGCAGACGAGGCGAATCAGCCGAAGGACGAACCGGTTCTACCCGACGCTGCTCTGCCTCTGCCTCCTCTCTCTCAACACGCTCTAACTCCTCCACACTGTCGATACCACGGCGCACCGCGCGCATCATCTTTTCAAACCACATCTTTTTCTGCTTTCGAAGACGCTCTACTTTGGCGTCCAGAGCACGACGCTCCTCTTCTGCCTTCTCCAAAGCATCCTCAAGCTTCTGATGCTGATCACCAATCCGACGAAGTTGTTGGGCACTGAGACCCTGAAGGTCGTAGTAGGACTTGCCGCCACGAACGCATTCGGCGCATCGAGAGGAATCAGAAAGAGAAGCTTCGCACGACGAAAAACCCTTTACCTCACAGGAGGAACAAACAGGCATGACGGTACGATTGCCCAAGATAAGACTCAAGAGGGAATCGCGCTGCTTTGTCTTTTCCGCACGAGAATCGAACGCTCGTACGACCTTTCGTTTTTTGACGCGACCTGACATGATGTGAGCATCATTAAAGGAAGCAAGTTGGGCGCCCTCCCACCTGAGGGCAGACGACCTACTTAAGCTGGTCTTGAGGACAAGACCCTTGGAGAGGAGACCTGATGTTACGACCCGTAAACAAGGATAACAGCTGAACGACCCACTTGGGCGTCGGGCGGCTAGAACAGGACATTTGTACTGCAGGATCACGGGAACAACAGGGACTCACTCGGGAACGGAAGAACTATGGTACAAGTCACGTGATGATAAGATAAGACTGAGCAGGTAGTATGGGTCACTGAGCGCTCAGTCAGAGCTACTGAGCGCTCACCAACGATCACTGATCGCTCACCGGTACCTGATCAGTGATCAGCAACAAGACACAGGGACTGTCCAGGACTTGTATATAGTATAACCTGAGCTCGGCCCATGGTCAGACTTCCATAGCTCTTCAGCAATCAACTTTGTGATTACCCTAACCGGTACTTTCAGCTATACCTAAGTGACGACTACTCTACGACTCTTGTTGAGGCCTTGACTGATCACCAAGACCTTTGAAGATCTACGATCTATTCGACCAGGACCACGGAACGACTGTTACTACTCTCAATCCCTGGCTTACTGTTAACACAAACCCACTGTCAGTTAGCTGGCCGTAACAACAATGAAATGATGATACCCAGCGCATTCTATTAATGGAATAGAGTCTTCGCAGCAAGACCAAGGTTGAGTATTCTTGGAGTAAGGTAGCTGTTCGTAATTTAAATATAGCTCATGTGCTTCTTGTGCTAGTGAAACACTCGACCATGCAGCAAAAGCCACAAGAGTTTGCATGTAATCAAAATCAGCACTAATTCGGATAATTAGACTAGATCAAACCGCGACTTAAATAGCATTTTTACGACCCATCATATATTGCGGCTATTCTAGCGACAGTACCGTTAACTTGCCCGAGTTATAAATGGAAATTCTTTTAACTTGCTTTATCAACTAAAATATTTACAAAGAACCATATGACAAACGCCACATTTCGATTCAATGGTTGATATTCAACCTCGAACGGCCCATACTGTTGTCCTCGACTAGGTACTAAAAGATCATCAAGACTGATATAAGCCCAACCGAAATTGCAAGCAGTCCTATTGTCGAAGGGTCTGGCGACTTTGACGATTTCGACACAGGATTAGGAGTAGTGGACGCCACTGGCACTTGAGTCTCTTGCGGAATATCGTCGTCGCACCAGTCGTCCACCACCTCCGAATCGGTTTCATCAAGTACAGTCGCCGTGGCTCTCGCTTCGATGTTAAAGCCTTAGTGCCATGCATATCAGCATCTCGTGCCCGAAAAAAGTCTTCAAGTAGACGGATGGCGGTAAATTCATCGCGTACCGTTGCAGTAGCTGCTGAAAACCACCGAGGCCTGATCCGCATTGGACGTGACATTTGTCATCTCATGGCAATTCGATGCGACGGCATCGTTGATAATCACGCTAAGCTGCGTGGAACTCGCAGTGCAGAAGCAAGAGTGTGACAACTTCTGGCCAGCCTTGTTGCATCCTGCCGCCATGGCCTGGGCCATATGACTGAGTGGCGTTTGTGCACATGCTGGGAGGTCAGAATATCCCGGGACGTCGTCGATGGTAACGTTCTTGCAGAGGACTAGCAAAGAAAACGAGACAACCGTCAAAAGTTGAGAGTATAACATATTTTGAAGTGAAGAAAAAATAGGCTAGATGATAATTGTTTGAGATGAAGTGGTAATGACTGGAGGTTTTTTTTTCGTGCATGCGCTAGGATAATGAAGAAAACGACAGCAGGGAAAACCAACGCTGACCGAGGAGACTGGCTGCTGCTTCAAATATGTAAGGCATGATGCTTTCGTCTTCCGTCGACGCTAATGCGTTGCGTTGGCTGAGCCGAGATTGTATCCTTTGTTCTGTTTAAGACATTTCCTGGCTGGCCACACAATGCGACGCCGCCAAGTGAACTCGACTCCACGCCCAGTCGAGAACAAAAAGACGTCTTTTGCTTGCATTACAGAAAATTTGATGGCTTACATTGCCCAATAGTTCGAGATTCCCTTTAACATTGCTTCTTTGACGACGTTCAGTGTTTAGCGCCTAACGCAGCACTCGATCAAACTGAACTGCGGGCCGATTTTTACACCATTATTCGAACCACACAATTCGCCCTTGTGGCTATGTAGACCTTTTTTTCATGTTCACTTTCACTGCGCCTCAAGATTCACATGTTGTCTGGTTTACTATTACAAGCTCATGGCTCAGCCTTTATCATTTGTTGCTACCTATTCATGTCTAAGCAAAATACTGCCCCTTGAACCCGGGAAGAATCTCTTGGCCTTCTGACGACTCGTAGCTGACTCCCTTTCTCTGCTGCCAAGTCTGTTTGAGAGTTGTAAACTCTCCCATAGTCGGGGGTTTGTGCCCGCCCGCCTCAAATTCGTTTTGAGTGAAGCCCTCGCGCTTGAGAACCGGCGAGTCGATGGTCTTCAAGACGAGATCGTTTTGAGGTCTGGCAAAGTAGAGGAGACCCAGACGGTCAACGTGGCGCTGGTCCTTGGGAGGAACAGATACCTTCAGAAAAGTCAGTGGCTTTTCATTTCGCTGCGCATGATACACGATGGAATGGTGACTTACCCGGTGAACTGTGGACTTCACGTAACCACCAGTCAGGAAGCTGAGAGCGTCACACGTGTTGACGGTCAAGCTGCCGTCAAGCGGCTTGGCCCACTTCCAGTCGCCGGTCTCGTGGTCTCTGATCTGCAGTGCAGCTACAGGCTGCCGGAAAAGAAGAGTAATGGTTCCGAGGTCAGTGTGGCCGCGAGACCAAAGTCCGTCATCGAGCTTCTCGATTTCCTCGGGAGTAAACTTGGAGTACTTCATGTACCGCAAATGAGACTCGTCATGGGTTTCCCACTTGTGCACTTTGGTAAAGAAATCTTCGGGCAACTCCAAAGCAAGTGCGATGAGGTGGTTCAAGGGGTCCAAAACTTTGTCATGCAAATCCTGGAACATCAAGTCAATTTTACAATCAGTAAAGATGCTAGTATAAGAATTTACCTTGGCGAATCCCTCGATTTCCTCCTTGCGGTCTTCCAGCAACTTGGGCAGAGGCTGGGTGATGTGACCAGCCCTAGTTGCCATGTTCCAAACCTCAGTCTTGTCCTTGATGCCACCACTCAGGAATCGCCTTCCAGCAGGACGGTATCCGTTGTAGTCACCAGAGTCCAAGTTGGGCTCATACTTTAGTTTCTCATCCAGAGGGAGTTCATAAAACTTTTGGCCCAAGGCGAATTGCTGATCAACAGCATGTTGTGAGATGCCATAGTTGATAACGTAGAAGAAGCCCTTGGTGCGGATAGCCTCGATAAGAGTCTGAGCAAGCTCCTTGTTGCCTTCAGGCGTGCCATACTTGGCAAGATCTATTGTGGGAACTTTAAGGCGTTGTTGGCTCAGCAATCAAACCTTTACGACGTGTGGAACGATGAGGACTTACGGTCAGCCCAATCGAGGTTCTCCTCCGTCTCTTGGACGTGGGTGTATTGGTACAGTTCAGGCACGGCGGACGGCATTTTGATGGGTTTTGAGGCGGGGTATCTTTTTCTCAGTAGACCGTGCTGGTATCTGTTGGAATCGAACAGTGCCCAGACACCAAGGGTCCTGAGCTCGCCATTTTAACTATTAAACTCGATTGCGACTCCGGACGGCACCTCATCGGATATTCAGCCCACACACCTCGGCCTTTACGCCGCAGATGGCCTAACACGCGACAACATCCAATAACAGTACGTTGATTTCGTTTCGAGATCCTCCATCCTAAGGCAGTTGCAGCCTACCCCGCGGGTTTAGTACGCAGCATGACGGAACAGTTGAGTCGAGCCCGTTAGAGACGTGGGATCGCCGCATGTCATCATTTGATAATGGATGGCGCAATCCCCACCACCACCACCCCCGGCCCGCCAACGTTGTCTCCTTCGTGACCGGTTAAGCCGCCGGAAAATGAACTCCCAACTTCCATCGACCCCCGCATCTATGATATGTAAGCTCCGGACAAAGCCCGCCCACCGGTAAGATATCCCCCGAGTTCGGCGGGACGTTCCTTTACCCGGCTTTCTATTTGGCCAGCCCAGGCTCACTATATCGTTCGGAGATTATTTCTATGGTGCAGTACCCGCAACCATGCATCGCTCCCCAGCAGGACTGGGCACTCAAGCGAAATCGTCATTCCTGGCACAATGGCGAAAAGTGGGCGAAGAGGCGCGTTTGCAACTTGGCGGATCTCGGCGGGTGGTATCCGAGGCAAGGACCACGAGCTTATCGCGGACAATAGACCGCACCATTTACGGCAGGCTACTCGCTAGCCTGAGTAAGGGAATGGCGGGTGGTTTTAAAGAGATTTGTACATAACAGTAGAAGATGCAGGCTGCGGTGAGTTTCCTGATCTAGTGAGCGTATAAACCGCTAGTCATTACCAGTAGCGGAATTGCGCGGTACATCATAAGTAAAACTTCAGGACATACGACTATCTACAATGGGTGCTTTTGCCCGTGCAATAAAGAAGAACAAAGTGGGAGCAGTGGTATTATCAGTCTTCTACTGGTACCGTGAGTCATCCGTACCAACCCACAGAGCACTCTCTAAACGTTTGTGTAGCGTCTCACTACCCAGCTGCCGAGCGAAAACTATTGCGAAAGCTTGATCTAGCTATATTAGGTATGGAATTAACTTGCGCTTGGATCATATCTACTAACTATGGCTAGTATTCGGCAGCCTTAGTTGTAAGTCAATCAATCGCTGTTTTACACAAAGACAAATAGGAGTGACCTAATACATTGTAAACAGTCTTTTGCAGAGTAAGTAATAAGTCAACGAAACTGATATTAAACTAACATTTTAACAGTTTCTTGGGCAACAAAACGTAACAAACGCATATGTTTCGGGAATGCGAGAAGATCTCAATGCGTGGGGCAATGAACTCAACTATTATGTTGTAGCATGTAAGCTTTCAGCATGAATGCCACCGACTGGGATCTCCTTTACTGACAGATTCAAAGACAACACAGCCTATGTCATTGGGCAAATTCCTCTCATGACCCTTCAAACTAAGGCCAAGATGTTCGTCGTTGTGGGCACGAAAAAAAAGAGAAAAAGAATGACAAGGCTGACGGTCCACAGTGCCCCTTTCCTGCTTCCATCATTACAAATTATCTGGGCGGTCATTGCCTTCTGTCAGTCTGAAATTCAGCACAGCTGGCACCTGTACATCCTACGCGCGGTAACAGGTTTTCTGGAAGCCTCCTCCTTTGGCGGAACGCATCTCATCTGTTAGTAACATTTTATTTGTGTGACGCTTGATGTCTCTCTGCTAAAACTTCAAAACACGAACATAGTGGGCAGCTGGTTCAAAAACGAAGAGCTATTCAAACGCGCTGGGGTCTGGTTTATGGGGAACAGCTTGGGGTCGATGTTTAGCGGTTGTCAGTAGTGAATTCCAGCTCCTTTCCTTCAAGTTGTGGAAGCTTACTCCCCCTCACTCCCTCTCAGACCTTCAGGCGGCGGCATATCGAAACCTCAATGGCGTTTACGGCCGTGCTGGCTGGAGATGGCTTTTCATAGTCCAAGGAATCATTACACTCCCTATCTCTTTCCTGGGATTTGCGTTCTGGCCCGGTTTGCCCATTTCGCCAAAACGATGGTTTTTCACGGATGAGGAGTATGCACTTGCCATCAAACGGATGCCGACGGTTGAAAAAGAAGGCATCACTTGGAAGACGTTTAAATATACCCTTTCTCGGCCGATGTGGTGGATTTGTGTACCATGCTACATGTAAGTCACCTCCGAAAACGGCTTTTGAAAAGTTGCTTTTTTGGCTAAGCTTCAGTAGCTTTCTGTGTCAGGCGCATTACTGGACAGGCTATATGGCTCTATGGCTGAGAGATGCCGAGTATTCCATCGAGCTAGTAAATATTTTGCCAACTTTCATCGACCTACTTCGGGCTCTGTCCTCCTGGCTGGGGACAACCCTGGCGGGGTGCCTTAGCCTTCGAGGACTCTGGACGTTTCAAGCGGTAGGTTGCATCGGTCAATTACTCAACCCGAAAGAGAGGCTTAAGCGCTAACGCCTTGCACGTAGACTTTTGTTCTGTTTGCATGCATTGTTTTATCCGTGTGGAATGTGCCAGATATATTGAAGTTCTGTGCCTTCTACTTCGGCGGCTTTTCGGGCATGGCTTCGCCCATCCTTGTTAGTAACACACCAAGTGATCAGCTATCAGTCCGCGGCTAATATGTAACAATCTTAGTACTCGTGGCTCAATTTTACGCTAAAGGAAAACTACGGAGAGCGAGGGCTCATCATCTCCTCGATGATGACTTTGGGATTCTGTAATCAAATTTGGGTCCCTCTATTCACCTTTCCAACCGTTGAAGCGCCGCGTTACCCACATGGCTACCCGGCAGCTACTGTTTTCGAGGTCGCCATGTGGGCTATTCTGATGTTTGGCACATGGTATATGAAGAGATGGAAGCAAAAGAATCCGGATCTTGAGATGAGACTCGCAAACGAGGCAGTCGATTCAAACGGCTCTACAGGAGTTGCGTCTGATTCTGACCGAGCTGAAGTCGGCGGAGATTCTTACGAGAATAAGAGACAAGACGTGATAGGGAGTCAACCTGTCTTTCCGAACAAATAGATAAAGTACGTTTGTCAACATCAGTTCAGTGTTGACTCGAACTGAGAAGAAACACTGATGGGAAGGCACCCTGAGCTGCACTTGAATCATACAAGCAAACGGCGTTAGCGTGATTAGAATTGTTCGTATAAATTTTCGATTGATAATTCGGCAATGCTCTGTTTTCATGTCTATATAGGCCTTTCAATTGTAGCATATGTTGGTCCTGGTTTGTCATCCAGACCCTTCGTGTAAGGACACCAATGTTTCCATACTTTAGTCTGCTGCTCAACCTCATCTGCGATTGCAACCGCCATATCCGTCACGGAAATGCTTTGGAGACGTCCCTCAAATGTGAAGAGGTTATCACCGCCTTCCCCGTTCTCCTCAAGTTGAAGCGGCATTCTGTCAAGGACAACCTCGTACAGTCCTGTGCGAGTACCAGGTCTATAAAGTGGTGGAGGAGAAATGTAGGTCCATTTGAAAGACGTATTACCGTCAAAGAACATGTAGGTTGCACGCGCTCCGGTGATGAAATCGACCCCTTGACTGCTCATGTCCGACATGGTTTTGTCCATGCTGGCGAGCACCTCTCTTGTCTCCTCAGTACCCCTTCCCTCACGCTCTGCAAGCCATGAATCGCGAGCTGCTCGGAGCCGTGCAGCAAAATTGTCGTCCCAGTCCTGGCAGTGTGTGATGTACGCTTCGCTTGCAATCATCGCTCTGCCATATGCTGAGAAAAAGCTGGCATCGTCGGCGGCAGTCATGTACGGTCTGTCTGGCAATTCCAGGCTTCCAGCCCCCCCTACCATGACAAAGTACGGCACCTTGGCCTCTTTAGAAGCCAGTAGTATTTTTCTCGTCATTTCAACAAATGACCCTGGGTACGGAAGGTTAGCGGAATGAAGTTTTTTAGGTGAGTAAAGGGGTCACTCGCTGTATGCGAAGGCAGAGCCCAGTTGACTATGTGGCCCATATGCGTTTACAACTACGTCTAAGCCATGTAGCTGCTTCGCGATTTCCATCACATCGGAGTTCCCTAGTTCGATACTTTTTGGTTCGTAGCGCTCGTGCTTTCCGAGTCTTGAAGGGCTTCTCGATATGCCCACAACCTTATGACCTCGGTTGAGCAGCTCCACGGCCGCGTGAGATCCCGTCATTCCGGTGGCGCCGATAACACCAACTCTTAGTGAAGACATAACGAGCGGTATACATAATTCATTGACTGGAAACTAGGAAAATGTTTTTGGGCCGCGCCGTGTTTCCACTTATATAGGCCTCAAGTAGCAGACGCAAAGGTTGCTCGAGCCTTCGTCCGAACTACTAGTATATCTGCCAAACGTCATGCACCCCATTTGAAATCTGAAAACCAATAGAAGAGAAAAGAATGTGTCAAAAACTACCAGAAGACTATGAGACAATGGGTAGAAATCAAGTCACAGGCTAGATTTAGTGTTTCGGGCCGAGCTGGGTTTATGGAGCCGAGGCAAGCTAGCCAGAACTCCCGTTCTCCATCCGGCACTTTAACTTGACCCTAATTTATCAAGTCACAGAAGGTCACCCTCTGGCCAGTCCGACCTCTGAAAAAGATTTTGGAAGCTCAAAACTCCACATTGCAATGCAAGTTTCCTATATATAATTGAGAGCCGATTAACAATTCTGTGTCTAGTTTCGCTGAGTGTTCGCCGTGTAAGAGTGAGCATTAGGTGTAAATGATTCTAGATGCGATCTAAAAGAGGGGGCAAAAGAAGATACGATAAGCCACCTGATGCGAGGGAGTTCAAGGAATTCCTTAATTAATTCCACTTGATACCCGTCTGCGGGTTTTTGAACTGAAAATGGTAGTCCGTCCCACCTGAGCAAATAGCGTCATGTTTGAATTTGAAATCCCAGCAGAGTTCAACTATTAGTGACACAACGTGCCAGATTGGAATAGGCTCTAAACCTAAAAAGGAAGCTAAAGCGCGTTTTCCATTAGCCGGTCTGACATAATGCCGAACGTGGCACTTGCATGGTTGAATGAAGGGAAGAAAGATGACCGTGCTCACATCTTGCTTCGTCCCAGTTTTGCCTTTCCCAGTCCCCAGGGTCTGGGATAATCAGGCTTTCACTTTATTGCACATCACATCGTCTTTGCAATCAGCGCGCGAACCCAATACCTGTGGGGATACACTATCTGGGTACGGATGACTTCGATAGCTATAGCACACATCTACGCTGTCATGCACCTCCCTAGGGAGGAGTCTCTGTAAAGGTTAGAGACGAGCCTGAGAGTAATTAAACAAACTAGAACCGCTCGGAGAAGCTTGGTGGCCGCTGAATTATTCTGAAAGGGAAAATGAACATGGTGAGTAAACATAGTAAACCTAATTTGACGAAACGTAACACCTGATGCTCAAAGAATAGGTCCAAGGTTTAAAGCGCTACAGTTCTCACAGATAAATTCACTCAAATTATCTGTGGTTGTAGAGCAGAAGGCGATTGATAGGTAGAAACCAATTGCTAACTATTTCACAACTCCAAGAGCAATGAGCTTAAACACGCACAACGTGGTGATCTATGTCGATTCACTGAGAGAAACATGCATACTTCACTGATTTGACCCTTGATCATCAACGCTATAAATTACGGAAGCATGGAGCTTAAAGCAATACCCTAAATTTCGTTGTCCATCAACTACAACGTTGTTTATTTTGCACGTCAAGTCTACAAGTTCAACGCACCAACGATTCCCGAAGCCTTCATGATGACAACGATCATAAGCAAGCCTCCCAACGCTCGCCATTTCTTGTGCCAGTGTACCGACTGCAACTGCGATAGAATCGTTGACAAACCAAGTGGCATTTGCGACAGGTGCGTCAGCACTTGCCAAAGAAGCGTCTTGGGTACGGCGCAAATCAAATATGGGCTTAAAATTCCAAAATAGGGCAGGTCCATGGAGATTGGGACCGTGGTAAATTGACGCAGTCTTTTTGAAAACACACTCTTCTTTCGTTCAAGTGGCGCTTTGGTTGTTTGCGTATAGTGTCACTTTTGCATAATGCTAGGAGATGGCTTCCAATGGTTTACATTCATTTGTGGCTGCAGCTACTTTTCTCGACATTTCGGTAGTAAGGCTTTTGAATATCATAGTGGTGAATGTCTCTAATATTGAATGTTAGATCCCTCTGATATCATGGTCCTTTCAAGAAATACTCCCTCAATCTAGAGGCTGGCTACGACCCGGGAGGAAGGGGCACACAAGTACACAATGTTCACTTGCTTACTGGCCAAAAGTGAGATTGCAACTGCAAAGGCGATAGTGGAACTTATTGTATCAAGAGTCAAACGATTGGCAGTGGGGTTATCTGAGAAATGGGTAATTGTCTCTCCATAAGTTCATTCAGTTTTGGGGTTAAAGGAATCCAAGGCATCTTGAATGACTTTAGTTGTTTGATAAATCTAATAATGTATAAAATTACTGAAGACCACGATTACAAGTTTGTACATATAGTTGTCATTGGGCTCTCTTGTGGCCAATGAGATTGCCCGTCTCATAATACTCCCGATGTTCTTTTCCTGTTAGGCTCAGGTAACATTGATTCCGGCTCAACAGGTTCCGTTGTTATTTCTACCTCGCGATGTTGCCAGATTCTGTTGTCGTGATGAGGGTAGCTTGGTCCATTGCGTTTCGAGAGTTTCGTCCCGTGGTAATGATCTTTAGCCGTTGGGCCCTCATCATTTTCGGCGAAATTTGCCCTTCCAGGACTCCTCACTGTGACACTCACAGAGCTCTTGCTCTGGGGCATTAATTCGATGTCGTTCGAGCCACGGGAGCTGTGCGAGCTGCTGGCGTCATCTCCTCCCATTGTCTTAAGACCGATACCGTACTTGGCCTCTTCTCGCAGACCGGACTTGTCGTTTTGGCCTTCAGAGAACTTTGACCAGTCCTTCGACGCTGCTCTTGCGTGGGAGGCGGTTCCAGACCGTCCCCCACCAATGGTCATACCTGCTGACCTTCCTGCGGACTTTTTGTTGGCTGACGATCTGCCGTACTTGTCAAGGCCACTTCGCTGGGCCGAGTCGAGGAGACCCTTCCATAAGATGCGAACGATAGGACCCTAAAGGACTGTTAGCGTTGACCCAAGCAAGCATATTGTGCGAGTTCCTACCAAAGTTGGTAGACATGCCGACACAATTCCACTACTAATCTCGATAATGTTCCAAGCGAGTCCTTGGGCAAGGGTATCTGCGGTAGGTGAGTACAGAGGCAGCTAGCCGGTACTTGGGCTTGATGATCAAGACTTACATGGCGAATCGTCCTTTGTGAAGAATAAAAAGATGCGGAAACGATAGATACTAGTGAAGACAACATAGCTGCCGAGTAAGAAGGTGAACAAGACTAGGATTCTTTGAGCTCGGTTCATCTGGAGCTTCAAGACGTGAGGAATCGGTAGATAGAGGATCGCAATATCCACAATGATGCTCGGGATAGCGATGCAGAGCTGAGTGAGAAACAGGTTGATACACGTGCCAGGCTTCCAAGGCTCCCACAGCGTATTCAAAGGGAGGCATTGAATCGAGGCCGCGATAACGCAAGCAAGCGTCCATAAAGATGTCAAGCTGCCGCAGATCCAAGCACCTCTACGCACTTCACGCATGGGAAAGATGCGCAAGTACAAGAATAACAGCGCAATTTTATACATGTTCACGCCGTTGACGTATAGAATTTCGGCCCCGATCATGGTCTATACACCTCAAGTTAGTTTGATGGTTATTGCTATTAAGGTTGGGGCTGTGAACGGCCGACGGTGGGGGAGATACGCACGCGATCGAGGAATTGAAGCTCTGGCAATGTCAATCGGCCTGAGTGTAGACCAATTCCATGGTCCACAACTGAAATTGACAAGTTGTTAATTAAAGTTTGCTACTACTGCACAAAGGTGATTCCACTTACGAATCAGGTTCATGATCATGTTCCCCACGAGCAAGACCAGCGCGAATAGCATAAGATAGTCGTCGATGAGATATCTTGCGGCTTGGAGATGGCGCGCCAGAAACCGTAAGCCAACTACAAAGGCGGCGAACACCGTAAAGGCAATCGTGATGGCCCGGACATATCCTCGCAGATCCTCATCGAGATTTTGTTCTTCAGCAAAACCAGCCAGCTTCATTAGGTAGTCCCTCTGGGGTTGGTCGAGGCTCGTATCATTGTAGGGATAGAAAGCGGCCATGTTTGGCCGGTGGAATGGCCACACAGGCTCTCTCGTTCTAGACCAGCAGTGTCGCGGACGGTTGTTGTTATGGAAGAGAGGGGTTCATCACCGAACAGGCGGCTCACAGGGCCCTCCAACATACACCACGTGGGGATGGGGAAACATTTTATCCAAGTTCGATGAAGAATCTGGGCAATTCTTCACTACCCTACATCTTGTCTGCCGTTGCAGAACTGCCAAACACGTGTGGATAGGCGGTACGGCCTATCCGGATCCCAGCTATCGACCAAACCAGGTCAAAGACTATGAACTGCCCATCTTTTCTTCTTCGGTCTGACAAGTTTGACAACCCCCAACGCTCCCCATCAACTCCATCGAGACTGCGACCTGTTCTATGGGGCGACCGAGAAAACGTGTGGACTGCATTGCCAAAACAGGCCTCAGAATAGGGGGATGAAGCCCAGGTTGGGCCCGAAGACTTGCCGTCTTGGTCAATGATTATCAGATTCGAGAATATATCCTTGAGGGTTCATCAGAAGTTTGTGGGTTTTCAACGGGGTCAATGTCGCAACAAGGATGCAGCGGACTTTGGTCTATTTTGTCAACTATCCACATTGGCTTTCGGAACAGAAGAGTGTGGTTTCCGCAGAGACTAGCCGATAGCTTCAAAGAGTTAGAAATGCTCCGGTGCACGGCTCTCTCTGAGGCTCGTTTCACTTAGAAACCGTTGAAACTAGTTGTACGGAGCAGCGCTAGTCTAATCCGTCTTCCTAGACCCGCCGCTAAAGCTACAAGGCCCCGCCTGGCATCCCACGGATGGAACCCCAAGAATCGACAGATCATCGCGGCAATTATGGTCTCTATGTTTGTTGCCGGATAAGAGGCCTGACATGTTGAAATCGCGGAAGGGGGGCCAAGCCGAGTCATCAACCCTGCAATCTGCTGCGGCCGCCCATAGTGGATCAGGTTGGGTTCTGTGCGTCATTATCGTCATATCTCTAGGGGTCAGAACATACGAAAAACTGTTTCCTTTGGGAAAGACTTGTTATTGCAGAAGAGATATAATATCACGGCGCACCCGACTGCCGAGGCTGCCAGATATGCAAATATTTCGGAGACTAAAACCGAAGCTACTTAGCGAGAAGGCTTAAGTTGCGAGTTGGAGGGTTTTGCTGAAGAATCGCAACGCCTCGTGCTTGCATAAGACTGTGGATTATATCCACTGAACTGTTCTCTTAGCCTATCATGTGCGATTGTCTCGGGTACCTGCGCCATATCGACATCCATGGTTACATTCATGGTTGAAGCCATGCCCCACGGCTCACGTTGGCCCCTTTGTGGATATATCGAAAGACCGCCGATGGCGCAAAACGTCGCTAACACGGCGGAGACATCAAGGCCATATAGGGAATGGGCTAGGCAATATCCGACGGTGACCTGGCAGATATTCCGCTTCCACGCGTTGACTCTTACCGTTGTCATTTCGGAGATATTCCTTACTGAGGACGTTGATTCATGCATCGTAGCTGTAACACTTAGTATTTGAGTAGGACCATCTGCCGTGCTCATCGTCAGCCATTCTCTTGTTCAGACAGGCTGTCCAATCCTTTCGTGTTCTCAACCTAACAATACCCACTCGTCTCTTTGCCAGATCCTCTCGCAATTATCCGAAGAGACCCAAGTTCACGTTCCCAGTGGTTCTTGTTTCTAGTTTTCGAAATGAAGCCCTCAGTTCTCATCGTCCCCGGCGCCTGGCAACTGCCCTCTGCCTTCCAGCCATTTGCCACTGAGCTGGCCGGTGCCGACTTTTCAGCCTCCATCGTTGCCCTCCCCACAGTCGGCGGCACCACCACCCCCTTGGCCACTCTTTCTGACGACGTTGCGGCCGTGCGCACTGAGCTGGACAAGCTCGTCGGCGATGGCAAGGAGGTCGTCGTTTACTCCCACTCCTATGGCGGTGTTGTCGCTAGCAACGCCGTCGAGGGCTACGACGTCAAGTCTCGTTCCGCAGCTGGCAACTCTGGCGGTGTTGTGAGCATCGTCTACGCCAGCGCCTTCATGCTGCCCAAGGGAGCTAGTCTTCTTGACCTTCTCGGCGGTCAACCTCTGCCCTGGATGGTTGTTGAGGTGCGTAATTTCCAAGTCTCCGGAGAAATCAAATTTTCGGATATACTGACTTCTTGTTATAGGAGGACCGTGTGGTTGGCAATGCCACCATGCTGCCCGAGGTTGGTTTCAACGACCTCCCCGCCTCCGAGCAGGAGAAGTGGGCTAAGGAGATGACCTGGACTTCTCTGAGCGCATTTACCACCGCTTCTGGCTACGAGCCCTGGAACAACGGCTTCGACTGCTCCTACTTGTTCGCCACCCTTGATAATGCCCTTCCTCTTAGCTACCAGCAGAGCATGGCTGCCGTACTCCCCGAGGGTTCCAAGACCGAGAGCGAGCCCAGCGGTCACTGTGCTCACCTCAGTCGCCCTGCAAACGTAACGTCCATCCTCAGCAAGTGGTACCCCGGAAACTAGAGCATTGGCCGCATCAAGAGGGGAGGGCGAGAGGTTCCCCACGTGGTAGCAGTGGGCATAGTACAAACCTGTTCGGACAGTTATAACGACAATACGTAAATTAATATATATGACTAATGCAACCCTGTATATGCGAATTTAATATACGGATGATGTTTACGCGGCAGGCAACATGCCAAGCCCGCTCAGCTAAACCCCACAGTGAAGTGGAAATATGCATGTGCTGAGTCGCCAACCTAGCAGATGAATCTCAAATGGCTTTAAGGAGTGGTTGCACCGAAGGGTAAATCCGATCTCAATTCACGGGACTTTTATCACACCACGATGAACCGGTTCAGATCGGCTGTAGCCTCATTACCTATTACGTATACCCACACCTAGTGTTTGTCATGGGTTGGATAGGCTTGGCAAAGGAAAATGCCGGAAATCCCGCCCCCGTCCAAACGGACATTTACTGAGCCTGACGAGAAATTTCGCATGAGAAGAATAACAATAAACATATATCCCCGATCGATGCAAGCATTTTGATCCCTCAACGGGTCCGAACGGAATCTGTTCCGCTACTTTTTTAGATCGATGTCTACGCTTCGAACAGGGCAAGATGTTAGAAGAAATCTTCTTCTTCAGAACGGGGGTGCACTACCGGATGATGTTGATTGCTTTGACAGTGTGAGGGGATTTGCTAGCGGCATCTTAGTAGCAAGAAGGATTGTTTCAGTAGCCGGAATTCGGGCTTATATGGTGGACGCTCGTCCGGCTTGACAGCCGCCAGGTGAGACTGAGATCCGATAGCTTCCTTTCCACACGTGAAAGCCAGGGAAGGAAACATACCTCTCCTCTTTACTTCGAGCCTTACTCTTGCTATTTGAAATTATGCTGTACTAGGTAATTACTAGAACTCAGGCTCACTATCTCTTCGCTGTCTGTATTAGGCAATTGAAAGGGAAGTTTTTACGCCAGACCATCGATGTGCCGTCACACTGCTGTTTATTACGGCGCAACTAAATTGATCTTCTTACCCTATTGAGACATGAAGTGTGAAACTCCTGCGCAGCCATCGAGATCAATAAGCTCGTCGAAACCTTGGGCGACTATTACCAAGGCGCCTATACATATCACCTTAATGAGCTCGCATCTTGACAACTGATGACATTTCTGAAAGAGTTGTCATTTGAACACTGCCTAGAGAGACTTTAGATTCCTTCAAAAGCTAGAATTCGGTGCTACATAATTTGGTGGCATTGCCAAGTATATCATCCATATCGTTGCGCTGGTGGGCGCCCCCGAAGCCGCGTCAAAAAATCAAATATCGGTGTGTTTAGTTTAGTGAGCATCAACCTTGCCATCACCATACTTGTGAGCAATTCTTGTGAGTATTGTTCTGTATAGATTGGGAATTGCATTGTCTACTTATCCGGTCGTCGCAGCTCTCAACTGTTGATCTGCCTGCGAGTCTTGCTTAGTTGAATGCTGTCATCTCAATATTGATGTGATGGACCAAAAAGTTCTTTGTTCTTCGCTCTATCCTAGATTCAAGGGCGCTTCCACAACTCGATGCAGCACCAGTGTTTTTGATGAGGTCTTGAAATGTTTCTGATCCATCAAGACCTACAGATGGGCAAGTTTAACGGTTTTTGCACATACTCGTGCGGCGTCAAAAAGTAATGCTCGCGAAACATCCCAATTACGGCAAATACCAATAATGTTTCTTCTGAATTGCTGCTCATGTACAGGTATGTGTTGCTCTCTACATGTCCCGAATATATGTAGGTTGTGGCAACTCGGACGAGTAAATAAAAAGGCAGAAAAGTAGCAAAGACACAACATGTTGGACATGCAAAGTGTTAAAGACTGACATTATATTATTATCCCTCATGCCTTTTGAGATTCGGGATACTTAGCTTGATTTCAAGAAATTCTGTGCCTAAATGGAGTTTTAAAAGTGTGTTTGTTGAATGCTGAGTTGTGGTGTGGGTGTCAGGTAGTGTTGCTTGGAGATACTAGTGTTGAGCTTCATGTACAACTTGTGCGGCAAGCGAGACAACATCCAGAGATGGATATCATTACAAATGGCCGGTTGGCCCAATGGCAAGGCGTCTGACTACGACTCGCAGTGGAATCAGGAGATTCTGGGTTCGACCCCCAGGCTGGTCATTTCTTTTTCGAATTTTGTGGCAAGTCGACTTGGTGCAAAGTTTTGTTGCGGGTCCGGTCTAAAATCGGGCTTCCGGGGCCAGGGCTCGAAATTTCCGCCCGGTATTGGCCATTAGTAACCGACTATGCGGTCCGTAAAGAGTGGGGCCTCCAAACGAACCGGGCGGCTTTACGATATTGAAGTACCTATTGGAGAGCTAGGCCGTTGGGCGGCCTAGTTACTAAAATTGACTTTCTAAAGTAAGTCTTCAATGGACATGCATACATAGCTTCCAGTAACACAGATGAAGGATGAGACCTGTTCTCCTTGCAGTTAGAATGAGCGGGCTTGGATCTATACTGTAAGGACCTAAAACAGTTGGGGCATGATATCCATCCCAAATGTCGGATTTCAACTCAGCATTCGTCCAAATTTTCTTAAAATTTGACACCAAGCTATTTGTGTATATTTTATGGATGACTTTGAGGGATGGCATGCACACTGTCGTCAAGATTCCGCACCGCACCGCGCGGACTTCCGCACGACTGCGGGCTCAGCTATCCGGAGCTCCGACCACTTGGTATGCGCTGAGACCCGGTAGCTTATCTCAACGGTACCAGCCGTCCTTCCTCTGGGGTGCGATTCGACCTTATCAATTGCCCGTGAAATCCCCATATTGCATTTTCGGAAACTTAATTAGAGTTTTGGCGACGGTGGAGCTGGGTCAGATGCAGCATTACAAGGAGTATATTCTCTAAGAGAGTAGCATTCAGGGAAGTTAAACCTGGGACCGAGACATCTACATGCCTGCATGCAGAATTTGCGCCTGATCACAGTGTCGTGCGGTGGGGGTAATAGTATAGCTAGTTCCCTTGGCATCCTCTCAAACTTCGGACAACATGGGGAAACGCCCGAACAGATACGAGCAGAAAAACAACGACGACATTTCTTCAACAGCAGCATCAGTCCCACCAACCATCCCGCAAGACAATCGAATCCTAAGGACCAAATTAGGGCTACCGCAAGATTCTGGTAAGTTCAGAAAAACACATCAATTCATGCAGGTTATTGTCAATGTAGCTAAATACGTTGAGTAGGGCACCGCAACTCAAGGGATATAGTGACATTTATCCTGTCGTCCAAGTACCCGGACAAAGCCTTTGAAGGGTATTTCCATAGCTCCATCGCAGTACACAGACGACAAGTACGAAGATGTCCAACCGCGTCCTTCTAACCGGTGCCAACGGCTTCATCGCCCAGCATATCCTCGCTCAGCTTCTCGAGGCAGGTCACTCAGTCCGCGCCATCGTCCGTACCCAGCCCTCTGTTGACCAGCTCCGCTCCACCTTTTCTTCTTACCCTCCCTCCAAACTCGACTACGCCTTAGTGCCAGACATATGCGTCCCTGGCGCCTTCGACACAGTTCTTGTCTCTGACCCGCCCTTCGATCTTATTCTACACACTGCTTCACCCTACAACTTCCGCCAGGGAAAGTCGAATCTTGACTTTCTTGACCCTGCTATCAAGGGCACAACAGAAATCCTCCACGGCGTGCTCCGGAAAGCCCCTGAAGTGAAGAGAGTGGTTATCACAAGCTCTACGGCCGCTGTGGTCGACATATCCATTCCGCGCATCACCGAAACGCCCAAGATCTATAACGAGAATGACTGGTGTAAGGTTTCCAGGGAGGAGGCTGAGACTACCGACCAACGGCTTCTGCCATATGTTGCTAGCAAAACCTTCGCGGAGAAGGCGGCATGGCAGTTCCTGGCGGAGAAGCAGCCTAGTTTCGACATCGTGACGATCAACCCGCCGCTTGTCTACGGCCCGTTCTACGACTCGTCAGTCTTTAAGAGCCCTCAGGAGGTTAACCAGAGCAACTTCAACTTGTACAACTACTTCCTGAACCCCGAGCTGACATCCGAATCGCCGGTACCTCCAGAGGGTCTGCATCTTTATGTTGACGTGAGGGATGCAGCACGGGCGCATTTGCTAGCTGCGACCACGCCCGAAGCTGGAGGGAACCGGTTCCTGGTTAGTCCTGGTGGCATCTCGCACCAGAGAATCGTGAATATCCTCCGAGAGGTACTGCCTCAGTTGCAGGGTAGAATACCCAAGGGTGACCCGGAGAAGACGGACTTGCCGGAGGGGATCTTTGGCGTGGATTCGTCGCTGGCGAGGAGAGTTCTGGGAGTGGAGTATACGAGGGAGGAAGATACCTTCAAGGACCTTGCACGGCAATTGTTTGAGATTGAGCAGCGAGCCCAGACGGCTTAGAGCTGTGATATTTTCAAACTTTGCAGGTCAATGATCGCATGACGTCGTGCGAAGACGACAATGCCATCTGCTCTTTTTTTAGCTGCTTAGACCTTGCCAAAGTGTATGCTTTTGGTGTAGCAATATGATAGCAGCCCTTGTTTACCCATCTCACCACCGTGACCGCTATGCTTCTGCCCCGAGAAGAAAGCACCGTGATTGGGCGCCTCGGGTATGTTGATCCAGACACTGCCAGCTTCCAATCCCCTCGCGATCCTCTCAGCACGCTTAACATTCCTACAGTAGACTGATGCACCCAGACCGGCGTTGCTGAGATTCGCCCGTCTCACTGCGTCGTCCTCCTCTGACCATGAAAGGATAGGTATGATTGGCCCTTGAAATTGTTAGGTTATTTAAAGGCGACTAAGTGAATGGGTGAGTAGGCGATGTAATTAGACCTACCAAATTGTTCTTTCCTCACAAGGATCGAGTCTTCTGGGGGTTTCGACACGATGGTTGGTGGTATCCAGAAACCTTTGCTGTCCAGCGGCTGATCAGCAGCGACGACATTGTACCCGTTATTCTTGCAGTCTTCAACGATTTCCTTGACGGCGTCGTACTGCATCTTGTTTGACACCGGCCCAAACAGACTGGGAGCCACTGCATTGTGGTTGATGGCGTACTTCTTTCGTACCTCGCCAGTGAAAGCCTCAAGAAATTGGTCATATATCGAATCATGGACGTAAACGCGTTTCGTAGCCACGCACATCTGGCCGGCATTGAAAAAGCTCCCTGTCGCCACCAGCTCTGCTGCCTTGCCGATTTCAACGTCATCTGTGACAATGGCGGCATCGTTGCCGGCCAGTTCCAGCGTTAAGCGCTTGAGAGTCTTGGAGCAGTTTTCCATGACGCTTTTCCCTGTGTCGATGGTACCTGTGAAGCTGATTTTGGCAATTCCTGGGTGTAATGTCATGGCGATTCCTAGATCAACGTCGCCGTTTACGACTTGGATGACACCGGGGGGGAATATGTCGATGCAGAGTTCGACAGATTTCATCACTGAATACGGGGTGAAGGGCGACGGCTTGACAATGACGCAGTTACCTGTGATGAGGGACGAAATCACTTTGATGTTGCTGAGGATAAGGGGGAAGTTCCAGGGGCATATGGCGCCGACAACGCCGAGAGGAGAGTGAGTGGCTACAACTTTGACTTTTTCGTCTTCATAACTGATTTCGTCTTCCAAATGGACGTTTGCTGCAAAACGTGTGAGCTGTTACGTCGTTCTAAGAGAGTCATATAAAGGGCCCACTGTAGTAGAGTGTCTGCGCGCAGGTGTTTCCTATTTCTATTTCGGCCATCAAACTCTGGAGAACGATTAGCAAGTTGGCGATATCGTCATGAAGTGAATTACGCCTCACCGACTTCCCCGTTTCTTTCATCACGATTTCCATCAGTTCCTGCTTGTTAGTAGTATAGGCATCAATGATCTTGCGCAGGTATTCTGAGCGTTCCTCGACAGAGGTCTTGGCCCACGTCTCGAGGGCTTTCTGAGCTGCAATAACGGCATGATCAAGATCCTGTAGCGTCGCAATGGGAGCATCCCATAGCGGTTGTTCAGTACGAGGGTCAGTACATTGGTGCTTGTGCTCGCTGCTTCGACGTTGGCCATCGATGACGTTGAAAAACTTCATTATGAGCTACCGCAACTAGAGATTACCGTAAAAGACCTTTGCAAAAAAAGGAGTAATCAATCGAAGGCAGGAAAGAGCCAGTGATATTTCTAGCGATGGATGATGGCCTATCCAAGACCTCCCCAACCGGCTATATGCCTACGTGTCCATGGAACAAGCCGATGACGAAGGCTAATTTCACATTGCTACCACGTTCCTGCGGAGAAAGAGGGGTTTGTTCCAGTCGGCGATGGCAATTCTACTGAGGCACGCCCAAGCTAGCCTAGACAAAACAGGCTATGCTGAATAAGATTTTGCGGCAGTTGAGATGGACAAAAGAGATCTGCGGTAGGCAATATTGAATTAATTCCGCCCCAAGTAACACGGGATGAAAGACGTCAACAGCCAACGTCTACCAATAGCGCCTGGTGGGTGACAGCGTGGAAAAAGAAGGGTCAAATAGGATGTGTCTTAGCTGAGGCTACCTACATCAGACCGAAGGTGAGGCTCGGTGAGTGTGGTAACTCTTTCGGTTTACAAGACTTGAAAAGTAATGATTGATTCGAATGCCAGGCAAGACAAATGCAAGAAATAGTGCAGAGTGGAACATGCCGAAGTAATGGTGACGGAGCCGGCCGACGAAGAAGCCCGCTGAAAACCGGCGCAGGGCGCTGTGGGGAAGCACAGGCCGCCGGTTGCACCTGACTGCTAACCCCTACTACTAGTATGTTCAACAGCGGCTCTCCACGAGACCCGACAGGTGCATCACAGCGGCAAGAGGGGCTAGGCGAGGGGGAGGGGCCGATAATGATAACGCACCCCACCAGAATCGCAGATGTGAGGGCCCGCTGATAAGCTCAAACTCGGCCTTTTTGATTCGCAGATGCTGTCAGCATCACAAGCAGACACAGGAACGGCTTTTTGTCTTACCAAAACGTGCTTCCAGTTTGAAACTGCAGGAGCTGCAAACAATCTTCTTTTTAACCGAACGAATAAAGACCGTTGGTATGTTGCTGTAGATGCCACAAGGTACGCCAAGGTGTCAAAGTCACTCCACATGATCAGAGGCGAGGCGGAGGAAACAGCTACCCCTACCTCATGCCGCCCAAACTTAGTGGCACTTTTACCGTAACTAGTCTCGTCTCGTCTTCGCCTCTCTGCTTTAAAGTTGCGGGGTTACCTCGACTCGCGATTCCAGACACACGTTCTCAATTCTTCCACTCTTCTCGTTTTATCTCTTGTTTCTCGTAAATTTGCGCTCGTTGATATTCCTTGTGGCGGTTTGCGATTTCGTCTTCGACTTGGTGTAGCGCAAGGCCGCAGAGATCATGGCACCGATCGCTGTCTCCCCCGAGCGGGATGTTGGGCCGCTGAACACGCTGACCACCGATTTTGACGATACCATCCGCTTCTACCTCAATGGCACACGAGTAGTCCTTGACGAGATCGACCCCGAAGTCACTCTGCTGGAGTACTTGAGAGGTATCGGACTGACTGGAACCAAGCTGTATGTCTTTCGCCACCCGCTTCACTGCCATGCGCCCCGTCTGTCTTGACCACACACTAACATTGTCCCAAGAGGATGTGGCGAGGGCGGTTGCGGTGCCTGTACCGTTGTCATATCACAGTTTAACCCTACCACGAAACAAATCTACCATGCGAGTGTCAACGCCTGCCTTGCTCCTCTTGCCAGCGTCGATGGTAAGCATGTCATCACCATCGAAGGTATTGGAAACACCAAGGCACCACATCCTGCACAGGAGCGGGTGGCGAAGACGAACGGCAGCCAGTGCGGCTTCTGCACACCCGGAATTGTCATGAGCCTGTATGCGCTGCTGCGCAACAACGACGCTCCGTCGGAAGAGGATATTGAAGAGGCGTTCGACGGGAACCTGTGCAGATGTACCGGTTACAAGCCCATTCTCGAGGCCGCGCAGACCTTCAGTGTTGAAAGGGGATGTGGCAAGGCCAGGACGAACGGAGGTTCGGGCTGTTGCATGGAAAATGGCAACGGCGAGAAAAATGGCGGGTGCTGTATGGACAAGAAGTCCCTTGACGACCAGCCGATCAAGAGGTTCACACCGCCCGGCTTCATCGAGTACAACCCCGATACCGAGCTCATATTTCCTCCGTTGCTGAAGAAGCATGAACTGAAACCGCTGGCTTTTGGAAACAAGAGAAAGAGATGGTTCAGGCCTGTCACGCTCGAGCAGTTGCTTGACATCAAGAGCGTTTACCCTTCCGCCAAAATTATTGGCGGCAGCACTGAGACCCAGATCGAGATCAAGTTCAAGGCTCAGCAGTATCCAGTCTCAGTTTATGTCGGCGACATTGCCGAGTTGCGGCAGTATGAGTTCAAAGACGACCACCTGGAGATTGGTGGAAACGTGATATTAACAGACTTGGAGCACATCAGCCAGGAGGCTACGAAGCACTATGGCGATGCCCAAGGCCAGGTTTTTGAGGCTATTTACAAGCAGTTGAAGTATTTTGCCGGAAGACAGATTCGCAATGTGGGCACACCAGCTGGTAACTTGGTGACAGCTTCACCCATTTCAGATCTCAACCCGGTCCTCTGGGCCGCCAACGCCGTCCTGGTCGCCAAGTCGCAGAAGGAAGAGACGGAGATACCCATGTCGCAATTCTTTACGGGATATCGAAGAACCGCTCTCCCTCAGGATGCTATTATTGCTTCTATTAGGATACCCGTGACATCGTCAAAAGGCGAGTTCTTTAGAGCATACAAGCAGGCCAAAAGGAAAGACGACGACATTGCCATTGTCACCGGGGCTTTGAGAGTCAAGTTGGACGACGATGGCATTGTTACCGAGAGCAACCTCATCTACGGCGGCATGGCTGCTATGACAGTGGCAGCGAAGAATACCATGGAGTACCTTGTGGGGAAACGCCTTGCAGAGTTGGAGACTCTTGAAGGAGCAATGAATGCTCTGGGAACTGATTTCGACTTGCAATTTAGCGTGCCCGGTGGTATGGCGTCATACCGCAAGGCACTGGCGTTCAGCTTCTTCTACCGTTTCTACCACGACGTGCTTGCGGTGCTCGATGGCCAGAGCCAGCATGTCGACAAAGAAGCAGTCAGTGAGCTTGAACGAGGCATATCTGGCGGACAAGAGGATGCGGATGCTGCCGTTGCGTATGAGCAGGAGACTGTCGGCAAGTCCAAGAATCATGTTGCGGCGTTGAAGCAGGTCACTGGCGAAGCACAATACATTGACGACATCCCTCTCATGAAAAATGAGTTGCATGGTTGTTTCGTCCTGTCATCGAAGGCACACGCGAAGATCAAGTCCATCGACTACACTCCAGCGCTGGAAATGCCAGGCGTCGTGGACTACGTTGACGTCAATGACGTCGAACACCCCGATCAAAACCGTTGGGGCGCACCACACTTTGACGAAGCTTTCTTTGCCGAGGGTGAAGTTTTCACTGCTGGCCAGCCGATCGCCATGATACTTGCTACTTCGGCGTCGAGAGCTGCCGAGGCTGCTCGTGCAGTCAAGGTCGAGTATGAGGAACTGCCGTCTATCTTGTCAATTGAAGAGGCTATCGAAAAGGACAGCTTCCATAACTATTTCCGAGAACTCAAGAATGGAGACCCAGAGACGGCTTTCAAGAACTGCGATCATGTCTTTACCGGCACGGCTAGAATGGGAGGTCAGGAGCATTTTTACCTCGAAACCCAGGCGTCACTTGTCGTTCCCAAGCCCGAGGATGGAGAGATGGAAGTGTTTGCTAGTACCCAGAACGCCAACGAAACGTAAGCTGGATCCGTATCACTACCAACCATGGCTTCTTTAACTAACTCGTTGCGTTTATAGGCAGGTGTTTGTCGCCCGTATGTGCGGTGTGAAAGCCAACAAGGTCGTTGTCCGCGTCAAGCGGTTGGGAGGAGGCTTTGGCGGCAAAGAGACTAGATCGATCCAGCTCAGTGCTCCATTAGCACTCGCAGCTAAGAAGACGAAGCGGCCTTGTCGGTACATGCTGACTAGAGAGGAAGACATGGTAACCTCTGGTCAACGGCACCCGTTCTTGGGCAGATGGAAGATTGGTGTCAACAAGGATGGCAAGATCCAAGCGCTGGACCTTGACGTATTCAACAACGCCGGCTGGACTTTCGACCTCAGTGCCGCTGTCTGCGAACGTGCCATGTCCCATTCAGACGGTTGCTACAAGATCCCGAATGTCCATATCCGCGGACGTCTCTGCAAGACCAACACCATGTCAAACACAGCCTTCCGTGGCTTCGGAGGGCCTCAAGGCATGTTCATTGCCGAGACTTACATGGAGGAAGTGGCAGATCGACTCGGTATGCCGATCGAGAAGTTTCGCGAAATCAACTTCTACAAGCCGCTGGAACCCACACACTTCAACCAGCCTTTGACGGACTGGCACGTGCCATTGATGTATGAGCAGGTACAGAAGGAGGCAGACTACTGGCAGCGAAAGGAGCGCATTGCGCAATTCAACGACGGGAACAAGTGGCGCAAGCGTGGACTGGCGATCATCCCAACGAAGTTCGGCATCTCATTCACGGCTCTGTTCCTGAACCAAGCAGGTGCCCTAGTTCACATTTACCACGACGGCTCAGTCCTTGTAGCTCATGGAGGTACGGAGATGGGCCAGGGCTTGCACACCAAGATGACACAGATCGCAGCACAAGCTCTTCAAGTGCCGCTGGATAATGTATTCATTTCGGAGACGGCCACTAACACTGTCGCAAATGCATCGTCAACAGCCGCATCGGCTTCTTCAGATCTCAACGGCTACGCCATCTACAACGCATGTGCGCAGCTCAACGAGCGGCTGGCACCTTACCGCGAGAAGCTCGGTCCAAATGCGACAATGAAAGACCTTGCACATGCAGCATACTTTGACCGGGTGAACCTGTCGGCACAAGGATTTTATAAGACACCAGAAATCGGATACAGCTGGGAAACGAACCGCGGCAAGATGTTCTTTTACTTCACACAGGGCGTCACGGCGGCCGAGGTTGAGATCGACACGCTTACAGGCACATGGACGTGCCTTCGCGCAGACATCAAGATGGACGTAGGGCAGTCAATCAACCCCGCCATCGATTACGGACAAATCCAAGGCGCGTTTGTGCAAGGCCTCGGCCTGTTCACGATGGAGGAGTCGTTGTGGCTGCGAAATGGGCCAATGGCTGGCAATCTCTTCACCCGCGGTCCTGGAGCGTACAAGATCCCCGGGTTCCGTGATATACCCCAGGAGTTCAACGTCACCCTGCTCAAGGATGTGGAGTGGAAGGACCTGCGTACGATTCAGCGATCCCGGGGAGTGGGCGAGCCACCGCTCTTCATGGGGAGTGCCGTCTTCTTTGCGATCCGCGACGCGCTCAAGGCGGCCAGAAAACAGTATGGCGTTGAGGCGACGGTCGGAGAAGACCGGGAGGGCGACGGCTTACTCAGGCTTGAGAGCCCGGCCACACCCGAGAGGATTCGGCTAAGCTGCGAGGACCCGATCATGAGGAGGGCGAGGGTGCTGCCGAAGGAGGGGGAGAGGAGCTTTTTTGTAGCCATTTAGAGGCGGCGCCAAGTGACAAGGCGCTTTTTAGAAAGGGTCGCCTTTTTTTGAAGGAGGGGAGGGGTAAATGGGGGCTGATTTTTTGAAGGCTATTCTGTGTGTCATTTGATAGATATAAAGTGACAGATATTTGGTAAGGGTTACAACACAAGGCGGGATGGTTACTCATGGGATGGTACAAACAATTAGCATAAGTAGCACGCTGTAAGATTTAAGCAAGTTTCATTTCATGGGCATTGCATTGGCGTGGCATTCGAAAGGGAAAAGCATCACACGATAGCTGCTGCTGCAGGGCTGTTGTTCTTTTCGGTGACCCCTATGTCGCCCAATCGCCAAGTCTTTTGTTTACTATGTATAACCTACTGCTAGCTAGGTAGTGACGTGGGACAGGTACCAGTACTACGTATAGTGAAAGGGGAAAAAAAAAAAAAAAGGAAAGAACAAAGATGGGATGGATGGATGTGGATGCTGAGGGGTTGTGGCCGGGTGTGATGTGATGGGGGGTGGGTTTTTACCGTTGGGGAAAAGCGTGAGCCTTTTCCTCGTCCACCAACGGGAGGGAGCTGAAGGGCGAATTGGCTTGGACCGAAGAGTGAGAAGAAGCAGCTTTGGACCGAATGGCAAGCTATGGTTTCATGCTGACATTACATTGCATGCTGCGAGGGGATGGGCCAGGGGGATCGCTGTCCTTGTTGTTCCCAACAAGCCATTTATTTATTCTACTGCCATAGTACGTAGTAGTCTTGCTGAGTAGTCTCTGGTTGGAATTTTTTATGTGAACATGGGATAATATAACACACTAATTGCCGTAGTATGTATGTAGTAATTAGCGTTTTGGGAGGTTGGAGCAGAAACTTTTTCTTGATGGGCGCCCATGGGACGAAGGGTGGCATGGGTGGTGCTGCTGTCAGAAGGGAAAGTGGGCGGAAAGCCAAGCACGCGGTCAACATCATTTTTAAACATGCCCCCGGCCTTGACGTTTCTGTCAGTGCACACACATTCGTCTTTTTTTCTGCATGCGACAGTGGGATGGATCGATCGTGTAGCGCAAGTTCTAGAGAGAGACTAAATGTGATCGCTCCGACTGGGGAGCGTAAGTGCTGTTGGGAACCTGCATTGTGAGGTGAGAGTCTGTGCGGGTTTAGGTAGCATTAGGGGAGTATTGGGATTGTTAGATGGTGGTGAAGGTTGCAATGTGAGAGGCGGTCTCACCGAGAGGAGAGAAGGGAGGGAGTTTACGCAGCAGGCATTGGACGCAGTAACAAAGAGTAATATTAACCTGAAAATTAGTGGTTGAATCCACCTCGCCCAGCTGTGCCCAGCTTACTGAGCCACATGCCAACGTACCAACAGGGTACGGTAGGTACCTAATCAGCCAGCCATCTAGGTGAAAAATTCAGCAGACATCATCGCAAACTTGTCAGCAGTTGCAACCGCTTTGGCAAGTCACGGTGGGGCCAAGAACCTGAAGGGTGGGTTTTCTAGCGAACTGTTTCCAACTTTGCAGTGTCTCCCCCTCCTCTCAGCTTTCACTAATAATGGCCGTCTGCCCAAGTGTGCCAGGATAAGGATGGGGGGGAAAGGGACCCCACACGCAGCGCCAAGCAGCCCTGGACTGGACGTACCAACACCATAGCAAAACCTCCCCCCAGGGCAGCCAGCAGCCAGCGTAGCGTAGCAATCAAGGCCTAGCAGCCTCTTCCCTGCTGACCGGCCCTGACCGTAGATTCGGGTGGCCGATCTGCCTGATGTTTCTCTCTGTCTCTGGGCTCTCCAACGCATTAGCCGTGGTTATGCTTCTCGCTGGCAGCCCACTTTCACTCGCAAGTCGCCATTCCGGTTTCTAATTTGCCTTTGTGTTTTTTTTCCCTCTCAATTTCCTCTTCTTTCTTTTTTTTCCCCATTCGACGAAGCTTTTCCCCTTTAACGTCCTGTGATGCCGATTTCGATCAACACCACCGACGACCCGTAGACCGCACCGCAATTCCTACGCATAACTGTCCCCGGAAAAAACGCCACACATTCGGCTGTCCGTTCCGGGTCACCATTCTCGCGAGATTCTTCAACCGAGCGGCTCTTTTTGTTACGGACGGAACCAGAGGCCCCCTGTCTCTCAAATAACGTAGCTACCCGTACACTCTTCTACGCACCCATTGCGACTTGCTATCACATCACGAAAACAAGAACAAAAAATAAAAAATAAAAATATACAAAAGGGAAAGGCTACGAATCGAAGCAAAGGAAGCCTCATCACTGTCACCTGCACCCACGCGCCGCCGACGCCACTCTCGTTTTCCCGCCTTTTCGCCCATCTGCAAATACCCGCACGAGTCCTCGAACAAAACCGCAGCACGCGCAAGAACACCCTCGTCAGATGATCTGCGAACCCTCGCTTTCTGCGTAACCTCAAAGGTCCAATGGGAGCGGGAGCCCCATTGAACTGATTTTCGAACCGACGCCCACCATGGAGAAGAACGGCAACAGGGACGTCAAGTCCGAGGCCCAGGAGGAGAAGGAGAAGCGCGAAAAGCCCGACAGCAATGGCGCTCATGCTCAGCCCTCCAAGAGTCCCAAGAAGCGCAGAAAGGTCAATCATGGTACGTTGCCTCTAAACTGGCATTGCGACTGCGTCCACCATCCTCGCCTTTTTCCTGAGCCCCGCTCGCGTGACATCACCTGCTAACCTCTTGCCCCTCTCCCAGCTTGTGTATACTGCCGGCGATCTGTAAGTCAGACGGCCCTCCCTCCGACCGAGACGTGTATCCGTTCGATTCTCCGTGGCTTTGCCCACGGTGCCGAGACTATTGCCTGTTCGCGATGCTGCTGTGTGATGCTTCGCTAGCCGGCGAACCCCTGCCTTTGCACACACACACACACACACCTCTGTGCCGCTCCATCCTGCGCGAGGAAGACATGACACAAACGGATAAAGAATAGATGGCTGACAGATAGTGCCTTGCCTGCTGTATAGCACATGACATGCGATCTCGTATGTAAGATCTCTTTCATTCTGTCTGGTCCTACACGACCGGTCGTCTGGCCTCCTCTCTTCTCTCCAATGGTCAGACTTGGCAAGGCTATGGCGCTTGCTAACTATGTTGTGCTCCAGGAACGACCGTGTACGAGATGCATCAAGCGCAATATTGGCCACCTCTGCCACGACGAGCCCCGCGACCCCGACTCCAAGAAGGCGAAGAGCACCCACGCCACCTCCGTCGTCGACGACTCCGAGACCACACAGTCCGAGCTTGCCGCCCGGGGCTCTATCGACCAATCCGCTGCAGGATCAATGGGCCCGCCGCCTCCTTTCGAGAGAAAGACGTCTGCATTTGGCGCCGCTGTCCTCGGCCAGGGCAACCCACTACACCTTGTGTCCCCGGGGGCGGTGTCTGGCATGCCGGGCAACGGCAGCAACATGAACCAATGTAAGTACTCGCCCTTGCGCCAAGTCTTGCTTCTTCAAGAGTGCGCTTCACGGTGCCTGTATAATCGGCCGGACACGAAGGAATAAATAAAAAAACTAAGAAAGAGAAAAAAAAAGCATTCCCAGAGCGCAGGAAGGCTGATCCCCGATTGCTAGTCGCTGGATTCTCCGACGCTTGGTTGACGGCCCAGAACCACTACCACGACATGCAAAACTACCACCCCAACTACATGATCGCCCCCGAAGTCACCCACGAGTTCAACCTGCTCAACGATTTCCTGCAAACGAGCCTGCTCGATGACGGCGGCATCCTCTCCGACGACTCCCAGAACAGCCCCGCCTTCAGCAGGACAGCGGGCGCCAACGACATGCTGCCCACGTTCGGCAGCAATCATAACAACAACGCCAGCACCAGGGCCACCGCCAACGCCCTTCAGCAAATGTTGCCCCCGTCCAACCTTGAGCAGGGCAAGGCGATCTCCCGGCCCGGGAGTGTCGTCCAGGGCGACAAGGACAAGGCGCGCGAATACTACCTTCAAGCGGCGGACCCCTCGGGTAACGACACCCCCGAAGAGCGCATGGACCGTGTGTTGAAGGCCAAATACGAAGCTGGATTGCTGAAGCCGTTCAACTATGTAAAGGGCTATGCGCGCCTGGGCACGTATCTGGACAGTCACATCGCGGCTTCATCGAAACAGAAGATTCTGCGCACGATTGACCGCTTCCGGCCAAAGTTTCGCGAAAAGGCGCAGGCTCTGACGGACATGGAGCTGTTGTACGTGGAGATGTGGTTCGAGAAACAGCTCATGGAGTACGACCGCGTCTTCGCGAGTATGGCTGTCCCCGCGTGCTGTTGGAGGAGAACGGGAGAGATTTTCAGAGGCAACAACGAGATGGCGGAGCTGTTGCACGTTCCGGTTGAGAACCTACGAGACGTATGTGGTCTCCGCTAGTTTCGCGAAAAAGCTTTGGTGATCGCTGTGCTGACTTGAGATCCTGCAGGGCAAAATCTCTTTACACGAGATTCTCACGGAAGAGTCGCTCGTCCGTTATTGGGAAGAGTTCGGAACGATCGCCTTCGACCCGGCTCACGATACATTACTTACGGCATGCACACTTAAGAACCCTGACGACAAGGCGACGGATCCGGTTGTTAACTGCTGTTTTTCGTTCATGATTCAACGAGATAATCACAAGATGTGCGTACTCACGACTCTGGTTTTTTTTTTTTTTTTCCCAGGTTAACAACGTCTGGCTAACTTTTGGTTTCAGCCCGACACTCATCATTGGCAACTTCCTGCCCAACGATCCGGCCCGTCCTTAATTCGGTGCATTACATAGCTTCATTACCGGGGTAGGCTTAGGTTTTGAGAAACAAAATGGGTAGGCGTCAGGATACCAGGGCATTGTTTTGGATGCATTTTACCATTAGCTTTGGACGGTGGATATATTCTTCTTGCCTCATGTCTTGAAGTGAGACGTCAATATACAATCAAGTCATGAACCTGAACTACCGGATGATGACGCATGGTGGTTAGTGGGGCCGGTCTCCGAGACTCGGGAGAATTGGTTATCGGCCTGTCGGCCCCACTCTCGGGTCGCGGTCGAGTGATAGGTGCACTTGGTCGTGCCTTCCCAAGAACAGTTGATTTGCCAACCAATAGTGTCATCTCTTCCTTCCAGTATCTACTCCGAGACTGGTATTGGTGATTTCTCCATTCTCAATAACTTTCTTCCTGTTGTCCGTACCTGACGACTAAGCCTTCGACCGCCGTCCTGGCGATCGTTAGAACTCCATGCTTCCTCATCGTTGATACTTGGCAACACCATTCTCCTCCTTGATCAGATACCGCACATGCGATGCCTTCTTTTACAACAGGCCCGCCAGCAGCTAAACCTGCATCCATTGAACTCGTCGAAAGGGCGGCATCCTTTACAAGTTTGTCTCTTGCGCATTGCTTGCGGTCACCACTGACACATACAGCCGTCGCCCAGACCCTTCTACGGCGTCTAGCGATTGCCATAGACCCTCCCTCTATCGGCTCTCTGTTCGCCGAGGTCACTCCGCAGTTGAGCGCCATCATCAACTCCCCAGAATTGCCAGCGGGCAAGGCACGAAAGCAAAAGAGCGAATTAGATCGACTGGGAACGGAGCTATGGAATCTCTGCACGAGGCTTCGGCGCGATGATATCTCGGGAGCGCACCCGTCGAGGAAGAAACTTCTGCTGCAGAGTCGTGCTTTTGCCTTTTTCATGATCGACAAGGCGAGGTTCTCGAAGGACGACAGCGCAAAGGATAAGGTGTCGTTGGCGGAGCTGGTTCATCTGATGAGACTTGCGCTCAAGGCCGGGAAGATGTGTATTGGTAATTATCTGAGGATTCCAATGAGGCTTTTGATATCAGCTGATAGTGGTGCAGATGACGATAATACGAGGCTCGCAGGCGCTATTTGTCTTAAGGGGTCGGACTACAACACGGCTTTGGCTGGACTTCAGACCACCATATCAGGGCCTGATGATTTGGCCGAATGCAAGAGGTTGAGCTCGGAATACTTTATTATGAGAACAGCGCTGGTATGGAACCACTTTTTGATGTGAGATCACACGCTGACGTTCAACCTGCAGTGCTGGAAAGAAGGAAATCTTGACGTCGCCGAGTACATGTACAACAAAGGACAACCCACAATCCAGACGCTGGACCCAAGCTCGGCTGAAAAGATGACAGAGGTGCTTTTCGAAATCGGCAAAGACCTCAGTAAGAAGAAAAACTACAACCTAGCTGTGAAATGGCTTGAACGAGCGTACGACATCATTAATAGCCAGGAATTGGACCGCCTACCCAGGGATGCTGTAGAACTGCGGCTCGCCGTAGGTCAGGCGCACGTTCATGCTCTCCTTGAGCTGAACACTAGGGAAGCGTCGCAGAAGGCTCATGATTTGGTCAGCTACATCGAGTCCGAGATCGGAGGGAAGCCCTTTGTCTTGCTGCTACGCCTGGAACTCCTTCAAAAGGCACCAGCAGAGGTCTTTGATGTGGAGGCTTACGCCGACATCTTGAGAAGCATGGTGATGACTTTCAATTTTTCTGAGGCGCATTTCAAGCTGCTGCTATACCATGCGCGGAAGCTTCACGACAAAAGCCCGACGTTGGCATCTAGCATGGTTAATGGGATGCTCAAAAGTACCATTGCATCTTCAGGTCGCGATGAGTGGGTGGAGAGATTGGTGCTCTTAAGGATATGGATGGAGACGAATCAGAGGGATAATATGAATGGCATAGAGGAGCTGCATAACGTGTTGAATCGGCTCCAGGACAACTCGACAAAGCCTTTCGAGGCATCTGCTGCTGTTGGAGCATTGACTGTAAGTTGAGTAAGGGAAGATCTGAGCCTAACTGACTGGAACAGATTATCTAGAAGAAGGTCGAGGTTACCTACAGCCAAGGACACTTTGATATCGCTGATGGCTGGTGCCGGCTGGCATTGCAGCCCGTCTTCCAAAACGGAGGCCCTGCCAATAGATCGAGACTCGGCAGGTTCGTGTATTTGGACTTGTACAGTCGCATTCACTGACAGCTGTAGGAAGCTCATGCTATGTGCTTTGTATCGAAACGATACTGAAGGAGCTCGTCAAGCATTCAACGAAATGTCAGAGGCAGCACAGAATGAAACAATGACACGATATCTCATGTACAAGGTCGCTCTTCAGTCAAGGGATCGCGATCTGGCAGCCGAGTGTCTGGAACACGTTGGAGTGGCAGCGCCTGAGGACCCCAACTTCCTGTACGCTTGTGTGCTCGAAGCGCAAAAGGCTGGAGAAAAGTACTGTGCAGCGCAGGCTATGAAGCAGCTCTTTGAGAGACACGAGTTCAGTGGAGATTCGCCGATACACTTGCCTGCACTCCTTCGAAGCAACATTCGTTTGACAGTTTCGATAATGGACGGTGAGAAGGATCCAGTTAAACGCAACGCCGCGGTGGAGGAAGTTGTTAGCCTCTTCGAAGGCGGTACGCTTCCCTATGCGTATACGAAAACGTGTGGTAACTGCTGACATGCCTTGAGCTTTAAATTCAATAAAGAGAAACCCAAAAGACAAAGATGGAAATCGCCTGTTCACGGTGAAGGAGCTTGACTGGTTCTGCCAGAATGCATATAACCTCGGCCTCAAGCACTCGGACAGCTGGAACTTGGTTCAACTAGTACGCCTGTTCAATTGCTGTCTTCAAATTACTGAGACTTATCCCGCAGATCTGCCCGCTGAATCAGAGGGCGACTTACGCTTCCGGAGAATGTTCTGCAGCTTCGTCGCAGCAGCCGCACTGGTTTCACTAGCTCGTACGGAAGATAACACAGAAAAGCAACTGCAATATTACCTTGACGTGAGGAAGCATGTCGAGGCGTATGATACCATGCTGCAGGTCCAGATCAAAAACGTCGAAGTGCTGGCGGCCAAGGACTTGACAGCCAAGCTTGCGACGTTGCTGGTTTTTGACTTTGAGGCGGCAGTAACGCTGAAGAATTACGACGCACTGGGGTACATTCTTCGCCTTGCAGCGTCATGCAAAGACGTAAATGCTCTAAAAGCCATGGGCGATATAGCTCTGAGAGGGCAGATGCCGGGAAAAAGTAAGGGATTACACTGTTTTTTTAAGGCGTGTCCGCTCATGCTTCGGACAGATTTGTATACCACTCTCGGAGTTATCGTCAACAAAATATGGGAGCTCGAGCCCATGAGGTGCGATAAACTAGCCCAGTATACCCGCTGCATGTTCCAAGCTGTCCGGCTGCTTGATGTAGAATGCGGAAAGAAGGTGATGCAGCAAGCGATCGATATCGCGAGGCAGGCGGGCAAGGTATGTTGAAGTCTGAGCGACGAGACCTGATGTTTCGCTAAATCTGACTCCTATGGGTTTACTTCAGACCCCGAATCCATTCCCTCCTGAAGAGCTGGAATGGCTGGTTGCCACTGCGTTCAACCAGGCTGTAGATTCGTACAATAACAGGTTGAATGATGAATGCGTCAAGTGGGCGGATCTCGCGATGAATTTGGCGCACCACGCCGGTGACGATGGAGCCCTAGAAAGAAGGTGCCAGGAGAGTCGGATGAAGTTTAATTTTAATGTAGAGTGATAAAAACATTGACAATCAGACATGTCACATAAATGTTCACTTCCAGGTAGTTGATAAAATTCATATGCATTATTCATACTGCGCCTAAATATATGTAGTGACGCCAAAAGCTGCTACCATCCAAGTCATCAATCATTTCCTCATAAACGCGATGCGCACCTATGCAGTCGCTCCGGCTGGCTCGCCCTCGACGGTCAAGCTCGCAGCCTCCTCTACATCGGTAGACTTGACAAGCTTGATAGCCACCTGCGCGTCCTCTGCGTAGACGCGGAGACCGATGACACAGACGGCGTTCCACGGCGGGGTCGTCGATTCCTCGCCGGTATCAGCGTTGTCTGCCTCGGCCTCCGATTCGGAGTCAGACTCCTCTTCCTCCTCCTCCTCCTCCTCTTCTTCTTCTTCCTCCACCTTAGCCTCCTCGGCGGTTGCCTCCTCCGTGGCTTCGGCCTTGGATGCTTCGGTTTCCTCGGCCTTTGACTCCTCTGCCGGAGCAGGTGCATCTTCTTTCTTCTCCTCATCCTTCTTCTTCTCATCAGTCTTCTTCTCTTCCTTCTTCTCTGCCTCCTTCTCCTCCTTCTTAGGATCGACGGGGGCGTCACCGGGCTTGGTTGAAGCTGTAGGGGCGGCGGCGCCCGCGGGGGGCTTACCATCCGCAGGCGGGGACTTCAGACCCGTGCTGCTGCTGCTGGTGCTGGTGCTGGTGCTGGTGCTGGTGCTGGTGCTGGTGCTGGTAGACTCCTTGTCAGAGTCCTTGACCTCGGTCCACTCGCCATCCTTCTCCTTTGTCTCATCCTTCTTCTCGGACTTGGGAGCCGCGTCCTTCTTCTCATCCTTCTTCTTCTCGCCCTCGGCAACTTCGGAGATGACCTTGGCGGTTTCTTCCAGAGCCTTGGCCGCAACGGCGAGCGCCTTCCTCTGCTTCCTCTTCTTCTTGGCCTTCTTGGCGTCCTTCTTCTTCTTGGCCTCGGCCTTCTTCTTCTCGAGGACGTCGTCCTCATCGACAACGCCGCCCTTGGCGTGTGCGATGTCGTACTGCAGACCGACCTGTCGGAGCTTCTGCGGGTTCTTCTCGGCGTATTGCTTGACAACGTCCTCGACGGCGCGGCCGTTACTCTGCCGTGTCGCCGTGACCTTGGGGAGGACCTCGTAGACGCCCGGCTCAAGGTTGACTTCGCAGCTCACCGAGCGGTTCTCCCACTTGTGCACCGGCCTCACGCGGCAGAACTGCTCGGGCTCGGACTTCTTGCCGTCCTCGCCGTCGGAACCGGCCTTTTGCAGGACAAAGTGCAGTTGGAAGTAGTACTGCCCCTCGAAGCCCCGGAAGTATCGGTCGTCTAGCTGCGTGAGGACGAGGACGGCCATGCCCGCCTTCTTGACCTCGACCACGAACTTCGTCTGGAGGTAGCCCGTCACCCACGAGACGTTGGCCGACGTCCACTGCTGCATGACGGTCCACTTCTCGTCAAAGAGGCGGGTGCGGTGGATGTACATGAATGTCGAGAGCATGTCCTCGTACGACATCCAGAAAACGCCGTCGTCGCCAAAGGTGTGGTTGAGCTTCTTCAGCCAGTAGGGCGTCCACTCCTTTGAGCCGTCGGACCAGGGGCCGTTCCACTCGCCGACGCCTCCGTCGGAGCGCTCGCCCCAAGGGTTGCGGATCTGCACGAGGCGGACCTTCTTGCCCTCCTCGTCGACCTCTTCGCGGGACTGCAAGATGGAGTAGGCGTGGCCGAGAGCAAGGCCGGACTTCTGCCAGTCCCAACCGGTGCCCATTGCTGCGAGAGCGAAGACGAACTCGCCGTCCGAGTTGACTAGCTCCTTCCAGAGCTTGTCCTTGCGCAGGACGCGGTTGGTCGCGATGGTGGACGTCACGCCACCGGTCATGTCCTCGACGGCCTCGCCGGGCCAGCCGCCCGAGATGGCCTCGTAGTCGCCGTGGACCTTGGCGTACGCCTTCTCGAGCAGCGGCAGCCACGTCTCGTTCTGGTCCTCGCAGCGAGCAAAGTACAGCGCGTCCGAGCCGGTCTGGTTGCGCTTGCGGTGCAGGCGAGCCTTCTTGCCGCTGGCGTCATAGACGTCGCTGTAGAAATCGAAGTCGGTCTCCTTGAGGTAGAGGTTGTCGTCGACGACGGTCGACACCCACTCGCCGTCGCGCTGGAAGACGAAGCCGTACACGCCGCACTCTTCGTCGCGGGCGACGCAGACCTTCTGCATGAGGTCGCGGCGGTGGGCGATGGTAGCAACAGCCGCGAGCCACCAGCAGTCGCCATTGGCGCCCTGCTTGATGTCTGAGGAGGAGTACCCATTGACTGTGAACTGGGGGGACTCGAAGATCCAGTCCACGCGGTGGATGGATCCTGGGGAGTAGTACTCGCCGCCCATCACCCCGCGCTTGGCCTTGAGCTTGCCCGATCCGCCGCCGGCGGCGTTGCCGGCAATGGAGAAGGAGCCCCATACGTCGCCACTGCCGAGGAACCGGGCCACGGCGGTGGGGTCGAAGGGGATGGTAGAGTTGGGGCCGAGGACCTGCGCCGCAGCCAGAGTGTCCAGGCTGTTCTTGACGTCCCAGCTGCTGACATTGGGGGTGTCTTCCACGGCCCCGGCGTTACCGACGCCGTCGTCATCTCTGACAAGCCCGTTGAGGCAGTTTGACTCCGGATCGCGCTCGACGTCGAAGTCCGGATCGGTAAACTTCTCGTTGGTGCGCTCGCACTCCTTGACGATGCGCTTAACCTTTTCGCGGCACTCGCGGGCGGCGGCCTCGTAGGACTCTTGGGCGTTGCGAGTTGAGGAGGCACCCTTCGGCTCGAAGGCCGGGAGTAGAGAGGCATAGAGGGCACGCGGGAAGATGGAGGTCACCTTGCCGGGGTGCTTCGAGTGGAATTTGTCCCAGAAGTCGGAGAGAATCTCCTGGGGTGCCTTCTTGAGGTTTTTGGACGTGCCCGCTGCGGGCGTTCCGGCGGGAGGGGGGTCGCCGTAGGTTGCCATGTTGAGCCCACTAGGATCTAAAGTTTAAGACGCGAGATGTCGGCGTTAAGTTGGTGATGATGTTTACTAAGGAAATGACCGACTGCTCTCGACAAGGAAAAAGCTCACTTGAACTCGAGGCTTCCTTTTAGCGGCAACCGCTCAGCTTTAAATAGCCTCGTGAACAACTCATCGTTAATCAATTCGACTGGGGAGCTTGCCCAACCTCTCCACCCACCTTCATCCAGCTCAGCTCAGCTTTCGCTGACCCCGGCAATGTAGCCTGCTAGGGCTGACGCACTTGCGATAGCTCCCGTCCACCACCACCACACGACTAGCCCTTTGGGGGCGGAATAGCAGCAGCAGCAGCTCTTGGTGTCCTTCCCTTCAGTAGAACCACAGTTCACCCACTCTGGACGTCGGGCAAGCCGCGCGGCTCGCTTGTAGCGAGTGATTGTGGGTTTATTGTATGCATCTTGCATATCGGTGCTGAGCCTGTACCCAGATTAAGGCGCCATAGGCAACGAAAATGTGCGGCGACAAAGGGGCTGAAGTGCAGCCTGGGGGTTGAATTCAGGGTTCAAGGTCGTCTTCAGTCACGCCAGGAACATTTTAGCGCTGCTAGGGCTGGCGTGCTGGCCGTGTTGGAATGTCGTTGGCCCAACCACTTGGAGCCAAGAGCAAAGTCCGAAAAGCCGCCCCTGTTGGTGTCTCGTTTGAGATTGTGTAAACTGGCGAATCTCACGTAATACCTGAAGCCCGTCGCATGCAGGTCATGCAGGCAGCGTCTTGTTATGTTTACGACCGGCCTGTTTTGGGAACTGCGGGGAATGTCTCTTCACCAGGAGCTCGAAGGCTGAGAGCTTCTGATATGCGAGTACAGCAAACATAATTTAATACTGGCTGCCTAGATATGCGCCACGACGCATCATATGATTGTCCACGTCTCATGTCAGCGGCCAGTCCGTTTGGTTCGCCATTAGCAATGCGATTTTTTGGAGGCCATGGTACAATTTGAAGGGCCATCGTGTAGGCCATGATGTTGCCTTGCATCCGCCTTGTGGCAGGCCATTCTGAGCCACCCGTGGAACTCTGTAATAGAGGCAACAAATCCGGTACATTATATGCAACCTCATCAAAGTCGTCATACGAATGACCAAAGTAAGATACTCGTCGTTTCAGGAGACTGGGTTGGCGTCAAGAGTTTGGCTGGCCTAGATGACCAGACGACTCTTGGATGAAGCGGCTCTCATGATCAAAGGATAAGATGCTAGTCAATGGACTCGAGCGCCATTCATCTTTATGTTTCCCTGTGTAACCGGGCCAGGAACTTCGGGATTCGGAATTCAAATTAACGTGCCAGTGCAACTCAATGCAAACACGTCATATTCGGTTTCGCTACTAGGAGGCGGCGCATCTAATTGAACCAGTCCATTGCACGAAAGCGAGGGCTGGCTGACAGAAAGTCCAACTGAAGGTTTATCCGTCCAAGGACATCCCAAGACAATCGAGTAGAGCCTTTTCTCCGCTGACAGAATTTGAGTTGACATAAAGTGGTCTCCAGTGCTGGTATGCAAGGATGGCCTTGGATGCGCAGTTCAGGGGATGTAAGGCCAATTGTCACTGCCATTATGAGTGACCGAGACAAGAAAAAAAAGGGGGGGGCATGTTCCCTGTGTTAGTAACGTCACTCTGCCAAAGTTAACAATGGCATGTTGTTTCTCCCTGATGTTTGTGTTCTCTGTAGAAACACTATGACTGAGTAAGTGACCAGATTCAAGGGTGCGGGGACGGTGTACGTATACAGTGTGAATTATCTGCGAACGGTATTTTAGTGGCCGTTTCTCTTGCGTTATCGGCTTATCGGACCCTCGGTTGCAGCAACGTCACTTGTTGCCGATTACCTCTGTATTGGTCCTCACCTCTAAACCTCCACTGACTTTCCCCTCGTACCACCAAAAACCCACGAAATCAGAATCGCCATCTCAGCCACACCCACAATAACCAAGTCCTTCTTCATCGCCAGAATTCTGACCATGAACGTCTTTTCCAATTCCTAACAGCTTCTGAAATAAAGTCGACGGCAATTACAAAGTCACGATGTCGCAATCAGAGTTTCCTCCGGAGGACGATGCCACTTTCTCTCATCTCGTCCACGACCTGGTCGAGGAGGCGGTGCGGTCTGTCGAGGAGGTTCCCATTCCCCTGGCGCGTAAGTGGACACAAGAGAAAGGGCAACTATTCTCGCAAAAGTAGCTGACCAGCCACCCCAAGCCCGGGCCCCCATTCAATGGCCCGTTGAGGAACTAGCAACCCGAGAAGCCATACGATACTCCCTCACGCCCGACAAGGTCAAAGAACTGCTCGACTTCTCCTCCCTCAACTATACGGAAGAACCCGATGACAACCTAATCTGCCCCATTTGCAAACTTGCCGTCATTACTCCCATCATTACACCGTGTGATCACACCTTCTGCCTCGAATGCCTCAGGCGCCACTTCTTTACCTCGGACGCATGTCCTATTGATCGAACGAGATTTCGCGCCAAAGACTGCAAGACTTCCAGGCTCTTGACCAACATGCTCGATGCCTTGGTCGTGAACTGTCCTAATACCGAGCGAGGGTGTGATGAGACGATGAAACGCGAAGAGGTGGTCAAGCACGCGATCGGCTGTCGGTATACTTTACAGGACTGTCCGGACAAGACGTGCAACAGAAGAGTGGAACAGTGGATGGCCGCTTCAGGAAAGTGCTGGCACTTTGAGCAGACGTGCGAATACTGTGAAGAGAAAATGGAAGCGGCCTCGATGGAGCATCACATTACCAAGTGTCTCAAGAATACTACGGCCTGTTCTGATTGCGGCGAGGCGATCAAAGCGTCTGAGTTGAAGCAGCACCACGAAGAGAGCTGCGTTGAGGCGTCCGTTCTATGTCAATATGGCGAATACGGCTGTGGCCACGAAGCAGTCCGTAAGACGCTTAGCGCTCATGAGGGTGAGTGCATTTACAAGGTTGTCGCTATCGTCGGCGAAAAAGTTAAGTCACAGGAGAAGCAAATCAAAAAGCTTCAGAGGGAGAAGGAGGAGCAAGAACGCCAGATCCTGGAGCTCAAGGACGAGCGGCGGGACTGCATCTCGTGGGATGATGTCTTCAATCTCAACAATGTCCAAGGCGGCCCCAAGTTCAAGCCAACCGAAGCAGTTATGACAATATACGAAGACATGGAGCGTCGGATGGAGGAACTTAAGAAAGAATTCACCGATCTCGAAGGTCGTCAGACAGTCATGATGCTCAACCAAGTTATGCCGATTAAGGATCAGATAACTGAGATCCGGAGCAATCTCGGTATCCTCAAGATGCACATGGCTTGGCTCATGAATAAAAGCCGCGAGGAGGTGGAACGCAGCCGGCTGGCCAACCGCACTGTCAGCGGAACGAGCCGAACTCGAGGCAGTTCCGACAGCGATGGTGAGGCGTCCTCCTCGTCGAGGCGCCTGAGCGATGGATCGAATGGTATCCCGCGACTTTGAAGGAGATCCAGTTCATTAGCTGGCAAATATCCGGACTGTTTCCAACAAAACCTTTTAATGATTTTACCCGGCTTAAGGAGTAGTAGTATTCGGTCAAGACTTTTAGCATGTATTGAAAACTCGGGTATGGGCTGGTTCTACTGGCACTGGAGCTCCAACAACCTGGCTGCGGCAGCGGCATATGTACCAGTACAATAGTCAAATTTGGCGTTGGGGATATGGACTAGTGGTATCAACGACATGGAAACGGCACGGAAATACCCTTGAGGCACTCTAACCACTGTTATGCCTATGGAAAACAAAATTGTTTCTCATGAACCAAAATATTGCTTAGCCCAAGACCAACGTGAGGTTCATCAAGTTTAGTTCCAACGGTATGGCATCTCCGAGCTGATTAGGGTAATTAAAGCCACAATGTCACCTTTGACGGCGGTATCAATCTGACCCAGAGAGAGAGCCATTCGTGTGCATGCTACTTAGACGCGTCGTGTAGCCAACAGATTTCGGATTCAAGAATGTTTCCGAATTTAATTGACGTTTGAGCATCAAAATTTCATCCATCTCATGCCCAGTAGGTGCCGCCTTGTTTCCGGTTCGTCTGAAGCAGTTAACAATCTCCAAGTCACCGCGGAGGAGTGTGTCTTAAGGGTCCCATCTCAGCCAGGCTTTGAATTGCTTTATGTAAGCGGAATTGGCACTCTTTTCTTTTCTTGGAGTTGCCGCAGCCACGTTTGGGCTTTGAGGCATTCTTACTGATGCCTGGCTGACAAGAATCTCTTAGAAGGTTGGAAAGTGGCTAGCAAGGGATGTGATGTGCTTTGTCGGCTTATTAATGAAAAGTCGAGGTGTGTCGCTCCTTTCCTTCTGTGACTTCCTTACCTCATCCGCGGACTTTGGGCCTCTGCGGTGGAGTTTTCTGTTTACAGTGGACGACCTTATCGGATTTAACCAGGGAGTGTCTTTGTGGTCCGCCCGCACCCCACATTCACCGCCCGTACCACACTCCCCACCACTGCAAGGCCCTGAACGTCAATACTCTGTCGGTCCAGCCCACCTTGCCGCCTGCCTACCTTCCGCAATCTGCAAACTGCAAACTGCACATACCGTCGTTCAGCCCTGTGCTAGTTGTTGGGCTGTCTCGATCTCCAGACGCTCGACTCGCGTGGCTGTTTTATCCAGCTGCATCAACCAACCTTCTTCGCCTTTTCCTTTGTCCAGGGCCGAGCCGGAAGATCCCTGCGACGGGACGAGACGACCAAGTTATACAACGATAGCAGCGAAGGCAACGACGTTCACCCACGGTGCGATCCGACGCGATTTATAAGATGGACCCCAACCAGAACAATCAAGCGCCTGATGCGCCTGATACTGCAAAGATGAACGAGGTAAGCAGATACAGATTTCTGTCTTGCGATTGTCCACGGAAAAGCCTGTCTGTCCTCGATATCAACCTCGATGTGCTCGACATCATCCTCTGCGGCTCGCTCGATGCTGTCACATCTCTGCTATGTCGATGTTGTCGGTCCGTTTGGCTCCCTCGCGACTCTATCTCCACCTTCAAATATTTAATCGGGTTGCCATCGTCCTCTCTGTCGAGCATCTATATCTGGCATGTCAGCCTCAAACTCTTATTTCGCAACGCCACACGACAATACAAAGCATCTTTCAGGGCACTACAAATGACACCAGAAGCCAGCGATGGGGTGGATGATGGGTTTGGACGCGCAGAGAAGCAGAAACGAGGTAGAAAATATGCAGAAGGGGAGAGTTTTGCTGACTATTCTTGCTTCAGATCCGATTGCGACGTTTAGCCAAACTCGGCTCGGCCGCTAGAACCTCTCCCAAACCTGATGGGAGCCCATCGTCACCAGGCGCCGGAGGGTCGGGTGCGTCGACACCAACCGAGGAAAAGGGAAAAGCACAGATGGAGGAGTCCACAAAGATCAACATTACCCCGTCATCAACACCAAAGCCTGCCGAAAACCCCTTCTCGAAACTTGGCGTCAGGCCCGACAACGGAGCCAGCGACAACAGCGCACAAAAGCGAGCAGCCTCTAAGACCGATGCCCCGCCTGTCAAGCGACCAACTGTCGTTCACGAGGAGTCCATCGAGGAGTTCTCGGACAGAACCCTTACACAGATCTTCCGTGTAACGGTCGATCCTGATCGTCTGACGGATATCCATGGCCACAAGCTTACGTTTTTGCCAGGGGCGAGCCAGGAGCTGGCGGAATCGGGGACACCATTGAAGCTTACTACTGGCGTTCTGGATAGTGCCCTACTGGAAGTTTTGTCTTCTCTGCCCCAGGATAAGTCCATTCTTGGCTTCCTTCTTCCCTGTTTTAAGCGTATCCTGCGCCTCTACACCCTCGTAAAGGACACTGCGAAGGACAAAAGGGAAGTTCTGGAGGAGGCGAAGAGACTCTGCATTAGCAATTGCTTATTCGCTCTGACTCTTCCTGATCTGTTTGGGTAAGTAACATGCTCAGTCACACGGGTGACAGCGACTAATTCTTTTTCAAGACGATCGCGCCCTGATGATCTTGCTTCGTGCCTCCTCCGTGGACACGGACCTGACGATGGTGTCTGCCTGGACTTCCTGGGGGAGGCTGTGAAGCGCTTCCCGGAAGATGAACAGTACCCAGTGGTATTCGCCGAGGCCATTTACACGCTTAGTACCAAGTTGTCGGCTATGACAATGGAAGACGACTACAAGCCGTACATCAACGTAAGTTCACCAGCCCCCTGCTGAAGATGCGGAGGATACATAATGCCGATCGTCCATTTTGGAGGGTACTTTCGAGATCCACAACTAAGGGACTACATCCATGGACGGGACGAGCAACTTGGGAGACAATCATGCTAACAGCACCAGGCCTTGATGTCGTATACAAAGTTCCCGCCGCTTTTGGCGGCTTTGGCCAACCACCCTAACTTTTTGGCTGCTCAGAAGTCCGGTCCTCTCGTCGAGAAGGGCACTATTTTGGGTCCTTTTTTCCGGATATCTCCCTTGCAGTCCGAGGTCACGCTCACCTACTTCTCAAACCCGCGAGGATTGGACAGGGGTAGGGCAGCCCAGGCCCAAGATGCGCTTCGCGCTATTTTGCGTGTGCATCAAGATGAGCTGTTCGCCATCGCCAACGCTTTCATCCGCGCCGACACCGGGACTAGAGGTCGCGTTCTGGACTGGTTTGCTTCGGCAATCAACGCCAACCACAAACGTAGGGCTCTTCAAGTGGACCCCAAAGAAGTGTCATCTGACGGTTTTATGATGAATTTGACTGTTATTCTCGACCGTTTCTGCGCGCCTTTTATGGATACCACATTTTCCAAGATTGATAGGATTGAGGTTGACTACTTCCGACGAAACCCTCGGGTCGACATCCAAGAGGAGACCAAACTCAACGCAGACCAGTCAACTTCCGATGCCTTCTACGAGAAAAAGGTTGACGGCACATCCAACTTTATTTCCGAGGTCTTTTTCCTGACCCTTGCTGCGCACCATTACGGCAGTGAGGCCACCAGTTCGAAGCTCAAGAGCTTGGACCGAGACATCAAGTACTATGAGAAGTACTTGGCGCAGATGGAGGCAGAGCGAGTCAAGCTTGAAAATGTGAGTACTGCTATGCACCCTTTTCCCGGCGATTCTAACTGAGCTTAGCGCCCCGATCAACTTGCCATGTACGAAGTGGCTCTGAAACGCCACGTTCTTGTCCTTGAGAAGGCTATTGCGCTGAAATATGCCATTGAGGGTGTATTCATGGACGAGAAGATGCAGGAGTTGTCTCTTCGCTTTATGCGATATGTCGCCGTCTGGCTTCTTCGCCTGGCTAGCCAGACTAACTACACCCCTGATAAGGACCTCCAGTCAGTCACACCATTCGTCTGGTTTTTGGCAATACTCCATGCCATGCCTTCCTCTTCATGCTTCTATGCGTTAATCCAAATTTTACTGACCCTATTCATAGACTTCCTCTGCCTAGCCAAGAGCCTGAAGCTTTCGCTTGTCTGCCCGAGTACGCTCTTCAAGACGTCGTTGACAACTTCAAATTCGTCTACCGGTATGTTTCCCCGCTAACTAATACACTCACGGCTTTTCTGACATAGTCCTAGCTACCTTCCTCAGATCATGCCATCCGCCGTTGGCAGCGAGATGATTGCTCTTTGCATAGCTTTCCTCCGATCGTCCGAGTACATCAAGAACCCTTACTTGAAGTCATCACTGGTTACGCTGCTCTTCTCTGGCACTTGGCCTTTCATGCACTTTAAGAAGGGAGTTTTGGGTGACCAGCTCTATGGATCCAAGTTCGCCAACGACAACCTGTTGCACGCGTTGATGAAATTCTATATTGAGGCTGAGTCGACCGGTGCTCATACACAGTTCTATGACAAGTTCAACATCAGATACGAGATTTTCCAGGTCATTAAGTGTGTGTGGGGAAACGACGTCTACAAGCAGCAGTTGACCAGGGAGAGCAAGTAAGTGAAATTCTTTCTGAAGGCAGTGGTTGCTGTCTTCCTAAGAACACCATCCTGGATATTTCCAGAGCTTGGTCATCTTCCTTTTACCAACTCGCCTTGTCCATCCACTGCACATTTCCCCACTCCTTATCTTCCGAATCTTTTTAACTTCTCCTTGCCAACTTCACGCATCATTGCGAAGTACCAGAGAGCTAACATCGGGTTAGGGTCAACCGGCAGTTCTTTGTGCAATTCGTCAACCTCTTGCTCAACGACGCCACATATGTACTTGATGAAGCGTTGACAAAATTCCCCAAAATCCACGCGCTTCAAAACGAGCTTGAGTACGATAACAGCCTCTCAGCTCAGGAGAAGCAAAAGAAACAAGAGGAGTTGCAGGGTCTCGAAAGTCAGGCCGGATCATACATGCAACTTGCCAATGAGACGCTAGCGATGATGAAGCTCTTCACATCTGCACTGGCAACGGCATTCACCATGCCCGAAATTGTGCAGCGTCTGGCCAGTATGTTGAACTACAACCTTGAGACGCTGGCCGGTCCGAAGATGGGACAGCTCAAGGTGAACGACCCGCAGAAGTACCACTTCCAGCCTCGCGTTCTCCTCTCGGACTTTGTGGACATTTACCTCAACCTCGGCTCATCGCAAGCTTTCATTGACGCCGTTGCCTCGGACGGTCGCTCATACAAGCCAGCGACCTTTGACAAGGCGAGCTACATCCTATCGAAGCGCAGCATGAAGGAGGCTACCGAGCTTGAGCGTTTTGACGCTCTAAAGGCCAAGTTCAAGGAGGCCAAGGAAATTGCGGAACAAGCTGAACTCGACCTGGGCGATATCCCGGCCGAGTTCGAGGACCCCATTATGGGCGACCTCATGAAGGACCCAGTGATCCTGCCATCCAAGCACATTGTGGACCGCTCAACCATTGTGCAGCACCTGTTGTCTGACCCCAAGGACCCGTTCACGCGGCAGTCGATGACCATTGACGATGCGATCCCCCACACTGAGCTGAAGGAGAAGATTGAGAAGTGGAAGGCAGACAAGATTGCAGCAGCCAAGTCCAAGATTCAAGATGCTATGGACACCACGGAGGGTTGAGGTCGCGCTGCCGCGACAAGAAGTTGACGATTGGGTTAATGGGATTATGGGATTGTTCAGGCGGCTTTCAGGGCGGCCAGGCATGCATTGTGTACGGATTAGACATTTGGAACCCTCGGTTTAGGGGGGCCACACAAGATACCAGGCAGCGAAATAGACCTGGATTAGACAAAGGAACTCTCAGAGCAAGTGAGACGAGCTGGTGAAGTAGTCGTGGATTGACGAGGTCGGTCAACCTGATGAGATAATTTGGGGCGAGATGGCCAGTATTTGTGACAGCAAAACGCTCGCTGATTTAGTAGAGCATCAACCTGAGGCAAAAGAGACGGGAGTGATATCTCGCCAGGTATTCGGCCGAAAGGAGATGGGGGGACGAGATGGAAAAATACGCCCCCCCCCCCGGCCAGGCCGGGAGTGAAGGGGACTGGCAAGGAGCGAGACATGACGAGGTTGCGAGTAGAAAACCCGGGCGGGCTTCCTTCACTAATGATTCGCGAAAAGAAGACACGGAAGAATTGTTGTTCTCATGTTCTCATAAGACCAAGGGGAGGGCGAGGCGGGCCGAAAGAGAGAGAGGGAGAGAGCACGTTCACTATGTAGGGTTTCTAGACGTTGGGCTCTTCATCTTTTTTTGTCGCTGACCGACCGGGTCGGGCTGTCCTTCACCGAGAGAGGTGGCGCGAAAGTATGTTCCGAAAGGGATCGAGGGGGGTTAGATGATTACGAGAGCTGGGTAAAGTCGAACCATTGTCGGCGGCCTTTCTGGTTCCTTTTTTTAGGGGATAATTGTCAGAGGTAGGCTAAGCCACAGGGTTCAAAGGGTGATTGAGGCTTTTTGATTTAATGGGGGGGATCGATCCGTGGGGGACACGGCGGTTTCTTCACGGGGAGATGATGTGCGGGCGTTGAATTTGTCCGCCTGGTAGGGGATGGGATGCCAGGGGATCGGACCGTGATCCTGGGGGTGTGTGGATGACTTCCCTTTTCCCCTCCCTGTTCTCTGTTCTCTTGGAAACTTGGGACGAATAGGATCTGGACGGTGTGCCGGATCAGGTCAGCTGCAGTGACATTGAGGGGAGATGTGAGGCGAAATGGTTGACAGAGGAGGGCAAAGATAGACTTGGGAAGGGTCATAGTGTGGGATTTCGGTGAGGAAGTGGCATGCCATTTCGGAAATTTGGCATGGGATGACTGAGGTGATTCTAGGGACGAGACGCGTGGATAAACAGGCGGTCGTGATGTCATGGGTGAGGGAAATAAGTTGAAGAATGATACCCTCTCTCTGTACATTTGTTTTGAGTTTCCGTTAGGGGACCCGCCCTTTCTTTTTCCTTTGGTTCAAACAGAAACAGTGTTGAGTAAGTAAAGGCATTAATATTCGAGCCGATTATCCATGCGTGGCTTGCAGAAGCTTCTGTCGTCGATTAGTGCATCGCTGATGGGACAGCAGACTGGTATTCCCGCTGGTTTGGTGCTACACTAGAGGCAGTGGGTTGGGCTGGCTGACTTGCTGGTGGGTGGGTGATGATTAACGGGCTCCTCTAGCCGGGTCAGGGCCGCTGTGTCGGAAGGCCGGCACGGGCAGTGATTGGACGAAACCAGAGTGTTCCAGAGGTGCTGTTGGGGGGCCGTTCACTAAAAAGGGGCCCGGTGGGCCACCCGAAGTGTCACCCGTGCCAAGCTTTGGACGTAGCGTCCAGGGGGTTGTCTTGGTGATTCCATGAGACCTGGGGAAGACTCCCATAAAGATTGGCTGGCCGAGCTTTGGTTCTTTTTTCTGTACCTGATCCGACTGGTTAAGACGAGGTGCAGCAGTGAAGGCGATGGTGGGCAGTGAGGCGTGGGCAAAGAGGCCGCCCTTGTGATATGGCAGCGAGGATATTCGGATACCTGTCTGTAAACACGTGCTTTTCTGTTTGTTGGAAACGTGGTAAGCTCGGAAACGAGGTTTGGGGTCGGGTGTCTTTGGGCAAAAAGTCATCTCGTTTCTGTTGGGTTATTTCTTATCTGATTTGCGGATATATCCTGTTCCACCATGGTAGGTCTATTCTTATGGCGTCCTTTTCCCTCTTGTTGATCGAACCATCCAATGTCCCTCCTCAAATGGGACAAGCTTCCGGGGCTGGGACACGTATCCCCGTCTGGTTGCTTCTCTTCTCGGTCAGGGAGGTGTCTCGACTAAGCCAACTATGCCCCAACTGCAGGTACCTGCACCTTTCTCACTACTTGCCTCACTACTTGCCTCTCCCCCGCTCTTGGAATGTGTCTGTCGCTGCTTCTCTCTGCAACTGAGCAACGACTGTTGCATGCCTCAATGATGTAGCTTTCATAGAATGGGTACGTACCCGCTACACCGCACCTTGTTGCCCCGCCTTCCAGCTTCAGGTAGCTCAATCACCCCACCTGCCGCTGCCTTCCTTCCCGTACCTGTCAACTTCTTTCCCATCTGCTCTCACCTAGAGTAAGTCCAAGGTAGGTAGCTACCCGACCTTGGGCTGCTGTCTGTCTCCTACGTAGCTTCCATTCTGTCCCTGTCCCGAAGTGCTGGCCTTGTCCCTGTCCCTGTGCCGCCCACCTTTATGTGTACTATGGTACTTGATGCGCCGCAACAGAAGTCTTGTTTCCTGGGGCGGCCATGCGGCGGGCAGTGCCACGGTCTCCCACTCCCAGCTGCTTCCGCTTTGCAATGGGTGCTGATGCCCTCCTCTCATCTTCTCTTTTCCCTCTTTTGCTTCTGTCTACACACTCTCGTCTTCCAGTACAGATTGACTTGCCTCGACTCGCCCCCTAGCTCAACTCGCTTTCCCAGCCCATAGCTCCAGCTTCCTCTTTTCTCATATAAACATCAACTCTCGTCCGCCTCTTCTCGCCCTCGAGCTCACTCTCTCCTCACAACGCTTCTCATTCATCTTGCTCCCTTTTTCATCCTCTCTTCAACCTTTCAAAATGGTTCACCTCGCAACCGTTGCCACGCCCCCCGACTCGGGCTCCGAGGACTCCTCCAACGCCAGCCTTTCCAAGGTTATGAAGACGCTCAAGAACGTCCAACTGCAACTTGCCGACCATGATGACTGCTATACTACTAGCGTCTACGGCTCTCGCTTCGCCAACCAGGATCTCCCCAAGAGGGAGATGCCTGAGAACGAGATGCCCAAGGAAGTCGCCTACCGTATGATCAAGGACGAGCTAAGTCTTGACGGCAACCCTATGCTCAAGTAAGCCTTGAAGACTTGTAATTTTTCGTACACTTGTAGTTCTGACATTATGATAACCTAGCCTTGCCTCCTTTGTGACAACCTATATGGTACGTCTGTACTTGACAAGTGACGAGCCGCACTCGCATAACCACCCTTGTCCCCCGCAATGTTGCACCCTCGCTGACCCCCACTCTAGGAAGAGGAAGCTGAGAAGCTCATGGCCGAGTCCTTCTCCAAGAACTTTATTGACTATGAGGAGTACCCCCAGTCGGCTGACATCCAGAACCGCTGTGTTAGCATGATTGGCAAGCTCTTCCATGCCCCCGTTGGCGCCGGTGAAGGTGTGGGCGCCGTCGGCACCTCCTGCGTTGGCAGCTCCGAGGCTATCATGCTCGCTGTACTTGCCATGAAGAAGCGCTGGAAGAACAAGCGTCAGGCCGAGGGCAAGAGCACGGACCGCCCCAACATCGTCATGTCCAGTGCTGTTCAGGTCTGCTGGGAGAAGGCTGCCCGCTATTTTGAAGTGGAGGAGAAGCTCGTATACTGCACGCACGACCGCTACGTCATTGACCCCGAAGAGACGGTCAGTCTCATCGACGAGAACACCATCGGCATCTGTGCCATCTTGGGCACCACTTACACGGGTGAGTATGAGGACGTCAAGGCTGTTAACGATCTGCTTGTGGAGAGGAATATCGATGTTCCCATTCATGTCGATGCTGCCAGTGGAGGATTCGTCGCCCCTTTTGTCGTCCCGGATCTGGAGTGGGATTTCCGTCTGGAGAGAGTTGTCTCCATCAACGTCTCTGGCCATAAGGTGAGCATCCCCTCTGAAAGAAAAATCCAACATTGCTAAGAACTTCAGTACGGCCTCGTGTACCCTGGTGTTGGCTGGGTTGTCTGGCGCTCGGCTGAATACCTCCCCCAAGAACTCGTTTTCAACATCAACTACCTTGGCGCCGACCAGGCATCCTTCACCCTCAACTTCTCCAAGGGAGCTTCTCAAGTTATTGGCCAGTACTACCAGCTCATCCGCCTGGGAAAGAAGGGCTACCGCGCCATCATGTCCAACCTGACCCGCACCGCCGACTACTTGAGCCAGTCTCTCGAGTTTCTTGGCTTTATCATCATGTCCAAGCGCTCCGGCGAAGGCCTCCCTCTCGTCGCCTTCCGCCTCCCAGAAAACGAGGAACGTAACTACGACGAGTTTGCCCTGGCCCACCAGCTCCGCGTCCGCGGCTGGGTAGTCCCAGCCTACACCATGGCGCCCAAGACTAACGACCTCAAAATGCTACGGGTTGTTGTTCGCGAGGACTTTAGCAAATCCCGCTGCGACAGCCTCATCACCGACATCAAGCTCTGCATGGGCTTGTTGGAACAAATGGACCAAGAAAGCATCAAGCGGCAGCAAGACTTTATCCACAAGCACCACCTCGCCAGCACCAAGGCGTCCCATAACCACCCAAAGTTCAGAGTTTGTCCACACCCCCGCGGAAGACGCACCGAGAACGTGGTATCGCTGACCATTGCCTATAGAAGGAAAAACATTCACTGCAGGGTAAAACTGGCAAAACGCATGCCATCTGCTAAATCCCTTACCGCATGCTGTTACAAAGACAGTACTCTAAGGCACGAGATAAATGACTGACACGACGATCACGACGGGTTGGGTCGGTGGGACAGTTGGCCTAGGGCTGGTTAAGATAGGTCGGCTTGTTGGTCGGAACTAGGAAACGGGTGTACAAAGAGGTGGAATCGTTCGAATTACTATCATTCTTGAACTGTATTTTTGCTGAGCATCTCAGCACCTGAGGTGCCTTCCAGGATCGCAAGTTGCCGGATACAATGTTGCCAGAAGTTGGCGAGTTTGAAGAGCCAGTTTAGATGCAAGAAGAGACACAGAGGTCAATACATTGAGTATGATATATTGAGACTGGAGAACTGCATCGCACTCTGCGAGTGATTCTTAACGAACTTCTGTGACATGTCAGACTATGGACTGGCGTCCAGGTTTAAATTGAATTTGTTTTACCTTTCATAACCTGACCCAGGCTAGCAGGGAATTTCGTGGTGTCTTGCATGTTTGGAGAACGTCGGAAATTTCAGTAAAAGTACCATGCAACTACAATCATATCAGCGTTTGTACACTGAAACAAATCATTATGATTACAAAGTGTATATGTCTCATTGAGGTCACATGGTCTGAATTATGTCTGTTTTATGAATCAGAATCAATGCCTGAAAGATCCATGGTCTGTTCCATTCGTGTTTCCTGGGCCTTTCGATGCGTGTAGTCTTTGGTGCCGGTTGACTTTCCCATTGACTTGGTAGTCGACTTCCGCCTTCCGACCTTTGGATTTATCTTGGGTCAAATGGAGCGTAGACACTTTATTTTGAAATTTTCCAGTTTGTATTAGTGCTGTTTAATTTGACGAGAAACCCTGCAGTGTTGTGTCTTTCGTTCTCTGCAGACAGAACCAGTGTATGTTGGAATTTATCGTAATAGCAATCTTCCCAGTTAGCCTCTTCGGCAAACAGAACTGAACCACGTCCTAGCCTTCTCATGGTCTGCGCGGTCGTGGCAATTGCGGGATGTGCAGCGCGTGAGCCAGAAATGGTGCCACGTCCGCATGGCAAGAAACTTGTCCTCGCAAAAGTCGTACTGGCTGACGGTGTTGATATCGTTCCCCACGTAGTTTTTGTTCTCCCACTGCAGGCATTCTTGCCAGCATATGGGCGCAGTGTGAAGGGGGAGCGGCTTGTCTTTGGGGATTTTTTCCCACCCCGTCGGTGCGTCCAATTGACTGCCCAACGCGCTGGTGGCGAGGATAATGGGGGAAAGTACCATGATGGCTTTCATTTTGGGTAGTTGTGTGGGTGCCTTGTTTTGCTGTTCTTGGATGGAAAGCTTTGTTTTTGGCAGGGCCCAGTCGGATATGTTGCGGTTGACAATTCGGTGGTTTCCTTTCTTCTTGACGTTCTGTGTGCTGAGAGAGATTTGAGTGTCAATTTTGAGCTCCAGGATTCGTGGTCCCTCAAGATTCGTTGTCTTGTGGTTTCTCCGATTTGTCGTGGGGAGAGAATCATCCGGCGCTGTACGGATTAAGATCAAGAGCAAGCCTCTCGTTCGACCTTGGTACTTGATGGACAATCGCCCAATCATCGTTTTGCATTTACATTTCTATAAGTAAAAGACCCGGAAACTTCCATTGAGTTTGGCTCGCCCTAGTTTTGCCCTTTGCTTATCTACCGGAGATGGATGTGTATGGGTAAGGTGAAGGTGCGTGTAGTTATGTAATCAAAGCTTATACGAACTTCAATGGCCATAGTGCATTCTAAGAAGCCACCTTCTTGGAACAATAGTGTGCAAAATCCGGCCATGCTAGCGTCGTTCCTTTCTTGCATTTTTGATTTTGTTGGTTTTGTTGGAAAGCCCCCTGCACATGACCATTTCGTACTTTTGGGTGGTGACTTCTTGCAATATTAGACGGTAGAAGCGAGGTCAACAAGTTTTTGATGGCACGAAAAAAATTCTACAAATACGAGGGAGGTAACTGTGAAAGCGTAGCACTTCCAAGTAACACATTGCCTATGTCAACAGCACTGTTGATATTCCAAATAGCCACTTCATCTTGACCATATTCACGGGCTTGAAAGTAGGTATTGTACTTGGAAAGGCGTAGACTTTTAATTCTAAGTACAAGACGCTTAATGGTTAAGAAAATATTCAACCAGCGATGAGTCCCGATGTTAATAACAGGCAGGAGCAGAAAGACGGGTCATAAAATTGACCTTTCTATGGGTTACTTCATCCATGAAGTTGACACTACAGATTCAACCTCTAGTCGATGTCACAACTTTTACACTGCTCCATGCGAAGCGTTCAGTCTTGCCGTCTGTAATATGATGCAGCATTAGGTGTATTGGTAATCAGACAACTTGTGGAAGGAGCTCTGGCTCGGTTCTTCTTCCTTGGAGGAAGCCTCTTCCTCCCAATCATGTGCTTTCCTTGATTTGAGGGCAAGGCGAAGGAGGTGCCTTCCTCCTGCACCCTCTTGCCCAAGCTGATCAGAGGGAAGGAGGCTGTCTGTCCGGCCAGCTAGTCCCCTTGGCTGAGTATATCTCCCCGAATTCCTGTTGGAGCCTTTGTTTTTCTTCTTTTCTTTTTTTCTTCTTCGTGCTTTCGAGACGGTTTGTAAAGCCCCCATTAGATCCCACGGCCATTTGCCTGACCTTTCTTACTAACGAAGCAACAGCTGCAATCGGTTCTTTTTTTTCGGTTTGCTTTTTTTTTTCTCTCGAAACACTCTATTCGCCCGGCTACTAGCCTGATTTTTTCTCTTTTCGCCGTCCTTGTCGCCGTCCTCGTCGTCGCCGCCGCCGTCGCTATGGACAACGTCTTCGTTCTTCCCGGCCCTGCCACAGCCGCCTCCGCTGACGCCTGCCTTCCCTTCTGGCAACGTTGGCTTTCTTCCCTCTGGCGTTATGCCAGAGACCTCTTCTACGGAATCTCGGCTTGGATTCCTATTCTTCTGATTATCGACCTGGTGGCCTCTTCCTGGTTGGTTTTAGAGTTCCTCGGTAGGCCTTATCTCCTCTGTCTCCTCTGCTTCTTTTTAGTTATTCTAACTGTAACAGTTAGCGATATCCTTATGCTTAGCTTTAAGCAAAATGGTTTCTTAACGGCTCCGAGCTTGTATTACCGTGCGGTTGCCCTGGCCCTTCTTGGGGTATTTCTTGTGGTCCTTGCCCTGACCGGGGGCTGTCTCGCCGACATGTAGTACCGGAGTTTCCGGATTCTAAACTCCGGGTACTGTCCGCCTTCGGGCGCGATCTTTGGCATGAAGAACTCGGTACAGTCCGTCACCTCCCCCGCCACCGCCGCCTCCTTCGTCCGCCGGGGACTCCGTCCCAACGCCTGTACGGAGTGTGTTCCGGAGGGAACCACTCTCGGGGACAACGGCCAAAACCGGCTGGACCGCATGTACCATGGGATGACCAGAGGAGGGAGAAACCTGGGCTGCTTGCCCGTCTTCGATCACTACTGCTGGTGGCTCTGGGTGCCAGTTTGCCTAACCACGATCAAGTCCTACCTTCTCTTCATGGTGTACATTTGTATGTTTCATGCTTTGACGCTTGGGATACTGACGTGGTCACTTATTTCCTACTCCTGGAGCTGGCCTGGCTTTCTTTATGCCATTCTTGTTGCTGCTTTTCCTGCGATGCTCAACTGGGTGGAGAAGGCACCACTCACTGGCCAGTGGAAGCACCTAGGAATGATGAACAGCACGAACCGGGAATGGCTCCTGTTTGTCAAGTCAAGGGGCCGCACGCCACGATCAGAATGGCCAATGTACATCCGTGTTGAAGACGGCAGTTTCCAGTATTATACGGCAACCTACAATCCTTGGGATCTCGGAACGATGGGCAACCTTCGAGAAGCCTTGGGCGACCACTTGTGGCAATGGCCCTTCCCTTGGGTTGTCCCTCGCCGGGTGCGAGAATATGGTATGAACGAAGACGCAGACCTGACCTTCTCGTCTCGGTGGATCGAAGAAGTGCAGGTGAATAGTACCATTCCGCAAGGAATTGAGCTTCGAGAGCTGCCCCGTGCGCTTCGCAATCGCCATCAGTTCTCGTCGACAGATCAGTAGGCCCTCGGTTGATCACCGTTGCGGCTGCCCCCGCTGGCATCTATTCTCACGTCTGTTCTTGGTCTCTCACTCAATGGTCTCCGGTCACCTATTTCTATTGTTTCAGCTTGGTCTGTCTCTCGCCGCCGTTCAACTTTGACAAGAACACCGCAGCTGCCCCGGTTAAGCAATAATTATTACACCACTAGTGGTGATTTTCCGCCCATCTACTTACCTCATTGGAAAGAGGAGTCAACCTCTATAAAAAATCAGCCCGACATGTCGCACCTTCACGTGGTGTCGGGCGTCAGTATCCGTCTTTTGAAAACTGGGCAATCAAAGACGGAGAAGCTAACGCGACATTATCTCCAAAGATTCCACCATGACCAGGAAAATGCCATCAAACACCGACGTACAACTTGAAAACAGTCATTATCTTACCATGGCCCTTGCAGCCATCGGCAACATCTAGCTTTGAGCCTCATCAACTCAACAGCGTTATTCCCACGAACCATTTTACCATACGAGAGTTCTCCCACGTCTCTGGGGCAGCAGACAGTGCAAGCATTGAGCGCAAGGGAATTTTGAGGGTAGCAAAAGTCTTTGGTGCTCACAATCAATCCATTTCGAAAGTGTTTACTTATCTTTGGGAAAACCATCTTCAAATCTGAGTCAGCAGAAGCTGTCGGTGCTACAATCGTCAACTACATTGGGTACCAGGTTTGGGTCCAAAAGATCAGATGCTCAATGTCGAGCGGAGACGTCTGACACGACGTGCAGGAATGACCAGCTGCATTTTTTTGCCTTATAGGTGGAAAGAAACCATTATTTCGAATGGACCCGCTATTATGACCCGCGGCAGTCGACGTCGTGAGAGCTTGGCAGCTGTCTCGGAGCCCGGCTTCGTCCCAGGCCCCGGGTGACATCGGTCTCTCATGCCGCTCGTGACCGGTTTGGAGGCGTTCCTGGACAGACACAGCCAGCCCCAAGCCACCAGACCACCAGGCCCTGCATCTGTAATCTTCAGTGGAGGTTAATGGCGGGGGAAGAGGGCTTATCAGCGGTGAAGCTGGCGAGCAAAGAGCGCTAGAGGGAGCAACCGACAAGCTCTGATTGGCTACCCTGGTCGTCGGATCCGGGGGGCGACCAAAAATGGACTAGGCCCGGAACCGTCGTGCCCGCGTGCCCCTCCAAAGGTGCATTTCCCCATGAATTCAGCGTTTCCAGGGTTGAACATGGGCCCTTTCACATGTCAGATGCCCGCCCCCAAACGGACGTCACCATCTCGCTTTGGTCCAGCAGTTGAACCGAGCGACCGCAGTTGTCCCTTCTCTGTTGAAACATGTGCCGCCGCTACCCTGGACCAAGACTTTTTTGCCATGAGGCTCTTTGACTACCATCCTTCCTCTCACAGCAAATCTCCCTGAGAAAGAGAGCTTCCGTCTCCGCGAGATCCGCAACGACATCATCATCATTCCTCGCGACCATCCAATTTCCGTCGTCTAGATAGCCGCCAAAGGCTTCCAGATAAACACCGCTTTCTGTTTCGAGTCAATCGTCCTTCGGGTGGCGGTCCGTGGCCTCAAGCCGTCCGTCGCTGCAGTTGTCGCCAAGCAACCTCCCGAGCCCGGTTACCTTGCCATGGCCTTTTAGTCCGGACTATCGCATTACTCGCGCTACGCCGTCCCGTTGACTCGTCCACCACCAGCTCTTTTACCAGCCACAACCTCGTGGTCTGCTGTGTGCCTGTTGTTTGGTCAGCCCTTGGCTGCCATTGGTGTTCTAGACCCAAGAGGTTGCGGCAGGATCCTACAAACATCCGACGACATCCTTTCCTGACGCCTTGCTTCTTCTCTGCCATAGTTGCCGCTGCCGACACATAATATCGTCAAGCCGCAATGATTGACCACGTCCTTGGACGACCTTCGGTCAAGTCGCGCCGACTCCAGGTGCTGGCTGTTCTGGCCTTCTGGTCAGCATACATCTTCAGGTACGAGAAAATACCCAGGGTGCCCAATTCTGCCCGTCGCGATCGTTTGGCTGACCATAGTTTGTTTGCAGAGGCGATCCCCATGGTCCTCCTGTCATGCGATTCTTCTCCAAGCTCACCACGAAACGTCTCACAACATGGCAGACTGTCGTTGCCACTATGCTCTATCTTTACGCTGCTCGCAACTTTAGCACACTCGTCGGGCTTGCAAGCCCTGAGCCCATGTGCAATATGTACGATGCCACTTATTTCCGTGCCACTTGGGTATTGACCGCCCTGGACGCCGGATTCTGGACCGCCATGAAAATACGGGCCAAATGGCTACGCGACCTCGCCAGTATCGTCTTCTCAGTCTTCTACATGTTTGCCGCTGAAAAGGCCGATGAAAAGGTGCGAAAGGTTCGCGGAATGTTGACGGTCGAACACCTGCGAGTGTCTTGGAACAAGGGGACGACCCCTTACCTACGTTTCTTCCAGGGTCTTTTGCGCCCTCGCTTCTCCCGTTGGCCACCGCGTGCAATTCGCATCCCGCGACCAAGTGGCAGTGACTACAAAGAACCGGTATCTGCTTGGCTGTACTTTGACGGCCCGCTCACCGACCTCGCGCGGCACAACAGAATCATTGTGGACATTCCTGGAGGAGGGTTTGTGGCCATGGACCCTCGATGCAATGACGACAAGCTGTTCGCCTGGGCTGCAAAGACCGGAATGCCGGTGCTGAGCTTGGATTACAAGAAAGCTCCGGAGTTCCCATACCCCTATGCACTAAACGAGTGCTTCGACGTCTATACCACCATCATCAGAAGCAAGGGAAGGTGCATTGGCATGTCTGGGAGGGAGACGCCCAGGGTGGTTCTAACGGGAGACAGCGCTGGAGGAAACTTGGCGACGTCGACGGCCCTTATGATTATTGAACGGACGTCAGCTCCTTTGCGGCACTACGTAAACACCGGAGATCTTCCCTTGCCTGATGGACTTGTTCTATTCTACCCTGGACTAGACATGAATATCGGAAACTGGATGTCGGACGAGCAAATGTCATTGATGAAGGACAGAAGAATGAGGAGCACGAACAAGTCAATTATCAGGCGCAAGAGCATGCAGTACAATGACCTGGTCGGCACACCACACCAGACTGATGATGAGGAGGAAAGAACTCCTAAAAATCTCACAGAACTAACAGATAAAGAGGCTGAGATCGCATCATCACAAGTCCTCGCAAGCCCGCACCCTGAGTACTCGCACAGTGGTCCGCAGGTCCTGTCAAATACACAGCTGGCGTCGCAGGATATCAAGCGCCAAAAGAGCACCTCCCACCACTCGGAGCCTCTGCGGACCCGGCTTGCTATGTCTTCAATGATTTCTTACTTTAATGACCGCGTCCTTACACCCGAAATGATGCGCGCCATGATTATCCTTTACATTGGCCCCCACAACCGGCCTGACTTCAGCCAAGATTACCTACTGTCCCCTGTTCTGGCACCTGATTCTCTCCTGGCCCGTTTCCCCAAGGTTTACTTCCTTACCGGCGAACGGGACCCATTGGTTGACGACACAGTGATTTTCTCTGCTCGGCTGCGAAAAGTTAAGGAGGCCATGTTCGACCAAGCACGCTCTGAGCGCTCTGACCTGGGTGACGGTCAGGAGCCAGTTTTCGACGCCAGGGACGTTGCTGAGGTGATACTCATTCCCGGCATCTCCCATGGCTTTTTACAGTTTCCAACCGTGTATCCGCCAGCTTGGAAGCTTATTGATAGATCCGCTGATTGGATCATGGAGACGTTTGCTTACGCAGACGCAGTCCGCGAACGTGAGAGTCGTGGACGTCGGCGTGTTGGCGGACCCGCTACGAACGGCAACAGTCAGGGAAGACATCACATGCGGACTGAGTCGAGCGGTGACGAAGACCGGCCTCTCGAGATCAGCATGACGCGGGCCAACCGAAGCAAAACTCTGACGAAGGAGCCACAACCTATGGCGGAGGGCGAGTCACTGGTGGAGAAGGTCGAGGCCGGGAATGGGAAGAAGAAGAACGGAAGAGCGAGGGGCGCGAGCAAGAGCGCGGGCACAAGCCTGGTCAAGCTCAAGAGTACAGATGACCTACTCGGCAGGCGTATGCATGGGCTAGCTGGTGGACTGACAGGCGTTGGTAATGAACATGATTGAACACACTTGTAGTTGTACAACAGAACGCACAGTATTTTGGATCACGGCCAGTATCTGGCAGTGATTTCTTTATGGAGAAACACTGGGAGGTCTAGAATGTCTGTAGATTGAACTCGCCAGAACTCGCCAACGAAGCTACACGTACACATGTCCGGGTAACACCGACTCTTATAGATACTTCATATGTTCAAGTCAAAGTGTATACCGTATGCGATCGCTTATCTACTTATTTCGACTTCTTTTGTATTGTGAGTTATCTCATCGAGGCGGCGAATGTAACTCCTTGCAGCGAATCACACTTTCGCCTGTAGCGTTTGCAGTTTAATGCTGGTTCAGATTCTAAACCAGGAATTACTATCCTGCAGAAGAAAAACCATTGATTCGACGGATATTGAAAGCTAGGGGGTTGGGGGTTAGAAGGACTATTGATAATATCTTGAAAAGGATAGTTCTTTGTCATTAAACTCGAGTCTTCCTTCGAGAGCTTCGAGACAGATACCGACCTTCGCCGTCTTGAGGTCTTGGGGAGATTATGGTCGGTAGGAATTACCGTCCCGACTGAGTTGATGAGTCTGTATGCTACTAAGAGGTAGGGCTTTAGTCTTTTTCAATGAAGAAGCTGCGAGCATACCCTCCGCACCGTGTTCCACGACTTCGTTGACAACTTCGAGCGACGAGGGTCGCCCGTAACTCTGCGGTTACTATAGGTAAGCATATTGAAGGCTCTTTGAGGATTGCGTCAAATGAATGCTTCGAGGGCCGTAATAAGATGTTACAGTGAATTACCTGACGTGGACTAATATCTGCCAACGTCTTATGTCACAGCCATGAGATACTCACCACCTGTATCTCGCCTTTGAGGCCTCTTCCACGTCATCCATAGCACCACTTACTAGCCATTCAAGTAATTCATGGTCGTTGTACCCTCTGGATTCTCCCACAAGCAATCTCATTTACCAAGCATGAACATAACCTCTGTATTAGTATCACGGCATGGGACAACCACGGGCGAGGTTGGAGCTAGAAACTTCACATCAGGTATCCTACTTTCCAGCTTATGTATGGTTATAGCATATTCAACAGAGTATAAAGAGCTACCGCAGCTCTCAATCTCCCAGTGAACCTGTTCAAAGTATGTAATACTATCTCATAGCTAGCAAAACAGAACCTCAGTCGCCAGAACAAACAGCTATCACCACCTTACCCCATATTCCCATTCACACAAAACGCTGCACCGGCTCCTCTCCGAGAAGCCATACTCTGCACAAAGCAAAACATACCACGACCATCTCGACCGCCTGCTGTCCGTAAACCGCTCCTCTTCTCCGAGACGCAAGTGATGTCAACCGAACAGTTCGCAGTTCTCGTACTCAAAGCCCCCCAAACGAGATATGATGTAGCAAATTGTCCAGTTCTCCATCATTCCAAACACATCCCGCTCCCGTTCACCAGGATAATCATCATTCACTCCTCGCACCAACCGGTCGTTGATCCGTCGTTGACGAGAACACACACAGCCGCTCCCCCGCTGGGCGATCCCGAGACGTCTTACAGATGAGGCACGCCGGCCTGGATCCCCCCCCCCCCCCCCCCCCCCCCCCCCCCGGGTCCCAGGGGTTACCCTTCTCATACGCCACCCACAGCCCCTCGCGTCCTCAGATACCCGGGTGTTTGTCCCATTATCAGAGGCATGTATCCCGTGCCCCCCACAGGCGGAAAACGGGGGGGCTGGAGGAGAAAATCCGGGACGGCGGTGGCTATGTGGCGTGTCACTCCGGACACACACACACACACACACACACACACACGTATCATGTGGGAGCCCCGTCTCAGGATCTCGATAGTTGAAAAAGAGTGCGGAGTTAAAAGACCTTTTGGACGGTGTGGAGAGAGACTCACAACAAGCAACGACGAACGAGGTTGTTGGTTTGGAGAGCTGAGGAGTTTTCACTGTCGACGCACGGAGCTGTAGGCGAGGCGCAGCGGCGGGCGGGCACAATCTCAACAGACATCATCATACTGAAGTCTCACAAGATATATCCGCTACAGAGCGCCACCATGACTCAATGGATTCATGTTTGTTTCCGCATGGCTGGGTTAAGCAAATGTCTACGTAGACAGGGTATGCCATCCCAGTGTGTTTGCTTGCCGTGTTGGCTCACGGGCGATAGGTGATGTACACGGGTTCAATCAAGACTGGCTTGACTAGGCTTTCCGCCACAGAAATAATCATCAATTATTAGAGAATGTCTCAGGCCTCGAGTCCCTTGTACTTGGCGACAACGCCCTCGATCTCCTTCTTCAACTGGTCCTTCCTCTCGGTAGAGCACCAACTGCCCTCTACGGCACCGACAGCAATTGTCTGCCACTCTGCGATGCTAAGCTTGAAAGCCTCCTGCACGGCGAGATAGTTCTCCAAAATGTAACCTCCAAAGTACGCCGGGTCGTCGCTGTTGATGCTGAACCGTACTCCTGCGTCCAAGAACGTCCGGATAGGCAGCTCCTTGATCTCGCCAACGCCCCTCAGAACCACGTTTGAGATGGGGCAGAGACTGAGTAGCGTCTTGTTCTCAGACAGTCTCCTCATCAGAGCCTCATCTTCCGTCGACCGCCGCCCGTGGTCGATACGCTCCACGTCCAAGTCATCCAGCGCTGAGATGACAAACCCAGCGGGCCCCTCCTCTCCAGCGTGCGCTGTGCGCCGGATCCCCGCCTCCCGGACGGCGTCGTAGATGGGCTTAAACATTTTGGGCGGGTACGGCGCCTCGCTGCTCGACATGCCCACGCCCGCAATCGTCCCATCCACAAAGTGGCCCTTCTCCTTAGCCTCGAGGAACATGCGCAGGCCGTCCTCGACGGGGCAGTGACGCAGGAAGCAGACAATGTACTCAACGGTCATGCCAAAATCGGCCTCGGCGCGACGTCGCGCGCGCTGGAGACCCTCGATGACGGTCTCGTACGCGACCCCGCGGCTGGTGTGTGCCTGGGGGTCGAAAAAGACTTCAGCATGTCGAACGTTCTGCGAGTGTGCCTTTGCAAAGTAGGCGTATCCCAACTCCTCAAAGTCTGTGACGGTAAGGAGCACGGAGAATCCGATAAAATAATAGTGCAAAAAGTCATCGAGTGAGCTAAAGTTACGATATCGTTCGTACAGCGCTTCGACGCTTGCAAAAGCCGGATCCTTGTCGGAGGGCAGGGAGATGCTATTCTGTGCGGCAAGATGGAACAGCAGCTCGGGCCCCAAAGAGCCCTCGATGTGTATGTGATGCTCGCATTTGGGCAGATCGACAAGGAAATCGTGGAGTCTGTCCTTGCACATCTTTGGCAGTGTCACCCTCGGAGAGAATTGTATGGTTGGATGGGAGGGGGTGGACGGTGGGCTCGCGAACAGGTGCGGGCGGAGACGACGTGCTCAAAACGTCGTCGATATGAAAGATGGGTGGTGTAGGACAGAGATGTTTCAGCCTGTAAAGTTTGCTCAAGTTTCGACGGGCCTGCTTCTGTCGTTCACGACGAAAATAGATTTCGTAGAATTTCTAGAAGTATTGAATCCGAACGCACGGCTTGGTACGACTTTTTCGGCCTTTTGAAAGTTTTTTTTTCCTTCTCACAATCTTGCGTCATGATTTGATGAAGCACAACTGCCGTCTCCATTTAGCCATCTTTACGTTATCAGACGGCTTGCCCCTCATTGTTCGGCAACCGCCGTGTCTTTGTGAGCGGCGGAGGCCAGCGAAAGAAGGGTGTCTCGTCGAGAGAATTCCATTGCTAACTGATTCTCTTGGACGGCATCTGACTGACCCTTATGGGTCCCAAAATTTCAAGGAGGAATGCCAGCAGCAAGTCGACGTGTTGAGTGTGTCCTCCGGCGCCTCGATGGGTCCATGTGCATTAGCATCGGAGAAAAAAAAAAAAAGCCATATTCTTGGGGCAGGAGTAGAATGTCCATCTCGGCCCGGAGAAACAAGACATCAAACAAGTTAAGCTCGGTACTGTGTAGGCGTAAGAAAACACGAGAACGAGATACCGTAACATGAGGTTTCCCTGGCTAGGAAACTTCCTGTGCCACGGATCCGGAGGCGAGCGTCAGCGGCAGAATCCGTAGCACATTCAACCATCACCTTATCTTTGCGAGTGGGCCGTCTTTTCCAGGCCCGCGACGGCCTGCGGCATTAAACGCACGACCAGCGAAGCTGTCGAACGACAAGACGGTTTGAAAATACCCATGTGAAGCGAACCAAGAGTTGCATCGACATGGGAAACATGAGATGAAATGTGACCTACGACGAAACAAGCTCCGCACAGTCGAGCATCTTCGCCCTTGCGCTGCAACGGTCATGTCACATTGACTCGCAACGGGACGGCGACGCACCTTATAGACTGATAGGCATAGCTTCCGTTTATTCCCAAGTGGCTAAACCTCGATGCCGGGAACCCTCGAGCCGACATGGCATGTCACAGAAGATAGGGCGAGTGCTAAGCATCGTGGACAGCAACAATGACGTGCATGGTCCGCGAAAGCCTCGTTGATGGGTATGGGACTTCACGGGCGGTTCCTTTCCGGATGGACCACCGTGAAAAGTTGGCCGAGTAAGTGGCGAGACGGCTTGGGTTGCATGTGGGTTCAGCGGTGCAATTCCATCTTCTTTTCACTACGTCGTGACAAGGTTCTTCAAGGGATACTACACGAAGTCGGACGGCAGTGATTAATTGTCTGTCTTCAGCAGCCTGGCAACGGTCGGGCTGAGTGGCGTACCCAACTCCAGCGTGTCTCATCTAGACCTTCAGCTGCACTGTCTGTGCCTGGTCGTCTCTAGACTAGTGTCCGGGTGTCTCGCGGATCATCCCATGCAGGATTCGCTACCATGAGCGGAAGGGGCTTGTCGCTCCTCCAGAGTCCAGACCTTTTTTTTTTCACATTGCTTTTCCATGTCGCAGAGGGCAGAGGTCTCAAGAACCTGCCGACTCCCCGGTTACTTCTCATCAGGGACTGACGTGCTGGCGGGAGATGGCGCGGCTGTTCCCCAAGACCACTAGTCAAGTCTTTTGTAGGGATGATCCCAGGGCCTGCCCAAGGTCACTGGCTGTCGTGAGGGACGATCAGTTATCCCAGTGTTTCGACTGCAGGGGGATGCCGTGGGCCCTGCGGGATATGGAAGAAGACAAGAAGAAAAAACCGCATATGACCAGGGTTTGGTGGGCAGATCCGTCGGGTCGTTGATGGACGAGGCATGGCGTCCGGCGGGTGGCTTGGTTGCGGTCTTGAAAGCTAGGAGAAGGCAGGTTCTGCTCGCATCAGTTAAACCAAGTGGGTGAGGTTCCCAAGCCGCTCTTCACTTGTCAGATGGCGGCCGAACGCGCTTCCTAGGCTGTTGCTCCGAAGTGTTCAGCCAAGGAGTAGGATCCTGGTTCGGTCTGAGCCCCCTTGAAGGGGCTCCCCTCAGCCCGTGACACGCTTGATGGCTAGCCACCGCGCGCTGGCACGGGCAATCCCATGGTGCCTGTGACGTGAGCCGTCGCAACCACCGATCTCCAACCGAAGAAGCAACCTCCACCCTCTATACCTGCGAAAGCTTATTGCCAGAAATAGCTCCCAAGACCGTGTTGGACGGATGAATGGGCGGATGGGTTATGCCGTCTTTCGTCCATTCATCCCTTGTGTGTGTGTGTTTTATTTAAGCTTGTCATGGCTGTTTCTGTGCGCAGTGTTTGTGCGCGTAGCCAGTCAAACATCGCCCGAGATCGTGTCGAGCCCTGTGTTCTAATTCTGTCCGTTTGAAGTTGACCACCACAATTTTGTCAGACTTTGCATCCTTCCATCTTACATACGGCTATGGGAGGTGACTGCAAATCTTTCTCTCCAATCTCCTCAGAGATACACTGCATGCCTTCAGGCCACGAGGGATTCGGATTTCATACCGACACTGTCGTACTCCTTTTTGAACCCGGCCGGCGTCCTCCCGCCGCGTCTGGATCTAACCTGCAGACGAGGATGTCCTTGACTGGTATCCCTGTATACCCCGCTGTCAGGAAGTTAAGAGCCATTAAGAAAAACCGGTCCCAGCTTCATGCAAGCCGGCCAAGGGCATATTTGACCGTGACTGTTTCATTCAACTTGCTGACCGCCTGTCGGCACTACTGTTATGGAGACGGAGTTTTTGTCTCTGTCTTTTGTCTGGTCTACTTGCGACAAGTTGAGGTTCGCTAAGGAAACGAACAGAGCTAAATCTCCAACTATTAGTAGTGCTGGCCGAATGTTTCCGAACTCGCTTTTGGTAACAAATGCGAGCCCCAGAGCTCTCGATATGGTTTCCTGCAAACTGACTGGGGTACTTATGGTTTGTTTGTACGAATCAGAGACTGGAAAGCCAAGCGTCACATCATGTTGCCGACCTCCTGTCCGGCTAGCAGGTGGCAGGCATGGGTTTGTAGGACGGTTGTTAATGTCACATTGCATAGCATCGAGACCCGTGGTACTCAATTTAAGCTATCCGATACGATATGGTCAGCACCCGCTCTTATGTGTCCCTCGCAGGTTGCGGCGGCAGTGCAACACGGTGCGTGCCAATACCCGAGGAGCCCACGGTCCGCACCCTTCGGCTCGTTGTATGATTGCTGTGAAGACACTAAAACTCAGTGAGGCCTACTTACTACCTGGAATTGGCTGGATTGGTGGAATGTCAAGTGTACCTTACCAGTCAATTGGTGGTTGGGGGGGGGGGGGGGGGGACAGACTCTGGGCTCAATGCTGATGGCAGGGTGGTCACCATCACCGCTGCCGCGGTGTATGCGGGGTCGCACACCCTCTTTAGGATGCCTGGCTGCCGGTGGCCACACTACTCAGGACATTGTTCCCTCCCGGCGGGAATACCGAATGGAACCTATGGTCCCAAGGGTGGTTGATGGCGTCTCCGTGGTGCCATGATTGACCAAGTTCGGACTCTTTTGCAACTCGAGACGCCCTCAGTGTAACGTGTGTTGTGCTTGGTTCATTTCGGTGTTCCAAGAGGGGGTATTTGAGGGGAACGGAGGTTGTGCCAGTTTTGATACTATAGGCCGTATGTTGACGGGACGCTGTGAGGCCCAGGCTCGACCTAAGTGAGTGATCGCCCTCAATATCTATATCATAACGAACCTGACAGACCAACTATCTGCTTCGAGGTAGCGTCTATAGATGGTTCTGGACAAGATACCAGTACTGCTCGAGGCTGTCATGTTTCATACAGATTACTAGCTCTAAAGCACGAGCCAGCTTTGCCCGCTTTACGAGACGGCCACAAAGAGCACTGTCTTTGGTCTGTTGTGAAGAGTAGTGTAGTTAGGACTTATTACATAGTAGAAGGACATGGCCTTGGGGGCCTCAAAAGATAGGGCAACTAACGCTTTGCCGCTGAAGGCGGGCGTAGCTACCGTTGCGCGGGACAGCAGCGCGGCTGCATCATTTTTTGGTGGTTCATTTAGCTACCAACAACACAATGCAAGTGCGGAGCAGATCTCACCTATCAACAGATTCGGCATTCGGTTAGGACGAGATACGATGCGCCGGCTCCACATCTCCTTTAGGGCAAATCTCCTGCGGCTGCGGACTCGTGCCTATAGCCTCATGCTGTTAATCTGCGGCAGAAGAGCCGTTGCTGTTGGCCAAGGGGGCGGGGGCGGAATGGCGCCGTTAATGAGCGTTACTACCACGGAGTTGTACTTGCAAGCAGTTCCAAGCTAAAGTGGCCGCCGCGGGTCTTGTGCACAGATGCGGACATGCGGCAACGTCAGCTTCTCCATCTTGTCCCCATTCCACATGGCACTAAGTATTCGGGCCTGCACTGATCCATCGGACTGCCAAACTCTGTGCAGCTCCCCCCGCCTCCCGGCATCGTCGTCATAGTTGACCTTGCTTATAGTGTAGTGGGTTTGCTGCCGCCATGTTCCGGGGAGAACAAACGTCGATGATCTTGAGGTACTCTACGAGTCGGGGACCGCGTTACATTCAATCCAACACGCTTGATGTGCTGGTCGGAATGAATCGTGTGATGGGTCCATGTTGAGCAAGGCCATGCTCTTTCTAGTGAGTGCCTGTCATGCTTTTAATCCGCCACTGGCCACCGCCCGAGGCATGCGGCAGTCTATCTCGGTTTGAAAAGCTAGCCAAATCGCGCGCCAGGTAGGGAATTATTGAACTTGGATTGAAACAGTACGGCTGGCGTTTGCTGGGCCTTTGAAGATCGAGGAAGAAAAATCCGAGCCCCAAAGACAAATTTGCATGCCAGTGTCGCTGGAGTATATTGTCTGCTGAACCGCCACGATGAGCACACAGCTCCTCGC